ATCGCAGTAGATCACGGTCCGAGGATCAACGAGCATCATTTTCACGAGCAGGGCGAATTAACCGCGCGGGACTATTTCCCGATCTACAGTACTCACTACTCAGTACTATACATCTTCCCCCCCCCCCCCCCCCCCGCTTTTTGCACCCTTCTTATCAACGAGCAATAAATAACAGGCAATCAATGGCGAATCAGTAGTAAACGGTGCACTCGCTCACTTCCTCACCAGGCTCTCATATCGGCATGGCCATGGCACTGGAATTGCCGTCTCGATAGATTGTGGAATATGCGGAGTCGAATCTCCAGAGTTCCCCACGGGCTGGCGCAGGGGCTTCTGGTTGGAAGGAGTCATTTCACATGTCAAATGGGGGGGGGGGGGGGGAACCCTAATCTCCCATCTTGGGAGAGCCCACACACGAGACGAGGTGTGGGGCGGGGAATTGCGCTTTTTTCACATCCCATCGGTCCGGACTTGGGTCTAGCCGAAGGGTGTATACTGTATAGTAGGGTAATACTGTATAGTAGGGTAGTCGTAGTCTCTTGCAATTTGCATACTATATGCGAGTACGGGGGTCGGGCAATAGTCGGTCATCTGTTCACGGAGACGGTTATCTCGTGGAAGTCTCTAGGATGGTAACTTGTGATTGATGCAATCAGCAACGAGGGAGTTACTATCTAGTAACTACTACAATCACACGTGGCTGCTACAAGTGGTGGTTCCTGTCATCGGTGGCTTGTCCGACTTTGCAAATCAAGCAGCCGTGGCGGGAAGACCGTGTTTCTGGTGCCGCGGTTCTGCGCTTGACAAGTCGAACCGTTTGGGCAATGACCAACGACCGGAGGAATGCCGATAAGAAGAGAGTGATACAGGTCCTGTGGGAAGATTTGCGCCGTGAGCGCTAAATGATGCTATCGTGGAGTCTTGATTAGGTTGAAAGGATTGGTGTTGCCACCGTGTCTCCACGTCTAGAAGAGAAGGATACGATCAAAATTCTTTCTTGAGACGCTTGTGACCGGGGTAGAGAGGATGTCTCTGGAGAATCAATCATAACTACTGTACTGCACTCCGTGCACTGAAGGATTCGGAGACTCGAAAGAGATGCCACGTTAGGTTTTACCTTAGTGTAACTTTGAAATATGGCGTTAGTAGTGCAACTGCAATCTTCACCAAAGGACAAACTGCTAGTACAATGACATAGATGGATGCTGCCTTAAAAAGGCTCGTAGTGGACGGCACGGAACATCCGCAAGCATTGGCAGGAGAGATATTGAAGGAAGACAGTCAATTTCGTGATCCAGTACCACTACTGGATGGTCGAGCTTTATTTTTCTTGTCGGCGACATATTTAATAGTAACAATGGTCCCACTGTTCTTGAGTGCTGGGCACCAAATGTCCTGAAGATGTGAAGAACTGAAGATAGGGACTGGTAGGCCAAGCACACGGAGATACGACAGAATGACGACATGGCTCGGACGACGTACTGTAGCGTCCCCGACATTCCAGACGGGCACGAAGAATGCTGAGTTGCTCACTACTGCAGGTACCGTTGTCAAGTACACCGACGCCCGAATCTAGGTCTTTCTCCATGCCTTCGAGGTCCCCCTTGGCACAGATTATAGCAGTCACAGCACTGTCTTTCATGTTTACCCTATTCTCGATCACCAATTGCGGCCGTAGCCGTAGCCGTAGCCGTATCGAACAAAATCTTGGACTTTGGCTCGATTGTCTACCTTCGTGACTGGTTCCTACAGTGCTACCTTTACCCATCTCCAAATTCCGTCGGATACTGTAGGACTGTATGTGTGAATGAACAATGATGGTTCCCGTATATCCGATTCACAATTTACGGATGCAGTACTGCACCAGTGCAACCCATGTGGGTGGAACGATTGGCTTACCCGCCCGAAGGAAATTGGATAATTTGATACACAAGATGCGTTGGACTGCCGGAGAAAACCGGAACAGGGCATCTTGTCCTGTCCCGTGGGGCGATTGAGCCCAATCTGGACCGTATGGCAGAATTCTGATTGTGGAAACACCAGTGCGGGAATAAGTGTGTAGTAATCACGACTCTCGACGCACTCTAAAGAGGTTCATGTGGGTTAGGAACTCTACGGACTGGAGTCATTATTGCCCGTGTCTGTGCCGGTGTGGCATGAGTTGCGGGGCTTGTGTGTGGCTTTTTCTTTCTTCCTTTTTTTTTTTCTTTCTTCTTTCTTCTTCTCTTTCCCCTCTTGGCTCTTTCCGCGAGTCCTTTGAGTAGTCAATTGTATGATCGATTCGCCCGATGGTGCACCGTCCTCTCCTTAGAACACACTAAAGGTGGTGCCATTCCATGGATCCAATTCCTGGGGTCGCGTAGATCCTTCACAGAATTTCACAATTGTCGATACAACCGTGGCTTGGAAACTGTCGGCTCGCGACCAACCTCGGTCTATCATTCATCGGACGGTAGTACTAAGACTAATTAATCACAAGGTAGACTGACTTCCGAGGTATGCCACGAAGGTGGCGAGGATCACCATCGTCCGCTTTGTAGTTTGTATTTTGTAGTTTCAAAGTTTGTCATTGTACATTGACAGTAATAGTACAGTAAGAAATCTCTTCGGTGGATCACCCCGATACTGACCGGTGAAGCTTTTGCTGTATACTGCCGTGATCCCCGCACCCTCTTTCCGCAATAAGAGTGTCAAAAAGGTACAGGAAGAGAAGTGAAAAAGAAAAAAAAAAAAAAGAAATTCGGACCCTCCATCGAAAACTTGATTCCAAGAAATGAAAGCGAAGAAAATTTTTCTGCCCGTCTTGTCTCTATCCAAGGCCAGAAACTCCTGACCCGAGTCCACAGACGGGGAACCTCCTCCACTTCTGACCGGGCCAGAACAAGTCAGCCCGCACAGCCTCAGTCCACTTGTTCCTCCCTCTGGTCCCTTGCTAAAGCAAGGGGGAGGAGAGAGGACATGGGGGGACGGGGAGGGCCAAAGACATGGAGGTATTCCGAGTCGGGGGGGGGGGGGGGGGGGCAAATAGAGACTAATCAGAGCGAGGGGAGGAGCCCGAGCCGGTCAATCCTCGGCTTCGGGCCACTGGGAGTTGGCACTGAGATGCCGACTCTCGGGTTGGCGCACTTTCTGAACTCCGTCCCCCAATTTGGTGTGATTTGTTCGTGGGTTTTTCCCGTGTTCTGATCGATTGTCTCCACTTTCTGCCCTCCTTGGACTTGGGGACTTTGGGAACGGGATGACTCCATTCGCATGTACGAGTTTTTTTCTTCTACTCGCTTCAGTACCCTGGTAGCTGGTAGGCACGGATGAGTCAAACTGTGGCACAGAAGTGGCTCGAATGGGGTTCCTTTCCTGCCACTGGACTCGCCGTCGAGAGCACGAGGTTGATTATAGTTCCAGCTGTTCGCCGATAAGAGTCTGTAGCTGTTTCTGTATATTATCGTCCCGAGGTGGACATTTCACGTTGAGGTGGGCTGTCCGTTCTGAGGAGGGGCCCGGATATGCTCATCCCCAAATACTACCGTAGTATTACTCCAAGGATGACACTCCCCGGCTTCACGGGTGAACGGTCACGGTGACTACCCATTCAAGCAACTCTTCGCCAGGCTCGGCGTCGATGGTCAAAGACATGGCCGGCTATCGTTTCTTGGCTTTGATAAGGCTGAAGATGGCAAATCTTCGCCGAACGGACCAGAGGAACGACTCAACTCTCGGCCCGTGTCATGGCCAAAAACGAGTCTGTCCGATGGCAAATCATCTGACTTGGTGGCTGGCTCATTCTCGCCTCACCTGCCGTGGGAGGCAATGCACCGTAGGCATCATTACCGTGGCCGACGGAAAACTTTTCCTTTCAATATCCTCTCGTGATGTGCCACAGCCGATATAATGCCGACCTTGATGAATATCCAGAAAAAAAAAACAAGAAGAATGACAATTATGACCACAAGATGGATCTTCTGTCCAATTTCCCTCCACTCGGCTCAAGATGGGCAACCGCGCTGGCCCGACAAGTGTGCAACCCCCCACATGATCGATCCTGTGCCTGAATCCAGTCCCCCAATATGTCCTCTCATTCGTCCTCGGCACTGACGAAACTGGATCTTAAAAGACGCGAGGGTCATGACTTTGAAGATCTACCCCGCGTGAATGTGGTCATGTGGTGACAAAAATCAATAAGTACAGTATGGGACTTTCCCTTTGGAGCTTCGGGGGTGCTCCCTTTCAAGTTGGGGGACTCAAATTCTTGTACTGCTGTTGGACTCTGGCAAGACGTCTGGGGGGATTTGGGCTGAAATGGGGGGTCGGTAGATCATCGGCTGATAAGGACCCTCGGAACAGGTGCCTGCGCCTGTGCCTCTGTTAAGCCCGGAATTCCTCCGGAACAATCGCCCCTTACAAGCAATGGCAGTGAATGTTCGAGATCCTCAATCATGGCCGGATCCTTTGGTTGACTTGACCATGGGTATGTATATACGCCCATAAGGTACAAATTGGTTTGCGCCAGGGCGCACTGCACACTATACTGTTGATTGGTCAATGATCGAATGCGCAGAGTCGCGGACAGCTTCAAATACAACAGTGAAAGTTTGCGGGCCATCAGGTCCATGATAGAGCCAGATTACAAGACGAGTGAGTCTGAATCGATTCCAGTGACTTTCATGATGCATATCTCCTGATATTGCACGAGGGTCGATTATGTCGAGAACAGTAGAGCTCGCTCTCACTGCTCCCGCCCATGCCGCTGTATTCTTATCTTATCTTATCAATGTTATAATCACCTCGGGGCAACGTCCGGCCGCAACCAAAAGCGGACACATCATTCTGCTATGCTTTTCCGCCCCAAAAAGCGGAGAATTGGCTCGAGTTAGAGTGACTCGCGACGCATTGCTCAGCGGTCTCGAGCCATCAAGCACCCGATAGCCCATTTCCAATCCCCTTGAAACGACCATTGTTGCTCTCAGGGCTCATTTGATTATCCACAGTGAGGTCCCTGCACCATGGCACCCCCGCGTCAGCGAACTGCCGCCATCGTGGACGACTCGAGGTCCGAAGCCTCAAGCGGCGCGCGAGAAATCAAAACCAGTGCGCCCAAGAGCCGAAAAGCTGGTGCTGCAGCCAAAGAAAAGGCCTCAGTGACCAGCGCACCCAGCGCCACCGACAAACAAGCCCATGAGCAGCCTCGAGTAAGTTTTGTTCAAGGTCCCTAAGAACTCTTGTATCCGAAGACGAGAGACCGTCGCCAACAGAAAAAAAAGAAAAAGACGACGTCAGCCAAAGTCCGCAAGCGTTCTACAGACAATCTTGTCTCTTACATCAAAATCCCATGCTAAAAAATAGCCATCTTCGGTTTCAATTACAGGTTCCCTGGTCCGATCTTTCCCTTGAGATCCTTCACGCCTACCGTCATGTCCACAAGCTGCCTACGCCGTCTGCGTTCTCAACCGACTATTCCCGTCTCATACTCTCGCAAGGTGTCGGGCTTCGCTCTCCCACCGCGCTCGCCGCTCGCCGGGCTCAATCCAATCGCTCAACCGCTCGCGAGCGAAACAATACCACAGCGCAAGACACAGACACCTCTTCCTCGTCTTCCCTCCACCGAATCGTCGGACAAGACCGTGTGAGCAAAGATCAATTTGCGACGGTTGTTCGCAAACATTTCAACAGCGCCGGCCTCGGTGAGCAAGAGACCATTGCACGGTTCCTATACACTGTGCGTGAAGAGCGGCGTGGTCGCCAATTCCGTCTGCGATTCCAACCATAACATGAGTTGAGGGATCCGTTACCGACTCGCGAGGAACCGACACCCTTTTCTCGCTGCGGAAAGCTGTCTGCCGCGATGCGCAGTTCTGTTCTGGCCTTGTTTGTGATGTCTTATTATGATACCCATTGGCGTTCTGGGATAGGAAATCTGTACACTCTTCCACCTTGTGCTGTGTATCAGCATTGCATATACTTGCTCATCGAAGATTTCAAGTTTGTTTTCAAAGGGTCCTCCGGGCGGCAGCCGATGATGCCATCATGTACTGTCGGCGCGTCAAATTCGGGTTTGGGCGGTCAATATTGCCTTTTTAAGACTAGCGTGGATTTGTCCCAATCACCTGTAGAACCTATTGTCTTATCTCAGGACTCAACATCTTCCTTCCAAAATGAATAAGAAGTCACTGACCGATGTGATAGACTTGCAATTGGCAGATAATTGTCGTCAGTGGAATATCTCGCCGGCACAAGATTTTCTCCACTACGTCGACGTTCACCATCTCCGAACTGATCGAATGCAACTTTTGACAATTTCCTTCTTACTACGGACTGGCCATGCCGTGAGGTAATGCAGCGCTTTCGCAGCAACGAGAGCTACGAGAGCCAAAACCTTTGGAAAGGTCCTCTGTCTTGGCCATGTGATGTCTCACCACAAACATGTCATATTCCATCAATTATACTCGAGCTGACTAACAAGCACACTCCCTGGCACGAATGAGATCAAATTCATCTTCTTTTCGAAAGCATCATCTTTTCGGCCTCCAATATCATGCGTCTTCCTTCTATCAGGAAGAACTAGTCTTCAAACACGTATCCTCCCCTCTCATTCCACTCCATCTCCAGCACGCTTCCCAAAGCCGTTGTTGACATTGAACATCCCGACTGATGGCTGCCGGCTCGCTGTCCTTCACACCGACAAAATATCCTCTCTTTCCATGAAAGGTCGGATCCACGCTGACAATAGCCAGATCTTTGCCTGCATCTTCAATGGTCCGGAATGTTGAGGTGAAATGTCTGAGCAGAGGCAACAGGACTTTGATGACGTTCATGATTCGTTGGGTGGATTTCTTTTGTTCTATTTGAGCTCGCGAGTCCGGTAGTCCCCCCGGGTCCATTGCCGTCACGGTGATCTTGGAGTATTGGGGGTTCTGTACCACCACATTAGCCTTCTGGTCATCACCCTCATTTGCACTTTATATCTTTCAGCTTTTTTCTCTCTTCCGAAGTCATGCTGCCTAGCCTCACATCGCACATGAAATCAAACTCACCTCTTTCAGTATCTTGTTCAAATGCAACGCAAACGTCACATTCGCCAATTTGGCAGTCGCGTACCGTTGAAACCCACGATCATGAATAAGTGATGCAGGATCTACCGTCGGCTTGACCAATTCCTCGAGATTTCCAGGAAACTCAGCCGTCAGTGACGAGATCGGCTGCATCTTATGCGGATCGTGCGTGATGGATCCCAGCATCACAATCCGTCCATTATCCCGATTGAGACTGTCCAAGAGCAAATTGACAAGCACAAAGTGTGCCAAGTGACATACTTGAAAGGTCGCCTCATACCCATCTGCCGTGAATTTCTGCCCACCTTCCAACGACCAAGTCGCTGCGTTACAAATGATAGCTGAAATGCGCGGTATCTCTTTCGAGGCAACCTGGTTTGCTACTTTGTGGGCAAACGAGCGAACGGTATCTAGCCGGCCGAGGTCGAGGGCCTCGATGATGACCTTGGCCGTGGGACAATTGGAAACGAGATCGACAAGTTTGGCGGTGTTTTCGTCTTTCCCACTTGAGGCATTTCGGACGGTTGCAATGACTGTGAAGTGAGGATATTGCGAGAGGATGTGGGCCATGAACCCCAGCGCGAGAGAGCCGTTTGCTCCTGTAATGATCACCGTCCCTGCCATGATGGAGAATGGGGTCCAAGGTTGTGGTGATGTGTAACGCTCCGTTGCCACGGTGAAAAGAACCCAAGTTGGTTCTATAGACGCCATGGAACAGCGGCGTTGCTCTTTATATGGGTCATTTGGACAATCAAGACATAAGCTTTCTGGTCTGGACTCATGGTTATCTCCGTTACTCCCCCCTGTCTCCAAAAACCGAGCCTGATATTGTACCCGCAGAAGCTTGAAGACCATGAGCGACAATTTGATTTGATGTCATTATCTCAATTCATCATGCATGATGGATACCTCAGAGAAGACACTTGTCCAGCTGATACTGGCAGGTTGAGGTACAGTAGACCCATGCGAGTGCGGATGATCGATTGGTAAGCCATCAACTGGAACTCAGTTGACACCAGGTCCAATTGAAGTTGCATGTACGATATTCTTGAGGAGGAAGAGGGGGGCCTGAAGCGCGTGCTGGTTTGGTACAAGGCTTCATTCACCAGGCTTATCTACTTTGGGAAGGCGCAAGGCTTGGCATCGCTTAGGGCTGACGACGGTGTTCCGACCATGAACCAGCTTCAAGATAGTCAGATTGCTCACTGGTCTTTTTCCTCAGTCCGGGATATTTCATCCTGGCAGGAGAGAGAGACTCTGCGAAAGCTGGCTGTCTGAGGTGGTTGTGTCCAGGACTCTGCGGTGGACTACAATTTCCGAGTCTGATCCCCACGAGCTTGATAGGTGACTTGTACAAGCAAAAGCCGCTTAACTCCGTCTTCCAACACACGAAACACAGGAGCCTCCCTCTTAATCAGTGCCAAACTAATGCTCTCCAATATGACGGGGCGCAAAGCGCAATTTGTCATTACGTCTTCGCAGAGCTTTGGGCAAAATTCAGAGCAGAATATTGCTCATCGCAAGATTGCCCGGTCACACGCGGCTCGAACAACGCATGCCAAGGCACGCCGTCTACGAACACTGCAGTATCAGGCGCAAAAGAATCATTCCGTCACGCCTGACAGCTCGACGCCACAGCTCGTGGGGGTAGATTTGGAGCAATACTATCGTCAAGAGATTCCAATGATCAATGTATTATCTACTTCGAGAAAGGATCCATTCGATTGCTCCGCAGTTCCATTAAAGCCCATTGAGAAGATGTTGTTTGATCACTGTATGTGTTGAGATAGCTTGGTGGTTTGGCGCGTCTCACCAGCGTGGTGCGCGCCCACGCACACCACCTTCGTAGCTTAGATAGGCACCTCTCACCAGATGCAATCTCACCATTCCTTTCTCCCCTCTTTTGGGTCCGCTACGTTCTCACAGTAGCCACCAATAGGTTGTGAGCCCTGCTTAGCGCACAAAAAGTGAGGTTATTCACATTTCCTCACTGCCTAGGCACAACTTGCAAAATAACCTCTTTTTCCATCGTTTTTCGGCGCCTTTTGCGCCTTCTACAGAGTGCAGACTTCGTACCTCCTTACAACTTGACGATCCCTACGGCTACCGAAGCTATCGTATCGAATCGTCGCCAAAGTCCCTCCTTCGGCTTTAACGCTATTCAAAAATATATAAAATCCTTCCGGCTTCTACGCTATTTTCAGAGCTCTTACGCTCTTTACCTGCGCAGCGGTACATCGCCGTAGCAGGCACGCCTACGTAGCGGCACTTCGCCGTAGTAGGACTACTATATAATATACCTTCGTTATCGTGGACCTTATACCTTCCGGCTCTTACGCTATTTAGAGCTTTTAAGCTCTATATTACCTACGTAGCGGCACTTCGTCGTAGTAGGATTAATATATTTACGTATATTTAATATGGTTTCCGATCTCGAGGCTTATAAGGCGGCTAAAACCTTCGCCGAATTAGTCCCTATACTTAAGGGAAGAGCTAACTTCGAGAAATGGAAACAGGGGCTTCAATTTATTATAGATAGCCTAGACGAAGATCTATAGTCTATTATTATAGGTAACCTAATATACCCTATTTAAGAGCCTCGTGATACTCCTATAGAGGAAGCTATCTAAAACGTCCTTTTCGCTTAACTTAGATAAGAACCTACCGAAGAGGAATTTAATAAGTAGATTAATAAGAATATAACTTAACTAAATAACCGATTTCACTAGTTTCGCCGAAAATATACGCTTACGAAATACCTTATCTATTATATACTTAGCGATTTAGCTTATAGCTTTATACGCGATTATAAAGATTTATATGAAATCTTCCTTTATATTAGTAATATATACGGTACTAGTAACTATACTACTTTAAGCTATAGACTATTATCTTTGATTAAGCTTACTTATACTAGTAGTAATCCGTATAATTTCGTTACTAAATAGTAAGCTACTTTAGACCTTACGAATTTAGCCGTTCTAAATACCCTCTTACTACCTAAATAGGCTCTAGCCTATTTCAAGCTTGTAATTAATAGCTACTAAAGTATAAAGGGTTTCTTAAATACGTATAAACCTCTAGCTAATCCGGATAGTATACTTAACTATATTTTCGGTAAATTTATTAAATATAAGTCGAATAAAAAGTCTGTAAATATAGTAATCGTAGCTGTTTCTACCTTAAAAGATACGAAATCTACGCAAAATAACGATCGAGGCAGAGATAGAGGTAGAGGCCGAGGTAATAGAGGCCGCGGGAGAGGCTCCGGATAAGGTCGTGGTTAAAGTTAAAATAATAAAGATAATAATAATTAGCCACCGAATTACTATATCTACTATAAGCGTTTAATAGCTTATACTAGTAAGTAGTACTTCTTTAATCCTAAATCTAAGGGCGCCTCTTAAGACGGAGTTAATATAGTAGTAGCTAGTACTTCTGATTCAAAAAAGGACTTAAAATCGAAAGAGAAATCTAAGAAGATTTTAATAAGCTTCGCCGAAATAAGCTTATTAGCTATTAATATTATAGCTATATTAATAGACGACGAATAGTGTACTTAGATAGTAGACTCTGGCGTATTAGCGTATATAATACCTTATCGTATAAATTTCATTAATTTCACGCTACTTATCACCGATGTAAAGCTTCCAAACGGTCATTAAGTACAGACTAAAGGATATAGTAATATTATCCTAAATTTTTCGAACAAAAATACTATTTCTAAGCTTAAGCTACTTAAAGTCTAGTATATTCCTTCGTTTAATATAAATCTTATTTCTTTATAGTAACTTACGAAGGATTCTGGCGTTAAGACTCGATTTAATAGGGAATACGGCTCCCTCTATAGGGGGGCAGAGCTTATCGTTACGGCTAAGCAGGAGAACGGTTAATATTAGGTCCGTACCTATAATAGTAATAGTTATATTAATATACTTAGAGCTCTATCTGTTTAACTATCCTACGTATTTAGTGATAGTTATATACCCGCCGTGGATTCGGCTATAGCTTCTTAAATCGGCAAGATTTAACCTATTTTAATAGACCTAGCTTATCGCAGAGCCTACTACGTAGGCGAGCAAAAGGTTAAGCGTATACCTAATTTTACAGAAGGAATCATTATCAAAAAGGGTTCCGGTATTATATTTCTATATCCTTCTTATATCCTAGGGAAGGGATACTCCTTACCTTTTAGAAGAGGTAAGTATATTAAGACTATACCGGCGCAAAAGCTTTATATTGATATTTAGGGTCCTATTTCTATCGTAAGCGTTAGAGGCTATCGTTATTTTATAACCGTTACTAATAATATAACGCGTTTCTGTTAGGTCTTCCTGCTAAAGGCTAAAAGCGAAATTACTAATAAGATTCGTATACTAGTAACCTACTTTTTAACGCAATTTAACTACAAAGTTAGGGTAATTTCAGGCGATAATACGTAAGAATATATTAAAATCGCTACTTTTTACGAAGAAAACGGTATTATTTAGGACCCTATTCCCCCCTATATACCTTAGCTTAACGGTGTTACGGAGATTAGGAATCGTTAGCTTATTAAGCCGCTAATCGCCGTATTAGCTAAGAATTAGCTTCCTAAATATCTATAGGGCGAGCTACTTTTAGGTATTAATTATATAATAAACCGTCTCTGGTAGTCTACTATTAATATAACTCTATATAAAGCTTTCTATAGCAAAAAGCCAGATATTTCAAATCTACGCGCCCTTAGCTACTAAGCTTAGTATCTAATTCTAAAGGAACGTAGGGCAGATAAGCTTTCTCTATATATAGCCGAAGTAAGGCTAGTAGGCTATAGTACTAATAGATATCGACTCTATAATATTTATTCAAAGAAGATTATAGTCTCTCGTAATATGGTTTTTAATAAGAATATAACGAAGGACCTACCTAAGCCTACGTACGATCTTAATACAGAGCTAAAGTTAGTTCCTACGTAATCTACAGCTAATCAACGCCGTTATATACTATCAGATTTCCTACCGGCTAATAGCGATTAACTAATTCAGCTAGATTTAGCTAATAGCCCTAATAAGCTAGTATAGCTAGTAACTCTATCTCCTTATATTCTAACAGGAGACCTACTATTATCTAAGCGGTCTAATATACTACTTTCTTTATTTAAACGCGAAGTCTAACTTAAAAAGCTTCGGGAATAGATTAAGCGGAGATTCGCCTATAAATAGAATAAATATATCGACGACAGCCCTTAAACTATAGAGGATAGTTCCGAAACTATCGAGGGCAGTCCTAGAAATATCGACGATAATCTTTAAACTATAGAGGGTAGTTCTGAAACTATCGAGGCTAATCCTAAAACTATCGAAAGCAGTTCTTAAAATATATCTAAGATAGGTCTTCGGCGTTCCTCACGAGTCCGTAAGAAGACTTAAGCGGCTATAGAGTCAGAGGAATATTTACGTTTTCTTAAGCATTCAAATATAGCTCTAGCTAATTATATTAAATACGCTACTTTTTTAGTTCGTAGTATAGCTATAGACGTATAACTACTTCTAAAGCTTTTATATTAAGCTTCAGCTTAGTTAACGCTATATGAATTAGATAGCTAGCAGGATATAATATAGAATTACAGTAAGGATAAATAGACTAAATAGATTAAAGCTATAGACAAGGAAATATATAAGTAGCTAATAAACGGTACCTAGCGCGTATATAATCTTCCTACTAAGGGTACTAAAAAGACGCTTCTTCCGCTTCGATAGGTCTTTCGTATTAAGGACGATAGGACCTACAAAGCGCGTCTCGTTACAAAAGGGTTTAAGTAACGCGAAGGAATTAATTATCTTGATGTTTATATAAGTATAGCTAAAGCTTTAAGCTTTAAAATATTCTACGTAATCGCTACGTATTTCGGCTAGTAGATATATTATATTAACTTCGTTACAGCGTTTCTTAACGAAGAGCTTCTTGAAGAAATCTATATTTAACTTCCTAATAGTTTTAAAGAGCCTGGAAAATACGGCCTTCTTTTAAAGACTTTGTACGGTCTAAAATAGAGTCCTCGCGAATAGTATAACACCGTTTATAGGGCTCTTATAGCTCTTAGGTTTAGTCGTTTATAAGCTAATTATTCGGTCTTTATATATTTAAAGCGTAAGCTTTACCTTCTTATATACGTTAATGATATACTGATTATCACGCCTTTAGACGTATCTCTTATATAGCTTAAGGACTATATTCGAAAATCCTTCGATATCACTAATAACAGTACTACTACGCGATTCCTTACGATTAATATCGTTTATGTAGATAGTAAGGTAAAGCTCTCTTAGCTCGCCTATATTCGTAAAGTCCTCGCGAAATTCAACCTATAAGATACACACGCAGTCCCTACGCTATTTTATAATAAGGAGATCCTATAACCGCGTAAGGATACTACTACTCCGGCGGAAGTTAAAGCTTACCGTAAGATGGTAGGCTCACTTATTTAGCTAATGGTTAATACGCGACTAGATATTGCATTCGTAGTTATAAAGCTTATAAGATATTACACACAATCCCTCCGCGAAGTATATAACTATATTAAAGCGTATCTTTCGATATCTTAAGGGTTCTAAAACACTTACTATCGCGTATTCCTACTTACTAGACCCCCTCTTTAGATTCGTTAATACAGATTAGGCCGGTAAATATACGGATAGTAGTATATTAACCTCCGGCTTCCTTTTTAAGCTTACGAATAGTGCGATTACTTAGGCTTACAAAAAGTAAATATGCGTTGCTCTTTCCTCTACAGAAAGCGAGTATATAGCTATATCTTTAGCTATCTAAGAGGTGTTGTGGCTGCAGCTTTTCCTTAAGGAACTTAATATAGAGTCCCTTTTGCAACTTCCTACTATAATCTACGAGGATAACTAAGGCGCTATTTACCTCACTGAAAGCTATGATTTACACCAACGAACGAAGTATATTAACATTAAATACCATCACATTAGAGACTAAGTCTCTAGGGGGGTATATAAATTCGTTAAAATCTCTACCACAGAGTAGGCAGCAGATGGCTTTACCAAGCCGCTGCAGCGAGTCCAATTCGAGAGGTTTCTACACCTTTTAGGCATGAAAAAGCTCTGATTCAACAGCCTTTCCAGCGAGCTTAATTCTAAGGGTTTAAACACCTTTTTGAGCTCAAAAAGCTGCATTAAGGCGTTATTAATATATTTGTATGATCACTTTTCATGTTTTTCGTGTTTTGAGTGAGATTGGTGGATCGAGGTCCAGGGGGGTGTTGAGATAGCTTGGTGGTTTGGCGCGTCTCACTAGCGTGGTGCGCGCCCACGCACACCACCTTCGTAGCTTAGATAGGCACCTCTCACCAGATGCAATCTCACCATTCCTTTCTCCCCTCTTTTGGGTCCGCTACGTTCTCACAGTAGCCACCAATAGTATGCAAGATCGCCACCCAAGTTTTTCTTCTTTTTTTCCTTCATTTCCACATGAGACTCACGCTGATGAATGACCACGACTCTCAAAGATGTCACGATCGTCGTTCCATTGATGTCATGTCACAGCGCCAATACCGAGTTCTGTGACCTGATTGCCCGCACATGGGTTCCTGTAGCCCGTGCCAGCGCAAATCTTCTTGATATTATTTTCCTCCTATCCTGCCGTCACCTGCACACAAGTCATGCAGCTACGGACCAGGAATATCTGTTTATGCGCAAGGGCTTGCACTACAAGAGCCGATGCTTAAAGACTCTGAGGGATGCTATCTCGATCGAGGCGCCAAATTTCACCGACTCGACGATTGCTCAAGCGATCATGTTGGCTTATGATGAGGTACGCAAAAATAAAGAGTCCATATTTGACAGTGATGACGACGGGAAAAGCACAAGCTGACGTGAAGGGTCTTGATTATAGCTATTCACACGAGATTTGAAAATGTTGAAGCACCACACCGAAGGTGCTCTCCAGATGGTCAAACTGAAAGGTGGGCCTGACACTCTCGGCTTAGATGGGCTATTGAAAGATATGCTGTCGAAGCTCGTTGCCAAGGGTTCGGGCGAGGTCAGGCTTGATACCCGGATTGTCCAAGGGTGGACGTTAGGAGATCATGATTGGTAATGTTGATTTGGGATCGGCGGCGTTTGGTGGCCATCGGTTGTCATCAGAAAATTCCCAGATTATGATGATGAGTTGAGTAAGAATTGAGTACTCGAATACAATTTGCTTCAACGCAATGACAGGGTTCGGACACTCGGCTATTTTGCACTCAAAAAGACTCGCCGTTGGCTGAGGAACAAGTCGAAAATACCTTTCCATAGCTCACAAAATAGCCCAATAACTTGCAGACTATGCTGTCCAAAAACTTCGAGCGTAGTTCTGATGTTTCAATTCTATTTTCACACTAAACCAGATCGAAATGCCGAGACGTGGACGAGAGTCCACAGCCTCAGTACGGACATGAGGCCACCGTCCAGCCACTTGTCACACGTCATATGCTACACCGACGTGACGAAGTACGTATGAGGAACAGTTTTTGTCCAGGTCAGATAACTTGGCTACAACATCGGGGATCACAAGATTGAGCGCCATCGGGTTATATGAATGTGTAAAAATCTTCAGCTCCCTATTCCCATTCACGACAGGGCTCTCGTGATATTCCACCATACTATATGTCGGTCGTGATTACTCCTTTGGCGAGAGTTAAACGGTGAGGTATGCACCATCGCAATTCATAATAATTTAGATCTGGCAGGACCGGCAACTTAAAAGATAGCTTCAGGAAAGTATGCACTACTGTAGTACGACACAGAAGCAGACAAGAATGGTGGACAGAAAGCATTTAAATAAACCAAGCTTGACAAATCGATGCGTCAATTTATAGACCCCGCTGTCCCCCCTTAGACTCTATCGTTTGTTTCATTTCCATGCATTGAGGCCAGCCCACGGGTCGCCAGGGTTTTGAGGTGGTGGTGGCGGCTGCGATTGAGACGGCGTCTTGTGGTGCGGGTATGCTCTGGCCTGCGCATATCCTCCAGGACCAGATGGGTATGCGCCGCCAGATGAAGGTGGGTAGCTGGTCTGTTGTGGCCGAGGAGGAGGGGGAGGCGGAACATATCCTTGCGGAGTCATGTAGTTTGGGGTCACAGCAGCAGCTGAAGGGGCAGGACTTGTGCTTGGGTAGCCACTGTATGGGGCCGGCGTGTGAGAGAAGTATTGCTGGTTCGGAGGCGGAGACACAGGAGTCTGATACGGGTATGCCATGGGATTGTATCCATCGGAAAGAGGAGCCGCGGCACCTTGTTGGAAATGCTGAGAAGAGCCATACCCTGAAGCTCCGGTCCCATATTGCCCGTAGACCGCTGGAGACTGTGAATGAGGCGCTCCGTGCTGTGGCGCGCCCGGCATGTTTGGGGGATAACGTGGTGACATTTGAGGTGAAGGCCCCGTCATTGAGTATGACGGCGTCTGTACCGGTGGTGGAGGGCTTTTCACCTTGGCTGGAGGAGCCATGGCAGACCCGGCGGATGGAGATGTTGCTTGTCCTTTGGGATCTGTCGATAGCCGCTCCATCAGTAGGCGAAGCTTCTCTCGCTCCCGATCCTCTTGCTCGCCTGCCCCGCTTGCTTTATCGCGTTCAATCTGGCTCAAAAGTTGTGCACCTTCTGATCGTCGATTGCTAATGAACGATTCGACATTCTTTTGCAGACTTTCCACATTTTCCGCCATGTCTTTGTAGAAAGTCTTGGCCTGAGAGATACCGGAAGAAAGGCTATTGAATGCTTCATACACCTTCTTGTAACGAGTCATGACGGAGCTCCGTTGTTTCGAAATCGACTCATACTTCGACTGTTCCGCCTGAACCCGTTTGTCTTGCAGTAAAGCAGCGTAGACCTTGGTTAGCTCCTTCATTAACGATGATTGTCTGTGATTCGCCTGCAGAAGCCGGGTTTGATGAGGCCGGAATTTCTCAAGCTCGGTCTCAAACAACTGGTTCTCCTGGCCGGCAATAGTCTTTTTATTCAGAATGAGCACGTTTGAGATGTCGTCGTTGCGGACCTGCACGACATAATTAGCCACGGTTGATAAAGGCTGTAGAAGAAGAAAGATTGCAAACCTTTTCCTTCAGATCTTTCAAGGTTGTCGCTCGATCTTGCTTGACAAGATTCAACTTGTTCAGGATTGCTTCCACCTTCGCGATCTGCTCGGCGACAGATGCACTACCCTCATCGTACACATCATCTAAAAGACTGCCTTCTGCTGGACTGGCCGCACCATTCTTGCCCTTGTTATGCTTAGATCCCACCTTAATTAACGCCTTTTGATACAAAATGTCGGCCTCGTCGGTTTCCCCCGCCGATCGCATTTGATCAAAGTCTGCTTCATATTGTCGTAGGGTCGCAAAAAGCTGCGTATCGCTGGCGCTGGCCTCGGTGATGGTATCTCGATATGTACGAACGTCGCCACGCAGAGTTGTGTTCAGGCGGCTGCTGGGCTGTTGGCTCCAGTCAGCGCCATGTTTGGAGCGCATTTTCTCGCAGACACTCTCCTCCAAGTCTAGCTGTTTCGAGCAATGATCAAGCTGGGCCTGCACCTCATTCTTCCGCTCCTGTAGCTCTTCCAGCGCACGTTGAAAAGGCCGGTGCCCAGCCAACTCGGAGCACCATCGACGGAACTCTTCGTCAACCGTCATCTCCTGGTCCATCCCTCCTTTCAGGATGTTCAAGCTCCCAGGAAGTTTCAGATAATCCAGACTGGCGGCCATCTCGCCGTCCGCAGTGTCTACCTTCTCGGTCTCAGCGCGAATCAGCTTGGCTTTCTCTTCGTCGTAGAGGCTCGCTGTTTCAGTAACCGAAATAGGCACAAGTTTCTGGAAGATGTCAGGTCCGATGATGCGCTGAATATCCTGACCCTGATACAGCTCGCTGACCGGGATGGCTTTCGCCGCTGCCAGCTTAGGGACTGCGGTGAGGCCAGCCTCATTCGGAACAGGTTGATGATAGATGAAATCATTGTCCTTGATCATTGAAGCTAGCAAAGATTGTACGTTTGCAAGCTGGTGCTTGGTAAGTTCCACAAGATTACTTCCTGCTTCTGCCGGCAAATTGGACGTGGTAGAGGCCGAGGTTGGGAAGGACTTGGCCCAGGTAAGTGCCGTTGTGGCCTGTTTTTCAGCCATCTGCAATCGGGCAATGGCTACGCCGTGAGAGTCTCCTTCACTGTCGGCGATGGCTTGGAAAAACGAAGCGATTGAGCTCAAATGCGCCGCCTTGGTCTGCACCATTACCGACCATACTTTGTCAAAGATGCTCTTCGCCACGACTTCCTGCATGGTCTCAACCGCTTGTGAGTAGAGGTAGGCAGACTGGCTGGCCAGCTTGGCGAGAAACCCTGACTTCTTCTTGTCTTGGACCTGTTTCTCCAGGAACACCTCCTGCGCTTGAGCGAGCGTGACGTGGATCAACGTTTTGACTGTGTCGCGGTTCAAGTCGGTCGAGGGTGCATGCAGAAAATTCTCATTGATGTAGGTGAACATCCCGGCAGAAGCTTGGAAGGAATGGTAGGCTGTCTTAACGCCCAGGTCTTCTGCGCGGTTCTGGTTCGCGGCATGGCAGGACAAAACAGCGGAGATGTTGAAAATGATGGACGCTTTCTCGTAGGCTAAGGAGTACTGAGAAGTGGGCTTGTGAGTGAATGCATCGTACCTGTAGAAGATCATACTCGTCAGCAAAGATCCCCTCTGGGAGGATGTTAGTCCGGTAGCGTCAGCTTACCAGGTAAAAGAGATCTTGATATGATTCTCGTCCACGGGAAAGCGCAGATCCAACAATTCCAGCTGACCATAGTATCGATAGAGCAAATCGCGCCCCGTAGCACTATCTTTGCCAGCGCCTCTCATATCCTGCCTCAGCCGGTTCAGCGTCGCGCATTCTGTATTGTAGCGCTCTGGGTCCTCGCCATACGTCTGCCGAATGTAATCCTTGAGGGGCTGGACCCAATCAATCTCGTTTGTCTGCTTCAAAGGGCAGGATAGCATCGGCGATTGAGACATTGTGCAGCGACCGGGCACTACCCAGGATTCCCAAGCAGCAATGAGAACGGATGAGGCACGAGGGAGCGGAACCCACAGTCGCAGAGCTCCTGAGGGGAGCGGGATCAAGGCTGTGTGGGGTAAAAGACGGGCGGGATGTCGGGGCCTCAAGACTATCCCTCGTAGCTTCAATGACGTCGATGCAGATGGCTCGCCTGCAGACGCGATGAGATTGCTCAAAATATGAAGTCGCAATAGAGGCACGGCGATTCCGAAGGGAAAGTGCGATGAATTGATTCTCGGAATATGGTGAAAAGAGCTAGGTGTTTTCGAGATGAGTTTCGGAGGTGAGGGAGAAAGTAATGTGACGTTCAGCGGAAGACCAGCGGCAGCGACCGTGTTGGGTTGTGATGGCGTGGGCGAGCGCCAGCCAACCAGATGCTATGATTGCGCTTACAAGGCGTGAAGCCAGAGTTGTATGGTTTTGGAAGGTTAGATGAGTCATTCGGTTGAATTCGGTCATTGGTTGCTTTTTGATCGTTTGTTACGGTGTTCGAAAAGGGCGGTAGTTGAGAGCTTTGAAGCAGCATAGAAGTATGGAAGTATGGAGTATGGAGTAAAAATATAAGCCCCGTGGGGACACTACATCTCTCTGGAAACAACACAAACGTCCTTTTTATGCCGCCGTCGCTATGAAGTGGTGATGAATAGAAATACAACAAAGAATGATAACAGAGGGCAGATCACGGTGAAAATGACAATATAATTACAGGCCCAAAATGGTATACAAGCCAAGCATAGCGGAGCGTAGACGAGCATCTTCAAACCCCCACAACAGCGCTCTTACTTAGACTTCTTAGAGTCATCGTTACTGGCACCATCCTTGCCAGCGTCTTCAGTACCGGAGTTCGCGGATTTGGGGGTATCAGAAGCCTTGTCCGTGAGTTTGTGCCACACAGATTTCAGAAATCCTTCATTCTTGTGCTCGTCGGCGGCGGAATCAGACGATGAGGGCGATCTGTGAACCAAACAACGGTTAGCAAATGTTTCATGGCGTGGCCATCAGAAGGGCCGCTTTACAGAGAAGGCGACTTACTTTTCCTTGCTGAAATTCATAGTGCGTTTGGCAGTCTTGTCGCCCATCTCATCGGCCAGCACTTCCAAGATAGTCCGTTGATTGCCTGTCAAATACTTAGGCATGGCAACCTTGAATTCGACTTTGAGGTCACCAGATGGGCTGAATCGTCCGCCACGGCCTCCAAGCTTCTTCATGCCCATGCCCGACAGTGTAATTCGGTCACCGGTGCCGGTACCGGTGGCAACTTTGACCTTCACTTCGTTATCGAGAGTCGGGATCGTTACCTCACCCCCAGGAGGGCCGTCGTGAGTGGAAGTGTGGCGGTATAAAGAATGTCAGAGCCGTTACGACTGAAACGGTGGTCGGGAGCAACTCGAATGGTAACATAGAGGTCACCCCGTTGAGTGCGAGCGCCAGCAGCCGCAGACGTTCCTGTGGGAGGCGCGTCACCCTCGCCGCTGACTCTCATTCGCATGCCATCTTCCACTCCAGCAGGGATGTCAACCTTGATGGTCTTGCTCTCCCGAACAACACCGTTTCCGTGACAAGATCCACACTCAGAGCCGCGGGGAACTATCATTCCAACGCCCCCACAGGCATCGCACGTTGCAGCAACCTGGAAACCGCCCTGCATGAAGTGAACACGAGTTCCAGATCCATTGCATTGCTTGCATTGGGACCGCTTTGCCCCAGATTTCAGTCCGTCGCCCTTACAGGTTCCACATTGAGTGAGCGGAGTGATCTTGATCTCTGTAGAAGTCCCCTTTGCAGCTTCCATGAACGAGATATTGTTTTGCACCTCGATGTCCTCGCCGACGAGAATCTGTTCTTGGAAAGGGTTTCGTCGACCCCGGGCTCCTCGGCGGCCACCTCCAGCAAATGCACCGAAAAGATCCTCGAAGTTGATATCCTGCGCAAACCCCCTCCAAACGGACCACCTCCAAAGCCACCTCCAAACCCGCCGAACCCACCCGCGCCAGCGAAGGGATTACCGCCTGCATTGGGGTCAAATCCGCCGTTTTGGTCGAAGGCTGCGGAGCCGAATCTGTCATAATTTTCGCGCTTCTTGGCATCCGATAGGAGTTCGTACGCGGATTGGGCCTCGGCAAACTTCTCCTTTGCATTGGCATCCTTGTTCGTATCCGGGTGGTACTTCTTGGCCATGCCGTAATAGGCCTTCTTGATGTCACTTGCGGAGGCGCCTTTGTCGACTCCAAGAACCTTGTAAGGATCCGGAATTGCGGCGAGAGGAGCAGTAGTGTGGAACGCCTATCGAGAACATGATCAGCCATCTATCTGAAATAGCATCATGGACCCGAAAATGGTAAGTATAGAGGCAGGTAGCTCACTTACTCTAGCTAACGGCGCAACAAATTCATTTTTCTTGTTGACACTCGCCCGTAGCCGGCGAGTAGGAGGTTTCGCTACATGCGTATGGAACCCCCGGCTCGAATTGGCAGAGCACAGCGGTTGCCCGGTTGTGGTCTGCTTCGTATAGGTGGAAGGTGCCCGCAGCAGGCGTGCGGGAAGACCCGCGGCCTTGGGGAAAGCGGCCGATGTGTTCATGGAATTTTCGAATTTCACACTTCGATCCGTTGCCCACACTGTCAGTCGGTATTGAGTGCTGTCACGAACTCCAGCGGTGTTGCAGAGATGCGAGGACAAAGAGACAAATTCGCAAAGGTCGTCTCTGGGCCGGCTTTTGCGAGAGGCTCATCCGGTCCAGCTGAAGAAGCTTCCAGGCGGCTCGGGAGTCGCGCACTTCGGCTTCGGAAAAACTCGAGCACCGCGGCTGTCCGGTTGATGATGAAAGAGGCCGCCCAAGCTGCTTACAGAGCGGTGTTCCGCGGAACTCGTGTTCATCATATCTCCCGAGGCAACCACTACTCTCGCCAGTCTCCTCGAACTTGCTTCTTTCTGAAACGAACATCGTTTTTGCCGCAGAGACGCCTCGTCTCTAGTACTTACAGAAAGCACAAGTTTCCAATCCCTCGTTTCGACCTTAGTTGCTGTCGTGCGAATCACGCGACCTGATCCGGTAGCATGCTCCGCGGGCAGACACTCCCCTGGAGAGCTGCGCTCCATCAAACATCTCGCCCTCTCCTACGCAAGCCTTTCATTGCTTCATGCGGCTATCATGTCGGTTTTCGGTCGGCATTGACATCGGCCCGCTTTTCTGCTCGTTCTCTTGCAACTCCTCGCAGCTTCTCTTCAAGTGCGGTCCAGCGGAAAGACAAACCACCTCCCGAGGAAGAAAAGGACGATAATGAACAGGAAAAGGATGAAGACTCACGACGGATTGACAAAAGCATAGATCGGGGCACCGAGTCTAGAAGAAAAGCAGTCGATGCAGGGAAAGCGACTGGGCCGGCTAGCTTCATGAAGCGGAAAGATCGCTCTGCTGGCGCACAAGCACAAGATCAGCGCAGCTTGGAGGAAGAAGCAAAGAAAGACGTCAACATTGCCGATGGAAAAGCCGATTCCAATCAGACGCCATCGCCCATTCCTCTAAACAATAGTTCGACTGACTCCAAACCTAGCGCTGCTGGTAGTGGGGGCAGTGATGGCAATGATGAGGGCGGCAAGAAGGGAAAGAAGAACGCGGGCGACAAGGCATTACAAACAACTGCAGTCCCAGAAGTTTATCCTCAAATTATGGCGATTCCCATCGCCAAGCGCCCCCTTTATCCGGGATTCTACAAGGCTATCACCATCCGTGATCCGAACGTCGCCGCTGCCATCGCAGACATGAAGAAGCGGGGTCAGCCTTATGTCGGTGCGTTCTTATTCAAAGACGACGCCGCTGATGGTGATGTCATTGAGAACCTCGAGGATGTCTATGACACTGGAGTCTTCGCACAAGTTACGGCGTCTTACCCCCTCCGCGGCGAGGCGGGCGGTATCACCGCCATACTGTATCCTCATCGGCGCATTAAGATATCATCACTGCTTCCTCCCAACGAAACCAAGAATGATGGTACTGCTGTCGACGAGAAGGATAAGGATTCCGAAAGGAAAGGTGATGTCGTTGCGAGCTTCGAAGAGAAGATTCCCGACAACTCTCCCAAGGATCACTACGAGCCCACTTCTTTCCTTCGCAAATATCCTGTCAGTTTGGTCAACGTCGAAAATCTTGTAGAAGAACCTTTTGACAAGAAGAGCAAAATCATCCGTGCTGTGATAAACGAGATCGTGAACGTCTGCAAGGAGATTGCCACCCTGAATCCGCTATTCCGCGATCAAATCTCTGCCTTCTACACTGATCAATTCCCTGGAAATCTCAATGATGAGCCGGCGAAGTTAGCAGACTTTGCTGCCGCTGTCTCTGCTGGCGAGTCACAGGAGATGCAGGAAGTGCTCGAGACGATGAACATCGAAGAGCGTCTGTCTAAAGCCCTGGTTGTCCTCAAGAAGGAGTTGATGAACGCACAGCTTCAGGCGAAGATCACCAAGGACGTGGAGGAGAAGATTCAAAAGCGTCAGCGCGAGTATTGGCTCACGGAACAGTTGAAGGGTATCAAGCGAGAACTCGGCACCGAAGATGCGAGAGAGAAGCTCGTGGAGAAGTTCAAGCAGAAGGCAGAGAAATTGGCGTTACCAGAAGCTGTGAAGAAGGTCTTTGACGAAGAGATCAATAAGCTCGCTCATCTCGAGCCCGCGGCATCGGAGTATAACGTCACTCGAAACTACCTTGACTGGCTGACCCAAATTCCATGGGGACAGAAGAGTGTAGAAAATTTCGGGATTCAACATGCTGTTAGCGTTCTGGATGAAGATCACTATGGTCTGAAAGATGTCAAGGATCGGATTCTCGAGTTCATCGCTGTCGGCAAGCTTCGTGGCACCGTTGAAGGCAAGATTCTCTGTCTGGTAGGCCCTCCTGGAGTGGGTAAGACCAGCATTGGAAAATCTGTTGCCCGCGCGCTCAATCGACAATATTACCGCTTCTCAGTCGGGGGCTTGACTGACGTGGCCGAGATCAAGGGCCACCGTCGTACCTACGTCGGAGCGCTTCCTGGTCGAATTATCCAGGCCCTCAAGAAATGCCAGACGGAAAATCCTTTGATCCTTATCGATGAGATTGACAAAATCGGCCGAGGCCATCAAGGCGATCCATCCTCCGCTCTTCTTGAGCTGCTTGATCCCGAACAGAATTCTTCGTTCTTAGATCATTACATGGATGTTCCTGTAGACCTATCCAAGGTTCTCTTCGTTTGCACGGCAAACGTCACGGACACCATTCCAAGACCTCTCCTTGATCGTATGGAGCTTATCGAGCTTTCCGGTTACGTTGCGGATGAAAAGATGGCTATCGCTCAACGGTACCTCGCACCGGCAGCTAAGGAATTGTCAGGATTGAAGGATGTGGACGTAACTCTTCAAGAAGAGGCAGTTGAAGAATTGATCAAATCCTACTGCCGCGAGAGCGGAGTTCGCAACCTCAAAAAACAAATCGAGAAGGTCTATCGGAAAGCTGCCTTCAAGATTGTCCAAGACCTGGGTGAGGATGCACTCCCTGAAGAAGCCGCCTTGACCGACGAGGGTAAGGCTGCTTTGGAGGAGACCAAGGGGAACGAGCCTGTGGATCCTTCAGATCCTCCTCTGGAGCCGGAGAAGTCGACCGCTGAAACCCCCCGTCATGCCCTCAAAGTGCCAGAGAACGTCCATCTTAGCATCGGCAAAGACACATTGAAGGACTACGTTGGCCCGCCTGCCTTTACTGCTGATCGCCTTTACGAAAAGTTCCCGCCTGGTGTCACGATGGGTCTCGCTTGGACCAGCATGGGCGGAGCCGCTCTTTACGTCGAGTGTATTCTAGAGAATTCCCTAAAGTATCACTCTCGTCCTGGCCTAGAGATCACCGGTAACTTGCAGAATGTGATGAAGGAGTCTTCTCACATCGCCTATTCCTTTGCCAAGTCTGTCATGGCTCGCGACTTTTCGGAAAACCTCTTCTTTGAAAAGGCCAAGATTCACCTTCATTGCCCTGAGGGTGCTGTGCCGAAGGACGGTACGTATTTCATCCAATTTCATCCTCATTCTGGTTCTGTACTGACACCCCATCCGCAAATAGGACCCTCGGCGGGTATCACAATGGCTAGCGCCCTACTTTCCTTGGCCTTGGATCACCCTCTTGACCCCACCGTTGCCATGACTGGAGAGTTGACGGTGACCGGCAAGGTCCTTCGCATTGGTGGTTTGCGAGAGAAGACCGTTGCGGCTCGTCGGGCCGGTGCCACCAAGGTTATTTTCCCAGCTGACAACATGGCCGATTGGCTCGAGCTTCCCGAGGTAAGTCCAGCAATCCTTTGACGGAGCGCCGTCTTCTCCGTATGGTGTCATGGGTAATTTCTAATGGGTATCTGTTTCTGCAGAATATCAAGGAGGGCATCGAAGGGCACCCAGTCAGCTGGTACTCGGAGGTCTTCGAGCTGCTCTTTGGCGACCTTGACCGAGGTGCTGCTCGCACTCTTTGGCAAAAGGCCCTTTCCAAACCTGCTCAAGGCAAGAGTGAGCGACATGGCGAAAGTGACGAGTAAAGGACTGTTGACTCCTTGGATCCTTGTTGGGTACACCCGGACCTGGCACCTACACAATATCCTGCTTTCTTCTTTGTCGTCATCTTTGTCTCCTGTGTAACTCGCACGATCTCCCCTTCGATGTACATTTATTTGACGGCGTTCTACGGGGTCTTTCTGGTCCTTTTTTGCATTGGTTGGAGTTTGTGGTGATTAGACGAGTGTTTTTCTGTCTCCTGTATATGACTTGACGTCAAAAATGATCGGTCCTCTCCTTGAAGACTGGTCGCGGACGGAAAATGAATCTCCCTTCTGGAAGACCCTGAAGTGGCGATCTCTTGCTCTACCGTACACCTGCCGAACCTGGGTCGATACGTCAACCTGAAGACTCGAACGGTGCCCTGGGATCTCGGAGTTTGCTCAAGTAAGGCTCCGGCTTGTAAGGGTTGTCTCTCGCGGGAGAGTCCTCACCATTGCCGCCAGTTGGATCCTGCCATTAACCGGAACGGGAAGTGCAGCGCAGCCCAAATCTTACTACTTGATGAGTATTGGCGGGCTTGTCGACTTCTAATGGTTTAGTCGCAATTGACTGGGGTAGTTAAGTAAGAGTCCTGCTGGTCTGGGGTACACTGCTGACCAAGCGAGTGTTATGTTCTTCAGCACTGCTCGGAACCTGTCATCTGAGTGACCTACATGGATTGACTGAAACCGAAATACTATTTTCCAATTGATGTAGGAACCGGCGTTCAATCAAGCGCTATGGTATGCAGTTGAAACTCGGATCGACATTCTCAAAAAAAGTCATGCAAAGGTAGCTGCAGTGCTTCGATAGTCTAATCTCTCCCTACATACATCAGTACTCTGGTCCACGTCGACTCATGAGTATGCACTTGCCATGCTTGCCCGGTAGATCGCTGATAGGTGAATCAAGAGGTGTATATGTAGTCGCCCCTAAACAAAATGATCCGAACTACCATTCGTTACGCAAGAAGGCAGAATCAATTTGATTGTGGCGCGAAGTCGTTGAAAGTCTTGTTTACGCTCAGTAGTTGTGGGTCTGTAGTGTAACTATACGCTGCTTTCTCTATTGAATTTAGTTGGTCTATCATGCCAGGCTATCTTAAATAGTTGTGGTCCATGTGACCTTTCGGCCAGAAGCTAATGAAGCTCAACATCACTTCCACGCAGAGCCAAATGATGTCAATTTATCGTCTCTGGAAGCACCTACTCGGTCTATACCAATGCATTCATCTCCATCAACCTTTCATTCTAATCAGGCTTAGTTGCCTCTGCATCGAGGGGCAACTATCTGTAGGGTCAACCTTCAATCTTTCGTCGAGCCTTCCAATCAGGCATAAGGTGTCAGGCCGCAACGCATCTCCTCGCCCGATTTTATCTGTGCGCGATGAATCACATTCGGTCAACTTTTTTTTTGCATTTCCCCTTTTGACATACATTGTATTATCTTCAAGTCCTGAATTGAGTCTTCGAAGGCGTGTCCAGTCTTCAATCCCAGAATTTGACCGAGTTCCTGCAGAGTCCTTTTGCGACTGCGTTGTGCGCCTGAAGCGACTGTGTGCTTATCAGTGAGACGTCGCGGACTTGCAGGACGACAGCATATCCTCTGCACGACTCCTGACTGTTTCACATTTTATTTTCGATACTCCTTCTTATTGAATTCAGTCTCAACCTACGGGAGCAGGAAATCGTCGAGATCAAGATCTTCTGAAGTCGAAGTCTAGTCACCGACCTCTGCCATCGTCGATCGCCATTGTTGGGCACCGCCTTTTGCTAATACTCATCCTGTCACGGACCAGCTCCCCAGCCTCCGCGTCCATTGCAACCCGAAGTTGTGTCACACACTGATCTCGATCCTGTTACTGGAGACAGACGTTCAGATCATTTCTTCGATTCACGTTGAGCTCTGCGGCAGCAACCAGAGGCATCTTCTCTTCTTGGGGTAAGCCACCGAAGATCAGAATCAACGGTACAGGCGAGACCGCTTAGGAGAATTGCACCCACCCCTGCAGTGCTTTGTGCGCAGCGCTCCTGAGGGGAGGTGTGGAAAAACGAAACCTTAATTCATATCTCACGTTTGAGTCAGAGTTGGGAATTTTACCGTCAAGCACTCACAGCAGCTGGCCTCGGTTTCTTATGGCCATCAGCGTCCCGGCCAGCAGGGTGTTCGAGTCGTTTCTCGCCCGACTGAGCGACCGCATGCTGAATGGCTGTTTCGCTCGCCAACAGCTCCTTTAGCCCAATGCGGCTCGATGCTCCCTTGGACGAGAAGGGGCCTCATCACAAACAGAGCATGTGGCACCGCTTTGGCTTTCGACGATGGCTGGGCCGTGAAAGTCGAGATGCCTCGCCTGAGAGGACCGCAAGGAGACCGGCTCCTTCCCTGATCCCCCCAACAACGACCCTTCACACCTCGATCGGAATCCTGCCTCTTCTGCCGATCTCCCCCGCGCTAAGCAGGACAATATCACCCGGCGCATCTCCCGGAAAGTCGGCGTTGGTCTCCCACGAACAAGTACATTTAAACGTCACCTCCCAGAACAACGGGATCGCCTGGCCCCGTTGGAGCCTGACCATCGCCGAGCTCAATCCGCCGACCGTCATCCGTTAGGCGTCGAGAGAACAAGGTCTCATTCTCCACTCCCAACCGTGGGCCCACGACTATCCGCACCAGAGGTCCAGTGGCTCGGCCCGGCACCCACTTCCACGGTCGACCTCGCCTACGAGATTCATGATGGGAGCGACTTGCCTGCGGAGGAATGGGAGAATCCCTCGTATCAAGATGTCACCTTCGCACCTTCGGACATCGCAACCGAGCGAGAGTCAATACTAGAGCCGCATGCACAGCTAGCAGCTCACGAGCCCGACACACCGATAACGCACGACGATATCGAGATGGAGCTGGAAAATAAATGGATCCTGAATTTGAGCATGCACTTTCGAGACAATTCGGGTCGAGAGAAATTCTTCGTCACCTACGCCGAGACACCGACTAAATGGAGGCGTGTAACAATATCCATGGACTACCATAGCGCCCCACCCGACTCCCTCGAGCGAGACGTGGAGGAGCTCCGATACCAGCGCGATAAGTGCGCCAAAATTTATGAGTCGATTCGAGAATCGCTCGCCGAGATACAGTTCTATGATACTGTAACAAATCTCAAGGTGGAAACACTTGACGGACGCTTGCATGTTCACGTCACAGAAGATGTCAACGAAACAATTCCTTACCCGCCAATTGCCAGCGTACGCCATTTAAGGGGCGCTCAGTGCGTGCCCGAGCATCTTTTACACTTTGAGTCCCATCTCTCCGGATTTGTCTACAAGGTTCAAGTCGGCGGTCGACCTTACATCAAAAAGGAAATACCCGGTCCTGACACTGTAGACGAATTTCTCTATGAGATCAACGCACTCCATGCCCTCAACGGCGCGCCGAATGTGATCCGCGTCGAAGGCATCGTGGTGGATGAGCACCAGGAGGTGGTGAAAGGTCTACTGATCAATTATGCAGAGCAAGGCGCACTTGTTGACTTACTATACGAGCAGCGTGGGAACATCCCATTTCAGCGTCGAGAAAGATGGGCGAAACAAATCGTTCAAGGGCTGTGTGAGATCCACGAAACTGGCTACGTCCAAGGCGACTTCACCTTGTCAAACATTGTTGTCGATGAGAACGACGATGCGCAGATCATCGACATCAACCGTCGAGGCTGTCCGGTCGGATGGGAGCCACCAGAGATAGCCGCGAAGATCGAAAGCAATCAGCGCATATCCATGTACATTGGTGTCAAAACTGACCTGTATCAGCTGGGTATGACCCTATGGGCTCTTGCTACAGGAGAGGATGAGCCAGAGCGGCAGCCACGTCCCCTCGTCCTCGGTCAGGATGTGGGTGTGCCAGATTATTACCGGCGATTGGTCGACATTTGCCTCAGTCCAATGCCACGACATCGACTGGGGGCGAAAGAACTTCTCCATTTCTTCCCACCCGATCTTCTGCTACGCTCTATGTACCGTCATCCGCGGGCCTCGTTTGATCCCAACGATAATGCATCGGCTTACGCTCCTATGATGAGTGTACCTCAATTATCTTCTCTTGGCTCAGGAGTGCATCCGCGACGCTCAACCGCCAAACTTGCCACCGAGCAATCCAATATGCATACGACAGCTCGACCACGACGCAGATTTCTCAGCGGTCATGAAGAAGGAAAAAGGTCCACCCTCACGCTCACAGAGTCAACCGAGGACACCGACTTTCCGCCTCGGCACTCCTCCGCGTCCACTTTGAACCATGACGGCCCTGCGGAAGCCCTGCATTGCGCCGACAGCCCAGTTGCTGATTCAGACCTTGCGAAGCTCGACGCACCTCGGAACCCAGAAATTCAAGGTGCAGCGACTGTATTGGAGGCTGGTTCGGTGCCGAATAGGGAGCACTTGCCCTATCTGAATACGCTTCCGTTATCCGAGCCATCGAACAGTTACCACGAAGCAGCCGATAATCGTGCTCAATTCGCTGTTGAATCAAGCAATTGCAACGACGTGCTACCTTACACCCTCCTAACCAATATGCAGTATGAAGAGGCTGCTCTGAACCCTACTCAACAGCAAGTCAGATTTGAGAATCAAACCCACCACAATGATGAATCAGTTGCCTCTCTTCTGACCTCCGCGCTGCCCATAAACCCTGCCCTAGATCTTGCAAAGCGCAGATCTCTCCCTTCCATGCCGACGGAGTCACTGATTGGCGATGATAGGACGTTCTCAGAGGAGTTTGTCTCATCATTATCTGAATCCTGCTTGCCTATCAATCCGGCTGCCAGCCTGGCTCAACATAAGTCCCTGCCGAACATCTCCCACAAAGCCCAATTATCAGAGCCCGTCACATCTCGCAACCATAACTCCTTCTTGTTGGAATCGATACTACCGATCAATCCAGCCTTCCATGGCAAGGTTCGCTCCTAATGCACGTTTTCTTCCTCCTTCTGACGACTCAATTTTGACTGGCAATTTCAAGCGTTCTCTGCGCGACTCAGACTCTTTTCGGCCCCCACCATCTTGAACCGGGGCCCGGCGATCGATACCCACTTTCTTATTCTTCACATGTATTTATCGGCAGCTTTTGTTTTGTATCCTTTTTTAGTTCTTTTGTCAGCGAGGGATATGCAGTCAGGGCGCATGCGGATGTAAGCTTGGCGTCTAAAAAGTACACATTGAGTCTTGGTTTTGTTATCACTCTTGCTCTCCATCCCGTTTCTTTCCTTTTTCTTTTGGCTGAGGATCTTCTTAGAGCCTGTGATTTAATAAATTATTCTCTATCTGTTTGTCGAAACACTGGTTTATGCATAAGCTTTGCGTTCGCAATCCGACCCTGCGACGTAGGAGTCCTCCACGGGTGTTCTTGACTTCGCAAGCCCTGCGCGCCCTCGTCGGATCATTTCGCACCGGGAGGTGATCCTCCCCTGTTTTGTGCCCTTGGAGCGAATGCATACATACTAATCTCACCTGCTATCTGCCAATGAAAGCTTCCAGGCTTTGTTTCCATGGATCCAGCACTGGACCTAAGCCTCGGCCAATCAAAACTATCTTGCATTGATCTTGGGACGGCTTATCGTCATCCTTGCGGGCTTCAGAGTCTCGGATCTCAAACACATCGCGAACTGCCTGTATGATTTTGCACGAGCCATCCTGAAGGCGAAGAATGCCCTTTAGGCGATGAATTTCGAACTGAACGGGATGGCCATCTCGGGATCCGCTCCTCGGCTGAGGCAGAGTTGACTCCCACAGTACGGATTGCAACCAGCTGTCTACGCGCGGTATTTGATCCGCTGAAACTGGAGGAATTGTGACTGCAATGGTTGAGATAGCCTGTTCCAATCAGTCAGCATGTTCTTGGAGCAAGGAGAGATCTTTCCTTCCCGGTACCCACCGGGTCGATGTGGCTGTGACCCTTCTTGCTGAAATCCAGGTCGTCCAGATGATCGTAGGCATGCAAGTCCAGAACAACGCCTTCAATTTGCGGCGTTCGACTATGGTCTGTGACATGAATCTTGGCGACGCTGTTGATCGCCGAGACCCGATCCCTGACAGCATCCATTTGTTCAGGGGTCACCAAATCAGCCTTGTTAACGATGATGACATCAGCATGCGAGATCTGCATATGTGCCATGGACAGAATGGGGCCCGAGCCATGCTCGTGCGCTTCTTCGTTGTGAGCATCTGCCTTTTCCTCTGGCGCAGGCTCGTCAAGTAATCGAAGAATATTCTTTGCATCGACGAGGGTGACAATTCCATCCAGATATATGGAGCTTCCCAAGCCATCATCCATCCAGAAGACGGGGGCGATATTGCCTGGATCTGCCAGGCCGGTGGTCTCAAGCAAGATGTAGTCAAACGTTCCTTTGCGCTCCATGAGAGACTCCAAAGCCATGACACCCGTGTCCCTTTTTGAACGTTATCAGAAAGTGGTTTTGGTGCAATTTGGAAATTTTCTCCTGAAATTTACGACTCACTTGACTGAGCAGCAGATGCAACCGTTTCCAACTTCCATCCATTCAGTGACTTCTTGGCCGCCTTCATTTACAGTCAAAGGCTTTTCAATATCCGAGGCTGTAAATTTGAGTTAGCTCTGTTTCTTTATAAATCATTGACTTGGTTCCTCCTGGAAAATAGCTCGCTTCTTACAATCACCGAACTCTGTTCATAGTAATATTAGCATATGTCTTACTTATACATCGAGTTCTTAGAAGACACACCGTTCATGATGACGGCGATCTTCTTGCCGTGCTTTTCCGTCAAGATATAGTTCAACAAGGTGGTTTTTCCGGCACCCAAGTATCCTAGGTACGCCAAAGTTAGTTCCATGACCTTTATCACTAAACCCTAGGTAGCAGGATACCTGTCACGATAGTTATGGGGACCCGGGGAGTCGATTCCTCTTCTTTCACGGAGTCCGGTGCAGCCGACATTATGGTCACATCTACTAGCTCTGGAGGCATATCCTCGTCGTCTATTGTCGAGGCCATTTTTGCGAATTTCCAAGGGGACTTGTCAGCTGTGGTTGATTCACAGTCTATAGGCTTAAGAGCTGCTCGACCGCGGCAACAGGGTGAGTAACTACGCCGCATGACGTTGCTGTCCCAAGGCGGATATTAGGGCTTAGGGTATGGGCGGTCAGTTGCTGATTGTCTGGGCCTTATCTGCCCATCGTGACTCCTGGCCCGAGTGGAACACGGGGCAAACGGAGCTTGCTTGCGACTTCTTTATCGCTTTGCTGATCGACAAGAATTGTCGCATTGGGGATCTTGTCACTTGGAACAGCGTACATCCAATTTGCTGATCGATACAAGCACACTCTCACAAGCTCCCCTTGTTCAGCGCCGCGCAATGGCTGCCGCGGGAGTCTCCCCGTCTAGCTCCCCACGGCTCCCCAGCCCTCCTCCGTTCACGGAAGTTCAGATTGGGCCCCAATCACCTTCCGTGGGCGAGGCATTTGGGAAAGATGCGGATAGCATAATGGGTCCCTGTGCGGGCGAAGACAGTGGCTCTACACGTCGAATACGCCCAGGCACAAAAGCTGCCGACATGGCATTTGGTCCGCCGTTGGTTCCTCTGTCTCAGGTGCGCTTCTTCGCCCGCGAATGTCCTCATATGCCTCTCTTCCAGTCTGACGCTAATGAAACTAGTTGGACTCTCCATTCCAGCTTCAAGAACACCTCAAGGCACTCTACCATCACTTCACGAAGCCCGAGGGATCAGACACCATGGTCCCTATTACCCGCCATGTCGCAACTCAACTTGCAACACCCCCGGAGGGAGTCGATCGGTCCCTGTGGCTATACGAGCTTTGCCGGTTTCTGACGATGAAAGTGAACAACCTCATAATTGCATTCTTTGCGGAAAGTCCACCTTGTTCGGCGCAGACCTGCCCCGAAATGCGTGCGTCCGAATGGCAATACCTCTGCGCTGTTCACGACCCGCCCAAGTCTTGCTGTGCTATCGATTATTGTTGTCATACACTTGACTGGGCTACGAATACTCTCACCTCGCCCAAGTACTTCCCGAGTCGACTTACATTAGGCGCTGAGGGCTCGGGTGGTCCGCAGGCGAGCATGCGACATTTGACCAACATTTTTCGTCGTCTCTACCGCATCTTTGCTCATGCATGGTTTCAACATCGAGAAGTGTTTTGGACGGTAGAGGGGCATGACGGTCTCTACGTCTTCTTCAAGACGGTTTGCGACATGTATGCTCTCATTCCAGAGGACAACTATACGATTCCACAGGAGGCGGAAGGCCCAGACGCTGTTCAGTCCAGTATCGATGACGTGGCTCCAGATAACCGACGGTTGACAATATTGCGCAAGAGCGATGAGGGCTTTTCAAGCCCAAATGTGGAGGGACTTGATCCGGCTATTGGCACAGGGGCAACCACCCGCCGTCACAAGCACAGCCCATCCATGGGTTCCCGAGTCAGTACGATCACAGAAAGTGCCGAGGACAATGAAGATGCGCCACAACTTTCTCGGCCTCTTGAAGAAGTCGTGCAGGAGGAAGCCGAGTCCGAATCTCATGAGGAGACCAACGAGGATATCGGAGAGCCCACAGAATCGACAGCGATGGCAGAAGATTCCAGAGATTCTGAAGATACCCAAAATACCGAAGAACTCGAAGAGTCTGGTCCCGCTTCGCCCCAGACGTCCGTGTTACCTGTGGAAGAAGAACACGCCACAGAAGAAGTCGCCCAGGAAGTCGATGAGAAGGGGAGCACTGCTTTGGACTCCCAGGATGAGACTCCGACTCCGCAGGACACACAAGACACTCCGGTTGGCGAATCCCAAGAAGAAGCGCAAGAGAAATCTCAGGATGAATCTGATGTAAAAGAGGACAAAGAGCAATAACAGCCCTTTCGCCGCTACTTTGACGAAGACAGCATCTACCACTACGAAGGATGTAGTGCATTAGCGCATTCGTTTGACAGTACCACACACATGGCATCATTATATTGTAATATAGCGGAGGACAAACATTTATGGCTAATACGAATGATACCCATCTTTCTGTATAATAAACATTTCTGTAGATTACTAGATGCAATTTGCGCTCAGGTGAAAAGCGACACTTGAACAAAATGATAATTAACATGTAAGGATCTGCTGCGCTTTTATCCTACAGATTAATTGTACCAACGTGTGTATGAAAGATATTTCATACCTAGTAGGTGGTACTTATTTCGCTCAAACGTCGTCTGGGTTGGTGTTCTCTAAACAAAATAATCAGATCCGGACGCAGATTAGCTTCTGATAAGGCGCTTATCTCCGAGGCGGATCTCCGCCGTTACCGGTGTTTCAACGTGCTTCCAGCCGCCGTCTTTCTCGCAGCGTCATCCAGCTTCTGCACGTTCAACGAGGATCATGTCCTCGGTCAGGAGCGCATCGGCGCCAATTTATTTCGGCTCCTTTTTAGTGACTCCTCAAGTTAGTATCTCAGTCCCTTGATCGGAGAGATTATCTTGCTTCTCTGTTGAACCCTCATTCTGACCGTGATGATACTTCCTACCAGGTCTTCCATCAAACAGCGCATTCCTTTGCCCTAGTGAACCTAAAGCCAATTCTACCCGGTCATGTCCTCATCTCACCTCGCCGAGTGGTACCACGAGTCTCCGACCTCACACCAGCCGAGACCAGCGACTTATTCCTGACGGTACGCCGAGTCGGGCGCATGATCGAGCGGTACTACGGAGCCGCAAGCCTCAACATTGCAGTTCAAGACGGCGTCCATGCTGGCCAGAGCGTTCCACATGTCCATGCGCACATCATACCCCGTAAACCTGCAGATCTGGATCCCATGGATGCTGTGTATGATATGCTAGACGGGGAGGAAGGTGATGTAGGGAAAGCATATCGCGAAGCGCAGACAGATTGCCCCTCCGAGCATGAGCGAACCTCTACCAGAAGTCGTTCTCGGTTCCCTGCGGTCGACAATGAGGAGCGAAAGCCTCGTACTGCGGAGGAAATGAAAGCTGAGGCAGACAGTCTACGGCGAGAGATGGACAAGGAGCCCCTCGACTAAGGCACAGGGCAAACGGAGGGAAGACTTAGCTCCAAGTTGGACGTACAGCATGCAGCCTATGGCTCCAGGACCTCGATTGAGCGTCCACAGTGCTGCCTTGCGTCGTGACTGACAGATACTCACGAAATGGGATGTCGGTTATGTAAAAAGGGACCATCAACACAAGAGCATTTGAAATAAGGGTATTTGCTCTATGTAACATAACAAGCCATGCAGTCATACATCATCAGTGATCCACCTTCTATCAATGACCCGAGACCTCTCGCTGAGCTTAATGGTATCTCAAACCAAGCGCTGGAAATCGTTTCAAAAAATACAACACAGAACCTTTCCCTTGACTCGGCGTAGCACTTTTCCGAGCTCACAAAGTCACACAAATGTAATCAATCGTGGCTCAAGCTCGCTTGGGACGTTCGGCCATGACCTGTTCAGCCCAGACCTTAATCTCCGGTAATTGCACGCGACTGGCGACTCGGGTGAACTCGCTCAGATCGACCTCGTGGGTTCGTTCATACTCGACCATCTGGAGCAGAAGCTCCATCTTGTCAATGTCATGCACGAACTGAGCCTCAAGCGTGACGTTGTCCTCGTACTCATGGAAGACGCGCTTAATCTCCTGCGCAGAAAGCGCACCGCCGGGAATCTTGCCCAAGAGTGTCTCGGTGATGTAATCCATTGTGTCCGCCTCACGACGCGCCTTCTCAGTCTTGGTCACGTCCTTGTCGACGGGGGTGATGTCGCCGACAAGGGACTCGGCCATGTCGTGGATCAGCGCCATCTTCGTGCAGTGGGGGATGTTGAGTCGCGAGGCGAGCTCTGGCGGGGCAAACATCGTCATGATCGACATGCGGTACATGTGGTCGGAGATAGATTCGCCATTGATACCGAAGCGGCGCCAGCCCTCGCGCTTAGTAGTCTTCAGTCGTTCCAGGAGGTGAAAGAAGGGAATGGGCGAGGTCGTGTTCTCCTCTGGAGGGTGGGGGACTGTGGACAGCACTGGTGGAGATAAGACATTAGTCGTTTCGGCGCGCGACTTGAAGAGTCTTGCAGATGGGTAGAGCTTACCGGACTGGGGAGTCCATTGAGGTGTGTTGGAGCCCATGGCGAACAATGGCTTCAGCGACTAAGCCAAGAGGTTGGAGAATGAAGGGAAATTCCGGCAAATCTGTCGGGTCCCACGAAACGGCGGAAGAAGTTAAAGAAACAAACGCCCAAACGGAGGTGAATGCGGGACCGTCGATAAGAACCACAAACAGTGCAAACACCCCGTTATCGATTGTTGATGTCCCCGTGCTTCTCTACAGCTCCGATTCACCTGAACTGTGTAGGATACGAGTATTGTCAAGCTTGTCACAGGTTGCAGACTACCTCGAAGACTTCACAAGGACTATCCACTCTTCTAAATACGATATGGTGACTCCAAAGCCTACTCGACCAAAGTCATTAGAATGGAAAGGGCCCTCGCAACTTGCAATCTTCGTACGCAATTTGAAGCTGTTGAATCTAGAGCAACGCAATGACTGGCCTGGCGTCACACTCCGCGCATTGTCGCCGTCATCACAGAATCAAAGGCAGCGCATTCGACTAATAGAGTGGTCTTTGTACCAACTTTTTGCGATATGGGACCCCGAAGTCGCTCAGAATGTATCAAAAACCGCATTATTATCGTCATCGTGCTCTAGAGCTTGGCTAACGGCAGTGTAGAAACTCCGTCCCTTTTTCCCACCGCTTGAACATTTACAATCGGTCAATCTTCGCGCAGCTCTGTTTCGAGCCTTGACTGAACTGAAAAAGAATGGCGACTTGGGAAGAGAAACATTTCTGCGCAAGACAATGCTCGACGATTGCAGAGGAGAGAAGTTTGATGAAGTGCTTGCAGTTTTCTCCAGCGCAGTACTTCGTAACCTCCTTGCAGCCTCATCCACAGAAATCATCTGGAACCCGGTGATGGTATTGTCAACAGCTTCGGCAATAACTCCAGCAGATTATCAGAACCTGGTTCCATTGATCATCGCTCATCAATTCTCTCTTGAGAGGACAGGGGCTCGTCGTACGCGCGTGGAGGAGACAGTCCAGCAATTCACTCGCTTGATGGACGACAAGAGAGCCGAGCTTGAGGAGCGCTCCGAAAGAATAAGGAAGCGTAATTCTCGAGGACAAGAGCTGTCAGAAGCGGACACAGAGGCCTTGGCGCATGAGCTGCAAACCAACTGGCTTGGAGCCAAGGAATGGATTACAACTATACAAGAGGGGGGCTCTGAAAGCAACGTCGATGCTTTGCTAAAGTTGCCATTTCCTCAGGCCCTAAAATGTGTTTCTGAGCCAACGTGGCAAAAGTCCAGCGAATCCCATGAAGCCGATCTTATGAGAGACCTTGAGAAACGCGTATCACAACTTCGTGGCCGGCTTCGTAAATGGAATGAGTTCAGCGAAAGTCTTCGCCATAGACGCCGACATATCAAGGGCTTGGCCACGAGTCCTGTCAAAGAGCCTCGAGAGTTGTTTCGAGGTCATCAGTCACTTAATGTGGCAAGCATATCGAAAACCGTACGAGAATCCGCAACCCGTGAGAGAGAGATGAACGAAGCGGCTCGTTCTTTTTTGAACAGGGTGAATGCGGCGATCACCGAGGAAGAGGTCAAGCCGGTCGTCGACAAAGGACCAGACGTGATGATGAAGGACTCGATACAAGTGAACAACCATAGCATTACACCCACTGTTCCTTCAATCGCCCTGTCTGAACACCACTCTGGGTCTCCTAGTCCGAAATCATGGCCCTCATTCACATCTTCGCCTCCTACAGCAAATCTATCCATGGAAGCTTCCGCGGACACCACACAATCAGAGGATGATGATGAACCCAATCTTCCGACTCACCAACCTCAGCCTCGGTCCACACCATCTAATCTCGTCGAACGAACTCGCAAATCCATGTCCCTCATTCCACCCCTCCCAGCCCAAGAGACTCAACCTTCTTCCAAACGCCGCGGTCCACGCCCATCCTTCCCAGTCAATCAGTTCGAAACACCTCGCAAATCGTCCCGTCCTGAAATCAGCCGATCCTCCACGCCAAAGGATAAGCTCTTCGAAGAAGACGCAGATTATGCGAGTGTATTCAAGTCTCGTCCTCGCATTGCGCTCAGTCCAATCTCTTCGCCGGCTGTCCATGTGAGTCCCTCGATGATAGGGGACGAGAGTTTCACTTTGGAATATGATGATAGTGAGCTTGGGGGTGGGGATTCACCGCTGGTGTCATCGCGGTTTAGGAATTAAACCTGTACGGGAAGTTACACGAAAGTCGTTACCTTTGTTGCAAGGCACATCGAACGAACTTTGTTCTCATGAACCTCGTATTGTCTATCTTAAAACGAGCGAGATGGTCAAAAAACTATAGATCTTGACTTTATCCATGTATCCTCGTGCTCTGAGCAACCTATCAGCCCGAAATACACCCAAGCCGGGCAGCAGGTCAGATATAGGTAAGGTAGTACACCGGTAGAAAGGTTATCGAATGCTTCCGTACCTGGAATATTGAGAAGGGGTGGATAGATACACTGTACTAGGCGATGTGGTTCTCACCAAGCTCCTCGGTTTCAGACGAAAATCTCGTTCCCAAAATGCCCCGGCTACCACTCGCGCCTGTATAGTAACATGCAACTTCACAATTCTAATATGACAAATGTTCTTCTTGTCAGGGCTCGCTCAGGTCATAGCTCTAGTCCGACTCTGTTTTTTATTTTCTTTTTCCAGGGACATAGTCTGAGCCTGAATCTTCCTCGGCGATGTCCTCGTCCTCGTCCTCCTCCTCCTCCTCCCCCTCCTCCTCAGCATTGGCGCCGTCTTCATCCTCTCCCTCATCCTCCTCCTTTTCACTACTCAATATCGATAGGTCATCATCCTCGCTGTCGATTACAACAGGGGTCGCGCGTTTCCGATTCTCTTGATGATGCTCAACAATCAAATCATCATCTGCACCCGCATCGGCTTCTTCGCCAGGTAACAAGAACCCACCGCCATGATCGAGCGGGTCATGGGTATCTTCATGTTCAAACTCCTCATCGTGATCCGGGAAATCAACATCCGGATCGAACTCAGGTGTGTCGTGACCCCTTTTTCTTGCCGCGAAGGGGTTATATGAATCACGCTCACGGTCGTGGGTTGCGTCAAAAGCACCGTACTCTTCCTGGACACGCTCTTTGATACGTAGACCAAAGAGGAATTTCCGCCACGTTTGAAGAATGCGCTTCTCGGCTTTTAGTTCTTCTCGCTTACGTTTTTCCTCGGCGTCAATTCGCCATGCATCACGGAGAAGATCTTCATTCTCGGCGGCGATCACGACGCCCTGGATGACGGGAACTGCCATTTTCGAACCAAATTCGAAGCCCGTGACGGCTTCGGCGTAGTCGATGCCTAGCTTTTTGCATATGCGCACTGTACCTGGCAGGGGCACATGAGATGCGCCTCTGGGGACCATAGTCGGCACGAAACAATCGATATTGCCGTAGTCGTTCTTTGGGATACGACCGTCCACAATGGGAGGTGGAACGATAAATTCTGTCTGGTTGCGAGAGTATAGACCCTGCGTCGGCTTTTCGCCTGTCTCGCGTTGTAATTCATCCACCTCACGTTTGCGACGAAGGGTGACGGATCGAATCGGTACTCTTTTTAGCGGCACGGCTCCAGGAAGAATTTGTCGACCTTCCTTGTGCCAGCTTTCGGCGGACATGCATTTGACCACGTCTGCTCTGCGATACACGGGCTCCTGTTTAGCTTTGGCTCCCTTGCCAGACGTGAACATTCTCACGGGTTCTGCTCCAGGGACAAGAGCTTCCTCGCGGCGGAGAAACCGTTCGAGTGTAAATTCGGGGGACTGGCGAAGACTCTGCAAAGTGTCTGTTGTCTGGTCGGCCTTTTTCTTCTCTGGCTGCTTGCGCAGTAGATCTTTCTTATCCTCAATTTCATCGACTTCGGTTCTCTTATTCGCCGGTCTTGCATAGGGACGCATGACCACTCGAAACCAGTCGAATTCATGATACTGACCTCGACGACGACCGGGTAGAGGAATCTTTTCGACAGGCATTCGGAATCCCTTTGTCTTACCCGGCCAGGTGTGCCTTTTGAGATATCGCGTTGTTACGTCCTTGGCCGAGCCGTCGGCCGAGTGCGCAACCACGTAGCAAATGACTTGCTTGGACCGATCCGCTTTGACCCCGCGCGGCTCAAATGCAGCCTGTAATTCGGGTGTCGTCGCTACTGCATTGGAGAGAATCAGCGGATCGACGGGAATAACTTCGTGGGTGACTGGAGAGGCGACTTCTGTCCAGTAGATGGGAAATGGCATATCTCTGTCGTACTGCGGTTGACGATTCCTCGTTGTTGGGCGATCTACTTCATCATCCGCCGAGTCTCCTGGTGAATCTTCAGAGTCCTTCTCCGCGGGCATGACTACTGACTTGGCGCTGGTTTTCGAAGGCCCCGTGTATGTTTCGGCTTTGGTCCAGCCAAAGCCTAGCGGCTGTAGACTGCCCACCAATCTTGCTTCAATTTTCAGCGCTCGAATGAGCGCGGTGAAGAGTTGGGCTCCCAAGTCGCGAGATCCCTGCATTCGCTCTGCTGCAGTCCGAAACTCCTCCTTATTTGCGATGCGCTCGCCATGCTTTTCGGGGTCATGCTCTTCATTGCGAAAGTCCTTGACTGTGGCTTCCACCGCTGCGATCGGACGATACCCATGTTTCCGTAGACCGGGTGCGGTGATGCGGTACTGTTTCCTCCAGTACGCGACCAGAACCTTCAGCAGGCCGATGATGGGGTCTCCGCGGCTCATGTCTGGCTGGCCCGGTTCCAAACGCTGAGAATCCTCGCTCCAGTCCTTGTTCTTGCGCGCCTGTTTCCCAATTTTCTTCTTCTTGCTTCCTTTGGGCGGCTGAGGCTTTGGCTCTGGAAGCTCTAGTCCGGACGCGACCCTGAATCTTTTGATCTCCTTATTAATACCCTCGGGCAATTTCTTGCGTAGAATCTCATGGACCTTTTCATCGTTGATCCAGGCATTTCGAATGGCGTTGTGGAACAGTAAACACTGAACATGCATGCAATGCGACTGGACACGAATCTGGCGTTCAATCTTGCTAGGGCCCTTTTTCTCATTCGCAAGCTCGGGCGCCTCTCGTTGCTCATTCTGGTCCAAGGTCAATTCCAGATCCTGTAATTCCGGCTGAGGCCCTGTCACGTTAGGCGTGGTTGTACTGGTGGAGTTGGGATCGATGGCATCTTCCCAGTCGATATCTTCATCTTCATCCTCCTCCTCCTCCTCCTCCTTTTCTTCGTCATCGTCATCGTCATCGTCGTCGCCGTCATCCTTGAGCTTCGCATGGCTGTTGCTGTTGCCGGACTTGGGTCCTTGAAGACCCTGTGGCGTGTCGAGACCACTCTCAGGCACATCACTCAACGAAGACAAGTCGGAATCGGAATCGGAGTCGGAGACATCCACGACGGCAGCTGGCGTGGCTGGTTTCGCTTGGACCTGGCGCTTGGCTGGGGGCGGGTCCGCCGAGAGATGGCGCTTGCGGGGGACGAAGGGTGGCATGCGCGAGGTTCCAGCTGCGACCGCCGCAAATGAGCTTGTTGACAACTCTGATTCAAAAGCTTCCCCGTGGATGAATGCTTCAGCTATGGACTTCGGCACAAAAACATTCAAGCAATATTCTCTTGCTGATGCAATGATGAGAGGCAACCGGAAGCAGTTTGGATCCCCGGTGGAGACGCGATGGGAGTTCCGGAAAGACCTGCGGAACCCAAAGACGCTATCGGCGGATGCCGAGGTGCAGCTCCATCGCTGAAGCGGGCGGGAACTGACCTTTAAGAAGAGTGAATCGGACCGTAGATCGACCCCGTCTTCACAATCGCTTTCACCGATCTCCTCGTGGCTGTCGATAGATCGAATCTGTTCTTCGTCATCAGAACCTTAATGCACCCATCTTGATAGACATCCAATCTACAGCATTGCGGCATCCGTTTCACCCTAGTTTTCATTCGATATGGAGGCTGTCAAGCGATTCTTCTCTTCCCCACGGTTCGCCGTTGCGGGCGCCAGCAATGATCCGACCAAGTTTGGTTACAAGAGTGAGTCCTCCCTTTTCTCTCTCTGTGATAGTGTACTTCGCGAAATCTTCACTTTGTCTGTTGACCGTGGTTCCTCTCTCTTTCCACGTCCGTTTCCGTGGGTTGATCATGCAGGTCCATGCTAACTGTTCCCTCCTTGGGTATCCGGCCAGTCCTCGCGTGGTACCATCAGCACTCACTGCCGGTGACTCCCTTGAATCCGCGTGCAGCGCAGATCAATCTCCCCTCGCGTGTCTACGAGACCGTTGCCTCCCCGAGTAAACTGGCCTCGCCCACGCAGACCTCTCTGTCCGTGGTCACGCCTCCCCCGTGACCCTCCAAGTGCTGCAGGAAGCGCACTCGGTTGGGATTCCCGCGGTTTGGCTGCAACCGGGCACTTTCGACGACCGGGTGCTAGACTATGCCCGGGGCCACTTTGCCGCGGTCATCGCGGGTGACGGAGGCGCTGGCTACGAGGGATGGTGCGTGCTGGTCGATGGAGAGGAGGGCTTGGAAGCCGCTGGAGTGCAATGGACCAGTCAGCGACTGTAATAGAAGGCATGACATCCGGTGAGGGAATGAGTGGTCGGCTTTTGGGGGGAAGGGCGACCCATTGATTAATCCTTGTTCGGGGGTATCATGGCAGAGCGAGCAGGTGAGAGTGCCCTTCGACTAAGGGGTGGGGAGAAAGAACCCGCTGCGGCAGTGGACGAGAGGCTCCATCCTACCTGAGCGACTAGTGTCCACATCGCCTCTCATGACGGTGGGAGAACGAGTCGAAAGGAGGGCAGCTGCATTGACGTGAGGGGGTGAAGTCGCTAGCAACTTGATGGGCGGTTCTTGATGGGGCCTTTCATTTCCGGTTGTTTGGGATTGTTGATGGATTTGCATTGGTCCGGTCATTTCTCTTGGTCCAAGAGGAGAAATGAAGAGGAGGAAGAGAGTAATGGTAAGATGAGAGAGGAGCAAAGAAGCGAAGAGCCTTCGACGGGGTTGCAACTTCGACTCGTACTAAGCAAGGAATTGCCGGTCTCTCACACACACACACACACACACACACACACACACACCGCTGTATAGTACACGCTACACCGTATGACCGTACACAACCACAGGCTGTGGAGGTATACTGTACCAACTGTAGAAGTCAAGGGATGTAAGGTAGTAGTACTACTACTACTAACTTCGACAGCACCTAACTTAGTACTTACTTCCTACTTACTACTTACGGTACTTGCCTCGATGCTCGATTGTTCTTCTTCACACGCTTCTTGTTGATTGTTTACTCCCTCGAGCGCTTTTCCTGTCGAACCAATTTACATCACTGGGACTCCTTCCGGTCGACCACGACGAGCTCACTCATTCTCATACAATAAACGCAATCATTTGGTGCGACGGGATCTACTGCTGTCCACCGTCTGGATCCTTCGGGTTCGCCGACTTGTATTGTTATCCAGCAAATATTCCACGCGACTCTACTAAAAGAGATCAATTATATCTCATTGAGCCAACTGTCACAGTACCCGATTGTCCGACTACTACGCAATATCTCAGACTAACCAGACTCTCACAGCGTCGGTTACGCAAGAGTCAAATGGAGCATCGGACGAGGCTGGACCCAGTTGAAAGCGTGTGGGTGATTGTCTCCGTCTCCGCACGGCTCGTCGCCCAACCAGCCGGATGGTCGGCCACGTTAAGCAACTTAACCTCGACCTGGACTCCTCTCGACTCGGCGGATGCCTCTTCGACCGAACCCACCGAATCCACCACACCCACCAAACCCACTCTCGCCGACCGACTATCCCCAGCCTCGTCTCTTTTGCGCTGGGCCCATCGCGTGCGGCCTTCCGCCGTCCGAGCTTTTTTTTCCTCGTCGACGTGGTATCGCGCCTGTGGGATTCATCGGAGTGGTCTGCTGCTTTGACTGTGCTGCTGCATCCTGACCTCACACCTCTGACACCAGGACGCTGTGATTCTCAGTCCACCAGATTCATCCTATCTCATCCTGCACCACCGTCGTCGAGAAAAACAGCTGCTCTCAACAAGCCGGACATGCCAGCCCTCTTCCCTCATAATGCGTCCCCCCCCAAGGTCGATCTCGCCAGCGCAAATTCTCAATTCTGCCAATTCCCTATCTCTGCCTCGGCATCCTCGTCCCTCTATACTCTCTCGCTCAGTCGCAAGCGGCCACGTCGTGATGCCGAAAAGCTGGCCACCAAATTCCAGGCCTCATCGGAGGTAGCATCGGCATCGGCACTGCTGCAGCCCACCTATCCTTACTCAACGGGCTATGGAGGCGTCGATCTGGACTATCGACCCAACCGATACCGCGAGTCGTTTCTCCCACCGTCGCTCGAGAACAGCGTCGAATCCATCGATGACAACTCTCTCGGCACCAGCCGTAAGCGCACTCGTCGGGACAGTCTGCTCACATCCCCGGGCCCAGACGTCGACAGCCCGGAGAGTGGACCGATCGGTTGGGGACGCACAGTCATCAATGTGGTCGGAAAAGTCTTGGATCTGTGTTGGTCGGGTGCGTTTCGGGGCTTCTATGCCGGTGGCGGGCAGGGGTATGATCTACCGACGAGCTTGCCATCCGATACGACCCCCAGTTGGGAAAAGGAGTCGATGCTAAGCGAGAAGGAGAAAGAATGCCTGTTCCATTCACCCATACCAGGCCAATACCCGGAAGATGAGCTGGAACGTAGTTGGGTGGTAATTCCTTCCACCACAACCCACGAATTCACGCCCGACTTGGCGGCCACTCGATCGATGCGGAGTCGGCGTGTACATCAAGCATCGAGTCCTCGACGCCGCTCGGCGGTCATGCCCAAGTCACAAAAGAAAACTTCCGCTTCGAGGGGTTCTTCCACCCCCACCCAAAGTCCAAGTCTACCATCGCCACGTTTACGGGAGGGACCCGATTCCGCGGAAATGAAAAGGGTGGCAGCGCAGATACGCCGGCGAGAACGTGAGGAAGATGCCAGCATCAAAAGATTGAATCGGCAACTGCAAGCCATGATCAGAGAGGGTAAACAGGCTCTGGGCTCCAAGGTCGAAGTGGATGACTTGGAGATGGACTTTGACTGAATGATCGAGTTGTGCTGACCCCCGTCTCCTTGACCTTCTCATCCTTGGGAAATTTGGGGTTTCGCGCTTTCCCTGTATCACTTGTCTTGTCGGGACGAGGCACTGACGTGATTAATGATCTCGGGTGCCTAGGGATAAAATTCGCTTTTTCATTCCTTCGTCTTGATGGTGTCACGACTTTCTTTTTTCCATGTTTGTGCTTTCTTTTTCACGATCCGATACCCCTCGCTGCCTATACTTATGTGGCTGTTATGATTCACGAGGGCGGCCGACATACGCTTGACGACCTAATGACCTTGAACGTCACTGTTCATCATATTCATCGCTCCAGTTCCTTGCCACGTTCTAATTTTTTGTCTCTCTTTATTGCTCAAGAGCTTTGTATGGAGGAAGATGCCAAAAGAGTGAAGCAAAAGATAAGAGAATGAAATTGTGTCTCTCCTTTCTATAACAACACCCAACTCGTTAAGACGCTGGAATTCCGCGTACGTGTCAACTACAAGTGACACAAGACGAAGACTGTCCCGCAACAAGTGTGGATAGAAATGGCTTCTCATTAAGAACAACTCTCTCATCAACACAAACTGGGGTATTCACGTAATAACCCTAACCCTCGCCCCCAACAGGCCAACTCCTGAGGCCCTTACTGCAAACCACCTGGCGCAAGCATCTTGGTCACTTTACCCAATACGCCACCGCTCAGCAAAGCATCGGGCAATGTCGCACCCTGGATAGGGTCACCGCGAGCTTGGATAGACGCATCACGACGACTTTTCATCTAGTCAATTTCGGACGTGTCAGTTACATCCCAATCAAAGTCGACGAAGCACATGCGAGAAATTTGGCAAGATCAGGACGATAACAATGCAGAGTTGGGGTTTCTCAACTCACCGGAAGAATACCAACACCGTGATGCGAGTTGCCCATCAGCGCACCAAGACCACTTTCCTTGAACAGACCAGCAAGGGGATTCTGGTCGCCCTGCTTAGTGTCCTGTGCGGGCTTGGCCTGATCGTTCTTGGGCTTGGTGTCGTCCGTGGCCTTGCGGTCATCTTGAGCGAGCTGAGTCTTGGGATTCTGAGCGGCGGCGGCAGCGGCGGCGGCTGGCTTCTCTTTGGCAACTTCTTGAGGTGTCTTGAGGAGATCGAAGAGATCACGACGGACCTTTCAAAATGCATACACGTTAGCTTGCGCGTTCTTGCGCGAAGGCAAGTTTCATCGGTGACTTGAAGAGACGACTTACAGCGCCTGCCGCGGCCGAGGAGGCATCAGCCAGCTCATAAGTGGGCTCCATCTCTTGGGTCAAATCCTCGCCAAGGCCGTAAACGGGGTCGTATTGGCTGTCTTCCATCTTCTCGGCCCGTTTGGCTGCGGGCTTCTGCTTGTTCTAGATAGGGGGACAGATTTGTCAGACTGAGGTCTCAGGCCACGATAATCGGGTAGGATTCAATTACTCACACCAATGAGGTCGCCAACGATAGGCAGAGCGTTGATCTTCTCGGTGAGATCACTGTTTAGATCACGACGAGCGTTGGCCGCTGCGGAGGCCGTGTCGGCAAGGTTGTACGTCGGCTCCATCTTGTTTGTGATGTCTTCAGCGAGGTTGTACACAGGGTCATATTGACTGGGGGTGTTGTCCCGCTTGCCACTTGCTTGCTTCTTCTTGTTCTATACAAGTCAATGAGCACGCATGTCCAGAGCTAGCTAGAGCCTCGAGTGTGTGGGTGAATTCGTCACTTACACCGATGAGGTCCCCAATGATAGGAAGAGCGTTGATCTTCTCAGTAAGATCACTGTTCAGATCACGGCGGGCCTTCTGGCCGTTCTCTCCCATGGCGCTCTCAGCAGCAGCTTTGCCCACCTTCTTCCCCGATGGATCATAGTTGCTGGGCATGGCGTTGCCATCGCCGAGGGGCTTGTTGACATTTTGATTGTCATTTTGATTCTGCAAGCCCTTTTGATTAGCAAACCACCTCTCTATATCCTTTTGGATCATGACTTACACCACTGAAAAGTTTTCCCAGCACAGGGAAGTTGCTCAGGTCGCTGGTCAAGGATCGCGATTCAACGCTGCGCTTCTATGATATCCAGTCATGTCAGATATCCTGCGGCCCGTTTTATGTTCGTATGGGCAGCAATCGTCGACTCACCAAGCCTCCACCTAGGACGCCCCCAATAAGAGGCAGGCTATCCAGAATGTTTGAGTTCTGATTGTTCGAATCCTGCATGCCCTCGGTACGTTGAGGCGCAGATTGTGACTCCTTGCTGTTGCCCTCTAGGCTTCGCTTCTGTAGTACCCGGTTCAAGTTAGACGCGATTGCACTGGGCCGATCCCAACGATATGACAAGCATCAACTCACCGAGCCTCCGCCCAGGACGGACCCAAGAACAGGCAGGTTACCCAGGATATTAGAGTTTTGATTCTGCGCATCCTGAGTACCTTGAGTACGCTGGGGGGTCTTCTCCGCCGCCTTGTTAGCAGGTTGTTTCTCCAGGCTAGAGAAGGCTTGACTGACCAGGTCGTTGGCAGCTCCACCGGCACCGGCACCGAGGAGGTTTCCAGAGCCATCGCGACGCATGGGCTCGCCACGAGCCATGTCCATCGTCGGGGCGTTTTGCACCGGGGCTGCAATGCTCACGGCTGCAAAGAGCGTGAGGGCATAAGTAGTCTTGACCATGTTGATGATTGATCTTCCAATGAAATCCTGTGATGAAAAGGAGGGTCAACGCCGGCGAGCGACGAGGAAATTAGGCAGTGGACAGGGGAAATGGAACCCGAGGTGGAATAAACGAAAGTAGGGGATTCAACAGCAACGTTAGGAATGCGAAACCCTTCTCTGCGAGGAAAGGGTGATAGCATTGTCTTTATAAAGCTCTGTTCTGAGCCGAACATTCTCGAGTGATGTTCATTCTCTTTTGCTTCCACTTCCAAGGGGGAGCAAAATACAGCAGGATGAGGCTTGTGTGCAGCCTGTGTCTCAATTTTTGCCTCAACTGGTTATCCGGATGTTTCACTGTCAACAATCCCCTTCCGAAGAATGTGCTGCACTCTCTTGCGATTAAAAAGGTCCAATTGTCTTGGATCCTCGGCCCTGCCGCAGGAATGTGCTGCATGCTTGGCTTGCTTGTTCCTCTGCGCCAACTCTGCCGGAGGGTTTATTGATGCAAGGGGGAGCTTGAGAATCATTAGTCGAGCATGATTGAGGGCACCTTTCACATCTCAGCGCGAGGTAAAGCTGTACTTCACGGTGGGAAGCCACTGCCATCATACGCATGTGTCTCCAGAATCAATCAATGTTTGACCTGCATTCTCAAGAGATCCAATTATCCCTCGTGCTCGAATTTCTCGCAACGATGCCCTTCTACCTGTCCATGCTCAGTCCTCGTTTTTGGTCCCAGTGTGCAACCTGGCTCAACTTTTCACGGGTACCTGACAGCTTTTGTCAGCCTTGCTTAATCCCTGTACAGGTGAATTCTGGGTATGTGAATTGAAAAGCTCAACCCTGCTTACCCGTGCCACGGCCGTATATCAATTCAGTCATCTGGATTAGTCTGGTCATGCTGTCTTGAAAATGATTCGCAGTGTAGATCTTAGGATTGCACCTTGTATGCTATAGCTTCGTATGTGGTTCACAGTCACGCTGCTAGTGTGCTAGCGTGTATGCTCCTCATCCGAGACTTCCAATGTCCCCGGATCAGCTGATCCCTCGCGTCACATGTCCATCTTTGTATTCATGAAAGACGCAGTGCTGCATTCAGTATCAGTCTCTGTACACACTCGGTCGGCACTTTTTGTGCTCTGGTCTATTGCCCGTTTTGTAGTTTCTGGTCACATTTCCACTGGTAACAGCTGAAATGTTAGAAAAGGCAAGCCCGTCCCTCTCCGCACGCTCCATCGTCTCGGCATCTTCGTGTTTATTTCTGAACAACAGGGTAGCTCATACCCACGGTGGCCGACTTCGAATGCTCGGCATTTCATCCCCTTGGTGGCAATTATTTCCTACCGAATGGGCAGGACCAATCTTGTCTATCTCTCCATTCATGGAGTGCCGTCAACCTATCAAGTCGGGGTCATATAGACAGTCCTGAGGCCTAGTGCCAAACCCATCTGGAATCCACTGTGGTTTCTTGTACATATTTCTGAGTACTTCAGTCTTGCGTGCCAATTTTCAACTGCTCTGGTGTGGAAGGTCACGGACATTGTACCTAAAGGACCGTGTTGAGACCTGCAGTAGCGCACATTGATCACGCCCTGGATATGCTTCAACTATTTTTGAGAATTCACCTAGGCGGGCCGGGCAGTTCGCTCTCTCAGGTTTACGTAGCTGCTGAGACGATTCATTGCTGCTAAGTTGGGGGCACAGACAGGGTCCATCCACTTGAAACTGAGCATGGAACCAAAGTACACATTCGGTCCCGTTTTTGACAAGTGGGAGGTAGTAGTTAGAATAAGGTAGTAGTTAGAATATATATCCAGACCATGCCTGGCTTGGGCAGTGGCTCGCCCGACCCTTTCGGACGGCGGACGTCTACCCAACATTGAATGCCTGAGCCATCCACCAGGCAAATTCTACAGTACTATACCTCGAGGTTTTAGTAGCTCGACACTTGAGAGGTGTCTCGCTGAAATAAAGATTGGCCACTGATAATTGAGGGTCGCAGGTTGAGACGAAAGAAAGGTCTGATCAAGGAATAAGCGTTCAAATAGGGTAAATCAGGCCCCATGTTCTGAATATGGTCTGCCTGAAAGCTCACATCTATGTTGTCTCTCCATATTGCATAAGCAAGCTAACACTTTTCATGAACCGGCCAACTGGCCTAGTGGTAAGGCATCCGTTTCCGGTGCGGGAGATCGTAGGTTCGAATCCTGCGTTGGTCGTTTTTTGCGCTGTTCTCAACCTCGACGGCGCAATTTGTATCAAAAAACAAGATCTTTTTTTGGCGTTGCGTTCTTATTCCGCCGAATGACCTTGTTGTATTGATCAAATATCACAAAAATCGACCAACGCAGGATTCGAACCTACGATCTCCCGCACCGGAAACGGATGCCTTACCACTAGGCCAGTTGGCCGGTTGATAAACAAAATCTTTAATTCTGCTTTCATGAATGTTCCATCGCTCTATTCCTAGTCGCTTCGCACATGTCTTGCACAGGCGCTGGCGAATTCCTCGTTCTGATAGCGTCACGAAAGGGCTTGGACGCTAGTCAAAGTGAACGTTCACAATCTTACAGCCAGAAAGATGTCATTCATCGAGAATTTCAAATTGTGTAATATCGGGTCTCACGCGTGGAGCTACGGTCTTCAGCTTGGCAAAGCGTCGCGGAGAGATTGATCGTCCAGGAGTATACATGTGGAGTATGGGAATGTAGGTGCATAGTCTCCCAACCTGACGTCAGGACCTGAAATGATTGAAAGCTGAAACATCACGGTCTTGTCTGTAGTGTATAATTTATAATCCACCTCGTCGCATCGAGAAACGCTCTATCCGCGTCGAATTCCTCGTTGAGTGGATCTCCCAGTCTGAAGTTATGGTGATATGCTCTCGAGCCCGCTCACTGACACATTTGACGATCGGAGGCATCGTCACAGTCACCATGGGGGTTGGACGGCCGACTGCCGGCACACCGAGGAGAATGGTATTTTCTCTATCATCCAATAACACGGGACTCATGGTGACGCCTTCTACAGATGGCGAAAAGAGCGACGTCTGGAATATTCTCCCCGCTGCTGGTGACATGAAAGGCAGCGATGAGGTGATGATACCCAGCACTAGTATGGCTGTTGACAAGAGGGACGTACGTGCGTACTCGAATGTGAAATCTCCCGAATTGCCTTGAATTTCCATTCTGATTCGAATCCCAGAGATGATGAGTATGCTAGGGAAGAGTAAAGTAAGCCATATTCGACCAAAAAAATGTTCAAGCTTGGACGATCTGAAAGTGAGAGCAGGAGTTACCTCGATGCAAGCATGTAGATACATGCTGTGGCGATTTTCCGTGCCGCTGTGAAGAGGGTGATCTTCAGAATTGGTAATGAAGCGAGCAGAATTAGCCCATTGAGGATCAACTCGGTCACAGATGCGCCAATATGTAGCATGTACAACTCTTTATGAGAGCTGCTCAGCTGGACAAGATTGGACGGAACGCAGATAACGGCTGTCGCTACCAAGCTTGTCATCCACAGAGAGAGACTCAGGCCCAGTAGTATGAATATCGGCCACCTCATGAACGTGCGTGGGTACACATGGAGATAATGTTGAAGTATCGCCACCTGGATCAACCCAGCAACCGTGACCCGTAGTAGATCACTCGTGTATGCAAGCTACACTCTTCGTTAGCTTGGCCGGACCTTCGCCCTTCGAGAATAGCTTTGCACACATACTTGAATAAATTGATTCATATTCGCACTGCCGTCAGTCCGAATAACTTCAGCCGTGTGGAGGCCAGCTCCACAGTGCAAGACGAGGACAATCTCTAAACCATAACGGCCACTGATGAGAGCCTGAGACGAAACGATTAGCTCCAAGGCCGCAGAAAGGCTGACGATGCCCGAATAGTATTGTGTCCCCCCAAGAGTCGAAGATATCGAGATGGTTCACTTACCAGAGCCACCAGGCTGAACCAGTCACCGTATGTCAATGGGTCTAACCGTAAATGTCTCGACCACAGCCGCAGATATACCACAAGAGATGCAATGACGAGAGAGATCGTTTGCACCGCAATATCTGCCACGCCTAGCTCGTTGTGACCGAGGGCAGAGACGAGGGCCTCCTCTGAAGAACTCATCGACGGCCTGAGGGACTCGAGCTGTCGAGTGAGCATGTCCAGAAGCCCACAACTGGCAGATGCCTCACATTATTATAATCGAACACCTTCTCCAACGCAGTCGTCAACGCAATGGAAAGGTTCCGTCGATAGAGGGGAAGGCGCAAAGCGGGGCCTCCATTAGTGAAGGTGCATGTTCTAAAAACGAGCATGGATGACCCTTGAACATCTGGATCTCGGGGCGAAAGCTGCGCCTGGTGCCACAAGATCGTCGAGGCTGCAGTCCCCGAGCGATTTTTAGCGGACGTCGATCTAGATTGTCCGACTCGGGACTGACTTCATGCGAAAGACTTCGACTCTTCGCTACCCAATCTCCGTCTTCCATATTCCATGTTCTGGAACTGGGAAGTCAGATCCAAATCATGACGAGGACGGGCAGCCGCTTGCCGATAGGACGCAACGTCGGCAGGACGGGGTGTCCTCCACTTTTGACTCTCTCTGATACATCCGCGTGTCACAAGGCTGCAGTCGATGTTTGAGAAAGACCGGTGCACTGACCGCAAAGTGATCAGAGTGTTGCGGTCTCGACAATGCACAAGCTCCGAAACCTCAACTGCCGGAGATGACATTGACGGATAGGTACCGAGAGTGTCCAGAATGAGGCCACATCTTTAATCGCTTCTAGCTACGGCTCCGCGCCTGGGTCTAAAGACGGGTGGGAATTTTGAGATCGGGGCAACGTTGACTTGCAAGGCACGTAACCAAAGGACCCGTTACACTTTCAATGGGACCTTACATCATTGGGAACGTGCACTCGAAGAGAAGCCTAAAGGGATCAACCCATCCCAAACTGGGCACTTGATCCCTGAAAAACGGTGACTAAATCGTAGTCCATTATAATGCAGATCGTCAATACCAACGGCGACAGCACCGAATTGAGCAGGTTGACATCTAACCTCCGGACCCTTTCCCAACTTTCCCGCATAGACCCAAAATTGAGTCAAATCCACCATCATGATCGCACCAGTGAGTCGATGCTGCATTTGAAGCAGAGCTATTTCCAAGTTTTTGTAACGATACGCTAGCCCGGTCCAGTGCTTGCACGGAAATGCGCCGAGATAGTACATAGTAAGATCACAGATCAATCGCAGCGAGAGCCCTTCGTTGGACGCCGTATGACGGTCTCGGTCTGGTATAATTTTTGGAAATGGTAATAAACGTTTTCTCGTCTCAATCATTAAGTCTGTAGACACACCACACGTGGTTCACGTACTTTTTCATCCTGCTTCCACTGCTTGATCAATTTGCCAAATCTCTCTTCGAAGTGACCCGCCAAGTCAACTTCATATGTATCCTTGTCATTCGTGAATGGATGGCATGAATCCGTCCGCTCAAGCTCTTCAAGTGCTCTTCTTCTGAGCCTCACGCTCCGCTTTGCGCAGCGCACGCTTGCGGATCGCGACGTGCATGGCTCCGTTTTGCGCAACCACCAACTTGTTGAAGGGCGAGGTGACCGAGGTGAGGAACCATGCCATGATACCGTGGCTCCAATACGGCGAAGAGCTGTAGGCGTACGAAGAGGTGCCACCACTGCGACCAATCTTGGAAAGCACGGCTCGGACAAATGCGCGAGGGGTGGGGATGGTCGCCGAAGCCCGACGAATCTTGGACATGGCTGAAGTGATCAAGTAAGCCTGGACAAGCTCTACTTCGATGTTGTACGGAGCCAGCTCGTAGCCAAGAGCAGTCGACCACTGTTGCAGGAAAGCCTTGCTGCCAGAGTAGGTGGCCAGCAGAGGAGTGGGAAGCAGGCCTCCAAAGGATCCCATGGTCAAGATGAGACCACGTCGGCGCTGCATCATGCCAGAAGCAACAAGCTGAGTGACGCGCAGAGTTCCATGGCAGTTGATGGTGATGATGTCGGTCATCTCCTTGGCGGAGGTCTGCACGAAGGGGACGGGGATAGAGTGGCTCTGGCCGACATTATTGATCAGGATGGACACGTCGAGATCGGAGACAAGAGCACCGAGGGCCTGGAAATCCTCGTCCGCATTGCGGGAGAAATCCATTGCCAGGATCTTGGTCTCGACATTGGGGAATTTAGTGGTGATCTCCTCAGCCAGCGCAACTAGCTTGGATTCGGTGCGCGATACGAGCACAACATTATACTTGGCTCGAGCCAACTGCAGCGCGAATTCCTTTCCTAGACCGTCGGAAGCACCGGTCACGACCGCCCAGCTTCCAGGGGGACCGAACGAGCGAAGCTGTTTGAGATTGCCATTAGCACCACTCAGTTCCAGACTCACCTTAAGCAATTGAAAGGGAACTAGACCTACCGGCTTTCCTGGAAGAACAAACAGACTCAGCAGCACCCGCACAAACGACCAGACCTTGGATGTGACAACAAGGCCACCGATACCAAGCAGCAGCAGCGCACCAATGCTAGGCAGGCCCGGTGCAAGATGATCGGGCCACTGAGAAAGACAATGGGTATATTTGGACAAATCCATCTTGCTATTGTCCAACGGAGGCTGAGAAATGAATTGGTGTGGAAGGCGAGCGGATGCGATAAATCACTCGGGAAGAGAAAAACAACTAGCTGACAGATGAGCTTGTTGGGGACCTCGGGATGGATCTGGATGCCAAGAGACCCGAACACCGTTCAGCTCGCTCTGTCACAAGCCTCCCCGTCCCTCTCTTCTCAACCTCCCCTTTTCCATTGAACGCCATTATCGTTCTATACGCTCCCCATACTCGATACTCCACACGCCAACTCACCGATCTCAATTCTCACAGAGATAAATGGAGCAATTGCTGTCATACCTCCCCCCGTTCGAGGGCTTGCTTCCCAAATGGCTCGTCTTTGTAAGTCCTCGATTAATTAGTAGCGTCACGCCAAGCCGGACCTCCAGCTAATATATAAATGTTTCTCTCGACCTCGTAGGTGTCCGTCGTCTCCGCCGTCAATAGTCTACAGGCCTACTCTTCCGCCGACTACACCTCGAAGCTATACACCAATGGTGCCCTCGTGCTCGATTCTCTCTCCGGTCGTGTATTCGGCACCTGGACTTTCCTCTCGGCCGTCATTCGTATGACTGCCGCCTATAACATGGACTCACCCATTGCGTACAATCTTGCCATGTGGACCTATGGCATTGCCTTGGTTCACTTCACCCTCGAGCTCGTGGTCGGTAACGCGTCGCTTCGTGGTCGCTTCTTGAGTCCATTGCTTGTTGCATCCGGATCATTGGCGTGGATGTTCTCTCAGCGTGAGGCGTACCTGCACCTTTGAACGAACGACGTCAAAAAGGGGATCAGGGGCAACCTGAGAACTTGACACCTAGACTGGTCAGACGAGCAGGTGAGATGGTTTCAGATCTATGGCAAAAATTACAAGAACACGAGCGAACAAACCAGCCCAAGCTCTAGAGACGGGGCTGGTAGAGTGTTATTCATGTTTCCTGACTCTCATCCCATTATCTTTGGCGACGAAGTTGGGCACCTCTTCGCGATGTCCAGTTAAACGCTCTTCCAACTCTACTCTCCCAGCACGCGAGCAGCGATGCTCAATTATCCGATGAGGCCTCGCCCGGCAGATGATGTTCTGTTTTAATGTCGCTTCTCTTGTTGCTACTTGACTCACTTTTGTTGTCAATTCTGCCTTTCCTTTTCGTCTTACTTTTCTCTGCGCTAGGGGGGAGACGACAGATAGGGAGTGATGACGGACAGTCGAGGAAGAAGTCAAGGCTGAGCAATGAGAAATAGCAAAAGGACATGTGAGGGTATTAAACACTCAACGAATGTCATGCTTTTGCAGCGGCAGAATAGACACAGGCGATCAACCTCGACATTGAGCCTTGCGCGATCGACGCGACTCACACGTGGAATCCATGGTGAGCCGGCTGCAGTACTCAATATTCAACAGAGATTTGCCTTCGGCCAGATGTCCTTCTCTTGGCGGCTCCCCTTCACTCTAGCTTTTTTCCCTCTCTCAGGCGTACTTCCTTCCACCTGTTGGCGTCCCTTCGCCGTTTCTCCCTAGCACCGAGAAGAAGGACGACAAAGGGAGTCGAAAAATCAACACAGGAGAACAGACAGGTAAATGAGCGTCGAGAAACGGAGAACATCCAACGAAAGCAAGAAATTCATTGAAAAAAAAATGTCAAATCCTGGCTGTTGCAGCGACAGGCTTCAAAGAATCTGGACTAGAAAATAAAAGAAGTTTCATCTCAGAGTTTCGCCCGATCCTTCTGCAGAAGAGTCTCGCTGACCAGCCTAGCTGCCTTCTCAGCGCAGCTCCACGAGACTTGGTATCCGAATCCTCCATGGCCGTAGTTATGCACGATCTTCACTCCGTTCACTTGGTCCTTCTCAATACGAACTCCATCTGTTCGTCCCGGACGGAGACCGACTCCGTGTCTGATCACGTCCAACCCTTCCACACCTTGCCCTGGCTTCACTAAGCGCGGGTCAAGCTTGAGGGCCCGCTGCATGATTCGATTGGCAAAATTCGGGTCAGGCAAGGGATCCCAGTTGTCTTTCTGATATGTGCCGCCAATGATTGTGCCGCCGCCTGTGCTTCGTTAAAAATCCTCCATGTCCTGACAACCGCAAGGGGCTGACAAGGGGAAGAACTCACCTGCTGCCCTTGGGAAGATATAAGCAACTTCCTCTGACCCGTCATCGGATCCTGAAATGGTCGTCATGGACCCCGGATCGTTGCGAACCATCAGAATCTGGCCGCGGATCGGATGGACTTGACCATCAGTGACCCCACCGAGTGTTCGAGAGCCCAAACCGGTGCAGTTGACCACCACATCCGCCTTGACGCCGGAGTGGTGCGCATCAGCCGCATCGGCAATATGGCTCAAGACAGCCCGTTTCAAGACGCAGCCGCCTTTCATACACTGAGTGACTAACCACGGCAAATAGATTGCAGGATTGATGCAGACGGATGTGAAAGTTTGAGCGTTGTCAATACCGGGAGGTAACTGGTCGGCAGGCAGATTGCGGAACTGTTCTCATTTTCAATTAACCCATATTCTCTGTTCAATTGTTCGTAAATTGAGAGAACGCGCTTACATTCGGCATCAAATCCTTGAACCAGGGACTCGAAGATGTCAGTTCCGCCGCCCACTTTCCAGTAACGGTCTGCTGGTCCTTGAGACGATTTTGGACCGTGATATCTGATACAAAGCAAAGGTCCAGATTAGCCCGTCTTAGCGAGTCCCCAAATGAGAGGCCCTTCACTCACCCTGAAAATGAATCCCCGACTCGGGGTTGTTCCGAGCCAGATCACGTAGCGGGGGCCAAGTGGCCTGCTCATATTCCGCATTCTGGCTGCCCTTGGCACCAAAGCTGAGGTGTGTCAGACTGAGAGAACAAGTTGACCTCATGTGCTGTGATTAGATTCCTGCTCACGGTAGATAACTTGCACCCGCCCATGGAGATGCATATTCAATGTCAGTGTCTCCGGGCATGTGTTTCGCGATGACAGTCACATCATTGCTCGAGTCCTTGGAAAGCAACAGGGCCGTTGTCAGGCCGGTGACCCCCGCTCTGTGACAGTTCTTGTCAATCCCACTTCAAGGATATTCGAAAGCACTGAGTTCCTTAGCACTGAGAATGACTTACCCCACGACAACGATTTTGTTCGATGGCATTTGTTAAGGTGGAGGAATGAAGATGAAGGAGTGAGGAGAGCTCTGTGGGGCGATCGTCGGCAGGAGTGCAGTCCAGCTAGGTAGGATGTAACCTTTGAGCATACGCGGAGGAAACGATTGATTTTGTTCAGAAACTTCAGCGTGATACAAACGGTAGAGCAAGGCTCAGGTGTGTGTCACAATAAAAAGGCCCATGAGAGCGAGAGTATCACCTCTACTGTAATAGATAGCCGCGAGCTTTGTTTGGTCGTATGACTACTAGTTAAACTTGGTATCAAAGACCAGGCCCAGGCCCAGGCCCCGACGACCCGGCGCCCGAGGATCCTGTCCATGGGTACGAGACAGGTGCTCGTACGCAGGAGCCGAAGTCGACAACGGGCGGACTGCCATGCGTATGCACAAGATGCTTTCTAGAGACGGATATGGGAAAATCATATACATGACACTCTGGGTAACTCAGCGCGTCCACATACCCTAAGGGAGGCAGGCTACTGAGGACGGGCGTGCACCCGACACTCCTGGACATTAAATACTAAGGTACCTAACTAGCACAGGTACTGCTACATACGTGTATTACTACTAGTACTAGTACTAGTAGGTACCAGGTAACTACGAACTGTCCATAGGTACTACCAGTCAAACACCGGGTACGTTCATCTCAGCGCCCCAGCTTCTATCTAGGTCGATACCTAGGTGATTCTTGTCTATTATAGGAACCGATTTCAAAAAGAGTGGAGCCTTCTTCGGGAGCGCAGAGACGTATATGTATAGCCTCTCACTGGTGTCGGGTTTAGTGTAGGTGATATTCTTAGAATTTTAACGAATCAGACAGGGCATTGAATTTCAATGGCCAATTTCACCCCTTGAGCTCGCCACCACTGCAATCCATTTCATGGGAGTGACAGCCAGACGTCTGAGCACTGGAGTTATGTACCTAACAGAATGGAAGTGAGAAAGGGCGCCCGTCATAATGTGCCAACCCCCCACCTGGGCATATACCTGATGGAATCGGCCGGCGGAACCCTGAAAGTACTGTAGAACCTGCAGGAAAGGGAGTGACTTGCTAAAAATTGATTACAATTAATTTGAGCATTGTTAGCTTCGCGAGCTATCATATTGAAAAGATTACTATTCTGACTTTTATACGCATTATATAGGTCTCGTCCGTCGTCTCCATAGTCTCGGTTACTCCAACTTCTTGCGGTAAAGCTCACCACCGCAGCCACGGAGCCGGGCCGCAGCCTGCTCGGGGGTAATGTCACGCTGGGGCTCAGCCATCAATTCATAACCAACCAGGAACTTGCGGACGGTCGCGCTGCGCAGCAGAGGAGGGTAGAAGTGCAGATGCAGATACGAGGCCTCGACCTCCTCGTCCGTGCCGTCGAGAGGAGCCTGGTGGATACCCATGGAGTAAGGGAAGTGAGTCTCGAAGAGGTTGTCATATCGTCGAGTGATTTCCGCAATGGCCTCGGCCAGAAGAACCTTGTCCGCATCGGAGAGATCGACGAGCGCGCGCTTGTGTGTGCGACTAACGATCATGGTCTCAAAGGGCCAAGTGGCCCACCAGGGACAGACAACAATGAAGCTCTCGTTCTCAAAGACAACACGCTCCTGCTTGCGGCTTTCCAGCGCCGCGTAGTCCTCCAACATGTGGCTGCCGTTGTGCTCCTGACGATAACGGCGGAGCTGCTCGAGCTCCGCAGCTGGTTCCTCAGGGAGAGTGCTGGTGGTCCAGACCTGGCCGTGAGGATGGGGGTTGGAGCAGCCCATAGCGGCGCCCTTGTTCTCAAAGATCTGCATGTACCGATATTGCTCCTTAGGCTTGGTCACGCTAGCACTGTGACCAGAGGGCTGCACGTGGGTCGGGGGCGCATTGACTGCCAGCGGAGACTTCGGTGATAGGTGGGCTGTATAAATCTCGGTCCAGGCATTGATCACCGGCACGATCTCGGTAGGGGACAGATCGGCGAGAGTAAGATTGTGCGCAGATGAAAAGGTCAGAACGTAGCACTTTCCGGTGACAGGCTCGGCGTTGAGGAAGCGTGCTTCAAGGTCTACGTGCATTAAGTATATGAACAACAGGCAGTGATGAATGGAGAGTATTTGTGTGATGCCTTACCGTCGCCGCTTGCGCCTTCGTATGCGGCTTGTTCTTCCTTCACAGCACTGTAGTCATTCACGAACACGAAAGTGCTCTCGTACTTGGGGTTGACGTCTCCCTGAGCGCGCTTGTTACCCGGGCAGAGGTAGCACTCGGGGTCGTGGGACGGGAGAGTGGTCTTTGATGGGCTTTCTTGTTGGCCTCTGAGGAAATCGCAAAAAGTTCACGCCATCAGCGGTCATTCTTTTTTTGGACGATGCTTCCTCTCGGGAGGACGGAGGACACTCACTGCCAGGGGCGCTTGGTTCGGTGCGGGGACACAAGAATGTGGGAACCCCGCAGAGGGTTATAGCGACGGTGAGAGATGTCGTCGAGGACGTTCGCCATGATGAGCGGTAGAGTGATAATAGTCAGGACAAGGTAGACAGTGCGAGAAGCAGGATGAGGGAGGGAATCTTAAACAAGAAGAGAAACGTTGCTGGCGAAGGCCAACCCCGCCAACTCGGGGATATCGGGTAGCTTGGACGGAACAACCGTCGCAAAGGGGCTTGTGCCGAATTCTTCCACCATGCAACAGTGGGGTAACATCACCAGTGACGTGGGGTCTCCGGAATTTTTATTGCAAACACGAATTGCCTGTCGGACAACAAATTGCGGAAAAGTTTCGTGTTGTATCCAGGTCCCTCGTGTAAAAGATGTAGGATGCCAGCATTTCTTCCGCGAACCGTGCAAGTCATGAGCCTCGCCAGCATATGAAGGTCATTTTGATCATGACACTTAGCTAGGACACTTGTATCCTTATCGCAATGCGGAATCCATCTACATGAGTGTGACGTGCATTGACTCCAGGTTTTGGTGGAGAAGAATTTTTTCCTCGGTGAGCCGGAATGGCATCGTCTCGGGATCCCGCTCTCGGCCCAGAGACTCAGCCGGGGTGGAAAATTGGGGCACTGGGCAGAGGCGCACACGTGGAATCAACGCTCCCAAAAAGACCTGCGGTTCATTAAAAGCGCAGTCGGGTCAATGGTAGTGTCTCGTAGTTTTCAAGGTACTTTCCTTTTCGAGGCTGCATCTCCAAGTCGACTGACAATCAACAATAGCCTCTGTGTGCTATTTCTACCGTGAAGCGTAAAGCGTGGAGCATGGTGACGTCAGATGACAATGGCCTAGCACTATGTACAATTGTACATCGAGTCGGTCCTTATCTGGACCTTATCGATACGCTGATTATTAAACCATTGCCCAAATTGAAGGACTGAGAGTACACTTCCATCGCCAATATCCTGCCTTGGGACAGAATACATTGCTTTGTGCAATGTTTCCTGTCACTCGACACCTCATAGACTCAAACAAACGTTTCTTTCGATCAATTCATCCGTACCACACGATATTGTATCATTCATATCAAGATCTGATCCTGCACCTGTCTTTGGCCGGTTGCCCCGCAAGCCTCCAGTCGTCTCCACACTAAGTTGAATCAGGTAGTTACGAGGAATATATACATTCTCCGCAATCTTCTCGAAGGCAGGGACATCAACAAAGAAACTGTCTCGCTGTCACCAAAAGACTCAAATCTTCGCAGCAAAAATCCACTCGATCATTTCCAGGCGGGGGGTTCTTTTGCGGAGAATGGATGCGATTCCTGTAGAGGTACGAATCACATCTTGAACAATATCCGAGTTGAGATCTGACTTTCATGGAGCTCCTCGAGAGAACTCTCGACCCCTTTCGATCAGCGTATCTGGTCTCCATCATGCGCGTGAGCAAGAGGTTTCACGCAGTCGTGTGCCATATCCTCAAACTGCGTCTGATACAAGCCCCGCAACAGCTTGCGGAGTTCAAGCCACTTCTGGAATGTGGCCAACCCAGTACCGAGCCGCGAAATCTCGATTGCATCTACAGAGAAAATACAGGGCTCGGAAAGGTTGTCAGCCAAGACCAACATTTTCTAGAAGCGTATTCGATTTTCAGACCGGAGTCGAACCAACCTAATACTGGCCCGCCAGAGTTTCGTACGGGTAAGAACGCCAGTGATAATTACACGAAAACGACATGAGCTCTAACCTGGTTCGCCCGAAAGGATCTTCGGAGAAAGGTGGTGTGGTTGCTCTATCCGCCATCGAGTCATTTGGCCAATTCACAGCAACGTTGAAGCTCCCTTGGACACCTGGCCAATCCGTCAATAGCCCACACAACGTCGTCTGTGGTAAGACCATACGCCTACAAAGGCGCTGGTTAGAGAATGGCCAGCCGGAAATCTTTTGGCTCGATGATGCAGAGAATACTGGTGTACGCCTCCGAGCTCGACAGTCAAGGGGAGCCGGATCAGAGCGTTCCCGAGAAAGGGACGACGACTGCTGGGAGGTAGATGTTGAAGGTCAGTCAGACATATGAACCTTTCTCCCATTGATCAGGGTGAACGAAGTCCATACTCACATGCATGTAGAAGTCCTAGTGCGGGCAGTTCCTCTCTTGGTTGAGTTTGAGAGGGCCCAGGACACGAGAAGTAGCCAAATCGTGCTCTATATCAGGCCTCAGGGCTAAATATGGCTTCGACCACAACCAGGACCTTGACCGCAGAGGTACCGTAACGCAAGAGCTCCGAAGCTAAACCAGAGGGCTTCGATCTTTGAGTCAAGAGTCTATGTATGTGGTTTCAGAGGACCGTCATCTGGGCGTTCACATCACATCTTCCGAGTTTCATGGTAGGTATTGAAGATGTAGAATGGATACTCCTGCTTCAAGGTCCGCGAGTTGAATAAATAAAAAATCAGTATCTCATTCGAAGTCTGGGAATGAACGAGTTTTTCCCTGGTCTGTTTCTCGTACAATCTTCTAAGACTTCATTTCTGTTCATCGTGTTGCTTTCAGTATCGAGCTTGTGCGCATCTTCCACCCGCAGCTCATCAGTAGCATATGACTCGCAAGCCACAGTACATCCTGTGGGACACAGAGGGCAGGGCCACCTTCGCACACAGTCCGCAATGTTTGCTTTTAGACTGTCACATGAAGCGAGAGTGCGCGCCTCGCTAGCCTGGATCTCAGCAGAAAATTGTTTGCCTGCTGGGGGTATAAATACTGCCCTTCCCCCCTTCTTCTCCAATTTTTTTTCTCTTCTTCATCTTTCTTCCTTCACATCATACCTTCTCATCACTTGAGTTGTCTCTCCCAATCAACCTTCAAGCCCATCCTACTGATTATACATACCACATGATCAAAGTATCTTCTTATCCTCTATCACCTTTCATCATATCATCATCGTTCTAGCCTGATGACCGTCCACCTTGCGATGACACACTCTATCCTTGAGCAGCCTGGTCACACAACAACATCACCACACAAAAACATCACCACATAACAACATCACCACACAACAACATCACCACATAACAACATCACCACACAACAACATCACCACACAACAACATCACCACACAACAACATCACCACATAACAACATCACCACACAACAACATCACTACACAACAACATCACCACATAACAACATCACCACATAACAACATCACCACATAACAACATCACCACACAACAACATCACCACACAACAACATCACCACACAACAACATCACCACACAACAACATCACCACACAACATCCTTACCATATATTGACAGGACCACACAACAACATGACCACTCATCAATATAATCATCACACAACAACCTGACCACACAATTACCTCACCAAATAACTTCTTTGTCTTTTAGACATCACAGTCAACTATACATTTTTTGGTATGTCTTCACACAAAACGATTCGCTATCCTACACGTGTCGCTTAATTTATATTTTATAGGCCACCTCTGAAGAGAGAAGCAAGAAAAAAAAAAAAAAAAAGCAAGAAAAAAAAACAAGAAAAGAAAAGAAAAAAAAAAAAAAAAGAGAAGAAAAAGAAAAGAATAGAAAAGAAAAGAAAAGAAAAGAAAAGAAAAGAAAAGAAAAGAAAAGAAAAAGACAAGAAAACAAGAGACAAGAGACAAGAGAAGAAAAGCAAGAAGAATGACAAACACGACATCACAACACAGACCTTTGACAGGTACCTACCATCGATCACATTCAGCATCAGACACACCATGAACCATCTCTATACAATCGGCCAAAATCACCAACACATATCAACACACAACAAGTCGAACAGAGAATTGACCTACTTGAGCGGTGTGGAGGCACAAGCCGCTGGATTGGAGTCAGAGGTGAAGAAGCACCAGACAAATTTGGGTTATAAAGAGATGAAGAAGCATCTAACATCAACTACTTCCAACCATCTACCACTTCTACCACCAACCACCTTTACCACGATCCACTTCTACCATCAAACGCATCTTCCACCAATCACTTTCACCTTTTGAATCTTCAAGCATCTCAAATCTCAGACGAAATGCGGTGTGGAGGCACAAGCCGCTGGATTGGAGTCAGGGGTGAAGAAGCACCAGACAAATTCGGGTTACAAAGAGATGAAGAAGCATCTCACATCAACTACTTACAACCATCTACCACTTCTACCATCAACTGCGTCTTCCACCAATCACTTCTACCTTTTGAATCTTCAAGCATCTCAAATCTCAGACGAAATGCGGTGTGGAGGCACAAGCCGCTGGATTGGAGTCAGGGGTGAAGAAGCACCAGACAAATTCGGGTTACAATGAGATGAAGAAGCATCTAACATCAACTCCTTGATCCTTGACCATTGCCCACTTCTACCTTGGCCATCAACTACTTTCAACCATCCACCACTCCTACCACCAATCACATTTACCACCAACCGCGTCTACCTTTACTATCGACCACTTTCACCTTTTGGTTCTCCAAAACTCTCAACCGAAATATGCGGTGTGGAGGCACAAGCCGCTGGATTGAAGTCAAGGGTGAAGAAGCACTAGACAAATACACGAGAGACGAAAAGCGTCTTAACATAGTGATAGAACTGGCTTGTACTTCTCAAGTCTTCCATATCAAAGATATACTTTCCCACTCAGCTTCCGTAAACACCTGACTATTCACGATGACTTTACTGCTTATGTAGTTCGCGGTTTCTCTGCACGCTGCCGACTCCGCCAAGGACCTGCCTGCTCTACCTTAGTTAAGCTTCATACGAACTACCTACCTATCTACACCTCAAGTGCCCCCGCCCCTCTCAGTTGAGCACCAAAGATATCCCTTGGAGACAGGTTATGGATGATTTCAGTCTCACTTTGAGATGAGACCACATGCTCAAAACAGGGTGCGCCACTTCGATCAAGACTCACAAACCTCTTCTGATCGCCGCGTGTCGTCTCTGCAGCACCACGTTTGAGCCGCCTGCATTTCTCGTGTGGGTGCCGAAATCGAACATTCGTGCGTCCAATTGTTACTCAGCACGTTCGTCAAACCGGGTGAGACCATTCGAAACTTGATAGGAACGATCTATCACAAATCGTGCTCCGTAAATGAAAGCGACTCCCTCGATAGCCTACCGCAGTCCACGAGTGTAGTAGATGGCAAGTGGTTCTCGCCAAGCCTTCGACCTGGACGGGATTCGGGAGGCTCGGGAGTGCCTGTCGGAAACGGTGGCGTTCTCGGTTGGTTCCTCGGTTCAGTTGTCCAATTGTATACCTTGCTCGACTGGTATATTTCTCAATCAGCTACATCATGATGCTCTCTTGCTAAAGCTTGGTTATGCTATACAAACGAGTATCCTCACTTCCCACTGAACCGATCGCGCGGATGGTCAAAGCTGACATCTTGGTGTTTCAGACCGGGCCATTCGCGGTGGCTTTGCAGGTGCCTAAGGCGATTCTAATAAGAACCCCACTAAGGTAAATGATACGCTATTTCAGATCTGGATAATCAAATCTTGAACGATGAAGCCAACAGGTACGAGCCAATTATGTGATCAACTGATCAAGTGATGGCTGAAAAAGCATGATTCATGCTGTTGCCGAGGCTCCCGGATACTGATGTGGATCGGTGGAGAAAATCGAAATGTGGAAATCTACAATTTTTTTTTCGCATATGCGAAAGCGTTTTCATGGACGCCACCTTGAAGCACTTTGCACGAGGAATGCACTGTGAATTTGAAATCATCCACGTTGGAATGAACCAGACATAAGGAAACGTCTGCGGACCTCATGAGCAACCACTCTCGCCTTGTTTCCCTCATTGATCGCTCATTGACCTTGACACCTGCGAAGCCTTCCCGGTGATTGTCGACAGAGTCTACTCTCATGGCCAACTCTGCTTCAGCCGGGGGCGAGTCCTCCCGACCGTCGCAAATCCCGTACTGGCGCTTCATCTTCGACCAAAAAGTGGTGACAGAAGAGGTTGCCTCGTTCCCGTATGCAGGCTTGGGCACCGACGAGGACCCATTTGTGGTGGTTTGGCTACCGCGCGATCCTCGAAACCCAATGAATTTTAGCTCTTTCAAGAAATGGGCTATTACATTCCTGGTATCATTTGTCACGCTGGCAGTAGCGCTTGTTTCTTCGGCGTACTCAGGCGGCGTTCGTCAAATTATCGAAGAGTTCAACGTGGAACAAGAGATTGCCATCCTTGGTGTGTCATTGTTCGTGCTCGGGTTCGCAATCGGCCCCTTAATCTGGGCGCCGATGAGTGAGATCTTCGGCCGTCGTCATGTCTTCACTTTCACCTATGCTTGCTTGACTGCATTTAATGCAGGTGCTGCTGGTGCGAACAACATCACAACTTTGATCATCTTACGCTTCCTGGCGGGTTGTTTCGGTTCGTCACCGTTCGGAAATGCAGGCGGTACCATTGCCGATTTATTCACAGCCTCGCAGCGCGGTATGGCGATTAGTTTCTTCGCTGCGGCACCTTTCTTAGGTCCCACCATTGGGCCTGTTGTCGGTGGCTTCCTGGCATCTGCAGCTGGTTGGCGATGGGTAGAAGGCTTACTTGCCGCCTTCTCAGGTCTTCTTTGGCTATGTATCATTTTCCTTCTTCCGGAGACGTATGCGCCCGTGCTACTACGTCGCAGGGCAGCTAAGCTGTCTGAAATGACGGGACAAGTCTACCGCAGCAAGATTGATATTGAGCGAGGGCCGGTTCCTCTCGGAAAGACTCTGAAGACTGCCCTCTCACGACCCTGGATCCTATTGTTCCGCGAGCCTATTGTCCTGCTCTTTTCGATCTATATGTCGATTATCTACGGAACACTTTATATGCTCTTCGCCGCCTACCCGATCGTTTTCCAACAAGGCCGTGGCTGGAGCGAAGGTATTGGCGGTCTTGCCTTCCTTGGGATTCTGGTGGGCATGGTCATTGCCGTTATTTACAACTTCCCCGAGAATCTACGCTATGCAAAGAAGTGCAGTGAGACGACTGATCGCCTCCCACCAGAGCTTCGGCTACCACCGAGTATGGTTGGCGGTATCGCCCTCCCAGTGGGACTGTTTTGGTTTGCTTGGACAAATTACCCCAGCATTCACTGGATTGTACCTATTGCCGCGGGAGCTCCTTTCGGCTTCGGTATGGTACTTGTCTTTTTGAGCGTGATGAACTACCTGATCGATTCATATGTTATTTACGCCGCTTCCGTCCTGGCAGCGAACTCTGCACTTCGGTCATTATTCGGAATGGCCTTTCCACTTTTCACGACCTACATGTATCAGAACCTGGGTGTTCACTGGGCCTCTTCCATCCCAGCGTTCTTGTCGCTCGCCTGTGTGCCGTTTCCTTTCATCTTCTGGAAATACGGTGCGCAAATTCGTCAGCGATGCACTTATGCTGCCGAAGCAGATGCGTTCATGCGCCGCCTTGCCGAAAAGAACCAAGTCGAGCTTCGTCGCGAAGAAATCGCTCCCAAGAACGAGCATGAAAAGGCTGAAGAGATGTCTGATGACTCCAGTGACACGGAAAGTCTCTCGACCGTGCCATCGCGCATCAGTTTGGGGCGTCTGGCCTCCCGGGCGTCTCGCCAGTCAGGAAGGTCAATGCATCGAACGCCAACGGCTACTCAATATGAAGAGAATCCGTACGACCTTGATATCGTCAACACTCGACAGTCTGCCATGAGCGGTCGCCGCCCGCATGGCTGAGCGCTCAAGTATTTTCGCCGACAATTTCTCTATTTGTTTGACTTACTGAGTTTTCAACTCAAGTCAACCATCCTGACCGAATTTCATCGTTAACAATCGATGACAGAACAAGTTGTGTGTTGCAGGGCACCTATCGTTGAGAGATTTTCTGTCTTCAACTCCTGTAAAGGGACTGTATATATTGTATTCCTCAATTGTGCAAGGAAACAAATCATGATCTGCGAGAATTCTATTTGCATCAAACAGCGTCGGGTTTCCTTGACTGGGAGAGGCATCACATGCAACACACGATTTTTGATACCCCTTGTGTTCACCTTATTATCTGAACTCCATAATATATAATTCAAAAAACAAGAAATCTACCATCGTCTCATTGCACAACCTTAAAGACATTTTTTATTACAGTGAGCTTCCATTCCGAGCGTTCATCCAAGTACGCCCGCCGAGATCTGATTATTTGATCAGCCCCACACAGCCTCGGTCCCCGGGCTTCCCCCCCCCATCACCTCGGTCCGTCTCCCGACCAGCTCTGCCAGCTTGACTGCGAGATCTAGTCTGTTTCACCTACATTCAAGCCTGATGACATATACTAGCGAGTAGCGACAACTATTTCATGGATATGGTTGCTTACTGACCACAAAACACCAAATTGTACCCCCTCCACCAGTTCATATCACCACCCTGACACCCTCAGAGCAGGATGAGTTGCAAGATAGATGCTTACGTCGATTGTGGTGAGTGCACATCGCCAGCTTTATGCTAGTGTCGAAAGAAGGCCGACACGAGGTTGAGTCTGATATAGCGTCACGAGGCACCCCATATACTGACTCACTCATTAAAAGTGTCTCCGTACTCCTTTCTCGCGGCCCATTATTTGAGGCGCAATCGCAAGGCCCTCGAGTCACATGGCGTTGAGATCGAGTAAGACTGCTCTCGTGAGAACGCTGCGTTGCTATTGATAGATGCTGACCAGTAACTAGATTTCATCCGGTCTTCCTTGGCGGCGTCAATGTAGGATCAGGTATGCGCTGTCTCTATGCGCGCGGCTGATTTGACTTGACGCTTTACAAGTCTTCGCTTCTGCCCGACCAGGTTCAAGTACCTTGGACTCTCTCGGCTTACATGTAGCCAATTCCCACAGGAAACAAACCTCCATGGACACTACCCGCAAAGGCAGCCTATTCCAAGTTTGACCTCGCGCGTGCCAGTAAATACTTTGGCGTGCCGGCTGTCAAGGCTCCCGACTTTTTCCCCATCTTGACAATCATGGTAAGTAGAGAGCCATGAAGGATCTTCCTTTCATGTGCGAGAATTGGCATATCTATCCCAATGGTTTCTAAGATTCTAATTGTTCATACTCCTTTCCGACTGAAGCCTCAACGAGGCATGATTTACATCAAACGCCACTTCCCGCGAGAGCGCTTTGAAACAACCCTGCTCTCACTCACAGAGTGGATATTCTACAAGAGCATCGACATCAGCAAGCCCGAAAATCTCACCAAGCTGTTACAGTCTCAGCAGTATTCGGACTCGGAGATCCAAGCCATTCTGGGGGCGGCAAAAGATCCAGAGTACAAAGAGGCGCTGACTTACAATACGCAAAAGGCGTTAGATCTCGGGGCGTTCGGTGCGCCGTGGTTCTGGGTGCGTAATCAGGCTGGTGCAGAGGAGCCTTTCTTTGGAAGTGATCGGTGAGTGAATTCGAGTTCTCTTGGCTGGTAGCTTGTTTTTGAGACGACAGTAATACTGATTCGAAAATCAGGTTCAACTTCATGTGGCAGTTTTTGGATATTCCTTTCCAGGATTTGACCATTATCGAGAAGGCCAGATTGTAGTTGAAGGGAAGATCATGTCATTCTCTGAACAGGTTGAGAGGGTAGTGCATGTTTTCAAATCAGCTTCTTCAAGGGTCTTTCTCGCAGAGGACTTAAATCATGTGTCCTCCAGATCAGAGTGTATTGTTGATTTGTTAGTAGTATGCATGACTCGCGGAACGGCCAAGCTTCCGCCAAGAATTTCTTGCAAGATCATTTGCCACGAACCTTCAGCAAGCATTATTAGATCTCAGTCCGTGTATTTTCCGCTGCTGTAGCAGGATACAGTATGATTCTGTCTCAATAGTTAAGCCTTGATTCCACTGTCACCATGGTATTCGGCTCCAGCCTGATTGTCAAGATTGATCATCGATCACACACGGCAGAGCACACTCGGCTTTTCCGAGCAGAGGTCACCGGCCGGTCATTCGACCTCCATTGTAGGTAGCTCAACACCCGAGTATTGCCGATGAATTGCCCCCGGATTGCTTCACAGGACTGCGTCTGCCGAATCCTATTGAAAATAACTCGGTAGTTTCCCGATCTCTCAAATCGCCACGATCCGGGAGAAAGCGAATAAGATCTGAGCCCGGAGAGTGGCTTGCGGAAGAGCTGTATGTGTTTTGTGTGTACCTGATGTCTTCTTTACCCCACGTCTGGCCCCACAAAGCCCACACCGTCATCGGTCATCGCCCGCGTTGGAGATCGAGCTGTTGTTTCTTCTTGTTCTTCTTGACCACACTTATATTTCTCACTTGCTTGACCAACACTTTTGTCTCTTCATTCAAAACATCATCACAACAGCACCATGTCAGGGACCTGTGTAACGTGGATTGGCCTGGGTAACATTGGACGGGTAGGTGTTGCACCGCTCTGCTTCCCCCACCTTACGTCCAACTCCCATGATGGCGCCTTTTGAGTCTTGAAATCCAGACGGAAGGAAGAGTAAGAGAGACTGACAGTTTGCCACAGGGCATGAGCAGTAACATTGCCAAAAAAGGCCCCCAGACCCAATTGATCCTGTATAATCGAACGAGCTCGCGAGCCGTCACCCACGCCGAGAACATCGGCAGCAACAATGTGACCGTCGCCCAGTCTCTCTCCGAGGCGGTCGCCGCCTCGGACCTAATCTTCGCCTGCGTTGGCGACGACGCCGCTATCGAGGCCATTGCGGAAGAGATCCTCTCTGATAAGAATGCTGATCTGTCCGGTAAGACCTTTGTGGACTGCTCGACGGTGCACCCGGACACTTCGCGCCGTCTGGAAGCTTCTTTCACAGCCCGCGGAGCCGGCTTCGTCGCATGTCCGGTCTTTGGAGCGCCTATCATGGCCGACGCCGGACAGATGATCGTCGTGCCGGCGGGTAAACAAGCCTCCATCGCCAAAGCGACGCCCTTTTTCGAGGGCGTCACCGCCAAAGCGACCATCGATCTGTCCGACGGAAGCGGCACAGACGTTGATGTCAGCCGTGCCTCGACCTTCAAAGTCCTCGGAAACTCCTTCATTCTCAACACGGTCGGTGTCCTTGCCGAGTCGCTGACTGCCGCCGACGCAACTGGGCTAGGCACCGGGCCGTTCCGCCAGTGGTTGGAGTTATTCAATCCGGGGCCCTTTGTCAAGTACGCAGATCGAATGATCAGTGGGGATTATTATCAGCGGGAGGAACCGCTGTTCGCGGTGGATTTGGCCCGCAAGGATTTACGCCATGCGGCGAGTTTGGCGAAGGAGGGGGGGCAGCGGATGCGGAATGGAGAGGTGATGGATGGGTTGTTGCAGGGAGTGAAGGCTGAGAAGGGGGAGAAGGGGGACATTGCGGCTGTGTATGGCGCGGCTAGGAAAGCCGCTGGTTTGAAGTTTGAGAATAACTGATCTGATGAGAATGAGGTGACCTCGGGGGGCCGAGGAACAAGACTGTCATCTGACTGCACCTACAGTACAGTGCTGCATAAGAGAAATTGATGATGAATCGCGGCATAACTGTTCATACGCAGTCTTTCCTTTTTTTTTGTTGTTGTTGTTTTTTTTTTCACCTGTAATATTGGGACCTGTGATTTACTATATTAGGTAATTTTTGCCGTTCCCGGTCTAGCGCCCTAATACACTGTTTTGTCACCTCTCCTTCTAACTAGTTAACGATCCGCCTGACATAAAAGACCCGACCCTCACAAAAATTCCCATTTGTATAATTAGGGCCCATATAAAGTATTTTGGTGCGGCAGAATAATGGCAGAAAATAGCGGTGAATAAGGACGGTGCCACTGTACGGCTTAGCTCACGTGTTGCAACAGGTGACACGCTAACCCCGACTAGGCTAAGCTAGACCCACCACTTTTCCTCGATCCCACATTTTTCACCTTCTTACACCAACCACTCCCTCCAAACGCTTTTCAATATGTCAGGTCCACATCCTCAGTTCAGTCCTGCGTGTCCGATACCCTACATCCTCCACCCCGCGGAGCGAGTAGAGCAACTCAAAGCTTTTCTGCAGACTGATTTTGGCAAAGCCCAGCGAGTGAATATTGAAGCTCTTATTCGCCTATATGAGAATAGCGAGCTTGGACCACGCCAACGAGGTGATCCCCCGGTCTACCTTGTTGAGGGACGACGAGTCGAGAGGAACCCATGGGAAGATGAGTCGGTACCTAATAACGCGATGAGATGGTGTGAGGTATATTTTAATATCCATCAACCCATTAGCTATCCATTTTACTGGTTCATATTAATCATATTTTTAGACGTTAGAATATCAGTAAATGATCCAGCAACATGAACTACAGGCAAATATCATGTAATCCTATATGGTATTATCAATAGTCTCAGGCTAATCATATGCCGTATTTTTTATGACTATGAGCCGCAGCAAATGGTCCAGTCGAGATCGGAAACTTTTCCTTATTCGAACACCTTCCATATGCACCAGGTATATCACAATCTAAGCTATATCAATGATGACTTGAAGTTATTCACTAACACAAACCAGCTACATGCCCAGATTAGGCTACCTCCCCAGTATGGCGGTAACGAACACTTGACGCGGCCTTTCTTAGTCTGCAATGATACTGGAAGCAACGTGCTTACTGTCTTCATGTCCGATCTCCTGGCGCTTCAGTTCGATATGGTACTCCACGGTCCAGCCATACAAGGCGCAACGCCAATAAATACCGCTAATGGCCAGGCCCTCCAGCCTCTGATATTTGTTGATATGCAAATTGTCACTTCTTCTTTTGTGGCACTTACCCCCTGGTTTCGAGAGACTGCTATTGTGAAGCCAGATAGCCCGGGAGATGCACGTCTCTCAGGGGCGGCCATGCGTAACCATTTATTCTTTGCCACAGCGCCCGGAAATGCCCATCTGTACGTCGCGCAGAAGAAAGCTGGAATTATTCGAGATCTCCCTGCTTGAGTTCTTCTATTTCCCCCCCCCCCCCCCCCCCCCCCCCCCTTGCCTAGCAGAATACCACCTCTTATCATGGTACTAAATTCAATTCAATCGATTGCAATAAGGCCATATTTACTCTGTATTTTGATGACCGCAGACGTAACCAATTCAAAGACCGAAGAATCTCCGAGTAATCAGTGAGCGCTCACTGAGTCTGAGCTTGGACTGGAGTTTACTCGGTGAGCCTCACTCTGAGCGACGTAGCGTCCTCATAAAAGCAGCGGTAGCTAGGATAGGAAAGCCCCGCCTGGCAGAGGAAATATGGTCTATAGCGACCTACTTATCGTTTCTTATGTGTGGTTGTAAATGAGGGGTATAGTCTATCAAATCTTCCAGCTAAGCGCCACATAAGCTACTCAGTACGAAATACTTGAACCTCAACTAACAGAGGCTTTTCTCAATAATAAAGAAGCTACGGGCTTTAGCTGGGCGAAAACGCTACTAGGTCATAGCTCTTGGATGTCTGCGCGGTCGCGGTGTGCTTCCGAATCCAGTTTCTCCTTATTAATACTGTAGTCTTGATAAAAATTCAGGCGATTTATGCCATGAGGACTGATCACATAAATAGCAGCCCCATCCGACTTTTCTATTTCTGCTGTCTTGAGAGAGACAAATTGACAAATGATGATATAGCTATATTCAAAATTACAATAAGCCTCTATTCGTATATACAAGAAACAGTCTTGTTGTCAATTGACACTGAAGTGTGCGCGTCGCTTTCTTACCCGACCAACAGGCCTTTCTACCCTGCAAAGTAGATTATCTCATAACATCTTTTGATATGCCAACTTCAAGGTTCAGCTTCTCGGAATCGGTTGGAAGCGGTTGTTTTCCGAAATACATAGTGTTCGAGTGGGCCTGCGTTAGCGGCGATGTGCTCTTCACCAGAGTAGTCTGTAACTCTGTATAGGACTGGCTGACAAGGTAATCTGCTCAGTCGCGTCGTTCAATATCAAACCTCTTGCATTATTGAGGGTACATTGGTCTATGGTGGATTAGGAGTCCCGAATCTCTACTGATCACCGCTAATAAGGCTGAGTGACGTTATTGCTCTGGCGCTTTCCCCAACATAAATTAATATTCCAACGTGTTTTAGAGATGGTTTAGGTAGGAAAGTGAAGCTCAAATTAGGATCGCTCTGAATAGGTATCATATCCCGACTGTTCTGTACCTCTTAGCAGTTCTTCGTGTTAAATTGGGGCTTAGGGGACCGCAAGAAAAGGAGACATGGAAACCTTGAACCTTTAAATGTTTATTGGGGACCGTTCATGAAGCAGCCCAAAAGTTTCTTCATCCATATCTTGAAGGAATCTTGTTCCTAGGATCGACGGAAGTGTTTCTGGGAACATGACCTAGTGTTCCAGGATTAATATACCTCCTAGGATGGGCGTTCATGTTCCCAGTGACAGATTTTACACTCCTAGGAAGCTGACCGCGATTCTGAGGGCTTCAAACCCCTTCCTAGGAGTAACCGTGCCCATACCGTGACCATAATTTTCGTATGAGTCTAATAATGCTTTAGTTCGGTGGCAAACCTAAGTCTGTCCGCATTAGAGCGGGCGTTCAAGCGGCGGCTCGCTGTCCAAAGTTACGAGTGGAAAGGAGGCCGTTTCTGGCGCCATATGCTGCCATTTTCGGCGTCGTTTTCACAGGTCCCCTATATTCTAGTTGTAATTTGACCGGGGGTACACTTCTCGATTCCCGCTATTCTGCCTCGGTGCAAGTCCATACGTCACACGAAAAGAGGAACGTCGTACTTACTTGTACTCCATCGAGATCTCCCGACGAACCCTGGGTCTGACGGGAATCTCCTCAGGGCGCACCCTCACATTGGTGCATGGTAGATGAGCATCTTCACAACCAGCGTCATAGACATTGGGAAAAAAGGGCCATGATCGGCCGAGTCCGAAAGCTCCAGAACAAGTCATCTCGAGGACGTACCCTATGATCAGGATGTTTTCGTCATGCTGATCATTAGATAGCGGTAGCAGATTGATAGATACTGTTCCAGAGCTCTACAAGTCAAAGTACCGATGAGGAGGAATGTTTTGGAAAATAAGAGAGTTCCAATTCTTATGTGATACGGTTCCATAGCCATATCTTGGGGGGAACATGAGCCCCAACCCAGAACTTCGTAGCACGAGGAGGTTTAAAAGGTAATATACATGCGGCAAGGGTAAGTCATGAGAGACGGAGAAAAGAAAAAAAAAACAGCAATCAGAAGATGCAGATGAAAGAAAAGACCATGAGCCAGTCGTTATCAATTTTTTCCCGCAGCAATACATAAAACACGGCTGATAATGCAATGCACAAAAAAGACTGCAACAAACATCACACGTAGCAAACAGATCCTTTTACTCGCGAATCTCAGTAGGCTCATCGTGGTGTTGATGCTCCTCGGCACCCTCCTTGGCCTGACGCTCAGATGGGGGGCGTGCATCTCGTTGACAAGACCATCAGGAGCCTCCCAGGTGGAAGACTTCCAGGGCTTGACGTGCAGAACGTACATGGAGTCGACCTCTTCGAGAGTGCGGCCCTTGGTCTCACAGACAAAGAAGAAGACAACCCAGATGGCGGCAAAACAGCAGGCGGCAAAGACGTAACCGTAACGGAAGTCAATGGCGCTGGAGATGAAGGGGGTGAAGAAGGAGATGAGGAAGTTCCAGGTCCAGTTGGCAGCAGTCGCAATACCCATGCAGGTAGCGCGGTACCGGAAGGGATACATTTCACCGCAGATAGCCCAGACAATGGGACCCCAGGTGGTGGCGAAGCCGACAATGAAGAAGCAGGTGAACACGATCATGGCCACACCGGCGGGGTGAGAAGAGGGATCGACGTGCAGGACAGAGTGGCCCACGGAAGCCCAGATCAGGAAGCAGATGAACATCCAAGCGGCGCCGGCCATCAGACACTTACGGCGGCCGTAGTGCTCGACAATGTACAGACCGGGCATGGTCATACCAAAGTTGACGGCACCAAGGATGATCTGAGTCACGTAGGAGTTGCTCAGGCCAACACCCTGGAAGATCGAGGTACCATAGTAGAAGATGAAGTTGGCACCGGTCAGCTGCTGCAGGGACTGAAGACCCACACCGAGAATGGTCCGGTACAGCATGCGAGGACCAGTGAAGACCTCGTGCCAAGCAGCCTTGCCGGCGTGGAGCTCCTCCTCAAGCTTGTTCTTCATATCAGTCATCTCCTGAGCGACAACGCGGTGGTTGGTGGGGACACCGTAGAGCTTAGCCATGACCTGGCGAGCTTCCTCGACACGACCGTGACGGTAGGCATAACGAGGTGACTCGGGAAGGAAAAGAGTCCCAATACCCAGGATCAGAGGCCAAGCAAAGCCAATACCCATGGTGATGCGCCATGAAGCAGTGGAATCGATGCGCTCAGTGCCGAAGTTGATGATGTAGGAGATGAAGATACCGAAGGCAACAAACAGCTGGAAGGCGCTGACCATGGCACCACGGACCTGGCGGGGAGCAGACTCGGACTGGTACATGGGGACAACGCTGGACAGAGCACCGACACCAAGACCCATGACCCAACGGCCCATGGCGATCTGGTACCACTTATCGGTGGTAGCGATCTGCACAATGATGCCGACCATGTTGATGAGGGCCCAGAAGGAGATGGAGAGTTTACGGCCGATACGGTCAGCGATGGGAGCGGCCACCAGGGCGCCAATCATGGTACCGATGGAGAGCTGTTGCGAAGATCTCTGGTCAACAAACTTGCCTCTCACGGGTTGATGGTTTTCCCAAGGAAATTGGGAGAATGATTACGTACCAGACCGACAATGAGACCGTTCCGGACGTTGCTGAAGGCATATTCACCGGTGGCAGCGTTGTACTCGGCAAAACGTCTCTTGAAGTCAACCATGGTGGTGAAACCCGAGATTTGACCTACGGCCGAGTCAGCATGCCATGTCACCAAAGTATCAACCGAGAGATTGTAGCACGAGAATGAGGCTTACCGGTAGAGTAACCGAAAATGAAACCACCCATGGAGACACACAGACCAAGGATGAAGGAGCGCCATGTCAGGTACTTGACAGGGCTGTCATCAATGAGGCCATCGTTCTTCTCCACGGTAGAATCTGCGCGAGCAGGAGTCGCAGCCTGGGAGGAATACTGAGATTCATCACCGGCCTTCTTCCGGCCCAATAGGTTTCCGAGACCCATGTTGAGAAGGTCTTATCCAGCGATGGATGAGGTTCTGAACCGACTCTTGGAGTTTATGGGGAAAAGCTTGAATGTGTATGATCGGGTTCTCTTGTGATGGAGGCAGTGGTTGCGATGGAAGGAAAGAAGAACGACAAAAACTGGAGGGCAGGGCAGGGTGATGTCAAATAAATAGGATGAGAGAGCATCACACGGAGAATCGGCTTTGAACCTGGCTCCCTACTTTGGGGTCCCATGGCAGACAACAACGGGGGCCCGGATCTCGAGGCCCACATTACGAGAAAGAATGGAGGGGCAGAAGGAAATTTCCCACTGCCCTCCACGGGCAAGCGCGTTATTCTCCATAGTCCAAGTCCACACGGTTTGGAGGGCATCCTGGAGTGGAGAAGAAAAAGGGTGGAGAAGACACACTTTGGGGATGTCTCGTTGCGGGTTCAAAATGAGCACGTCCACGTGAGGTTGAGATCAAAAAAACAAGGGTCACGGTGAATGGACTGTTGACAGGTAGAATAGGCGTATAATTACAGTGTAAACAGAACAGGTATACATAATACAACAAGAAACAACGCAGTAACAACCAGTGACACGGCACCGACAGCGGCGAACATAGTATAGGAGGGTCACATGGGCAAATCTGACTAGATCTTCACTCGATCCAGGTGGTCACGAAGCACAAAAACGGTATCATACAATTCAGTAACTCACAGCTTGAAGCCTTGGACTAAATATCTTCCTCCCCGGGTAGACACCTCGAAAGTAATGCCGAAACCCGCGTAGCGTCAAAGGGAGACACCATGGATCACACTTTCACACTCCATCACAAGAGACGCCATCCAATAAGTGCGCGTAAAGGACCCTGTCACATATCATTACATAGTCTTACACAATCGCAATCATGGTGACTGAAGTCGTCTCAACAGAAAATACAATAGTCAGTTGGCCCGGTTCCCGAGCTGTTCAGATTTCCACTGTATAATGGGGTAAATGGACCGATGACTATGAGCCGAGCTCCTTTGCCACCTTCTAGAAGACTACGCGATCCAGTCGGAAGTTGATGCCAAACAGGAATGTCGCTGTCTGGGCCGAAGGGCCATACAGTCATACACAGGTAGACACAGCCTCATCCGAGTCAATGACGAGGGATGTCCGTCGCTCATACCGATGACCCAAGCCTGGCATAGAACAGTACGATGGTCGGCCGAGACCCTTGGCAGCCTCGGTCTATCTACAGGTTTTTATGAATTACACGATATACTTACTGTAGTTGATGTGCTACCTGGAGCAGATGTGTGTAGGTTTTCGAGGTGCTTTGACTGCGTTTTTAGGGTGTACTACCAACGGCTGGACAAAGCGCCCTGTCACTGTCAGAGAGAGTCGGAATCGTCATTGGACATGAAAGTGTTAACTCAGACAGAATGCAAGGTGCCATTGTTTTAAGAGCAGCATTCTACTACCCATCACTCTGCTATCTCACAAGCTCGAGGAGATGACCTTCATTGTTTGTTCTGTAGATGGTCTACAGTCTACAGTGGGTACAGTCTAGTTCTACAGTACGACAAATGAAACCCAATTCCAGAAGGCCTTGAAATTACATGACTGGAGTTTCAAAAAGGGGAGAATCACTCCATCAGTCACACCACAGTGACCACACAACTGATCTGGAATTGTCACTTGATGCGAGGCGTAGAAAATTTTTCTTGTCTCCTGCCACGGACAATTGGCATGCAGGGTATGCTTTTTTTCTGCTCGACGCCCAGTGGGGCCGTGGGTTCCTCGCCGGAAAAAGGTTGGCGCCCGAGCCTAGCGTTGCGAATGATGACGATCGCCGTGCGAGGAACGGGATCCGCGTCATAGATATTTCTGTTTGAAGAAGAGCAGATGCATCGCCCTCAAGCAAGGCATGATTTTCTTGGGGATTAATCAACTTATATGTCTCTGTTGAAGAGGATGATCATGGCCTTAAGATATGCTGAAGAAATAGGTGAACTGAAGTCTGGTGTAACATGGCAGATAAGGGTGGACTTTGTTTTTTTTGCTTCTGCAGTAGCCGCAGCCTCTTGGATGATCCACCAGACCCACTTTCGGTGAAGCCACTGGCCTCATCTCGGGCGTCACCCGTGAATCCCGTCAGAGATTTGTGATCTGTTGAGACATTCCAGACTTGAATGAGATCCACTCGTGACCCTCTTCGGCACACCGAGTCGAGTGATGCTGAACTTTCGGCCACTGGCCATCCCGACTTTGCCGAGCCGACTCGGGACCTTGCATATGCACGAAGCCGATCGGACCCGATCAGAATCTGCTTATCTGTGGTGGTGTCCAGCATAGCACAATCATATTCGATTCAAATGCACCACATTTGCTTTGAGATCAGTCAGAAAAAAAGACATGTCTTTCCTTGAAGAAGAGTTACCTTGATTCTAGGCGAAGTGAACAGTCTGCGATTGTGGAAATCTACAAAGCTCAAGGTTCCTGGACTCAATCTCGGCATGCCGAGCACGGGATCACTCGGACTCGGCGGGCCCAGCAGCAAGAATCTTCGGCGAAACTACTACTGTTTTCCTCAAATTTTCATGGGACCCGCTGTGACCGAGCTCTTTCCGTGATCGACAGTGGGGCCACCAAGGAAAGTGAATTTTTCATTCCTATCGAACTTCCAATTCTGGGCCCGGCAAGCCGATCAGCCCACTCACCTGTAATCAATCAGGAGACAGCCAAGGAAAAGGGGCGCACACCAACAGCAGTGGAACCTCGGTCTCCAATTGCTGTAGCCTTGACCAGTGTCAAGGTAGCAGGACATTCTGGACATCTTGCTACCATCCAATGGTGGCCAAGAACCGCTTATCGTGCAAAGACAGCTGCCAGCCTCTTGATGAGCTGTTACTGTTGCAAGCGAGCCATTTGCGTTGGAGAACGAGGTTCCTGGCCTGACGAGACGGAAGTGTAGCCTCGCCCCGAGGCCTGGAGCGCAGATGAATCTCTTTCTTTTTTTTATCTCTCTCTTTTTGTTTCCCGGCCGTGTTCCAGGAAGGTGTGCCGGTGATGGCGCAACAGCCAGGAACGCAACAGTTTGTCTCAATGTTGATTCGGCTCGGCCGTAGATCAAGCTCCGATGCAACATATAGAGTCGGGCATATTGTGATACGTATGATTTGGACCTGATCACCTGAGCGCTATCCATATCTACCGTAGACACTACTAGACTGCAGGTGAGCAGACGAGGCGAAATGCCGGGAGGTGTCATGCCACCGCTCGGTAGGTTACTACAGTACGCTCTTTATCTTTTGTAACGCCGAAAGCAGGTCAAGCGGTTACCACAATGGGCGCTGACGTATTCTGATTTTAACAAGGATGGAACTGACACGGACTTGTCTCTCCCAAAATCCAGGTCTAGTCTGGAAAGTCTCGGATGGACACTGATACGACCGGGTGTCCTTGGAATCTTGTAATTGGAGTACTTTTCGAATGTATCCACTACGCGGTGGCCACGATCCACGGATCTAGTACGCGCCACCTTCCACAAGGACAAGCCCAGTAGTGTTCTTCATGTAGTCTTCTGTGCCTGGACCGACACGACACTGGCTCAAGAAGGTAGGTATCGAGTGGACACGTTATTGATAAAGGAATATGGTTGGCCCAATTTGTGGTTTCTGAATCTTGTGGGACGGTAACCTCGCGGCGAGTTCTGTGAAAGAGAGAAACTCACTCTGATCGTCAGACTCAGCCTGAGCACCAGGGCGCTGTAAAGTAGGTACCAGGCTGACCATGTATCTCGAGATCCCACCAATAGAGAACGATTCTCCCGAATGTCCTTCACGTAGACTTCATCTATAAGTTCCTGATGAGATACGGCTACGGTAGTGGCAGCAGTATCGATGTGTGAGAGGGATGAGGAGTGAGATTGCTGAGGGGGAGAGAATCTACCTAAGCTATGGACTGTGGTGAGTGGCAGAATCACATGCCATTCAAACAGTTCCATGAGGAATTGGGTACTCCATACTCATAGTCCACACTCTCCAGTGCACAGTCCATACAGTTCTGTGCTGGTCAAATCTCGGTTCGTCTACCATGCTATCTACACCACTGGATCTCATGTCTTGGATCCTGCTGGGTATTGAACTTGCAGACACTTCCTCCCGAGGTCTCACACCCAGTCCTGAGATCAGGATGACATTATTAGTGATCGGTAGACTAAATTGTAGCTCAACATTGTGAAATAACTCAACATAATCGTACCTCCAGCCAGTGATAATACAGGCAGGTGTCCGCTTTACCTAACCACAACCTTACGATCTAAATCCAGCCTGTATGAATCTGGTGCCTACCCATTTTTTCGAGATCTCACGTCGTAGGCGTGAGTCTTTCCGTCAAGAGTCTGGGCCCCGAATACAACAGCTGCGGAGCTGTAAACTGGGAGCGGCTTCTCAAGCTAGAAAGACCTGCGAGTTTAATCAAGTCGTCTTCGGCAGTTCGTCCTATAAGTAATATCCATGGCTTCTGGACCCATGTACATTCAATATCAAGGTCATAGACAGGGACGCTCTCGTTGAATAGGATGAAGACTGCGAGGCAACACCAGTCCTCACGTGATCAAGAGATGAACGTGATAGACAGCACAGTGCACAGCGTGAGGTGGTAGAGCGCCTACTATGTAAGCTAAGCCTGCTACCTTACCTGGCCTAACACGCCAAATGCTCACTCGCCGGAAAAGCCCGGAGTCACAAAGACCCCGTCCGAGCACCGGTAAAGGTCGGCACGAACAAGATGATCAGCAGGAACAGAAATGGAGACTCATGGATCTGGGGACTCCAGCATCGCCGTGACCGATCAAGATTGTCAGTGGGCCACAAACTGGCATGACACCATCCAGTGGGGCATATCGAAGCTTGGAGGGGATTTGTTTTTTCACATGTCATGAACTCGACGACACCAGCATGACTAAAGCAGTCAAAGTTGGGGCCTCGGACAACTTCAAGTGGTACAATAGGTATTATGGCCTGACACCTTGTGCATGATGATTTGGGCACGGGAAGTGTAATCGACACTTCCGGGGTTAAGACCGTGTCTCTGGGATGTTGACTTTGAGAGCTGTTTAGCTTTGATTCTGTGCGCGACCCACGTAGTACACCGGGTCAGGGTTGGTAATACCAGTGCAGTCAATACTCAACAGACGACGACTAGGTACAGCTGATCTATCTCTCAATATGTAAGTATTCCGCAGGATAATCAACTCTTGCATGGAACTGGTCTCTACTTCCTCGCTCCGACCCAACCTTCCAACTAGGATGTTCACCTGACGCAGGGGTCTATAAAGATTCCTCAATGTAGACCGAGATTATGTTCGACCAGAAAGACACAAGACACAAGAGATGCAGACCGTCTGTACACCTGTTTCAAGCTGTAGTCCAAATCAGACTACACGCCCGACAGGGGCCTGACTGGCTATCCTCCAGCCATTCAAAAGGCTTAGTAAACCAACGCAAGTCCAATTGTCGGTTGAAAGTGGAGTGAGTTCATGTCTTCATCCAATAAATTCGTTGATCATGAAGTCCATATCGTGACCCTCGAAGATATCCCACAGAATATCTACTTGAATGGCTTGCGATGGTCTCGCTCGACATGGACATGTTAGATGATTCTCTCGGAGCGTCAAGGATAAGGTAGGGTTAGTGCATAAAAGTGGTGGTGAAGGCGGCGTCGAAATCGAGGTTAGTGTTCTTAGTCTCCTCTGAGTGGTTCCAGGGGCTCATCGACACCGTCATTAGATCCATGATTCTATGGATGCCATGCATTCAATGCTGATTCTAACTCAGAACCGCCCATCAGCACAGGGATGTCGTTTCACCGAGACTGGCACGAGCCCTGATCACACTGAGGTAGCTCAGAGCCCCCCGTACTGTTTCATCTTGAATGATTCTTCCCCATAATGACTGCCCTCGGCAGACAATCCTTCCATCATTGGGGCAATTCTAAGCAGACTTGGGGCTCGAGCCCGTCCACCTCCCAACGTAGCTGCGGCTCACAAAGATTGGCGGCTTCGTGTCTTCCTCATAAGAGAATATGATCCGCCATTCGTCCCCCGCGGAATGTCCATACCTCGAGACATGTCCTCTATGCCCTGGCAATTAGTTATTGTACTGTCGTTGTGAGCACAACCATCGACACGGCCGTCTTCTCATCATCCCATACCTTGTGTTCATCCCCCCTGGAGCGGCAGTGCTTCAACAGTCCGAACTGCACTCAGCCATCGTTGATACCGCCCTGGGAAGAAGACAAGTCGGCATTACGTTTGGCCCCTTCCTCGTTCAGAGAGTACCACGTCCTGATCGAGTTGATCATCTCTGGAAACCCCGAGGAAGAGTATCGCTCGTTCGAGTGCATTACTCGAGACTTGCCTCCAGCCATGGCGGTGAATGTGTGGGGCGCCGGGAAGGATTGAGTAGAGATTCACGGTGATTATGGACGTATGCTGAACCTTGTGAGCAGACTGGTTATTGACGGTGGATCTGCGTATCATCCGAGGCTTGAGAGGCAAGTCTCTGGTGTCGAGAGGCTGAATGGGAGCGTCTTTTGTGGTTGCAGGCGAGGCAATGTGCGGTGGTATGGGCGTTGTTCTTTTTTTCTGGTGTGCCAATGCGATTTGACCCATGGTAAGGGGAAGAATCTGGTTAATTTGAGGTCAGCTCGCAAGAAAGCCAAGTAATATGGAGACGGACGTGTAATCGTGAGATGAGGCTCTTCGGTACTTGAGATCCGGAAAATGATGCTGTATGTGAATTTTCTTTTTTTTTTCCCGGGGAAATTGACAGGATATTTACTGGTATATGTACATGCCCCTACCATACAGATCGGGGTGACATTTCTGCCCGCGGTGCAGATCGCCCATCCCGATGACCGGCCCATTCTTGCTGCTCCTCGAGCGGATCACTGCAATGCAGTGTACTATGTCCATCCAATTGAAACCGCTTCGACGCGAGGATATCAATGATCATCACCGTGGGAAAGAGACACTCCAAAGTATACGCGAAACGATCAAATTCCCCCGCAACGGTCGTCGCACTTTGAGCGGTCGTCTGTAATGAGTACGTGACTGCGCGCAAAATACCGATGCAACTGAGACTCGCGAGCCGGATCTCGGTGGATTGAAGCAAATGTCGGAACACGCCGCGGGTAGGTGAGCTCCAGGGTGATGTGCCGTAAGCGTCGCGCAGGAGGCGAATCAGAAAAGTGGCGCTGCTGACTTCGACGAGGGCGATGGCAGTGAAGTAGCCGAGGTGGAGGTAGTCGACGCGGGTTTGAAAAGGTTGGTTGGTTGCGAGTTCGACGGCGCGAGTGGCGGCGATGGTGATGCGAAGCGCAATGATGCAGGTCATGAGCGACCAGAAGATGGCGCGAAAGATGAGAAATGCGCGGTCTTTGAGGGTATGGACGAGAATTTGGTAGCTATAAAAGGAGAGACCAGCCTCCTGGACCTATTGTATTTGGGGCGTGTGTCAGACTCATAGACCCTCGTTGAGGGGGAGAATGGAAATAGACGCCAGGGACGAGCGCATTTACGAACCAGCCAGAAGGTATCGGCAAAGACGCTGGCGGCCGCTCGCTGCCGAATAGGATTCTGCGTGTAAAACGCAAAATAGCAGAGACCGTTGGCGATGGAACAGGCGATGGAGACGATGATTGGCACCAGATGTAACCGTGATAAGCGGGTGATGGCCGTCGCCCATAAACCCGCGACAGTCAGAAACAAGCCGATGGTGCTGAGGATAGACCAGCTCAGTTCGAAATATGCGGGGACGCCCATCTTGGTCGCGCAAAGCGGCTCATCGTTATTGGGTGCACCCGACCCCTGGAGATGGACAGGGAGACCAAAGACGCGGGGAGGGCGTATGTCATGCCTTGCCCGCCAGATCTCATGCGTTCAAGACCTGTTCTCCACTGCAGGTCCAAAGCGCGGGCAGAGTCGTTCTGATTGTCCGTCGAAAGCTGTTGTGGAGTGCAAGGAGGAGAAAGTTGCCTTTCTTATGAGGACCGGGGGGGGGGGAGAGGGGGTCGAGAACAAATTGAAGTGAGCAAACTCGAACCATGAATCACGGGGCCTGGCCCGAGACTCCGATAGACTTTTCTGGGGTTCCCAGAGACTGCCGAACCTTTGGAAGACTTGGGTCGGGGCATACGCCGAACGCGGCCGTCACAACCTCACACCGGCCTGGGACTGAGAGGCATGGACATGAACCTTGGTTGGATTCACCCGGTCGGGGCCCTGTTTTAAGCGAATCTGGGGGAGAATCTCCACTGGTGTGCTAAGGGTGGGGAGAGGGCATCGTTGACTCCACGACTCAAATTCGAACACAGAGAGACGGCGGGAGACATCCTGGACGAACCACGCGGCATCTGGAGGTTGAATAGCAGCAGAAGTGGAGCTATCGCTGGCGGCTCATATGTTGGTAGACGGACGACAGTGGTAGTCTCTCCTCCAATTCGAATTCTTCCGTGTCTCCAGCACCTCTCCACCCTTCCACATTTCGACATCGGTTGTCTTGAATGGAGGTGGGGAACTTGTATGGACCATGGACCGTGCGGGTGTCTGTCCGCGTGTGCCCTCGTGGTCTCTCATTTGACTCCGACAGGCACGATTCAACAATCCTTGATCTCGAGTAGCAGTCGAGTAGTCGAGTAGTCGAGTATTAAATAATTTCATGACAACTGAAGAAGATGGAAAAGCATCAAAAAGGTGGATCCCCCCCCCAGAAAAGCCGTTCAAGTCAAAAGGCAGCCGGCCGCTTAAGGTTCCAGTGCCCGGCTAAATCCCGTGATCATCACAAACCAGGAGTACGTTCCTTACTGCATTTAGTGCAGTGGTACATCACTACGTCTGACTATCACCAACTTACTATCAGGTACTACATGTACGAACGTAGACCACCAGACTTATGCCTGTTCCATCCTAGTTTCAGTATCCACGAGATGAACATGTCCAACAAAGATGGTAGCGAGCATTGATTTCATTCCACTACCGTTGACTTTCTATGTTCGTGCTCTGTCTCCACCGGAATCAAAAAGGTCATCTTTCCGTCTCCAACACGTTCCGAGATAGTTCGAACCGTAACTTGCGGTCAAACCCTGTCAATTATCCGAAGCATGCCTCTGAAAGCCTTCCAACTCAAAAGCTTCCTCACCCCCTCTAATGTCGAATATCTCCCGCCCCCTATCCCCCCAAAGTTCCGTCATCGCACCGCTGCACGCATCAAAAGTCCCCCTCGGAAAGATCCGTCGTCGCTCCAGCCTCAAAATCAAATACATTGCCCAGTACTGACAATGCTGCGGAGGAATCCGACTCGCCTGTAGACTCACCTCGTCCAAAAGTGTCTCGGGCGTGCTACCCAAGAAATGCCTGTACTGATAAGAGCGACTGGTGCATCGGTCGTCCGGCTGGATTTGCATCTCGTACCTGTCGGTGGGGATATGACCCTTCTCGTTGATGCAGTGGTAGAGGAAAGATGGGCCGGGGCCTCGCTTTTGAAGAATGATCACCCAGTGGATGTGTTGACTGGCTGCGTGGGGGAAGCGCCGGGCGAGCCAGATATCGTAGTGGTGGGGGCAGGGTTGGCACGGCATGTTGGAGGGATGTCCTATTTCAAGGTGAGTAGTCTATCGAGAAGAAGTATATCACGCAACTCGTGGATGGCTTCCGATGGAACGGAATGAAATAGGTCAAGAGGGAGGATTTGAGAAATTTGGCAAAGTTAAAAACTGCGGGATGTGGAAGCTTTGAGGAATGCTCAAAGATAGCCAGTGATTGTATGGTCAAGAATCAAGAGCGGTAGACTGGAGGGAGTCAGAAGCAGGCGAAACGTCGGATATAAGTACTCGTCGGAGACGCAGAAGTTCAACAGACGATGAGTTGAAAAACAGATTGATCCGGAAACAGCAGCTGATAATAGATCAGATTGGTTGTGCTTTCACACGGTTACTCTAACATGTAACAAACACTGGTGCCACAGATGAACAAAAAGAATACAATGGCTCTCAGCTGATTGATTGTCAGAGGGATCAAACAAAGCACCATGCCCTCGAGAATCGAGGGTCGCGGACCGACAAGGGTTCGAGACGGAGCCTACTGTGCCGGCTGGTCTCAATGATCCGAGTCCGAGAACAAAGAGGATAGTCTCACCATTCGGGATCGGGTTCTGCCAGGCATTGTTGATCCGTCTTGATGAGTTCACGGGCTACGTCTAATATATATCGCCGCTATCGTTTACACTACCACGCGTGAGGAAAAGCAGATTTCATTCCACAAGCCAACGGACATCTGTATTGGTATATGCAGCATTCATCATGTCTATTTCAAGCCTTTTTGGGTCCTCTCTGACGAAGAGGAAAATATAACAGACCAGTCCAAACAAGGAAAGATTGATCCCCAGGCAAAGTCATAAGAAGTTGTGAGACCTTCTTTCCACAGACCCGTCGAATAGGATCGACTTAAGCGACGGACCGGGGAGTCATGGCGCCGGACGTTCTCTAGCCCCAGCTTAGACTCTTCAATATGGTAGAAAGATGACAAAGAAAGAGGATGAAAAAAGTGGAAATGGGAATACAACGCCAAACACCTTTGTGCACCCGGTACGGAGAGAAAGAAATCCAAGCCCCACGGAAAATTTTGAGGATGATAAAGTGGCAGAACCTTAACGACGCTGGTTCTTGCCAATACCACGCTTACCGGCGACCTATTTGATTGAAGGAAGGAAATTAGTTGTTGATCTGCAAAAAAAAAAAAAAGAAAGAAAGAAAGAAAGAAAAAAGAAAAAAAAAGGCGAAAAAGGCGACTGATTAACAGGCCCAGAAAGAGAAACGGGATACATACCAAATGCTTGGCCAGCGAGACAGTGGTGTGACGATCAGCCTCACCCTGTCGGGCCATACGGTTCATCTTCTTCTGGCCCAGCTTGAACAGACGGTCGGCCTTGGAGCGAGCCGTCTCATCAACGACACCGTCATTACGACGATCAGTAGCGGCTTGGCTACGGGCACGGCTCTTGGCACGGGCAAGAGCCTTGTGGGGGTCATCCAGATCCATAGCATCATCTTCAGGCTCGCTACGGGTGAGAGTACGACCACGGGCTTGGCTCTGGGAGCGAGCACGGGAGCCAGCGGCGTCGACATCGTAGCCAGCAGAGTCGAGGCCACGCTCCATCTCGGAGAGCTTCTTGGCCTTGGCAGAACGAGGAATTTGGGCACGGTTTTTCAGCGACTTGCGCATCTTGGCATCGTTGCGCATCAGAGTACGCTTCTCGCGGATCAGGTCCGCCTTCATGCGGGTGTCGGCATCCTCGGCATCCTCCACGCTCTCGTCCGACTCGTAGTAGCCGTCGGCCTCCAGCTTCTCCTCCTCCTCTTCGAGAGCAGCCAGCTTCTTCTCGATGTCGGGGTCCACAAAGTCGTAAATGTTCTTTCCGTTCCACACCTCGGGAATCTTGTCGTGGTTCCACTCAGAGTTGGCAAGAGTGTAGTCACGCTGCATATCGAAGCTGTAGACACCAGCACCACCGTTCTCCTCCTCCAGGTCGCGCTCGAGCTTCCGGCGGTTGGGGTCGCTTTTGTCGTACTTCTGGAGGTTCTTGACGGCCTCGGGGATGAAGGTTTCGCGCGTAACACCACCCATAGGTTGGGCCACATGGATACGGGCCAAAACATCGCCAAGACGACCACCGGGGGTACCGGCACTGTTGGAACCAGACTTCAGCTTCTGAGACACACGCTCGGCGAGGAGCTTGTCACACGCGGCATTTTTGACTGCAGTGACACCCTCGGTGGTAGTGCAAGAAACCTGAAGCATCTCCACATCTCCGGACTTCAGAATCTCCTGCAACTCGACTTGTTGCTCCGGATCCAAGTCTTCTGGGCGGCGAACATCGATCTTGTTGACAACGATGTAGACAATCTTGTTGGCAAACAGAGGCTTAATGCTGTGGAAGAGCTTGATCTGGTCTGTGACGGAGTAACCGCACTGCTCGGACAAATCCATGAAGTAGAGAATGGCTGAGCGCAAATGGGCAACGGCTGTGATAGATTGCATCTCAATGGTGTTCATCTCCTCAAGTGGGTGGTCAAGAATACCAGGGGTATCGATGGCCTGGAAGCGCAGATATTTGTAGTCGAAGTGGCCAACGAACAATGACTTGGTGGTGAAAGCATAGGGCTGGACATCGACATCGGCGCGAGTGATGCTGCGCAGGAAGCTGGACTTGCCGACATTGGGGTAACCGCAGATAAGGAGGGTACGGGTGTTGGGGTCAATCGAGGGGAGACGACCTAAATGCTGGCGGACCTGCTCCAGGTAGACCAGGGGATCTTTCAGACGGCGGCAGATGGTGGCCATGCGACCGAGCGCAGCGCGCTTCAGCTGCTTGCACTGGAACAAAGATTGCGCATATTTAATCAAGCGGACATAATCGCGGGAAACACTCTCGATCAAGTGCTTGGCGGTTGAGACCTGACCAAGAGCAATGCGGAAGTGGTCGGCATCGTAGAGTGTGTTCATCAGATCCTTGTCTGCAGGTGATATCAGTACCTTTGTTGTTGCACAAGGCTCTCAAGGTACTTACGGAAAGGATGGATGTCCTGCAGACGAGGGAATCCATCAAGAATGGCCTGGAATTTCTCGCAGAAAGTCTCTTGGGTGTACTTGACCTTACGAGTGTAGAAACCTGCGGTGGGGAAAAAAAATTGCGATTAGCCGCCGCCCTTCCTTTATCGAAAACCCATTCAAATAGCAGGTTGGCTTGTATTTTCCTCCTCACCACTTGCGACCCGTGTGATGAAGGGAATAAGATGATTCGGAGCGCATACCTCGAATACGGCTGATCTTGAATCCAGCGCGAATCTGGGTGGGCAGCTGTCTCTGAGTGCGACTCAGGACAATGTCCAGGAATTCCTGGCTGGTAGGCACAGGCGCAATCTGGCGGTGACACCTGGTTAGTGAACTTTGTTCGACAGCGCTTTCAAAGTAGAGAACCTTGAGGGGAACATACATCCTTCCACGTCGTCTTCATGATGATCCACAGGAGTCAAGCCAAGGAGGTATATTGACTCTAAAGTGGCCAAGTTGATGAGTGATTCAAATGGGTGTTTCTCCATCGGAAAAAAATTGTTTGGCGGACATTTTTCTGCCGGGCGGCCAGCGAATGCGGGGACCTGGATTGGACGTGGTAACCGAGCCACTTTAAACTTAGCTTGTCCCTGGGAAGATGAACTGGTTGTGATCTGACTTTTCTGGGTGGAATTGACAAGGCCAGACGGCCACTGGGAGAGATGGACATTGATCCGATCCAACATAGGCAATTGCGCAGTATTGTGATTCAGTTTTCGATGCAGCAAAGACCAATTCTATGAAAATTACACGACCACGCCGATGATGGCTCGAACATCCCGTGCCCTTGACGAGAATACTGCAGTACAAGTGGCGAAAGAGAGCCAAGATCGGGCAATGCTGCTGTTGTACATCGCATATAGAATATATATTACACAGGCTTGAAGATCCCTCCAGACCCCTGTTTTTTCTTACACGAGGATGGTCTCACAAATCCGCCACCCTCAGAAAACACGAAGAAAACTCCCGATCCTAAGAAACCCTTGAAACGAAAATCGATGACCAAGGTGTAGCGCATACGTGACGTGACTGGGGACATGAAAGGTAACATAAAGACAAGACCACCGTAACAGGCTTCATACATATGACGCCGGAAGAGATGGGTTGGGTCGTAAAACAAAATGAACAAGGGGGGGGCAAGGAGAATTCGCATTCGGTAAGACCAGATCAACCCTGGCCTGTGTCCTGGTGTTAAACGTTCATTTCCTCATCGCCGAATTCCAAAACCTATAGCGGTGTGATTAGTCGTCGGTGTTCAAACAGGGTCAGGTCTTCGTTTCACCTGCCCTGCGTAGATTGGGGTAGTGGATAGGTCTTGCAACATCAAGTCCACGGAACGTACCAGATCAACCCAACCGCCTCCACCGAATTGACACTTACTGGGCCCACGAGACTCAAATCCAAAAGACTCGTAGAAGGGTACCAGGTGCTCGTGTGCAATGATCGCAAGGCGCTCTGCAATCTGTGCTTCCCGAATACGGTGAATGTAGGATTTAAGCAGAGTGCTGCCGACCTGCTTGCCCTGATGCTCAGGGAGAACCGCCAGAGAATGGATCGCGATGGTACGGCCCCCTTCCTCGTGACCAACCGCCTGATTATCCTCAAATGTCCAGCGTTGCGACTGCCAGTCCAGGGGGAGACGCATGGCGCGGTCCGACACCAAGGGCTCGCTAGTGCGAGTCGCAATGATGTGTCCGACCAAGGTCGGACGAGGCTTAGGCTGATTCTCGTCGAGGATGGGCAGTGTGAACAAGCCGAGACTGAGCTCTGGGCAACGTGTCAGACGGTAGATGAACTTCTCGCGTGAACAGCGCTCCGCCTCCGGAAAAGCATTTTCCACCTCGACACAATCCTCCACATTTGACACGGACAGCAGTTGCACAAAGGGGTGAAGCTCGTCCAGCTTGGTGCGATGATGGGTTGGAGGTCGGCGATACCAGTACGGGTAGTCGTTGGCATCTTCTTGGTCGACCGCGACGTAATCCTCATCTACTTCATCGTCGTCTTCGGGATCGTCGAGAGGGAAGCCACCGCCTGTGATGGAGATCCCAGCGCGATCAAGGATGCGAGCCAGATCATTGTTGTTGGAGTTTGACAAGGAGAGGAGGTCGTCATCGTTGGCGTTGGACAATGGCTTCAGGCCCGAGGTGTCTGGACCGGCCATTGACTCTGACGATTGCTCGCGCATGTTGGACATTTTTGCGATTTGGAAAAGGCGACACTTGGCGCCTCAAAAGTCCGGCTAGTGGAGTGATTGTAAGATCCAAAATGAGGTCGCGTGTCGAGGTGAATCAAGCCGACTCGCACGTTTGCGCTTTTTCGGATTTTTCCTGCAAGGGGACCCGGCAAGGTGGCGTCGATCGGAGGAGGGGTGGTACAGTGACTACAGTCTAGACCAGTGGGGGTCGTTAGTGGGCACGGGGCAGTCAGATCCTAGTGCTGCATGTGCCTGGAGGTACTGTCATGTCAGAGGTCAATTCACCAGAAATTTGCAGCAATCAATTGAAGCGGTTGACTCGGCGATGAGTAATGAGGGTGTGGGTTAGAACTACCTGACTCATGGCGGAGTTTCTTTGCGCCGCAACAAGGTTTTCTGCTTGAACCGGAAGTAGACTTTGACAGGACAATCAGAGTCTGCAACCTCAGTAATAGGCGGGAACGCAAGGAGATAGCGGCGACCGGCGCTCAGATGGGACTAAGAAAAGTGTTGATTCATTCGTCCCAGTTCTTTGTCTCTGATCAGTGATCACTGCTGAAAAAAAATCGCGATTCACTCACAGTGGGCTGAGTGTCTTTTTGTGCCAATGATGCCAAGATCAACCTTCAATCAATAATATCTACGGCGTTTAGACAGGGATTAAAGACGTGCAAGAAGAGAGCGCAATAGCAGTAGACTAGTAGGAATGCTCTTATTCCGCATTGGCTTGAGTGGCGGGAATCTTTTTGAACTGGAGTGACCAGTGATAATCAGTGATAAGTGCAACTACTTCTTCAATACCTCCCTTCTTGCATTCAGTACTTCTCTTTTGCATCTTGCTAGGCTATGAGTCCAGGTTCCACGTCTCTGACATGCTGTACTTACAAAGTGACTTTGAAGTATCTGATTAGTCAGGAGGTGGCGGCGCCTATTGCTTACTCCGCATGAATGCCATCCCAGGTTGCTTCAAGTTTACTCTAGTGAGGAAAAACAACCCATCGAGCGTGAAAAGCGGGAATTTGTGGGGGAGATTTGGTTTCAAGTTTGTAGTGCGATATCTTAGGTAGGTACCACCTGTTGTAGTCACTTACTGGAAACTTTCTTCGTGCCTGACTTGACAGTTGGATCATTCTCATAGTGGAATCAGACGGGAGGTACTCAATCTGGCTTGTACGTCCACCTGGTGTTACATCTCTTGTTGTCAACTTCGACTTTTGCTTCTGAGTCTGAGAGAAATTGCTCTGTTGGAAGTAGGCCCTGATTTTATGGTAATAACATAGGCCTCGCCTCTGGCGTCCATGAGGTCAGGACTATGAACGTATTTTATGTAGAATGCAATCGCTCGGCAGAATCAAGGTTTTCCAACCCTGAAGCCGAGAATCATATACAGCATTCAAAAAGTATACGCAACGAAGCTCGATATCTAGATTTCGAGGATCGACGCAAAAAATGTTCATACAGATTGAGCCTCTAGGATTTTTCCTCCGCGCACTCGTCTTTGCCGGGCGACGTCAGTCTGCCTTCTGAACAACAGGCCCCGAGGCGGAAGTCAATGCCGGCCGAAAAGCGGCCGAGCGGCGTAAATAACACGGCACAACCAGTCGGTCGGGCATGGAAGTAACATAAGGCTGACTTGTGCAGGCCGAAATCACGTCCAGCGTGCCTACGGTATCCGAGTCTGAACAGTTATGATGGGTATCAGAAAATTGTAGAGGAAGAAAATACCACCACAGACTACTTGATGGGGTCAGAGACTGTGGAAATACACAAATAAAGCCATTCAATCCTTTCCCCATTGAGATAGCTTTCGCCTGTTGCTCGGGGTTGACTATCTGACACTGACAGTCTTCGTGGACCCGCTCGAAACAAGCGGCGAACGTAAATCCCGCGGCCTGAAGATCTAGGCGGTGAATCGAAGCCGCGGATGCGTCATGCGGCCATTATTTCCGTGGGGGAACTGACTCAACATATAAGAGCGAACGCTTACAAGAGATTTTCAATCCTTTCAGTTTGTCTGGACTCGTACGAACACCCTGGATGAGCCTTGCACTGAGCTTGTCTTTCGCCGCCTGCGCGCTCTGTCGGTGACCGATAATGGGCTCCCGAACATTTTCCCGGCCTTGGGTTGTTCCGGCCTCTCTCACCAAGGTAGACATCATATTATCTTGAAGTAAACAAGAAAGACCAGACCAAAACACGAAGTTGGATTACTAAGGTACCATTGTTTGCCAGCAACATGTAGTGCGCAGTCATGGAACGGCGCTGCGACGTCCGGCGCAATCGCAATGCATCCAACCGGCCTCGTACCAGGTCGCCGCGTCGTCGAGTACTAGTGAGAATGGGGGAGACCGTCTGGGACGCCGAGCCAAGGAAAAGATGTTGGACAAGGTGAGATTACCGATACCATTGCTTTTTGTTCTCCTCATGACCAGTCGCTGATAATGGCATCGATCTGGATTTTCAGGAATTTTTTCTTAGCTTGCTAAGCTCAGCCTCCACCAAACGAGAAGCAAAATCCTACCTGTCGCGACTAAAGGCCACTGCTGCAACCGAAGATGCGACCTGGAATCACAAGGCGGCGGCGACGATCTCCAACAAACCTGGGGATGACACAAGCTTGGATGCTTCATCACCGTGCGGCGTCAATCTGGGATCTTTCTACCATGCCCCCAGAGCAGTACACGACACTCCAGTCTTCCGTCAGGAGAAGATCCCGGTGTCACGAGAGCAGATCACGTCGGGGCAAATAAACTTAGCCTTGATCAAGCTGTGTACGCCACAAGAGCTCGACACTGAAACGATTGACGGTGTAGCCAAGACCCTCTCGCAACTGGTGCGCCTTGGAATGGCTTGCTGCGTCGTGGTGGATCCAGGCTGGACAGGTGAAAATAGTGCCGCGATGAGATCGATGGCAAGCGAGCAAGCCACTCGGCTTGCAAATGCAGTTGACGCACAGCCGGATTCAAAATCATTCTGTCTTGATTCCATCCTGACCATTTCGGGGCAAGAGCCGGGCCTCATGACGGTCACATCTCGACAAAGACTCTTACGGCCGCTGCGAGACGGGCATGTGGTTGTGGTGGCACCAATCGCCTATAGTGACGAGAACCCCAGGGCCATTCCAGTCTCTGCGGATGAAGCTGTGTTGACTCTGACCAAGGAGTTTGCAGGCCTTGCTTTGGATTCTCACCACCCAGATGATGACCCAGCTGCAACCGCAGAGAAGGTGCAGGCGCTGCAGCGAGAGGTCTCCGTAGACCGAGTCATCTTGCTGCATCCATCCGGGGGTATTCCGGCTTTTCGTGGCCCACAAGAATCCCATGTCTTCATCAACATGGAGCAAGAATTTGAAGACATTGAGAGAGAGCTGATCGCGGCACAAGACATGTTTGTCAAAAGCACACAAGCGTCACCGATTCGCAAGAATGAGTCTGCATCTGAGATCTCAACCTCGCCCCATTCGCCCCATCCTGCAAGCCACATTCTTCATGGCCACGTGGAGAATCTTCGCCTATCGCAACAAACTCTCGCACTGCTCCCATCTGCTTCTTCTGGAATCATTACTTCTCCATATGAAGTCGCCAAATCCGCTCGCCCACGGGAGCCAACTTCCAACCCGTCTGCAGTCGGCACGCGACGCCAGCGTAACCCTCTGATCCACAATCTCTTGACCGATAAACCGCTTCTATCTTCCTCTCTCCCCTTAGGTCGACGGAGGACACTCAGCCGTAGCGATGCTATCAGTGCCCCATCTTCTCACTCGACGTTCGTCAAGCGAGGCATGCCCTTGACAATTCTCCCAAACCCCTACACGCAGATGTGGACAGCTCACGGTCAACCTCGCCTCAAACTCGATGACCCGTCCATCGACCTACCCCGACTTGTCCACCTCATTGAAGACTCATTTGATCGCAAACTGGACGTGCAGGACTATCTTGCGCGGGTCAACAATCGTCTCGCCGGGCTGATCATCGCCGGCGAGTACGAGGGTGGTGCCATTCTCACGTGGGAAGCACCCACGGGAGTCATTGATGACGGCAGCGCCGCCAGTGCTGCCCGCATGGTCCCGTATCTGGATAAATTCGCCGTCCTCAAGCGCAGTCAGGGCGCAGGAGGGGTGGCTGACGTGGTCTTCAACGCCATGGTGCGCACTTGCTTCCCCAACGGAGTCTGCTGGCGTAGTCGCAAAGACAACCCCGTGAACAAATGGTACTTTGAGCGATCGATCGGGACGTGGAAACTGTCCGATAGTAATTGGACCATGTTCTGGACCACGCCTGGATTGGTGGACAATCCTCAACGATTCAGCGATTATGAGGATGTATGTAGGAACATTCAACCCAGCTGGGCTGATCATAAGAGTGTCGTGGACTGAGTGATTTGGATGCATTGCACATAAGGCATATACCATTTACATAACTTGAAATAGATGAAAGGCCAAAGAACAATTGAAGACTTGCTTCGATGAATAGAGAGGCGAATAGCAGATGAGTTTGTAGATCTCCACTCCGTCTTCTGAGCAGTGTTCAAGTGAAAGCTGGAGGAAACCCCTTTCTTTTCGGGATGAGATCAGCTCTGCGGTCTGTCGTCGTATGGGGAGAACCTGGGGAATTGAATGTGTGCCGGTGAAGTTCATATCGCAGAATGTAACTGAGTACCTTAGTGAGCACTGTACTACTAACTTACTAGGCTACTGCATCCGTCAGGTCATACAATTGTGCAATCGACTGAGCAACCTCAAAAATCTGGCATCCAACTTTGTATGAGCTTGTGTACCGCCAGGTCCACTTGGATCTGGCCCCTGGCCCGGTCTTTACGACCATCAAACTCCCCCAGTTGACGTGGTCGGTGGGAACCCCCCAGGGAACCAAAACAAAGAGGGACAGGCCTCCAAAACCTCGGCTCCTCCACCGGACACTCAACTTCGACTCGACATTCTTGCTTGCCTCAATGGCGTCACATAACAATGCCAATCTGCATTGAATGCTCGTACCCGGTCTCGCACCTGTACAGCGCCTACAGCCGTGCCGATGACCGTTCTCAGGGCAAAGGCGTCCGATTGACGCAGTGCCCTCGCTGCCAACGGTTCGCCGATAAATATGTCGAATACGACTTCGTGGTGATCTTCATTGATCTGGTCCTCATCAAGCCTCAGGTAATACCTGACACATGGGCCTCGCAATGCGTGACGTGGATATGAAGAACGTCCGCTGACGATGAAACACAGGTGTACCGACATCTTCTTTTCAATCGGCTTGGGCGAGACGATAATCTGTTTGATGTGAGATATCACCTGGATGAGGCAGTGGCACACGCAGAATAGAAATATACTGATGCAAGCCGCTCCATGCACAGCGATCGATCATTCGGCTTGGAGTTCTGTTGCTTCTCTTCGACGTCTACCTCACATGGGCTCGCCTCGAGAAGGACCCTTCACTTGCCACGACTTTTATTGCGCGCACCCCTATCATCGTGCAATACCTCTTCTTCTTAACCCTGAACGCGGTCGCGACAGTCGCACATCATTTCACTGTCCGTATTCTGGCATCCTTGCTTGTACCGCAATCCCATCGCTACAGCGCTCCCGTGGCCATGCCCGATGTAACAACAACTACATGCCCGCCGTCTGGCGTCAGCGACACAACCACTCCTGTACCCTCCCATCCTCCCACGCCCACAATCAGACCATCGCCTCCCCCTGGCCAAGCGAACAATTCGGCAACACAGCCTCTGATCTCACTCGGGTTACCCGCCACCAAGTCAACGCCGAACTTGCACGGAGCAAGCATTTCAGGCGAGACAGCTTCTCCGCAGGACACCACTCCCGCGAGTAGTACACAGACACAGACACAACCATCTTCAATCTCACAACGCCCACCTCACCAACCCTCGCTGCAACGCGCGTCCACCGCGCCAATGCAAAACATCCGACCACTTCCTCCCCCGACCGCCGCAAGCCCCACAGCCATCAGTACCGCACTACTAGTCAGCAGCTGCGCTAAATTATTTCCCATTCTGCTCGTCATCTGGGGCGCCGACGGCATCCATACGGGCCGGACCAACCCAGCCGCACCAGGAAGCATGGTCCGCAAGGGTATCGGTGCATCCAAGGCGGCGCTCTCATCCGCACGCGATACCACTGCGTCGCCTTCCCTGTTAGAATCAACCCTGGCTTCTGTGGAAGTCTCCCTGCGGCCATATTTGCCAACGCAGTATTTGACGGGCTTGTTCGATCTGCTTGCGTCGTTGCTGTCCCTGGGTGTGGTAGATGCGCATCTCGTGCTGCTGAGCAATATCGAGGCTTTGTATATTCTTCTTGGTTGTGGATATTTTCGATCTGTGGTCGTTGCGGTCGCGGGCCAGGTGGCTAGATGGGCGGTCCAAAAAGTCATACTTGGAGCGGTTGGTGTTGGTTAGAATTACCCAAGTATCGGTGTTGACGGCGGCGAGTATGTACATGTGTATCATCCTATACATGATTCATCACGTCTTGTTAAAGAGGAAATCTTTGTCTTGCAAATCGCAAAGGACTGAACAAGGCTTGTGTGTCGAACGTCTCCATGCCGGGCAGTACTGTCTGTTCTACGAGAGTCAGATGTTAATTGCACTCTGTTGGTCCCACTATTAAACCCACCTTGAAGCAGTCTTGTTTGCTAAGCATTCTATGTGGGTTTGGCCAGGCGGTACTGCTCATCTCGTCTGTTGACAGCAAGTGAATTGTTATGGGTACGCCCATGAAGTATACTGTCCGATGACTTCCCCAATTGCAGCACGTTACGATCTGAGACGTTGCCCAACGAGGAACCTTTAGTCGTTTTGAATTCAGTTTCCGAGTAGGTCGAAAACGATGGCACTTGTGTGAGATTGAGAGGCCGCCCTGAGATTGACCGTAGAAGCAAAATATTGCCAAGCTGGCAATTAACATAATCACTCTGATGCATCCATCGTCCACGGCAAATTCCACTCTTTGCTACAAATCCTACTACACATTCGCTTTTTTTTTTTCTTCACTTCGTCGAAAAGTCAGGATGAGTTGTTTCCTCATTGACAAAGGCATATGGTCCATTATGTCTTTATGGTACATCAGATCGGTTTCCAATGTCAATGGAGTGCCTTTCTGAGGATCTCACCGTGGTTCTTTTTCAGTGTGCTTTGGCAGAGTCTCTAAGAAGGCTTTCGAGGAAGAACTCACAATGCCCGGGCTCGGGGATCGTGTTATGCCGAGGTTACAGCTAGGCCTCGAATCATCGTACGCCTTGCGAGCGAGACACCAGGTGGAAAGATGAATTAAACTAGCTTGAATTGCTGCCTCCAGTCGAGGTTCAATGGATAAGGTAAAATAGGCTTCAATAGTCAGTACCAGAATGGTCCTTCCCGTTAGAGATATTTAGGTGGAGGTCAATACCTTACCTAGGTCAAGGCAGACGGCAGATAAGCATCAGAACATTAGGTATTCAATCGGAGACCCGACACGGTGATATTCCTATTAGCAAGGTGCTGTCGACAAGGTGATCGGTGCATTCTCGCTGGCAAAAGGAACCTCGCCGTTCCTGAAGTTTCATGGGCCTGCTGCGTGGAGTTGTCTTGATAACAAGAACATCCCCCGGCTCCCCTGCTCCTGTTCGCTCGCAAACGCACTAGTCCTATAGAACGGTGAAAGCCGTCCGAGATATTTTCATTAGTAGGTATTACCTCAGGGCTCGTATACGAATACGGGAAATACCCCTATAGAACTACGGCTAGTGACTTCGCCGAGGCAGTCCGTACTCTAAAGTATTGGAATCTCACCACTATCGTTGCCCAGATGGTTTATCATTCGACCGTAAGAGGTCTAAGCCAAACCATCCGTGAGAATAATTTCCCTTGCAACGACATGTATAGATCGATGGTGATCCGCATCGCCAATTCAGTGACCAACTGGCCATGAAGCCGGGCTTCTGTTTGTGATCACATAGCGCCAGGTGCTTTAGAGAGTCGAAACATCGATATAAATTTTATAATCGACCAAGCTCCAGGGCTCTTTAGGGCTTTAACCTAAGTGCATAGAATCCCATGAAATATTTATCAGACAGCGGCCGACAAAGCAGCATCTCACTAGTTGAAGTAGGCAATTATCCCCTCCCTCATGCAACCTCATTGAACTATGCCATGATCTTGCATCACGACTCGAACGTACCCTCTCAGATTGAACCAACGGTGATGATTCAAAGGGTGGTCAGCTGGGAAGTATGGCATCCATCCAACGCGAGAGCCCCCGGTCGATCCCGGTAGCGGAAAGGCAAGACATCGGTGGCATCATTCTTTACTCCGGTACTGAACCAGGTCGAATATTGGCCCTCTTGGGCGCGATAAGAGGGTGTAGCTGGGCCATGAAAACAATTGCTAGATTGGAAAGAAAGCGAAGTGTTAGCTCTACAATCTCACGTATCAAGTCTGCTGTGAAGAAGAGCACAAAAGCCGTATATAGGAGGCAGCCCCGTAGAAATGCCCTTGAGATATTCAAAAAGCCATCAGAATCGATGCTTGAACCGAACTTACCCCACATCAGATAACATGAAATAAACGAGAGAATAAGCGTGCTGCGCCAGACACTATACACATAAAATCCCGTATTAGCTTGGTTCTCCCAGACTCGACAAACCGACAAATCAAAAAGGAAGACCAGTTCTTCTTCGGACTGAACAGCTGCAACGGGCGCAGGGAGAAAGACTTACGTCTGATTTTCGCCCTTGGGGCTAAAGAACCATGCAGCTAGCGAGAGAGCCACAATGACAATGAGACCGACGAGAAGACTCCATCTGGATAGGAAAATGATGAGCGATTGTCCGAATATAACTCTTTCGCAGCCCAACCTCGAAATGATCGGGACATCTGTCTTGCGGCAAAAGGCGTCCGTCCTTTGGGGGACGGATGGTATGGGGAAGTTTGGACTTGTCGCAAACACCACGACTTGAACAGGTTCTGGGGCCGGGGTTGTTGAGGAGTAGCGAAGTCACATACCCGTTCGCCATCTTTGAGTTGTGTAAGACCTATCCAGGTCCCAGCGTATGACGTCTGTTGGGGTACTCGATCTGCGGATTCCTCGAGATGGAGAAGGCGGCAATGATGCGGATAGCGGAGTGGAGGGCTGTCCGGCGACTAGGGAAGGAAGGCTGGCGGAGGGTTAGGTATATGCGTCAGATCCGACGAAAAATTGCAACGTGCAATGCGTTGCTTCGTTTAACAGAGATCGCTCGAATCGTCGCAGAGGGAATTCCAGATATTCTGTTTGGTTTGTACATCGGCCTTGGATGTCGGAGCTCCCTGGAGCTTGCGGGACATTCTGCCTCAGGCACGAGGGCGGTCTAACGGAGCGGGAGCTACGCTGGGTCGGATGGTTAATGTCCGGACTATCGGTCTCCTGGATGGAAGGTTACAATGTACTGAATGGGTTGATTGATCCTAGAATCGTACGAGGATCAATATTTCACGCCTGCTGTATCTACGAGAAAACTATATGAAAGGCCCTCATACCCTTGATGTCGCTTTCAACCAGTGATGCTCTCAAAACGCTTCGATAACTTGCTGCTGCTGCTGCTGCTGTAGCGAAGAAGATAGATGGGAATACAAATAGATACGCACACACAAAGATCGAAAGAGTAACCATAGGCTGAACTTAAAGACAAACTGAGAATGATTTAAGCATTCAGCGGCCTCTTTCACGCACCCTCACGGCTCTTGCGGTAGCTGGCCTGTGGAAGTATTGTCAGTATTTACACAAATCATCGCGCAAAATGAGCCTTAGCATACCTCCTGCTCAACTTGGAGCGCATCCACGGTGGGCGCAAGTTCGCTCAAAATCTCGTAGGCCTTCTTGTGGAATTCCAGCTGCGCGGCAATGAGATCGGCAAGGTTACGCAGAGGTTCAGGGGTATCGAGGACCTGATCGAGCAGAGAGATGTCAGCTTCATATTTATAGCGTCGTATACAGAGAGCTCAGATATGATCATGAGGAGGGTGGAAAAAATGGTGCCGGGACCACAAGGACTGACATTCTTCATCACGCTCACGGCCTCTTCAGTCTGAGCAACAAACTCGTCTTCCGCCTGCTCAATCTCCTGGCGGGCATCCTCGCTCAAGTTATCCAGATCGCCATGGGCAGCGGCCTTCTTGCTGGCCTTGATCGAGTCCAGAGTGAGACGAGCGTTCTCGACATTCTTGCGAGCCTTGGCCGCGAACATCAAGTTGGTGTTCAGTGTCGTGTTCCACCCAGCCAAGAAGCGCGACTGAATCTGGGCGTCTTGCGCAAGACGGGCCTCACCGACTCTCTCCTCAGCGAGAGCATACTTCTCCAAAGCAGTCGCGAGGGGATCATCACCGTGGCTGTTCTGCGACAATGTCTGGGACCCGGCAAGCGAGGCGCGAGCGATCGCGTGGTTAAAGGTCTTAGGCTGAGGTTTGGCGCTGGGCGGCGCGGTGAGAGCCGCCTGGGCCTCGGCGGGCGAGCTGGCCTGCGCAAGCAGATTGACCTTTTCGTTGATGGTGCGACCCAAATCGTTGAAAGACTCGCGGATGTTAGGGGGGTAATCGTAGGCTTCGTTGGAGTATTGCGAGCTAGATTTCGGACGCCAGTCCACAAATGTCAGCACTACGACCCGACGTGCCGGATCGGGAGAGGTTCCTTGTCTCTTTTTCTTTCGTCGCGATTGAGAAAAATGCAGATATGAAGATGACTCACGTCACTTGGAGCAGCTTCTGGTGGACAAGCTTGAGCGCATCCACCCGCTTCTCCAGGTCGATGTATTCATCGGGGAGCTGGGTTTTGTCCTCGACCTGACCCAGCTGCTCTTTGATCAATTGCTGGGTGCGCTGCGCAAAGGGCGTGAAGCTTGCACTATTCACTCGAGTAAGGGGCGAGTGGAATCGCAAGTCAGTCAATGTCCGATTGTGGTCCAAAGCGTAAGCCACGAGGGGTCGCGGCTGTGGAGAGGCACAAGGAGCCTCGTGCTGAGAGAAAGTGGTTGGAGCCATGAGAGAAGCCTGACTCACCTGAAAGTCTTGCCAAAAGCCTGTACTCGGTCCATGATGACGAGATGGTCAGAGTGTGACTGTGAACAATGTGAAACGAGTAAAGGCTCAATTACGGAACTCAAGAGGCAGATGGTGAGCTACTGCTACGGAGACGGGGAGTGCTCCCGATGCACCGCCCCACTGTTGAACACCGCCACTATGGATTGTGGTAGAGAAGGAACATGAGAATAAATAAAACGTCGGAATTTGCAATTGTATACAGCGGGTCACGCAACAAGAAATAGGGATATAGGAAAAGAAGATAAATACACCGAAGAAATTAACAGGATAAATCGTCAAGAGGCCGTAACGGTCGTGGTGCTCGTGTCTGGCTGGAAGTTCAACGCTATAAAGTGCGTCGAGTCCACCGCCAAAGTCTTTCATGTGAGAGTGGCTAGCATGGCCCGCATCACGCCCGCACTGGGTTCTAGATTGAGCTGTCAGCCGCACGTCCTGTTCTTCAGAATCAGGGTAGAAAATGTTGATCAAACAACTTACCTCTGCGTTCGGTACGTCGAACCTCGTGGATCTCTGTCTCATTGCCCCTGCTGTCAATGACATCGGTTTCACGATCTCGAGTCACCTCGTAACCACCCCGTCGTTCCAGCCGGAGCATCCTCGCCTCCTCTTCGAGCTCACGCACATACTCGTCAAGCTCGCGGTCGCTCTCCCGTGGCCGAACCAAAACCATCTGGCCTGAGTTGCGAGGACGAGTTTCAATCCGCTCTTCAGCATAATTTCGCGGCTCAATCAGTTGGAGGGATGTTGAAGGACGGGCATGCGTGTTCACAGACACAGACCGTGGTCGAGAGACAATCATGGTCCGCGACCGTGGAGCGTACTCTTCGTAATCGATTTCTTCGTGTCTCTCACGTCTGTGCGGCGAAGCTTCAATGTAGTGTGCATCCCGGTGACGTGAGTCAACGACCAGATGCTCGGTCGTGACCCGTTCGCGAGGGATGGTCCGCACGGGGGATCGCGGGACACGTAGATATTCAGCTAATACCACGGTCATTAGCTTGCATGTTCTGTCCTGTTCTGTTTTCCGGGTCCCAGAAAATCCGACGTGCAACCGACTTACTTTCCACGTGTTCAGCGGGCCTTCGGAATTCTTTGCTCAGACTAATGACCTCGTCGATTTGCTCCTTGGACAGTGCTTTCTGGATGACAATGACCTCGCCCTAAAAATCATCATGCAGAATATCAGCATCTTTGAACATGTCTATACCCAAAGAATTTGTTTTTCGAACTAGGCCACAACAACTTACATCCTCCTTGAATGGATATCCCAGATCCAAAATGGCATGCACATGAACCCATTTGCGCGGAATGCGAGTCTTGCCCTTACGAGGATAAGGCTTCTCTTCCCGCCGTGAACGGGTGCCGCTACTCGAGCGACGTCGATGATGGTCCATAGATCTGCGCTCCCTGAATCCTCGAAACTCCTCGTCGCCATAAAGGTCCGGCTCGGCGATGCGGATATCTTCATAAATTTCTCGCTCACGGTAATGTCCCGGTGCGGCTCGCGGCGGGGCAGGCACATGGGGCGCACGAGGAGCGCCTCGCGGCCGATCACGAGCTTCAAGTGTTTCCATCTTGCGGCGAGGAATCCGATCGAAAGTGTCGAGAGAAGACTGCCGTCTCACTAGACGAGGCGGAGCGAACGAGGGACTTTCGTCGCGACGCCGACGTCGGTCATGCGGAACGAGAGCTCCAGAGGAGCGCACCAGGTGCTCGTCTTCATAGTACCGGCCTGGAGCACGTGCAGGGGGCCCATATCGGTCTGCCTCGCGCATACGGAACTCAAAGCGTTCGTCGTCGACCTGGCGGGGTCGATCCATGACCGGAGGGCCACGAGAGTGACGACGCTCATGCCGGTCGCGAGTCTCGAAACTTCCCGTCGACGACCGATAGTCATCGTAGCGTGACATGATTTTGTGACGCCAACTCCGAAACCGTACTGTGGGCTCTGTGTTTTGGGTAATATCCTGTGGCTCTGCTGCTGTGGCAGCTGGACCGGAAGATGCAGTGGCTACCGTGAATGACGAAGCCGGCTGACTTGCGGGCCGATGGTGGGGAGGAGTGGGAGTCTGAAAGAACCACGGGTACGAACAAAAGGCAGAATGGCCTGGGAAATCCAGAGATGAAGGGGAAGAAGATGAAGAAGCAAAAAGGAGGTCGAGCAGGGCACCTGGACCACAGGCTACGGAAAGATACGAGGACAGTCAAGTGCGCCTTACGAGCCAGACTGCCTTTTCAGCCCTGCCAGATGTATGGTGGTTAGGCAGAAGCGGCGCGAGGTGACGTCGGAGAGCGCTGTTGAAGGGAGAACAAGAAGGAGAGTGGAGAAAAGTGCGCGGGCGGAGCAGCAGCAGCAGCCAGCAGCCGCCGTTCCACTTCCATAGCAGCCCAATACGTGGGTCGACTGGCGACCCCCCAGTCAGGAACAAGGGGACAGCATAGTCTTCAGCAACTTTTTGGCATTCAAGGTCGTTACGTATTAGGTGCATGACTAGAGTAGTCTAGGCCACTCTGTTGGACTTGACACTCAGCCGAAACAGTAACTCGGAGAACGAATGGCCTGCATCGACCGCGCAAAGTGTGGCCCAACACCGTTCAGGTACCGCAGGTACACCAATGACGGCGCCTCATCGTGTTAGCTATTTCCATCTGCATAGCCTACTACAACTCCAAGGACTGCATGTCTGCATCCAAACTGAGAAGACCCATGGCATAATGGGCGCGATCATGGGTGTCGACTGTGACAAACCGTCGCTCGTCATTGCTCTGCCCACCATCACGTTCGAGAAGATCAAGAGCCTAAAGGAGAATGGAAGACACGGTTCAGCACCATCTGCAATGTGAACTTGGCTCAGCTCACAAGATAGCTTTAGATCAACACTTACAGGGGGTCCTCGGGTCTGATCAACCTCGGAGGTTCGTTCATAAGGAGGCCCACGGCCATGTTTGGCGGCCACGATCCAAGCCTTCTCACATCCACTGGCAATGGCTTCTGAGGTCTTCCAGCCTGTAAGTCGAGAAATGTCCCGTAGTTTGGCGACGGTCCAGCCGCGCTGCGCTGGATCCATGTACTGTACTCCGGCAAAGAAGATAGGGACCGTCATTTCGGTAAGCGAGGATCCAAGAGTTGGACTGAGGCTACCAGCCTGCAGATTGAATCGCTGAGGATAGTATATGCCCCCAGTGATTCGCCCGATGATCTGGGCATATTCGGCAGTGGTCGCCGCAGCCACCCCAGCCGCCATCATCATAGCTGGTGGCATAGACGGGTGTAGTCGGTAAAGTAGGATGCGGGCTGCGTAATAGAAGCCCCAGATGACTGCAATAGTGTGAGTACGATATTGCAGCGCAGGGCCGAATGGCGTAGGAATGGATTGCGTGACATCGGCAGGAAGAGGTTCAAAATTTCTTCCAAATTCTTTAGCAAGGGTATCCATAGCCGCGAAAATTTCCTCCCATTCTTGTTCAGCCTCTGCATAAGTGACACCCTCGCTACGTTCTTCTTCCTGGAACGACGGCTGACGGTCGCGAGGGCCATCAGCGAATCCTGATGGTAGCCGTGCTGGCCCATGTGGTGGGACCATGCCGTACATGGGAGTTGAATCAGAGTCAGAAGGGCTGGGGCGTGAACCATGAGATCCTGAAGGTCCAGATGGAGGGCCGCTAGGCGGAGGTGTTCTCGCAGGTGCTGTTCCTGGTGAGTCTCTCCTGGCATTGGGATCTCTCTTGCTCGAAAAGCGACCCATGAACTTGAACATGCCCGGCGATGGCCTCCATTCCGTTCCAGCCGCGCGGAGAGCTCGAATCTTGCGTTTACGATCGCGGTATCCAAAGTCCGACACACGTGCAAGCAACAACCAAAGGTGATCCGCAGATCCGTATATGGCGTCAATGCGCCCAACACCTGCTCGCGGAGGACATTGACACTGCATAGAGTAGGGCATACTAGACCATCAAGAAAGTCAGCTTGTGCTTGAGTTGGAGGGTGCAATGAAACGGCCAGAAGGGATGGGCTCTCACAAGAGTTTCTCTCCACTGATGAAGCTATGAAAGACATCCTGTTTCGTGAACCACCAGTAGAGATCGCACTGGATCCGGAAATTTTCAATCTCCTTGCGGGTGAAATTCTTTTTAAATAAACGTGGTTGGCCAATGTCCACGCGTCCAAAGTCATCAAAGTTGACTGCTCGCCCCAGAATTGACCCGATGAGGTGTTCGTTCACGCTCGTCTCTTTTTCTGCGAAGGGATCATGTTCACTTGATTCGGAACCAAAGCCGTGATCGTAAATCGACGAGTTCGACCATCCCAGCTGGTCTCTCTGCGCACTGATCACTCGTCGATAAGTGCGAAGATCCCGGGTCGTACCGGCAAAGTCCACTTCCTTGATCAGTTGAGCGGCTCCAGCTACGTGACTGTTCCATTTGGAGTGATCGGCGGAAATGACTTCGTAATATGCCAGAAGCTCTGTGGCAGCCAGCGTCCCAATCTCCCTACGGGGAAGAGGTAAACTCACAGCCTGGCCGATCTTTTTAAGCGCGTAATGGTAGTGCCTGAGTGACACTGTCGTAGACGTTCCTTGTAGGTATGCAATGTGAAGACTGCTGATAGCAAGGATAGCCTGGAGTAACGCCGGATTCTCCAATGCTTTGAGAGGTAGCGTATATGTCCAAAGGCCCTGTTGAGCAGGTAGGACCGCGCCTAAAGAGATGGAAGAATCTGTCGGATGCCGTTCGAAGATTGACAATGACGGCCCAGTTGAATGGATGAAGTGGGCGAAGATGCGGGCTGTTGTGGGATTGTTAAGAGGGCTGGATCCGAGACTGGGCGTGTAAGAGGCAAGGATGTTCGGCTCATTCAAATGAGCTGTGAATGATCGGAAGCGACTTTCGTCATGGTTCGCAGATGCCATGATGAGACTCAATTGGTTGAAACCTTCCAACTGGCTTGGCCCCGCCATCTCATCGTCGGAATCCACGTCGTAGTAGTCGTTATTCTCATCGTCGACATACACGAGTTGTCGCTGATCTAGCTGCTCGGGGTGCTGAGGAGCATCGCTCTGCCAGCGACCCAGCTTATCTTGTGCTGGAAACTGATACCCAGCTGCTAGCGAGTTGTCAGGCTGCGAATCATGGGAGTTAGTCAGTGAGATTTCAAGTATGATCCAACATGCGCCAGCGCATCTGAGCGGTGAGATACCTGAGAAATCGAAGGGGCTTTCAATCCTGTTGGCATTTCTGTCTGCCACTGAGCTGGTTTGACTGTGCCAAAGCCGATGTCCTGGCTGAGTTGTTCGTTAGTCCAGTAAACGATCGCCTGGGGTGCTTGCGGTATGCGCCTGTCAGCATCGGCCGTGGAGTCACCGAATTGAAGTGACTGAGCTGGTAGGGAGCGATCGGCTTCCCCGATCATGTTGCTAGCTACCAGTCCCTGATGTGGCAGTGTTGATGGTTGAGGGATTGTTGATTGAGGTTGGTGCGCTGAGCTCTGTGCATTCTGGGCCGGCCATTCTTGACCGTGTACCTGTCGTGCAGAAGCCGGATAGTAGAATGAAGGTGCAGAGGGAGCGTGTGTTTGTCCTATCGGAGGAGTGGCTTCATATATTGGTGCTATGTGATGCTCCAATGCTGCCGGATCGACGGGTCGTGGAGCCAGCATCGGGTGCTGTCCCGGCGCCGCCTCGACATGTTGCGCTTGCGCGAATGATGCCGTCCAGTGATTGTACACAGGCACTGATCCTTGTTGCGGTTGCGGCTGCTGTTGCTGCTGCAATTGACCATGCGCGGAGATGGTACCATAGGATCCCACAAGCCCCAGCGGATTCTTGAAGATCACCCGCCGAGCATAGCCTTCACAAATGCGCTTGGACTTCACGCAATTGCTGCACGTGGGTTTCTCTTCCCCACACTTGATTCGGCGTCTTCGACAAGCTGGTGAAGCGGTCAATTCAATCGACTTCAGAATGAAGTTGTGCGCATCGTCAATCCTTTGCCCACACCTCCTCTGGACGGCTCTACGTACTTAGGCAACCGGTCTTGGTGCGTCTCTTAGGGCCCTTGCGCGCGGCGGACTGCTTTGCTGCGGGCTGCTCAGCCGGCTTGGGTCCGTCGATGGAACTGATCGCCGATACGGCCGGTCCTGACGGTCCTTCCGCCTCCAAAGGACCGGTCATGACAGCGCCGTGAGCAATGGTCGCAGGGGTGAAACCTCGAATCGACGAATTTCAAGCAAGTGTACTATGCGAGGAGCATGGTGGAGATCGGAAGAGAGCAGTGACTGGAAGATCGGAGGGGCAGAAGGTCACTTGAAAGTTGAATGCGATTGATGGAGTTCCGCCTTCCGGTGATCGCGCCGTCGGTGATTTTCCTCCGCTATGCACCTGACGATAAGATGGCCAGTTGCTCTTCCAAGAGACTTGGAATCGATCACAGTCGGCCACAGTTAGCAGCTTGACGCGCCCAGACGGCTTTGGACTCTTGTAGAAGGGAATCACGTCACAGTGGAGTGGAGAGTCTTTGTCAAGTCAGCCTCATTGCCAATCGGACGGGTCTCGACTCTCGAATCCAATCGCCAGCATCGAGGACAGTCGGGACTGCTAACTTGCTAAGTGCATGGGCAGCCTTTCCACCTCAGTCTGGATACTGTCGCTCACTCCACGCTATTGGTTCAGGCCCCTGAAACTTTGTCTGAATAGTCTGACGGGCTTGTAAGGCTACGATCCAGAGACTAAGCAAATTGCGGCCACTGGGGGCCATGTAATGGCTCTCGACGTTGTTTAAACTTTTATTTTTCATTTACGTGTCATGCAGGCTTGACGAGTGCTCAGGTTCAGTATCCGAGTATCGTAGGGAGCCTCACAGACAGCCTCGCACGGCTGGCATGCCCGACCTGTGGGTGAGATTCAAACTGGATGGACCGATGGGTTCTAAGAGACGAAATGGGAACTCCATGCGCCAGGCACGCAGAGATACCTTATAGATGGTCCCCCGACCTTATATGTGGCCTCGGTAGATTCCTCTGTGGCACCTTGAGTGAGGGTACTCTACCTCGTCAATCACATCGCAAGCCAGCACTTCATCTGAGCCAATCCAATTGAAATAGACAAGGCTTCACCGTATAGTATTCGTCCGGTAGGACAGTAGTCGTACTCGAACTAGTAGTATGCAGGTGATGCTGGGCTGAATGCCAGCTTTCAGCTGATCAAATGACTTGCAAGTCGCGATCAGCCGAATCACGAGATCTGGGCAGTAGTACGGTAGGAGTGCCTGATTTATGAGGACTGGAAGCGTCTTGAAAGTTGACCCTCTGGTCCCATCCGGACCGGGTATTGGTATTCTACACAATGATCACATGATGCTCCCGAGACGCACTGCTATCAGGTCAAACGCGATAAGGATGTGTATCAAAATTACCACCGGTAATAATGCGGAGATTGGGCGAAACTTCGCTAGACCTTATTATTTTTTTTTCGATCCGACACTTAAGCCATCCTGACCCATTGCTGCGGCGCATACTCAACAATTGCATATCGGGAATTGTCGAGGTCGTCTCATTCATTGGAACCTCCAACTCATCCCGTGACAAATTTTCACCATGTTTGCCGTCCCTGGATGGTCGCTTGAGAGCTCTGCGCTGAAGCAGCAGTCTCAACCTAATCAAGCCAAGAACGACGCTCAACCCAGCAATGACAGCGCCACGCCCAATGGCAAGAACAAGGACAAGAAGCGCAAGCGCGACAATGTGACCTCGGGAAATGTGACTGAGATGTACCGCAAGCATATTGAGGGCCAAGCGGACAAGCCATGGAAGAAAAAGAAGCAGGAGCGCCAAAATGCAGCAGCAGCAGCAGCAACGACCCCCGCTGCTGCTCCCACTCCTACGACCAGCCAGCCCCAGGCTGCTGAATCGCCAAACGCCACGGAGGAGGGTAAAGTTACTACAGTGGACGCTGCACAGGAGGATGGACAGGGCAAGAAGAACAAGAGACAAAGAAAGAACAAGAAGGCCAAGGACAATGAGAGCTCAATAGAGAAGGATCATGCTGGCGGTGCGGCTCTTGCTACTGACAAGGCTGCCTCTGCAATGAGCGCTCTGGCGGCTCCGCCAGTGACCACCGCGACTCTGACGCCTCTGCAGCAGGCCATGCGTCAGAAGTTGATTTCCTCCCGATTCCGCCACCTGAATGAGACCCTTTACACCACAGATTCGTCAAAAGCTGTCGAGCTGTTCAATGCGAATCCTGAGTTGTTCGATGAGTACCACGCAGGATTCTCACGTCAAGTCAAGGAATCGTGGCCGTCCAACCCGGTCGATGGATATATCCAGGCTGTTCGTCGTCGCGGTGCCGTCGCGGCCCCGAAGCGAGGCAAGCCTCTGCCTAACAAGGCTTTACCCTTGCCCCGCCGGCCCAACGGGACCTGCAACATAGCCGACCTCGGTTGTGGTGATGCCGCTATCGCCCGCAACCTGACTCCTTCTGCCAAGAAGCTCAACCTGAAGCTGAACAGTTACGATCTTCAGGCTCCTCACCCACTGATCACCAAGGCCGACATTTCCAAGCTCCCCGTTGAGGATGGTTCAATGGACGTGGCCATCTTTTGCTTGAGTCTGATGGGCACCAATTGGGTTTCCTTTGTCGAGGAGGCGTGGCGCGTTCTACGTAGCGACGGCAAAGGCGAGTGCTGGGTCAGTGAAGTGAAGAGTCGTTTCGGCAAAGTCAACCGCAAAAAGTCCATGATCGGCGCCCAGAAGCCGCTCAGCAAGACCCAGCAGAAAAAGCAGAAGAAGGGCAAGAAGGGCGACGATTCAGATATCGACGAGGAGGACATATTTGCCGAGGATGCTCGGCCCGCTGCTGATGACGACGAGACTGACATCTCGGCTTTCGTCGAGGTCTTCCGTACTCGTGGGTTTGTTTTGCGCCCAGAGTCGGTCGACAAGTCCAATAAGATGTTTGTGAAGATGGAGTTTGTCAAGCAAGGAGGAGCGCCAATCAAGGGTAAACATGCGACTGGATTGAGTGCCCCGGCCCCCGGCTCAAAGAAGCGCTTTGTCGATCGCCAGCCGGCGTCTGACAACGGAATGACCGCGGAGCAGGAGGCACAAGTCCTGAAGCCGTGTGTTTATAAGATTCGCTAGTACTAGGATTGCATCAAAGGAAGAAACAAGTCTTCCATTATTTCATCGTGAAGAAATCACTGGAACTAGCACGTTGAGACCAGTCACTGTATAGTGTATAGTATATACTTCAAGGTTATGCTGGATGATATCTCTAGTTCTCTTCACATTCAAGAAGCGCAGACTGTAGCGTACGGCAGCTTGTAGTCGTGAGAGTGATCGATGATCAGGTCCAGTTGGGTTTTGGTAGATGGGGAAACTCAAGAGCTGACTATCCCGAATTTGGTACTCTACACTATATAACATGCGTCCCAACCTACAGATCCCTCCGTCGCTAGCTGAGACCTACTCTCCAAAAAGTCCCAACCCCCTGGACAGAAGCTCAATCGAGCTCAAGTCAATCGATGTTGAGTCGCATTCTATCTCAGCCCCGTCATCCTCAATAGACTGAATCACCCCCGATGGCTCACTCAGCATCGCTAGCGGCGAATCGGCAGCTCGCTGACATTCATTTTGAAAAAGTGACATGGCCAGATCCGGAGAGTCGAAATTGGACTCGGAGAACTCAAGCGCCAATTGCCCAGTCGCCATGGAAGCGTCCATCATTCCGGCAATCTTGAAGTACAACTCGGGTTCTAGTTTGAGCAAATATAGGCAGTCTTTGCCCGGAAAGACTCTCTCTTGTCGAGCCAGGTCGGCAAGTTGTGGCTTGATGGGGGATAAAGAAACTTCGAACAGCCGGACGATTCGATTCACCCAGACACTGACGTGGGCGACGTCGTACCGCAGTCCATATTGGCGGTTCAGCTCCATGTAGTTGCGGAGAACGAGCTCCTGACGGCGGCGGGTCACTGCATCGTTCGACAGCCGAAAGTTCAGATTCAAGACCATTTGGGGGAGCGCGGTATAAGCTACCGCACTGATTGGTAAGTGGCTGGCTGTTCCATCTGCCACAAACCGCTTTACCACGTCGTGTATTGCGGAGACTGCGTCCATTAGGTCCGGCCAATCATCTGGTCTCTGATTGCGATGAATCCGGAAAGAGATATATTGGTAGAGCGCAAGACGAGCCGACCTGTCAAAAAAAGCAAGAAAATTGGTTGTTTAGTCGTCTGTTGCAGAGTCCACTTTGGCAGAACTGTTCAACGTACTCAAAATACAGAGCATTGAGCTGCTTGAAAAATGCGACAGATTTGTGGACGCTGTAATCCTCTGAAGACAGAGGCAGCATCTGGTAGCTCTGCCAATGCTTGAGTCGGGCCTGGATGTCGTCGATAGAGGCAATACTCGCGCCTTGACTCGCATGGCAATCTGGAAATGGATCGAGGGGATAAAGCGCATCGATAAGACTTGTTAATGATGAAACAAGTTGGCACAGGCTTGTCATGATTCGACAGAGTACTCGCTTAGTATCGGCATCGTACACTCTGGAAGTGTGAATTTCGTCTGAGAGATCATCGATCTCTAACGGATCTCGTGTCATGATATCGAATTGCGTGGGTGGTATTTGAAGTGGCCGGCGCATGCCCAAGGAGATTATCCGATCACGAATCATTATGCACCACCATAGGCGTTTGAGGTCGGAACGTTTGTATTTCGCTTTAGGTGGACACCGATAGTAAAGGTGAGCGTTGGCCAAGCGAGCTTGTTGGATTGCGAGCCCTAACCAGGTGCTATTGCTGAGATGATCGGTCCCCGAACTTTGATACGTCAGGAGAGTCAAGGCTTGTGAAATACGAAGATGGTCTTCCTCAACGCCAAAGTCGTAAAGTAGCTTATCACTATATGTCAGATCATGGTCTCTCCTTCTCTCACGCGCGCACACACAATGCTTTCCTATGCCTTGGCAGAAAGTCTTGCGATTTGTTATTGTCTTGGTCGTACCTTTGCTCGTCGATAAAAGGAGTTTCGCATCTCCAGGATGGATCCAGCTCCCCAGGTCTTCGCGTCATCGAGAGAAATGTACTGAGATTCTTATATATCAGGCCACACACGTTCCTCACAGCCCTCACGTGGAACTGGGTCACACATACACTGCAAGCCGCGAAAATCATCGCCTGGAATACCAATAATGAAAACGATGAAACTGACGACGACTGGTCGCCGATCATCGCCCAGAATTCTGCCTCATTGATCACTGGCAAACAAGGATGCACGTAGAGAAAATACCGTGTGATCAAAGTCTCCAGTATGACACCGGCAGGCACATGGAGACATTTCTGGGACTCGAGAAATGACTGATCCGATAGGTTCAACCGACGAAGCTTCGGGGCACGTAGGTAGGGCTGAAAGGTGAACAAAACCTCTCGATTCGGTGAAATTGAATCACAATCTATTTTCTGTCAGATGTTATACCGGGCCTGTGGCTTCATGGTCGTCCTGAAGATCGCCACGTCACTTTCCAACGTACATGATGCGATGCCAAGGAGTGTGTCGGGCACTTGTGCTTCATGGTTGCCAGAGTCATTGGTCGGCCCTCCGAAAATATTCATACCGTTGAGGTCACAAGTCAGTAGACGCTGAGATTGATGCCGGGGGAGGCCCTCAGGCACACTAAAATCGTATCTTTGGACTGTGGGCTCATGTTTCAGCTGCGAAGAAGAGACATTCTCCTCCTGTGATGTCGTCGCAGGCATGCGCCGGCGTAGCTTGGGTCGAGTGGCACATTGCAGGCCATCGAGTTGACAGTTGGTACACGGCGGTCCTTGAATTGCTAAAGTGCATCGCACCTTACGAGCCCGGCAATGGAGACAGGCAATGCGGGCTCTCGATGGCTGTCCATTCAATCTCCGCGTCGTGCGTATATCCATTGAAATGCAGCAAGGCAGGGATTGCAGCGTATCAGTCGGCAAGCTAGACGCAGTAGACGAAGGGGGAAGAAGCCGTGACAACGGAAGCTCCACCTCCCCCGGATTTTGTGCTCAAGTGTGGAGGCGGGCACAATGTACGATTTATGTACTGTAAGTTCTTGGTGTACCCACGTCTTTCTTATCCGCATTCTACAGCGGGAGGATCATAAGGAGCTTCGTGCTGTGGTGGCTTTCATTTACCCCGCACATGAGGTCCAGTAGAATGAGAGACTCATCTTGGACGAGAGGGCGGATGGATCTCGAAGTGTCCACTTTCGGGTTTTCAGCTGCCGACAGGCCAGCATTTTATATTGTGAGGCTCTGGACAGGGAATTTAACGGAGAGATTTCGAGATGTTACGCTACCTGAGATTCATGGATGGAATATACATCCATATTGCGAGCAAGACACACCATCCCGTCCGCCATCAATATATATGTCTGTAGTGACCCTGTTGCTAGACTGGGGGACACGTCTATATTCTCCCATGTCGAGCGAGACAAAAGGAAGACTACATTTACAGTGGGTCTGATCCGGCCTTTTCATGCATACTAGAACTTTTTAGAATGGATGATCCTAAAATTATGAACTTCATCCACTGATGGTGCGTAATCTGCCACCTTGGATATCCTTGATACCTAGTTGATAGTAATACTGGTGACATGGATGACGGCCCGTGACACGACGTCCGCGATCATCGTTTCACTGTGGACCAAGAGCCAGGCCAGCCACAAAACTGAGGTGGAATAACCTCAGTAATATGCTGCCACTGGCCAAGTCTCTCTGAATACGCCGTCTCTGGACCCCAATACCTTACGCAGAGATATATTGATCTTAGCGAACGCCCTCCAAAAGCAACTGGCCAGTTGATGGAAATCGAGCGATGCGTATCACCGAGTCTAGGTACTGGGAGGCAATGCGACGTGCCAAGTACGATACTGAGAAGTTTCCTTCAGGGGCCATTCGGGTACTGGTATCGAGTGTGTCATGCCTCAAATTCTAACAGAATATAGTCTGCAGCTCCCGTTCAGCATGTCGTCTATTGGTTTCCGCCCAGTTGTGCCACGGCGCGGCCCATCTCCTCATCGTTGTAGATGCGGAAGCCCTTCTCCTTTGTGACACTCGCCAATTGCACGTTCTTGGAATCGAGCTTCTCTTCCATCACCTGCTTCAATGTCTTCAGAACCAATGATTCAGCCTCGGCCAGCGTCAAGGACTTGTGGTATTCATTCTGGAGTTCGGCCTGAGCACCTTCACTTCCCGAGCCGATCGCTTTGGCATCGTAACGATAGAAAGTACCCGAAGGCTCAGCGTGGTATCTATGGCAAATCACACCAACCGATTAGTTCCCATATAATGTACAGCTGCGGGGGAGAGGGGCTTCGTCTCTACTTACAGCTGGGGTCCGTCCTCGTCGTAACCGGCAATCAGCAGGGCGACGCCAAACGGCCGACTCATCACGCTGCCTTCATCATCACCACTCTCACCAAAACGAAGGGCCAGGTCACAGATGGCCTGGGTTGTGCTCTCAACGCGGAGAGGTTCGGCGTAGTGGAAAGCATGATTTTGACACTCGACACGGGCGTGCTCCACTAGGTTACGTGCGTCAGCTTGCAGGCCAGACATGGCGCAGCCGATGTGCTGGTCAATTTCCACGATCTTTTCCACAGATGAGGCCTCCAAAAGTGTTGATGTGACACGCTTCTCGACGCCAAGAATGACACCCTCCGAGGTGGCAACCTATATGTCCCGTATTAGATCTGTGAGCCATGTGTGCATTGGGTTGGCGGACAACGGAGTCCGACGGCGCTATAGGGAACGTCGCTGGAGCAAAGACAGAAATGGACGTACACCGATCGCCGTGGAGCCTAGCTTGATAGCTTCGAGAGAGTATTCGACCTGGAACAAACGACCCTCGGGAGAGAAGGTGCTGTTGAGGAAGTGATATGAGTATAATGAGCGTGTAAGACAGACATCAAAGAGTGGGATTGAGCATCTGCGTACTTGATACCACGATCTATTCATAATCGTTAGCTATCTTGGCTTGTACTGGGAAGCAGGAAACGTCGAAGCTTACCATATTCTGAGCGTGCAATGAACATTGTGGACGATTCGAATTACAGACACTGGAAACGACGAACAAAGTGACAGGGGCCAGGCGTTCAAGACAAACGATGTCTTGTTAGATGAGAGAGAGAAAAGCCGCAGCACAATCGAGAACAAGAGGATGGAGGATGTGAGCTTGCTCTCGGCGGGAAGCTCTCGCGGTTACGCAAGTTGCGTGCCTGGTCGGCGTGAACGCCTAAGGCAGCAAGGCAGACCATATCAATAAAGCTGCCCCAAGCACCCGCGGGATGGCTGGCGCGCCTTGCCATGAGGCCGGTTTGATTATTGCGCTTCGCTCGCAATATCTCGCAATATCTCCCAATTCTCTCATCCTCGTACCGCGACGGCGAGCAGCTTGGATCGTCAGTGGTTCATGATATTCACTCCGTCCGAAAAAGGACTATGTCCGCCAATGACCGCCATACGAGCTACGTGAGCGCTCCGCGACCCCGCGCTGTCTCCAATCGCGTCGGTGCCGATAGGCCTGGTCGCGGCGGCGCGTCGCCGCAACCGCAAGAAGGCATGGATTCTTTGCGCACGAGCACTACGAGCCCAAATCAACGATCGTCGCGGGAGCTGAAGCAGGCCGGAAATCGGCGAGTCGAGCGGAGTTCGACATCAACACGGGAGAAGACTGCGCGCAGAGATCCGATCAAAGAGGCACCGGGTGTTGCGAGTCGGGGAGGATGGGAGAAGGCAAAGCTTCACAAGGCGAGGCCTGCCGAAGGGCTGACCAATTCGTTTGAAAGAAAAGAGACACAGGACCCAGCTGGCTGTTCGTGATCCCAACCTGTCCGCGCGCTCAATCCGCGGGTCCGCCTATAAATTCAAGATGGAATCGTACTGACCTTCCACTATGTTTAGCATCATGGAATCCTCGTGCGTCTTTAATTCCGCACTCAACCGCTCCTCTCGCCTGTCGTGTCTCGGCCCCCCCTCTAGCATCGACTGCACCCCCGTCACTACGACCTCCTCCCTTCCAGACCTTATCACCGCATGACCAAGAAGCCGCTCTTCTGGACGATCTTCTTTTTGTCTTCATGGGCTATGAGGGCCAATATATTCAGTATCATGGCTCGTATGACCCATCTGCAGAGAAGGACCGTCTGACGGGACCCGTGTTCCAGATCGCAGGAGGGTTGGATCCCACGCTGCGCGATCTCACCCAGTCCATGTTGAAGATGGCCACAAATTTTAGTGCATTGGAAGCGTTCGTGGAGATTCAAAGCCGAGCCGAGTTTGGTGCTGTATGCCATGCACTCTGTGCGTCCATTCGCAAAATTCTAAAGGACTATTTGATCCTGATTGCCCAATTGGAGGGCCAACTTCTGAATAATCCGACATTTACACTGCATCAACTTCATCTTCATACCATGCCAACGAGCCAATATTTTGCGCAATTGTACTCTATCGGACAGGAGCTGCTTCGACGAAATGGATTGTTGGATTCAGATGAGCTTGACGAGACTATCGATGACTTTGACGACGTGGACAATATTCTGGAGCAACTGAAAGAAGGAGGCGACCTCGTACCAGGATCAACCAGGAAGGTGTGCAAGGGTGGCAATGTGCTGAGGCTTCTGACTGAGCGACTGGCCTCCTTCTCGGGCGATCCGACAACCAAGAACCTCATTCAGACATTACTCCGCGATGCGAGCCGACCATACATGAACATGTTGAATGAGTGGCTCCATCACGGCGGCATCAAAGACCCACATGCGGAGTTCCTTGTCAAGGAACAGAAGTGGATCCGAAGAGAGAAACTCGAGGAGGACTATACGGATGAGTACTGGGAGAAGCGGTACACGATCCGTGACGAGGAAGTACCACCCCAACTTGAAGGTGTCAAGGACAGGGTTCTCTTGGCTGGCAAATATTTGAACGTGGTGCGCGAATGCGGTGGCGTAGACGTCAGCAAGGCTGTGCAGGATGTTCCTAAAACGCTCGATGATCCTCGGTTTTTGGAAAATGTGAATGCAGCCTACACTCACGCCAATGCCTCTTTGTTGAACCTGCTGCTGACGAAGAATTCGTTGACCACCCGGTTCCGCTCCCTCAAACATTACTTTTTCCTCGATCGTTCCGACTTTTTCTCGTACTTCCTCGAACTCGGCGCTTCGGAATTGCGCAAGCCCGTGAATGTTGTCAACGAGAGCAAGCTTCAGTCCTTGTTGGATCTGGTCTTACGCCAGCCGGGAAGTATAGCTGCGCAGGATCCCTTCAAGGAAGACGTCAAAGTCCGCATGAACAAAGTCGATCTGACCAAGTGGTTGATGCAAGTCGTCAGTGTCTCTGGGATTGACCAGGATCACCCAGAGGCCGCCTTCGAAAAACAACAAGCGGCCTCTGCCCATGCTTCCGATGATGACAACAGTATCACGGGGTTCAGCGGCCTGGAGCTGGACTATTCCGTTCCGTTTCCGCTTTCTCTGGTGATCAGCCGGAAAACGGTCCTGCGTTATCAATTAATTTTCCGTCACTTACTTTCCCTGCGACATGTGGAAACGTTACTGGTGACGTCCTGGGCCGATCAGAACAAAGTTGCTAGCTGGCGACACCGTTCCAGCGACCGACGTCTGGAGCTGTGGAAGCGACGAGCATGGAACCTGCGAGCCAAAATGCTGATCTTTGTCCAACATCTATTGTACTTTTGTACTGCCGAGGTGATCGAGCCGAATTGGGTGGCTTTGATGGATCGAGTCAGTGGAGCTGACGCCGATGGCTCCGAAGTGACTGTGAACGGGTCCAAGCAGGTGAATCGAACAGTCGATGAGTTGATGCAAGATCATGTGGACTTTTTGGACACATGCTTGAAGGAGTGCATGCTCACACAGGCGAAACTGCTGAAGGTATGTGTGTATGACTATTGGACCCCGACGATTCCAGCCATCGAGGAGCCTCCGCTAACATGTCTTCTTCCGACCTTGCTAGATTCATTCCAAGCTCATGACCTGCTGTACCATGTTCGGGCAATGGACCGCCTCTTCCCTCGCCCGTGCTTTAGTCTCGGCAGATCCTGACTTGGCCGGTGACAAAACGGGAGCGTCTGATGCTCGCCCTTATGATCCATCCCGCATTGTGAAGCTGGAAGAGACGCTCAAGCGTTACGAAGACCACTTCAACCGCCATCTGCGCATTCTTATGGACAGGTCAGTATTTACTGGTATCGTCCGCAGAGCGAGCGGAATTGTTACTGACACGGTTCACAGTCTAAACTACTTTGCTGCCACTGAGAGTGTGGTGCTCCTCAAACTGGCCCATTCGCTCAGCTCAATTAGCAAAGAAGATTGAAGTCTTCAAGCCAATCGCTGATTGAAGACGCCTTCAATTGAGTGGATCCGGTCTCTCCGCGAATATTCGACTGGATCCTCTTCAAGAAACCACGAGCAGAGCCCATCCGCGATCTTCAGGAGGCTTCAAGCACGGTCTCTCTTGGGAACGCGCTCGCTACCAAGGTCCCAAATCCCGGAGAATGTGTACCTATTCCATCTTGCTTATCATCCCAGACTTTTCTCTCATAAGGCATGGACGCTCCGCTAGAGACGAGAAGATTCACTCGAACAAGGTCGATTGTTCAATTTCTTCAAGTTCTCTTCATACCCAGCTTGGAGGGCAATCAAGCACGGGGGTCCGCGGAAGTCAGAGGAGCGGGACTATCAGAAAGACGCGGCGCGATTCGTTCCATTTTCTCGGCTTCAAATTAGATAGACAGGTTACGTCACGAACCACTGTGCCCATCATAGCTACTAAGTCAGGAAGAAGGTCTCGCGCCCTCCGTCAGGAATTAAAGCAGTGCATATGAACAGTGTTCATGATTGATTTGAGTAAGACCAAGATCTCGCAGACCAAATTACCTTGGAAGCTAAAGCACATAAGCAATTCATGCAGAGGACCGCGTGATTACTCGCCGTGGGGCCAACGGCGCGCCTAAACAGCCGAGATGGCTCGCTCAGCCTCCGTTTGTCTCACCTTCGCCGGTCAGTAGTAGTGCCACTGTCACTATTTGTTTATGGCCGTCAACTGATCATCTGCTACCACGCCACCAGGTGACTGTCGGGTTGGGATCTAGGCATCCATTATGATTAATCCCCGCCTTCCTCATCTTCGGTGAATACTTCCACCTCGCTTGATTCACCGTCACCGATCAGCGCTTCTCTCGCCCTCCCCCTCCCACCTCGATCCCCCATCTCGCTACGCCCGGAAATCTCGTCATAATGCTTGACTCCGTGATAAGCGTACTCAGGCAGATCCCCTGTCCCCGGTCGCAGCAGGATCGCTTGAATGTCGCCCTCGGCACGGTCGCCGTCATTGGAAGTGCCCTTCTCCTCCCCTCCGCCTATCGCGACTATCGCATCTTCCGAGGTTATGGAGACGGCGGAGTCCCGAACAATATTCTCGGATGGATGACAGTGCGCGCGCTGTTCCAGCCATTTGGCAGGGAGATGGTAAGCACGGAGGTCTATGTCCAACGAATTGATGCGACGGACGGACATGGCCAGGGCCATGATGGCTACTTGACACTTTCGGAGGAACAATTGTCAGCGCGCAGACGTGACGGGAGACCCCAGATTGGACCGCATGTGGTGCCGCAGAGACAATTGACGCAGATTCCCGACGAGGATGTCATGGAGGTACGTAAATACTTACCGGGGGTTGCTATCTCAATCATGAACGTTGAAGAAGAGTCTCGGGGAGGGAAGGACGGGGGGGGGGGGCTGACTCTTGACATTCTCATTAATTCTGCCGGCGTATAGAAATTCCACTCTCGGTTTGACTCGTTCGGCTTGCGAAATCATCACTTGGTCAAATTTCAACAATCCAATCTCGAAGGCCATGCCCAGGCACTCTTCGTTGCCAACCACCTCCCCATCACCGATCTAGCCACATGCATGCAAGGAGAAATCGCGCACATCCACAGTGGACATGACTACTCAGTGCATGCGGTCCTAGCTCCCGCGGATTGTGAGTCTTCGACATAAGTCCCCTCGTGGGGGTTCAAAATTACTTCTCGCGCGTTGAGATTGCCACAGTCTGACACGTCCTTCTTAGGCAAGAAAGTCATCGACGCCGGTTGGGGTCAACGACACGCCTTCTCTGGTACATCAGCAATGACCTTTCTTAGTCTCGGCACGATACCAAATATTCCTTCCGAATATCTATTGATTTATGCGCCGCGTAATGACGCGGAAGTCGACATTGTGATGGAAATAATCTCTGCTTCCGTCAAGTTTATGACTGGCCGAGAAGACGTTCGATAGTCTCGGTCATGGCCTCGGATCAATCTTACCTGGAGTCTCTCTTTGCCAGGTCCAGGTCGACCAGGAGACGAGGGAGCTTCAAGTGAATCCGACGACACGATGAAATTGGTCGAGGCGACGAGGGATATGCCGCTCTTTCATGCCATTTGTTGTGTATATATACGTGTTTGTCTATCAGCCAGCCAGATTGATACCCTTGAATTAATTTTCCGACTCTGCCCATGCTTGTCCATTTGACCATCTGGACTGTCAAGAACGCTCAACCGAGCTCGGACATGAAACAGAAGATCCAGCATAGTGACGGGATCTTGTTATACCTCAGTAGAGCGGCCATGATACTAAATCTCCGAGGATGCGCAAGCAGAAAAGTGTCGCGGACGTCGATCAAGGTCGCGAGCCTTACACCAATTCCACTCGATCAATGAGGACCGCGGTCCACAGCTCGCTTATAGACAATGGATTGTGGTGGTTTGTCTGAGAATTCGAGACTAACTACAGTCCTACTCTGCCTAGAGGTTCTCGTCCTCTTCTCTATCTTCCTTTACGGGCCTGTTTCCATGGTCGAAAACTTCTAGGGTAGGACTGGGGGTATTTCCAAAACCGTTCCGCCTTTGCTGGACTCGTAATGTCTAAAAGCTGCTTTTCATATTGGATCTGCACATCGTCAGTTTCTATCTTTGTGAACGATCCCGCCGAGGTGGAGCTCACCTCAACACCAGCTGGAGGGTGACACTTGGACAATATATAGTCACTACGTACTCTTAGTACTACTACTATTCTAGAACTGATAATTAGTACTCACTGCTGGTGCTCAGTACTCACTAGTAACTTATACCAGTTCACAACTTCACACTGAGAAGTGAGAATAACCCTCATTATCGAGACACATCTAAAGTGGGGGGGCCTGGATCATAGAACTCTGCACCGACGTCGGCTCTCAAACAAACGCTGAAAAGAAAGGTAGTTAGTGCTTTCCAACTATCGAGTATCGAAAACTGACTACACTCATCCACTTTGACTTGAAGTATGGGTCAACTTGTCAACCCTTTTGAAATGTCGACTCCAATGGTTGTTTTTCACTACGGCTGGACGCAGTGGGCGGACAGTCTCATACAAGACTACAAGACTACAACTTCAGTATACTCCTCTTACTCCCAGCCTCCCATCAATTCCACACAACATCCAGTCAAACCACCCCCCCATGAAAAGACTCCTGGATTTTGAATAAATGAATACCCGGTATGTAACAGCAGGAATCCGTGGGCCTCCGCTCAAATGCCGGAGGTGTAATTTACGACTGAGAAAATGGGGTCCCGGGCCCGGCCGTCCCCTCGCGACTCGCGAGTCACCCTTTCTAAGTTCTGGCAGAGAAAAAAGGGAGACGGGAAATTCTGGCTTTTACTGTTTTTGATGGTGTCAGTCTTCCCGAAGTGTGAACCATGGCTCTGGGCTCTGGTGCCAACGTTTGTTCGGCTTGTCGGGAACATGGTTCTTTGGCTCGGCGCCGGGACTTTGGCAGCTCACAACTAACCTGTGGGTTTTGACATCGGTATGAGTGCTGATCGAAAGACTAATCTTATCAAAGTCACCATTTCGCAAGGAGTCTGTCTCAGGCTCATAGCATTTGCACAAATGGGCCATGTACTACTCTATCCGGCCAGATAGACAGTATCAGGACCCACGTCCGTAGACTAGGCACGGTATATTCAGAGCGCGAACCCAAAAGGTGAGTTTTGATGTGCACCGACCTTGCCCGCGCGACTTAGTCTTTTTTGTGAATCACTGAATACTACCTCGTGTCGGCGGCTAACGAGCGCAGGTCGGAGGCCGCAAAACAAACAGTGAAGCCTCACACTGCGCGCTACAAAGGCGAGGTTGTGCAATCCTGACGAGCATGAGTTTCGCGTCTTCTCTTCAGTTCATGGAGTGTGTCCACGCTGTCGCATCGGCTTTGAGGAATGCACCCAACACACGTGAAGCTTCGAGTCGACGGATGGTCCGCTGAAAGACTCTTGGTCCCCATGCCACCAGGATTTGGAGCCCGTGCAAACTCTAAGGTCCACAACTGAATACACGCGTGAGAATTGCAACGTTGTCATGTCATCTGCTTTCTCACTCACTTGCAACGACTGTCAGTATCCAGTGTCCAGTGTCCACTGTCCACAACCGAACTTCTTTGCCTTGGCGGCATATTGTTGATTGTCCTCAATAATGATTCATTACAACACTGCGCCTGTTTCGATTAACCACTTGAAGGATAAAGCAAACCTTCAAGAAGAACGCCGTCTGGCATCCTTCACGGATGAATCTAGCACGCCAAAATCTCCGTCCAGTGGTCCACAGTGCACACATTTGGCCTTTGGACTCGATATGGAATCGAGAAATCTGTGAAGCGAGTCTGCTAATATCCCGGTGGATTGGGTAGAGGTCCGCACCGGTCCACCTCGAAGGAAGAACTGGATCGTGAGTTTCAAACAGGATCCACATTTCATAAGCCAAATTCTTATTGCTGTTGACTTGTTGGGTGTAGAGTGTAGACCGCTGTCAGCGTTCGTGGCATCCTTCCTTGAAAGTCTCAAGGGCTTGACCGCATCACCAGGGGGGACCGTGTCCTTGCGAGTATTCTGCTGTGCAAGAAGGCAGTAGTCTGCCAACTCTCCTTTGGTGAGAGTCGATTTCGACCTTGTGCTGGAGAAGACTTATATCCAAGTCGGGAAGGTCATCGAAAGGATCTTTTCGCAGTTCGTCCCAAGTTACCGGGAAATCCTTCTGATTTCAGCTGCTCAGAAACTAGAGCCCTTGTATGAAGGCCTTCCTGAGGTGTCAGTAATTGATCCGATCCATTCCTGCAGCCCCGCAAGACAAGCGGTGAACAGGTGATTATTCATGAGTCGACCAAGCTTCCACTGCCATTCACTCAGAATGTTAAAAAGGAATGATTTCAGAAGACCGACTTGTATCTCTCAGAAGGGTCTATCGGTCGACCCGAAGCGTACCGGACCCAGCCTCGAGGAAAGGACGTCTCTGCCGTCATTTTGCGCCCGTCGCTGCAGGAGATACTCGAGACGCTCGTAGGGTCAACAACGTACTGCAAGCAGCCGCGAGTGCACGCGTGTAGACTTAGACTGAGTAGGTGTCAGCGTTTTCTTTTCGGGCTTCCTCCAGTTCAATCACTTTATGAGAATTGCCGATGAGAAGCAATGGACGATAGAGCATCATCTCATGACATCCCAGAGCAAAACTAGGCGAATAGTCGTTCTTGCTGCAGGGCCACTTGTAATCAGTTTTGATTACTATGACTGTAGACTATGGAGTATGGTCCTTGTCTTATGCCTGTCGACTCTCCTCACTTCTGCGCAGGCAAAAAAAGCACTGCCTTCAACCTTGAACCTTCCATGTGCGGGTTAATACCAACGCTCAAATCGTGTCGATTACGATCGCGCCGAGTTTCCGGGTCAGCACTGGGTATCGTCCACTTGCGAGTTGTCTATTGGACATTTAAGTTGCTACCGATGGAGTGTCCGTATTTCAAATATCCAAATGATCGTGATCAAAGCTCGATTCGCAGCCAGGCTAACGTGGAATGTCGAACTCTGGATGTTTCCATGTGATGATTTGACTGGACTACCACGTTGATCCACCCGGGTTTCCACCCTTCCACGATGATCAGCGAGGACGAGACAACAATGGCTCTGGATACAAGGGGTTCTTTTAATTGCAGCGCAAGTGCCCCTCTGACAAGTCTGGCACATCATAGCCATTAGCCAGTACGGCGGTGGCACACAAAACTGGCTTCCCAACTTCTCTTGTACGGCGCAACGGTTTAGCCGCGTCGAAATTGCTGCTGCTGTCCGAGAAGTGATAAGTGGGCTCCATGTCTGAATTTGAGCAAACGGACAACTTGGAATATGAGAGAACTTCTTCAAGGCCAGTCAGGCTGTTCATGATGCGCAGGATAAGACTATAGGAAGATGATCCGTGGTGCTGATCACGCCTCTGACACCGTGGGTGAGCCAGTATCCTCGGTTAATGAGCCGGCCCGCTCGTGCTTTGCTTTCCATCCTTGGTTCGTACACAAGATACGTGAATATGAAACGCCCCCCTAAAGAGTGAAGACGTGGGTATAGATCATTCACCCCATGAGTTGACTCAAAGTGCGATGTTCATAGCTCGTTACTCCAAAGATCGACGCCGAACTATCCATGCACCCAAACTCAAATTTGAGCATTGTGCGTGAAGGCGCAGTGTAGTGAGTTGGAAGACGTTGTTGCATTTCCAGTGATTTTCACCCATAAGAGTCCGTATTGCCAGGGTCAACCACCAGCCTCACGCCCTCATTATCCGTAAGGTTCTCACTCAGATCAGTCAAAAATTAAGAGTCTCAGCAGTTGACAAGTAATTCACTAAACCCCCTCTCTGCGCTGGACCAAAGCGACTTGGACCAACTTTCCAAGACTCCTAGCTTAGCGCTGCTGGTACGATTGGGGACAAATGGATCACCTTGTTGGTACTTTAGCCCCGCGAGAGGAGTCATCATCAATCAACCATTCTTCCGTGTGCATCGTTGCTTTCTCAACATCCGACCGGATGAACACGAGCAATGGATTGCATTTGACATTCAGCCAGCCTGAAAATTCCACCACGCAGCGCACCTCCGTTGAAATTTGAGTAACGCCGCGAGTATACTTGCAGATACGTCCGTGGACCAGCATATCTGCGAGGATTTTCATGTGGTGACCAATCATGTATTCCATGACGCTCCTCCCATATCTCAGACCACCAGCGCGCGCGTGACGAGCTGACCAGTTGAGTCGCTGACGACGGTAGGGATCCAGATGAGGAAACGGTTGAACTGGATCGGAAGTTCTTGGACCTCATCACTGTCCAAGGTCGCGAGTTTCAAAGACACTCGATCGAAAACCACATATACTTTGGACCCATTGATGGAGTATGAAGATGCCCAACAGATTTCTGGGCGTGTCTGAGACCTGCTCACCAGCTCCTTAGGAAGAAGCGCACTTTCTTGACACGCAACAATGGTTGTTCCAGAAGATATTTGATGGCCGGCTGATATTCCCCCCGCTTCATCGACTGCAGAGAATTCTCGACTGCGGCCATGGAGCTGCGTCATGGGCAATTGAAGTAGCTGAACAATACCCCGACTCCGAGGTAAGTTTCTTCTCCACGTGCAAATGCAAGTTCAAGGTCATTCCTAACAGATTTGTCGAGCCAGGTCATCGGCGTCGATATTGCCCCACACATGAGCCCGGACAGTATGCCCGAGAATCTATGGCTTCAGGTCGGTAAATTGTCAACCTTGCAGCAATAAGGATGGAACATGTCATCGGCAGTGAACCGAGAAGCGCAAAGGAGCTGAACCGGTTGACACCCAAAGACACTGTCCCAGCCAAAAGTAATTCGAAGGCTTCCTGGGTGATGGCTGCTAATTTAATGCAATGAAGATCGATGACCTGAACCGACCCTTCACGTTCCCTGCCAACCACTTCGATCTCGTGCATTCTAGACTCCTCGCAAGCGGCATCGACCGTTCACGATGGCCGTCGTATATTCGTGACATCGTCAGGTACGAGTGCGTCCTTTTCGAATAAAGCTGTGGGATGCATCAGGCGAATGAGCATTATTGTGCCTGGAGCCCAGATTAACTTGCCGCGACTGACCTTCCTGTCAAGAGTGCTGAGGCCAGGTGGTTGGGTCCAAACAGTTGAGATGTATTTCAATGTACAGTCCGACAATGGGTCTCTCACTGACCGACATGCGCTGCGGCGATGGAGCACTCAATATATGCGTTCTTTAGAAGATCGCAAGGACCTTCGGATCGGGGCCAGATTGAATGACCTCTTTTCGCAAGCGGGATTGTTGGAGGTCGAGACAAAGATGATACCTCTCCCCCTCACAGATTGGTCGAGTGGTAGGTTTTATAGTATTATCATTGTCCGAAGGTTTACCAGCGACGACTGACGGTGCTGCAGATCCCAGAATGCGGGAGCTTGGTCGTCACACTGGCGAATCCATTGGTGATCTCCTGGTCTCGCTTTCTCTGTATCCATTGACTCAGCGTTTACACATGTCGGCTGAGACCTTTGACGCGTTGATGGAGCAAGCTCGAGAGGAGGCCAAAGATCACTCGCTGAAAGCATATTTCCCTTTGTGAGATGGGTTCCCTTCTTTCCGCAAAATTTGAGGATTTGACTGACATGGCGTAGGTATGTCTGCATCGGACGGAAGCCACAATGATGTCTGAACTGGGGATTTATCACAAAAAGTTTGGTCATTCAACTGGATGCGCGCAAATTCATGCACTATCTCGTAGATGTGATTACTGCCCTCGGTATTGCATAGCATCTCGATATCTTTGTGCAGGGGTCCGCCCGTCGAACGATTGTGCGTGAGACTGAAATTTCCAGATCCAATGGACAGTGTTCAATGACTCAGATGCAGTTTCACGGGCAGTGTCACAGAACGACGTTTCTTTTTGATCGCGCTAGCCTCAGTATTGGTCTTGACGGTGTCACGAGGTTGAACGTACGTACTTCGTGACACGTAGGAGACATGTGCGACAGCTACATGTGAAACGGATCGACTTGCCCAGGAACACGGTAAGGTTGGTCGCCGATAGCGCAGAGCACTCGGTAAGCGTATGCCGTGGCCAGTCATGCTCTAATGAGTTTCTCTTGTGCTATTCTTGTTGCGCCATACTTCGGGCGAAGAGGCGGTCTCGGTGCAGTTGAGGGCGTGCAGTACTTGGAAAAGGTCACTGAGCTAATGCCGAACGCCAAAGATATTTATTGATCGTGATCATCATCGACGATGGGTGAGTAAGCCTGGGAGGAGTTGAGCGAACCATTGCTGCAGCAATGGTTCGCTGGAAAAAGAAGCAAGTTCATATGGGCCGTCGGCCAGGCTCCAGAATGACAGCCCAACAAAGGTCCGTGGCCTGACTGCCTGTAACTTCCAGAGCGATTTTGAGTCGCACGCCTCAGCGACAAAGTGACCAAGTGAATGTGAGAAAAACAGCATTGGTATTCCAGCAGCGATGCTGATTTTCGGTAATGAGACCGTCTGGTGGGCTAGGAGGTCCAAGGGGAAAGAGGGGAGGTTCCAGATGGTGAAGCGGACTCCGTCAGGGACCAGGAAACCACGCAAGAACAAAGAACCCGTACCTCCCGTTGCTCTGGGTCAACAAGCGGGCATGACTCGCTGCAAGTTCCTCGCACATGCAGTCCAGACCGATGCACGAGTCTCGCCAAAGCCGCATAGCTCTAGCGCCGTCTGTCGATTCCATGTGAGCTCACTTGGACTATGTGGCTCTTCATTTTGACATCTTACAATGGCCGCCTCGATGATTGTTCACAGAACTTCCAAACACAACTTAACTCAATTCTCACAAAGTCCATCTCAGCATTCACCACTTTTCGACATCTGAGGCTGAGATCGACGTCCATTACTGCATCTGCAAATCGCGTTCCCACAGTTTCTGGAGCTAGATGTTGACCTTTGAGCAACGAGTCTGGCAGTGCACCGATGAGACACTCGAGTACTAGCTTACAACTAACATTGACCAAGTAACCCTGCATGACAACTGCTCTGGGACGCACGCATTCTCCTCGAGTCATGCACCCATTCTAGTCTCAAACACCGGAGGACTGAGCGTTTGATCAAGAATGTTCTTTGACTAGTACCGCCATCTACTCTCATCACCTGCTTTCCACTACACAAGATCGAGAATCAAGCACGCTCATCTCAATCGCAAGCGCCAGCTAACCCGCCACATCTTATTCGAAAAGGCCGATCTGGCCTGGGCCCTTGCCGAGAGGTCTAAGACCACCTCGATCGAGTGTCGAACCTTTGCAGCTTCCCGGCCACAGCAGAGTCCGCGCCGTCTGCACACCGAACATTGACGTGTTCTTGCAGTGCATGATCTCCAATGAATGTATCATTGAGCAACTGCGTCCGAGTGCCGGAATTGTCGGACCTGAGGTTAGACTTCGGTACGTGATCACTGTACAGTGTACACTAGTGCCTTCAATTAGTTTTTTTTCGCATGTGCGAATCGGAGCATTCACAATGTTCATCTTGATTCTCATATTCATTGAGTGGAGCAAGCACTGGAGGGTAGAATTTGGGAGGGGAGTTGGAATGCAGGCTCAACTAACTAATCGTCCTCGTTGCGTCGCACTGGACCTAGAATAAGTTATACTAGACTACTTAAGAGTTGGGATGCCACTCAAGTGGGTTTGCCAGACCCCCCAAAAACGAGGAAATTAGACGACTCAAGCGCCCGGTCCGACAGGCGACCGGGGATAATGTCAGCCTTGATGTTCAGGCCAGAAAGCTTCCATATCAGGAAAAGCGGCAGGCGGGGAGGAAAAAAGTTGGGCGCGGAATTTTGTAAAGCTCCAGTCCATACTATCACCACCAGCCCTTTGCCCGACCGATAGCCAAGATGCCTTCCACATATAAGAAGGAAAAGCCATGGGATACGGATGACATCGATAAGTGGAAGGTATGTCTCGTGCTCATGGAAATTTCCAATCTGCTGCACCGCGAAAGGCCGAATCTAGTGAACTAACCAAGGCTTTGCGCGCGTCAGATCGATGAATTCAAACCTGAAGACAATGCAGCGGGCAGTTTCGCCGAGGAGTCGTCCTTCATGACGCTCTTCCCTAAATACCGTGAACAGTATCTGAAGGAGGCATGGCCCGGTGTCACCCGATCACTGGAAAAAATGGGAATCGCGTGCACACTGGATTTGGTGGAGGGAAGCATGACCGTCAAGACTACCCGAAAGACCTACGATCCCGCTGCGATTCTCAAGGCTCGTGACCTGATCAAGCTGCTTGCCCGAAGCGTTCCCGTCACTCAGGCGCTCAAGATCTTGCAGGACGACGTGGCATGCGACATCATCAAGATTCGGAACCAAGTGCGGAACAAAGAGCGCTTTGTCAAGCGCCGACAACGCATTCTCGGCCCCAACGGCTCGACCCTGAAGGCTCTCGAGTTGCTGACCAGTACCTATATTCTGGTGCAAGGAAACACCGTGGCAGTGATGGGTCCGTTCAAGGGTCTGAAGGAAGTCCGGAGAATTGTCGATGATTGCATGGCGAACATTCACCCGATCTACCACATCAAGGAGTTGATGATCAAGCGCGAGTTGGCCAAGGACCCGACACTGGCGACCGAATCATGGGATCGATTCCTGCCCAACTTCAAGAAGCGCACTCTGTCCAAGCGTCGTGTCCCATTCAAGGTCACCGACAAGGAGAAGAAGGTGTACACTCCCTTCCCTCCTGCACCCGAGAAGAGCAAGGTCGACTTGCAGATCGAATCTGGAGAATACTTCCTGTCCAAGGAGGCCAAGGATCGCGCGCACAAGGAAGAAGTCATGGAGCGTCAGCGTGTCAAGCGCGAGGAGAAGATGCGCGAGCGCGAGAAGGACTTTGTGGCGCCCGAGGAGCAGACTCCGGCCGATCTCGACAAGGAAAAGAAGAAGAAGAAGAAGGAGAAAAAGGAAAAGAAGGAGAAGAAAGAGAAGAGCAAGCGCAAGCGCGACCACGACACCGACGGAGAGGAGCCCACCGAGCAAAGCGAAAAGAAGAAAAAGAAAAAGAGCAAGTCCAAGGAGCCTTCATCGGACGAAGAGTAAAACGGTCGCTGGTTTGGCCCTGTTTCTATTTTGGCGCTTCTGGGAGAGCATGGGTTCGGCGTTCTTTTACCCTATCATCTTTCTGTGCTTTACTTTATAAATATCTTATCAGGAAGAATCCTGCTGTAAAATGGGAATATCAAACGAATTCATATGAGCATCGTCGTAGTTTGATAACAAGTGAATCGAATAGCTCCCTTTCTTTGGGGCTCAACTGAGGATACTTGTTGCGAAAGTGGCAGAAGTTCCAGAGGATCCACTCATAACGAATAACCCCCCGCGACACTGTCCAAAATCAATGAGAAAGAAAGCAAATCTCAGAAATCAAATTCGCCTTGCGGGCAGGTTAATCGGACAGGCAGAGAGATAGTCGGTCATTCTTCAAATAGAGCCTCTAGCCTCGGCGTTGGCATTGTCGTTGGCTGCCCCCCGAGCTTTGGCTCCCCCAGGACTGCGCTACTTTGGGTCTTCTCAAGCATGCCCATTTCATGAGCAAAGGTGTCATGAGGCTTCCACTTGGCACTAGTCGATGGATTGGTTTCTTCAAGCATCTTGTCGATCTGTTCCAGGGTGAGTCCCTTGGTCTCTGGGATGAAGAAATAGGCGAACAGCAGGCACAAGAACAGAGCGCTACCCCAGACGAAGAAGACTTTGACCTTCAAGTTACCTTCCTTCTCGTCCACCATGTAGGGGGTGATGACCGCAATGACACAGTTCCACAACCAGTTGGACGCCGTCGCAAGAGCAACACCTTTAGCTCGAATAGGAAGCGGGTAGATCTCACCCACAACGACCCATGCAGCTGGACCCCAGGTAGTTGCGAAAGCGGCGATGTACAGGCAGGTAAAGACGATGAGACATGTGCTCCTGCGAAGACATGAGCATGAGTATTGAATCTCCCGGCAAGGATCATTGTACAACTTACGCAGCCTGGCTTCCCTCCTTGGCAACGCCAACAATAGCAACCAGGAACTCGCAGACACACATGATAGCGGCCCCTCCAAGGAGTAAAGGTCGGCGACCCAATTTCTCGACCATCCAGAAGGAAGCGGGAGTTGTGACCACATTAACAATGTTCATGATGGTCGAGATCAGGAATGGATTCTTCAAGCCAACGGACTGGAAGAAGGTGGTACCATAATAAACTAGAAAATCAGTAAGTTCTGGTCGACCGTGACATCTTCCTTTGAGGCCCACTTACAGATGAAATTGATGCCAGTCCACTGCTGGAACATTTGGAGGCAGATACCCGTAAGCACTCGACGCAAGTTTCCGCGAGGGGACATGCCACCTTTGAAACAGTCGGCCCAGGAGTTATTGGTGAGTTGCTTCTCGTACTCGAAATTGGCTTGGATCTCGGCAAGTTCCGCCTGAATTGCAGGGTGCGAACCGGGCTGGCCGCGAACTCTCTCAAGCGAGCGAAGTGCATCGCTCATCCGGCCACATCGAACATAATAGCGAGGTGATTCGGGCAGGAGGAACAGGCCAGCAGCCAGAAGAGCCGCCCAAATGAACTGAAGACCGATGGGAATCCGATAGGAAGAGCGAGAGTCAATATCCTTACAGCCCTGATCCACGCCAGAAGCTACCAGCAGGCCGATTGTGATAGCCCACTGGTATGCAGAGACAAGCAAGCCGCGGACCTTGCGAGGGCTGATTTCGGAGACGTAAAGGACGACTGCGGCTGAAACACCGCCAACACCGAGACCGGCAACGAAACGGCCAGCAACTAGGCCACCGATGGTCTCAGTACCGACCTGAACAGCGACCCCGACAGCGAAGATCAGGCAGGAAAGCATAATGGTAAGACGGCGGCCGATATGCTCAGCAGCTGTGCCACCCAGAAGAGCACCAATGAAGGTACCAGCGGAAAGAATCGAAGTGATCAAAGACTTGCGAGAGCTAGGAATCACAAAGCCAGTAGGATTCTCGTCAGACTTGGGGACAGCCACACCAAAATTCTTCTTGACGTAGTCCATGCCAAGAACGCCCGAGATGTAACCGGAGTCATAGCCATAGAGGATACCTACGGAGGGGGGAAGATTGGGTTAGCATGTGCGCATGATCAAGCTCACCATGGAAGGCGCTGGTTCCTTACCTCCAAAGCTGGCGAAGCCACAGATCATGTAGGCATGCCAGGTAACTGGAGCTTCGATAAGGCTCAAATCAGCCGTGCCCACCAGGTGTTGAGGGTCCATCATGGCAGAGAAACGTGAAGGAAGTGTGAGGGTTGTATTTGTGGGGTTTCAAAAGATTGCACTCAGGAAAGAGCTGTTGAGTATCAGGTCTTCGTTGATGTTGGCAGAGGATGAGAAGTGAAATGAGAGGCAATAAGAGGGTGAGATCTTGTCGAAGCACGTGCGCCGGAAGTTTGGCAGACAAGCTCAGATGAAAGGTACGATGTGTCTGCTGTTTGTTGACGAGGCAGTGGCAGAGTGTTTGGAAGGTGGTACCTTCACTACCACGCACCGGGTTGTCTGTGTCTGTGAAACGAGTCTACATACAACTTCCGTCGTTATCAATATAGACATCGAAATGAAGGGACCTTTCACCCCCCATACTATACTATAGGGTAATTAAGCAAGTTGGGTTGGACGTAACTCAAAGCCATCCTCATTGAGCACATGATTCGAAGAGGTCTCCCAGTATCTACGCGTCAAATCTACCAATAATTTGCTTCGATTCGATTTATATGAATGGTGTACATGACTTATGAGGCGGAAGGGACACCTGGATATTTCTCACCAAGTCCACCGCTAAAAGTAAGCGAATGGCCTCGGCATTTGTTTTGAGAGAGTTGACTAGCGCAGGTTCAATCGACAGTCTATCACGCCTAATGCGAGGCTGTGAATCTCCTTTGCAGAGATACTAGTCATACCCACTGAGATCTCGTGACCAAACGCGTTGTGGTATGCCAATCATGAACGTAAAACATGTGATACAACGGGAAACGGCAGAGGGTAACATGAGCTGGAAACATGTGGCAGGATCTAGCTTTCATTGAGGACAGCCGTCATTACCACCTGCGCTTCCATGCTTTCAAGATTACGTGCGGGAGCCAAGCCTGTAGAAGGGCATTGTAAGTAAAGTTTACTTGGTGAATGCGCGACTGTGTAACAGGAGATTTGTCTTTCCCTAGGGGAGAATACCTTTGCGAATGGGCACAAGAAATACGATACGCGGCGTGCGCTACTTGTAGTTGAGTTATAAAAAAAGAATAAGGTGCCATGCACACAATCAAGTGACAGACTATGAGATTCAACAGGGGGAGATTTTATATAGGAAAGAAAAAGAGGCTCGGCCAATCACCTCAAGCTCAAATTCACGGAAGCCCTAATAGATTATCCAAGAAACCAAAAAAAAATATCACGATAGCATCGTCGATTTTGTGCATAGTTTATCGCTCAAGACTCCAAGAGACACGCGAAAAGACCTCGTTCAAAGTCTGCTCTGCGTTTGGGGGAGCTTTCATAGATCGCCAGGCAATATAACCATCAGGTCTAACCAGAACCGCCCCGGATGAAGAGATTCCAAAGAGTGTCTGGAAGTCGTCTTCCTCGTCGAGCAATACATTTCCACCGAAGGGCAAATATGTGATTGAAAGTGATGATTTCCCGTTGACAAACCGAACGGCTTTTCTCCATTCTGTCGAGTCAGATTCGGTAAGCAAGGTCCATGTTTCTTTTCTAAGAAGATCGATGATCGGGAGCTTTTTCCCTTCTTGAAAACACCAGACATGAGGAGCATGTGTTCCGGGCTGACCGTTCCACTCATCGGGTCTCTTGGCTCGGGGTAAATTCTCGCCAGCGCCAATGATGGATTCCGAGGTGTAGATTTGGCCGAACTCCATGGCATCGTCGTCAATCTTCACTCCAACGGGAGTGGTAACATCGAGGTGAACCTTATAATCTGCCCGAACAAAGATCTGATCATGTCGCAGCAGTGCCACAGGACGTCTTTCCGCGGTGTAAGTGTTCAGCAATTTCGGTGAAGCCTTTCCAGACACCACGGCCGCAAGCTTCCAGGCAAGATTGTGCACGTCATGAATACCAGTGTTCGCGCCATAGCCGCCTCGGTTAGGTGGTAAGGTATGTGCAGCATCCCCAGCAAGGAAGATTCTACCGAGCTGAAAGGTCTCGGCAACAAGAGCAGTCAATTCCCAGCGTCCGGTGGTGATGATCTCAAGGGGGAAATTAGAAACCCCAACGGCCTGGTAAATTCCCGCGCGAAGGGCATTCTCGTCGCGGTCGATGGAATCTTTGAACATCAGCGCCCAACGTCCGTCGCTGTAGGACGCCAAGAAGGCTTTAAGGCCTGGCTGGTCGATATCGAATTGAGCAATGCCTTTGGTCCACTGCTCAAGTGGAGCTCGAAACAATACACTGCTCAGGGTTTGCATGTAGCCACGACCGCTACGTGGTATCTGCAGGCGTTCCCGGACGGTGCTTCGATTCCCGTCGGCAGCGATGAGATAGCAGCCAGGAATGCTCTGTTGCTTTCCGTTCTCATCGGTCCCGGTGACCGTGACTCCGGTCTCATTCTGCTCCACGTGTGAAACCTTCCAATTGCGCCGAATATCTGCACCTCGTTGCAGGGCGAGTGCCTCCAGCATGGGTTCCAGCTTATCCTGAGGAATTGCCGAGGGACGTTCCGCTGAATAGGACTTCTTTGGCACCCGGGATTGTACATCAGTGGGCCGGGTGCTCCCGATCTTAGATCCTCTGTTGGTATCGGACCACAAGGATTGTTCGTGCCATTTACCGGTCAAGCTTTCAACATGAGCGCGCTCGAGCTTGAAATCTTCTGGCGCGGGGTCTTTGTTCTCGATACCCAGGGAGCGGTATATTTCCATTGTCCGAGAGGTGAAACCAATCGCTCGAGGGTGCTGCGAGACCCCAGAGTGTTTTTCGAGAACAATGGTGGGCACATTCAAACTGCTCAAGCAGAGGGCAGCTGAAAGGCCGACTAAACTTCCGCCCACCACGATGACTGGATGTTGGGAGATCGACGAGGTCATGGTGTTGCTGGTCGAGATATGGCATAAAATGACATTTTTCCAAAAAAAGAAAATAGCAAACAATTAAGGAGGCTTGAAGAGAATAATGTTTCTGATCAATTTCATTTTCTCGCCAGGTTGTGGTCAAATTTATAGAATGGGTGCTGGTGACTACTCGGCGCCGAGAACTTGTATTGTAAAGTGTGAAGAACCCTTCGGCGCCGAGAATCCAAAGCCCGAAGCATCACTTACCGGCCTCAACGACGGAATGGACGCCACATGCGAAAAGAAAACGGCACTGGCAGGCTTAAAAATCCTTACACAAGATAAGTTTGGACCAGCTCAAGCCTTTAATAAGAACAGAAGAAATCCAGGGTCTGGTAAAATTGGATGTAACCAGCATTATGGCGCTATCGACTTGATAGGTTCTATGACAGCGTTCTGTGGATAAACGAAGTCCATGCATGATACGAGCTCTTCATCTTGTACCACACACATTACTATGTTGGCTACTACTCAAATACCAGGAGCTAAAAGTAAAGAACCGTCCGAGGGCCATATTTTGGCGAAGGTGGGAGAATAGCCAGTATAAGCGAACCATGCGGTAATCGGTACAGTATGCTTGTTGATGAGCCAAGTTTGGACAATTGTCTTAAAAAAATAAAAGCGAATTGCATATATGCCAGAGAAATTGTACATATAACAACAACTAATCGCGAATACGGATAAGGAGTTCCCGAGCCTCTACCTCGCGTAGATGGAGTCCAGTATCAAATCTCGGAACAAGAATCATTTCGTTGCCGTGAGTCAGTCCTTTCGACCAGCTAAGGTTTGGATAGTTGCTCGCGGCGGAAGAAGAGTAAGAAGCCGCCACTGTTTGTTGTGCCATTCATTGTTAGATGCCAGATTCTTCAGCAAGCATTTGAATGTCCAATGAACTCACCAGATTAACAATTGGGATATCAAGGCAATCCAGAACCATGCATTACCCAGGGCAGCAGCACCCGCCGTAATATCCGGCGAGATTGGCCCCGGTCCGATCTTGTTAGGTGCAAAGGCCCTGGCACAAATTGTGGCGAGAGATCCAATCACTTGCGAAACCAGCAGCGTGAAACAGATGTGCATTCTCGTTAGAGTCTGCAACAAAATCATGCCAAAGCCCAGGCCTTGCACTGCATCCATGACACCGAGCCACAGCCAGAGACTGCGTGAGACTAAAGCACCTGAGACGTAGTTACCGGCCCATGGCAAGAAGAGACCCGACCCTGACGTTCCCCACCATATTTGCGCCCACCTGGGAGCTCCAAGTCCGCATGCGACAATTGGTAGAATCCAGCTGTGTGATTTCGACACCCAGGCGAGTAACAAAAGTATCAGGATCCACACCAGACCGAAGAATACCACGCAAAGACATAGGATTTGCCATGACTTTGCATGTTGGGAAATCCAAAGGACTAGAAAAAGAGTCCTCGTCAGCCATTGTTATCTCAGCAATATTCTAAGCGGACTTACAATTCCAATTCCGGCCATATGGCGCACTCAAGAAGAAATTTTGTAGAATAACGACGACCCAATTCCACAGCACAATCTTGCGTCGAAAGACGGACTTGTAGAAAGAGGGAACCTTCCCAGGAGTTTGTCGGTAGTAGTTCGGCAAGCCGAAATAAATGAGCAAGCCAACGCCCCATAGGAAAACAGTAACAGGTGCGCAAATGGCCGTCATCCTCCATGTGTTGGTGATATTGGCTTGACCACTCAACCCTGCATTGGAAGCTTTAGTTAATGTGGATCCCCAATACCATAGAGCAATCACGTAGGCCTGTTGAGTGCCTTGAATGAGACAGGCACGGAAAACCCATTTTTTGACTGGGGCGCCACTTTCGTCGCCAAAGTTGAGCGCGAAGAATATTGATCCGCTTGACGAGGCGGCAGCGTAGATACCGCTCCCAATATTCTGAATCCATCCGCGAATGAAGTAATCAGACTCAAAGTGAGCAAAGCCAATAATGAGAAACGCTGTGCCATATAAGAACCACGGCACGGTCAGTACTAGTACCGATTTGCAAAAGCGGAAGAAAAGCCACCACAAGATAGACGTAACCAAATAAACAGTGGCAATGCCGTATAGCTTTGCCTCGCTCTGCCCAATCTCACCAGTCAGCAGAGTTATTTGATAAGAATTTGCCGCAATGATTTGGCCAAGACCCAGAAACAAGGAGTAAACAGGCCAGTCTCCTAGCCGCATCTGCATCCACTTTTTCAGGCCGGTAGGTGGCACGTAGTCGGCTCCCAGGAAGAATTCATCAGGTTGTTTCCTCTCTGGCACTCCACCTTCATGGGAGCTTGAATCCTCGGCGTTGATCGAGCGTGAAGATGAATGGCTTCTCGCTTTGCTATCTTGACCCAGGAGAGCTTGGGACTGGTTGCGGCCGAGACGTGCGTCACGGAATCGATCAAACCATTTCTTCTCACTTTTCTCAAGAAATTGCTCAATGCAAAGCTGATGTTCGGAGTTTGACCCGTTCAAATTCTGGAGCTTCTTCTCAAACTCTCTGAAGTATTCTTCATTACTGTCCGTGAAGAATGGATCGACTTTCTGCAGTTTGTAGTCCTTTTTGTCGCCCACGACAGTCTCAACTGACAAAGCCGAAGATTGACTGAAACGATTTCCAAAGTCGACCCGCATTCTTGAGGGAGGTAGGAGTGTATCCTCAGTCCCTATTGAGCTCGGGGTTGTCGAGCCGGACGGACTGCTCGTGTGATAGCCAGGGATCAAGCTTTGGTATGAATATGGAGCGGAAGAACCATATTTCATTGGGAAAGCCCCAGAAGAAGTCCGGTCCAAAGGAGGATACATGATGCTTCCCCTTTCAGTGTCATCCACTGGCGCGGGATACTCGTCATTGCCAAAACAAGTCGCCATCATATCATTTTCGGTATCGTCTTGGAACTCAGATGGTGATTCTTGTTGCACGGTCTGTACTTCAGTAAGTCTATCCCTTCTCAAATCTCGAGTAACAGGATTTTCCGTAGTAGCTCGAGCAGATTGTGGGCCACCAATGACCCCAAAGGAGTTGTGTCGACCATGACCTGACTTAGATCTGTTCAGTATTGAGCCCGTCTCCCGACTATAAACCACAGAGGTCGTTCGCAGTGAAGACAAAGCGATTGGTCGGCGAGGAGACTGTGGCGGTGGTGCCAGTGTCGTGCTCGAAGCAGAAGACCGAGACGAGCCACCAGTCTGAGGAGTCATCATACCGTAAATGGCGTTGTTTGTGGTATTCGAGTTCACATGTCCAGACTTTGATTTCTCTTTATCATGGATGCGGACGGCGGTTGATTGTAGTATCTCCAAATCTTCAATCCATTGCGCAACAGGGAACCGCTGCTTTGCTGATCTTGCTCGCATCATCGCCCTCGTCTCCTTCTTCGAGCTCAAAGCACTATCGATCGCAAGCTTGAACTGTTTAAGAAGGTGACTGGTTGTTGTAGACTCGACCTCGTACCACCAACCTGGCATCTGGCCAAGTCCACCCACTCGAGCACCGATTCCAAGGGCGCCTTTGCGTCCGAATTCGACGGCAACCAGTCCAAATGGTTCATCGCGAGATGGGATCAACGCAAATTCCGCCCCCGAGAAAATGAATGGTGGCAAGACAGTAAACTGGGGCTTGGAACACACACGCCCCGGATAGAGTCGCATCAGCTGGTCTAGCTTCAATGCGGCAAATTTGCCATACAGATCGATGACCGGTCCAACGCAAATCAACTGAACCCGAGGCTGAGATTCGAGAACGCCTGGCATAACGTCTGCGATTAAATCGACACCTTTTTGCATCGACCATCTTCCAACAAACACCATCAACTCAGCATCAGCGCGTTGATCTAAGCCAGCCCATTCCTGCGCTTGTCTTTTGAGTTCTAGGCGTTGTGTTTCGTAATCATTATCAACCTCGACGTTTTTCTCTTCGGACGTTGATTTAATCCACTCTCCAGTATCAGAGGGATCAGGATTCGGGAGGTTTCCTACCCGTTTAAGCCCCCAAAAGATAGGGTATCGCGCGTAGGATCTCTTCCCGTATTTTTTTGATACCCCAACGGCTCCAAAACCTTGCTGATGAAGACGTAGATAGCTCGCACCAGCATGAAGTAGATTGAACACCTCGCCAAATTGGACATAGCGAGTGACAACATCGATATCGAGATTGAATACCGAGCAAACTTCTCTTTTTTCTTTCTGGGTGCGCATTGGCCATAGTCCTTGGAATTCTGCGTTGTGAAGAGAAAGGCAGATTGGTACTGTCTCCGGGAGCTGGTAAAGCATAGCAATGGCACCGTGATAATCATTGATATGATAGAGATCGATTGAGAATCGTCTCATAGTTTGAGCAATGCATTGATTCCAGGCGGAATAATAGATGGCACTGCCAAGATCATCCATCCGCGCCGGGTAGGGTTCTTTGGCGGACTGCTGCCGAAAGACTGGGGCGTCCAGTAGAACATAAGTCACGTTCCTCAAGATATGATACTGCACCCTCACCTCGAAGGTGTTTTCGAGAATGGTCACAAACATCGATTCGGCCTGGGTATCCACTGGATAGGTGATGCCGCCCATGCATGGAATTACCCAGACGAGGTCCAGGTGACCAAGTTGCTTGCTCATGAGCTGAGCCATCACACCTAGGCCACCAATCTTGATCTTTATGGCCCAGTCCTCGATTTCATATTCCATGGTTGCTATCAGCACTTTTCGTCGATTGGACGATCGACTGCTAAACGCAGACGTACTCTGAAGAAATCTGGAATTGCTTGTCAGCCGTGTCAATAGGCCCCGAAGCCCAGCTGCCCTGATAGTAGATGGCCTGATGTGCTGGAGGAAGTCCAGCGACACGAGGGTCTTTTTCTCACTAACACCGATCTGGTTGAATCTTATTCGGTAAAACGTTGTTTTGAAGACATAGGCACATGACACAGCTGTGACCACTGGAACGATGCCCAGGAGGATAAAAAGCGCCATTTGAACATACTTCGACCCAGCCGGAAGTAAGTAGAAACGTAAGGTGGCATCATTGACGTGAACTGTCCAGGCCAGGTAGGGATCTGGTGGGTGTTCAGTGATGTTGATGACAGTCGGCGACTGCGAGGATGGTGGTAGACGATCGAGCACGGAGTCGCCGTCCGCGTCTCCAAAAATGTAGCTTTGGTCCGGTTTGCCGTCAGGATTGATCCCCCATACGTTCATCTGGCCTTGAGCCGGCCACTCCGCGGCGAACCGGAATTTCCAGAGACCATCACTGTCTTGTTCAAAGACGTTTGCCAGACCGGCATCATACCCGTACTGATTGAAAGGGCCGTCAAAGAAGAGGTGAGGCCATCGGCGTGGGACCTGAGAGCTCCAGTCAGGGCTATCGCCTTCTTGTACGTAGTCGCTGCTCCCTGTGAGGCGGCTCCAATATTCCACACGAACGTGCTTCGCACCCCATTGTTGATCCTTGGTTCCCGACCAAGGTAATTCCTTGATCGATTGATTGCCTCCGTGATATGGAAGCCACTGGCTATAGGAGCTGCCCCAGTTGGTTGAGTAGCGATATTTGTCTGCTCCAGGTGCGCGTTGTAGGATATAAAGGGAGCCGTCTTCACGCTTGTGAAGAAGTGTCCGTGAGTAGTTGGCGGACGTGAAGATCATCGGATTGTCATCGGCACCAATCCGGATCAAAAAGTGATCGATTGCATTCGTTGTGCGGCCATCGATGCTGGTAGCATTATGAACGGTCATACGGTGGATCCCGTGATCAACTCCTGCGAGAGTGGCTGTCCAGGCCCATGTGGAAGGAATTTGGCCAGAATAGAGGATCTCTTCATCCACAATCTTCCCGCACTTCACCGTGGTCAAGTCGATGGACGGACTGACTCCTGTCTCTGTTGAGGATTGAAAAGAGATGGCTTGCGACACTTGTGCACAATCCATTTCAGCCGAGAAATATAAGCCAATTTTGAGTTCTTCCAGCTGACCTGGCTTGACTTTTGAAAGTACCGGAAAGTCATGACCAGGTGTGAATCTGGTGATCATAGGACGCGGAGCAACAAATTTCTCTTTTGGCACGTAGGCTTTGAACTCGTACGGAGCTAGCTTGAGTGTGTCTGAGCAACCGTTTGACGTGGTGGAACCATTCAAATGCATGTATGTCGAGCTCTCCTTGAGCTTAATTTCGTCGTGGGGATAAAAAAGATTCTTGACGGTGGTATTCGCGTCAAATGGCGCAATGAGAGCTGCATTTCTGCTGGCGCAATCAAAATGATATGTAACAGCTTTTTTGTCATTGTGGTAGACCAACCAGATGGTCTGGTTGCCATCTGATCCGAGATCTTGTCCCTTGTAATACGGGCTTCGTAGAACAGACCACATTCCTGTCTCTGTGGGTAGGCCATTGGATCCTGGGTAGTATACATTGCGTGTTTGGTTGGACAGAAGTTGTATCCACCAGCCGTCGTTGAGCGTAGGGAAGTCCTCTCGCATCTGATACATGTGCTTGATCGTGTTTCGCAAGAAGTGTGAAGGGTCTCGATGATCGTAAGTGGCACGTTCATCGTGACATCCCAGTCGTCCCGATTTGATCGGCCAGTTGTAGTATTGCTGGGAGGTCAAATTGAAGCATCCGTGAGTCTTCCAAGCGGTCGCGGGGGACATGGCCTGCCGTCCGAAGATGTAATTTGACGCCGTTGCATCGAGGATATAAAATCCCTGCTCCTCGCCCCATAGCAGTAAAGGAATGCCAGGAAGGTGAAGAGTAGTAATGAAGAGCCCAAGAAGTTGCCTCTCAATGCCCATGTCGACTGCCGGCCAACGAAAGACGTCTTGGTTGGTCACACCGTACATATGACGCGGGTCATATTTCCCAGTGTTTGCATTCAAAAGATCGTTGGTCAAGATCATCTCATACCAGGCCGTGGTCCAATTGACCGGGATGTCGTAGCCGGCTGCTAGATTTCCATCCATGCCCAAGAAGCGAGTCAGAGATCGGTAGACTGAGTAATGAAACGCGGCGCCATCAATGGCTTGTTTATTCTTATCGCGAATAAAATAGCTTGCATTGGATGAGCTCGTCTGTTGAAAGGCTTCGTCCAATGTCTGCGGAAGCATATCAGGCTGACGACCCCGACCAAGAAAGATAGAGCCAAAAGTGTTACCACCCGTGATCTCCCCGGGCAAGAAGAAGTTCGTTTTGCCCACTTTCCTTGCGCAATTTCGATAGGCTTCTGAGATATCACCAAGAGCATCGACGGTAGCTTGAGTGGCTTTGTCATAGCGGAAACCATCAATATCAAGGGAAGCGATAATCATACACGAGTGACGAACGAGACGTTCTCTGACACTCGGAACCCACTCTCGAAGACGATCCTGCACAGAAGCAAATTTGGCCAATTCTCTTTTCCAATCGGGGTATACACCAAAGGCTTCAATGTCCCCATATTGGTCAAAATCGCTGTTGTAACACCCGCCCAATTCATCGTGGACATAACTATCAACCGGGTAGCCTGTCTCGTTCCAGAAACGGGGATAGTTGCAGGTCTCATTATAGTCGTTTCCAATATTGAAATCAACATATCTCCGATCGGATTTCCACTGGACTTTATGTTCTTTCGTCAAGAAAGGAGCGGTGGTATTAAGATACCCTTCGAACCCGATCAGGTCGCCCATGCTTATTTTCGGACAAATCAGCTAAAGACAGCAATTTTCGCGATCATGGTCTGCGTGACTTACGTCGCAATCGTGTTGTCAAAGATCACATATATTCCGCGTTTGTGAATCTCCGTAATAGCTTCTCTCCATGTTTGTATCGTTCCATAATGCTGATCAAGCAAGGTAGTGTCCAATGCTGAATAGCCATCAGAGCCCCAGGGCTGATTCATCAGGATCGTTCCGGCGAGATATATACCCTGCAAGAGACGCATTTCCAGTCAGTTCGTACCATTAGAGTAAGGTGGATTTGTTTGGCGAAAACAAACCTTGATCCCCATTCCTTGCAGATAGTCCAATGTATCCAAGAGCCCAACGACATCGCCCCCGTGGCGCATCTGGTTGGAATTGAGATCATGCTCGAACAGAGTACCATTGATGTTGTCATTGGTGGGGTCGCCATTCACGAAGCGGTCGAGGAAAAGCGTATAGATGGGGAATCGCCAATTCTCTGGCGAAGGGTGATAGGTGTGGTTGGGCCATGCACCCCAGTACTCGGCGGGGTTCCTCGTCTGCTTGTTTTCATTGAGGTTGTAGGCAGCCAAGGCTTCGTCATAGGGCCAGGCAAATGTGCGCAGAAAGAATTGAATGAACGTGATGCATTCGAAGATCCAATGCATGATGAGACTTTCGGAGTGGGCAATATGCGACACCCTTCTGAGTCCACTTTATATGTGCTGGCCTGCGCACTTGATCTCCTTCAGCATCAAAATTGGAACGACTACCGCCTGTTACTCTGCATAATCAGTTTCAGCGTTCTTCAAATGAAAACTGAGAAAGAGAAAAATCTGAGCATGAGAACTTGAACATCATCATGATGCTTCCAAGGAAAACTCTGCATTCTAGGGCTTGCAACAATCTTTCAAATTCTGGTATTGGATAGAGCTTGTAAACCTACCACACTCGTATAGACCCGGCGCTCGGAATTGATGATCAGTATATGCACTTCAAGCTTCCGTGGAAAGTGGTAGCATGAACTCTTTTTTGAAGAGAACCGAGGGTGAATGAAGGGGACGAGACGGAAATGCCTTACCATCCATCTAGTGCTAAACGTGTCCCTTTTGTCATATCCTAATCGAAATCATCGATCTTTTATAGCAGAGTCCTGCTTCGTGACCCCAAATGATGTACGGAGAGTCCGAGGAATGTTGACAGACTGCAAAGATGTTTGTCGCCATAAATGTATACATCTACCGGCTTACAAAAATTCTCAATTCTTCAGGGAGCTTTTCTTAAATTAGCATCATATGGCGAGTAGATGGCGAGACCGTGGGAGAATCTGCTGTTTGAGCGGTGCACCCAGTTGGTACTCACATCGCTTTGGTCGAAGCATAGGTAGGTACCTTGCGCGGATTGACGGTTCGTGACGACGTTCCGAGAGGTTGATCATTCCGGCTTTTCAGGCTTGCATCACCGGCGGGCGGCATCGAGGGAAAGCAGATGTCTCGATCACAAAAAGTGACATTGTATGCTGTGTTTGTCCAACAGACAGTTGTGGTACTTTGTTATCCACAGAAGCAGTGATTTTCTTTGGGTTATCAGTAGGCGAAGTCAAGCTTTGCAAACTACTTGCATATCCTGGGTGCTCGGGCATCGGTTGAGTTTTAACTCTGGCTGTGGGTAAACAGGGAATGTCTTGTATGCGAAGAGAGCAACGGCCTTTGAGTCACCCTAGCGTCCCTCAATGTAGCAGATGGAACTGCCTCGTTCACGACTTCAATAGGTGGACAGCAATGAATCAACCAGAGCTCGGCCACTCAAAAACACCTATTTGTTGCCCGAGAGTCATCCGAGATGGGAAGCTTACGCCTATGCTTGCATCTTTGAGCATGTTATATCTTGTAGTTTTTCCGATCGACATGAGATCCTCCTTGATATTTCAACCGAGTCCGCATCGATGCCTGGGGACCCCATGTACAGTCAACAGAGCCAATGAATGTTTCTTAGTCGGGCAATTGATGACTCTTGGTGCATACTGAAGCGAGGCATTTCTGGCTCGATCTACCACGGTCGCGCCGAGTCTCGTGTTGAGCACCAGTTTCCGCACTTTCTACTGGGGCAGGAAAGGTGTCAAGCTCGAGGCATCTACCAAATGCTCAAGCACAGCCAATAGTGGAACCTAATGACCTCTGGTGGCAACTAAGTCAACATTTCGAGCCCCTCGCAAATCGCTTCTCTAGAGGGGACGTCGCCCTCAGTAAGGGCTCTGTGACCATGATCGTGTTCTCTGACTCTGATCACCTTGAACAGGTCTTATTCCATCCCAGAGATACACGGAGCCTCAAGTGGTAGTCGGACAGCATTGTCGCCTCCCATAAGTTCTCGAAAACAGGTACAGCTGTGAGAGCTTTGCAGTAGTAAGTACTACTACTGACTAAGTAGTACTGTTGATAAAAAGCTTATCAAATGGATTGCGCCATCTTCGAGCCCCACACTCCCGGCCCGCACGGAACTCAGATTCAGATAAGACATCGGGTTCTTTCAGCCATGACCGTTCTGTTATTACGTAACCTGGCTTCAAGGCACCCGAGTCTGACCACCTTAGGCTTGTCCACAGGTAACATGGAACTCCCGTTAGCGGCCAGTGGTAGCTCTAACCACCGGCTGTGGCATGGGACCTGGTGAGCTTGTGACAGTACGACAGTCAACAGCATATGGACTCAGCTAAGCTTGAGAATGGTATATCGAAAATCACCTTAGCGAGAGAGACATTGTTACAGTGTGATGGATATAACCTAAGCAACATCAATCGATAAGTCGCTGCCTTATGCTAGTCCCCATAGGTTCTTGTTAGCAAAATCCTCATTCATTTGCTTGGAAATGGATTCCAAGCAACCGAGAATTGATGTATGGCTTGATGCACTCACTGATCACCAAGCTGATCATACTAAGGCAAGGGGAGATGCTCCGGTTCTGGGCCAGTTTGAGGATGTTCGGGTGTTTCCTTTGTGCATCTTCCAAGCTCTCTACTTCTATCAAGGTGAGCAACTGGAAATTTACCTGTTATGAAAGTAAAGGCACCTACTTCATATCGACAAATTGATGCCAGGCCGCTACCTGTAAGGAAGGCTGTAGAAAGTAGACCATAGTATGGCATACGTCCTGGAGCATCCATTCACACCTACTGGACGGGTGCAGATGACCGATGAATCTCAAATATTTCAAGGATTGGAACTCAGTGTTACGATCCGAACCCCTACAGCTCAGCTGAACTCACCACACGATATAAGTGATGAGTCGCACGAACGAGCCTGGTCCCCTGGAGTTCACAGGGGATCATTGTCACTGAGTCAGCGTCACTCAATAACTAACTATACTCAATTTCACGTAAGGCCTGTCGATCGAGCTATATGAACTGAAATATCGATCTGTCCTACGTGTTCGTTATCAGCTGTGCCCGTAATCACTAGAGCTTAGTAGGACTTAGGTCACTTTGGTCAACTTAGATACTGCGGAAAGGAAGACTGAAGAGAAGATAGAGAAAGAAGAGCATACAGTCTCTTGATAGCTGGACTAGAATATAGTAGCATAGACCTCTTTTTGTTCATTTTTAATTACTCGAACTATCGAGCACGCTCAGCTGCAGTCCCATCAGACTGGCTTTCAATCCTCATGCATCATGTCTCATCCATTCCGTACAAGCCTACTTACTCCGCACCATAACGGGCGCGGTAGTCCTTGAGCCGTTGAACTTCAGCCGCACCAATCTTGTCACCCAGCTTTTCAATAAGGTCGTGCAAACCGATAACAGCGCGGATTGGGATGTTGCCACCAAGGTCGCGCTGGGCAACACCAATCGCGCTCTTGGGCTCTGAATCGCTCACGCGCTCTTCACGGTCGAGCAGAACGACCACGCCCGCGACGATGCCGCCTTCTTTTTCAATGATGCCAACCGCCTCCCGCAGCGCAGTACCCGCAGTAATCACGTCGTCGACAATCACTACTCTCTTACCCTTGAGCGCGGCGCCAACAATGTTTCCACCCTCGCCGTGAGCCTTGGCTTCCTTCCGGTTGAAGGAATAGCTGACATTGTCCCAGGTGCCTTGGGATGAGCCAGAGAGCGAATCACGCACAGCAAGCTCGTTTGTGACAGCGGCACAGATCGGGATTCCCTTGTAGGCTGGGCCGAAGATGATATCGAAGTTGGGCTGGATGGAGCCATCAGCGGCCTTGGTCACAAAGGGCTCGGCGGAGAGGACGCTGGCATAAGCCGCAGAGGAGGCGCGCAGAAGAGGCGCAGTGTGCAAACGGGAGGATGTGAAAAAGTAGGGAGATTCACGGCCAGACTTGAGCGTGAAGGTGCCGAAAGAGAGGACGTTGTTGGAGATCAAGAGCGGCAGTAGAGTGGACTTGTAGTCCTGGTCCGCGGACGGGGGAGGAATGGTGGCGGCGGCCATGATGCTGGTCAATGTGGAGGCGCGAGAGAAGGTGACTTTGCGATAGAGGGGATTTTGGTCGGCACGTAAATGCGCGTGGGCCAAAAATTGAAGGTCGCCGATTTGGAATGGATTGTATGCAGAGGGAAGCAATTGCCCGCAAGTGGAAAATTTGCCCCGGAAAATTGACCGACGGAGGAGCGGGCAAGAGGGGTGGGCCTGTCTATTACTCTATTGCCATCCCAAATGGTCCTCCGTGATGCTCCATCACCGCTATCAATTAGGTATACAGTATTGACTGACTCATCGAGGATGTATGAATTGTGATGATTGCACAAATTGTTTTGGCTGTGTCAGAGGGAAAGACACCACAGTGAGATCGATCCTCTGCTTGTCCATGTAATTTCATCCTATCGCAATTCCATTCTCTCTAGCCAGGGTCTCTTTTCCTGGCCAGAACACGTGCCTCCGATCGCCGGCCTTTCCCCGCCAAAATATCCTAAACGGCTCACCTCTCTTTCTTCCCCCCCTTCGCCATCAATTCTTCTTTCCCCTTTGCTTTGCTCTTCTTCCCCATCTGCACTCCTACTTCCCCCTGAATTGAGATCTAATCCAGGTCATCACCTTCGCTTTTTCTCTCGGCTGCAATCTACTGACTGCTCCGGGACTCTCAAATACAATCTTGGTCTGGAATCCCGGTGATCGGAAGGCCCCGCTGCGAAACAGCCCCATATCTACCGCCCCAGCTGCTGCTGGCTTCAATTCCACTCATTCGTGTCCAAAAGTCGAAGTGAGTGATTCATGTTTTTGTTTTCTTTCCTTCTTTCCTTCCTGTCGAAACTAGAATCGACAAATCAATTGATGCCTACTGCTTTGGTTTTGCTGCCAATAGCCGTGAGAGCTCCGTTAATTTTATGATGGTTGGAACAGGTTGACAACACACAATGCATATCCGGGACATGCTTGCGAGCAAGGAGGCCGCGGGGGAGCCCGGCATCTCTTTTGAATTCTTTCCCCCAAAGACGGCACAAGGTGTGCAGAACTTGTACGATCGTATGGATCGTATGCATAGCTTGGGTCCTTCTTTCATCGACATCACATGGGGCGCCGGCGGTCATCTCTCGGATTTGACCTGTGAGATGGTCAACGTGGCGCAGTCGGTGTATGGCCTAGAGACATGCATGCATTTGACATGCACCGATATGCCGCTGGAGAAAGTGGATCAAGCGCTGAAATCTGCCTACAGGGCCGGATGTACCAACATTCTGGCTCTGCGTGGTGACCCGCCCCGAGACAAGGAAACTTGGGAGGCGACCGAAAATGGATTCAGATACGCCAAGGATCTCGTGAAATACATCCGCGAGAAGTACGGCAATCACTTCGATATCGGAGTGGGAGGTTATCCTGAGGGTGCCGACGACAACTCGGACATTGACCAGCTGATTGACCATTTGAAGGAGAAAGTTGATGCCGGCAGTTCTTTCGTCATCACACAGATGTTCTACGATGCGGACCACTTTATTGAGTGGGTAAAGAAGTGTCGTGCCAAGGGTATCAATGTGCCAATCATTCCCGGAATCATGCCTATCCAGCAATACGCCTCTTTCATCCGCCGTTCCAACTGGACTAAATGTCGCGTGCCACCCGAGTGGATGGAGGCTCTCGAGCCTGTGAAAAATGACGACGCCGCCGTCCGCGAGGTGGGTAAGCGTCTCATCGCAGAAATGTGTCGAAAATTGATGGCTTCTGGTATCAACCACTTGCATTTGTAAGTCACAGGACGTCAATCTCCGATGACGATATTGTAGCTTGGCCAACCACAGACGGGAGCTAACAAGTTGGACTTTCCAAAGCTATACCATGAACTTGGCCCAGGCAACCAAACTGGTACTGGAAGAGCTGGGCCTGGCGCCGTCCGAGGAGGCCCCCATTCAACGACCACTCCCTTGGCGGCCTTCGCTGGCGCCTGGTCGGAGAACTGAAGATGTTCGGCCAGTCTTCTGGCGCAACCGAAATTCCTCCTATATTGCTCGCACACAAACTTGGGACGAGTACCCGAATGGTCGCTGGACCGACTCGCGATCACCCGCCTTTGGTGAGGTTGATGCGTACGGTGTGCGGCTCAAGGGTACCAACGACCAAAACATCAAGCTTTGGGGCGAGCCAAAGTCGGTCAAGGATCTCTCCGACATCTTCATTCGTTTCTTGGAGGGCAAACTCGATCGACTTCCTTGGAGCGACAGCCCAATCAGCGCCGAGGCGAACGATATCAAAGACCAATTGATTGATCTCAACCGAAGAGGTTTCCTGACTATCAACTCCCAGCCCGCCGTGAACGGCGTTAAATCCTCTCATCCGATCTATGGGTGGGGTCCCAAGAACGGCTTTGTGTACCAAAAGGCTTACCTTGAACTGCTGGTCCCCCCCACTCTGATCAACGAACTCATTGCTCGCATCGAACAGAACGATGATCTCACATACCACGCCATCCGTAAGAATGGCGAACTGCGGACAAACACCAATGACAGTCCCAATGCTCTGACTTGGGGTATCTTTGCTGGACGCGAGATCATTCAGCCAACCATTGTGGAAACCGTCAGCTTCCTCGCCTGGAAGGACGAAGCCTATCGACTGGGTGAGGATTGGTCCAAGTGCCATGACTCCTCAAGTCCCAGCCGGAAGTTGATCCAGGAGGTCGTCGACGATTGGTACCTGGTCAACATCGGTAAGAAATCCTTCTTTGATGATGATCCATTGAAAACATAACTGACGCACCATATAGTTGACAACGACTTCCATCGAAGCAATGCCGTCTTTGAGCTTTTCAAGGAACTTGAAGTTCCGGATCTCAACACTGAGCTCTCAGGAAAGCCTGTGACCAATGGGTCTGCGGATCACAACGGCTCTGCCAATGGTCATTAGGCATTCTTCATTTATTAAATGACCTCTTGCCTACCAGGTCTCGACAGCCAACATCCTCGTCACCGGAGGCCAGGAAAAAAATGAGATCCACCTCCACCACCAAAAACAACACTCTCTTACTTTGACCTAATTCAACATCACTTATCTCAACGATACTCAACGACTTCAAGCCCCGAAAGGACCAATCCAACACCACTTTTCCGGGCCTTCCTTTGCAATGTGTCACGGCGTCACGATTGAAGACCTCTCAACGATTTCTTCCTGAGCGTTTACTTTTGTTTTATCATTTCAACATCCAACATTCCCCGCAACGATACCCCGTCTCTTTAACATCGACGTTTCATCGCTCAATTCTTCTCTTCCTGATTCCTCGTCTTTCCACACGGGCCCGGCGCTTGTGTGTACAGGACAGTCCTGTCATCATTTGTATGGAGCGACTGGGAAGGGAGCAGACATTTAGCAAAAAAGATTTCAACATAATTTATACCCTTCAACCGGGTTTTCTTTTCCCTCCAGTTATCTGCTGTTCAGTTATCAAGGTTCTCCTGTTTTCTATAGACGGGGATGGAGTCCAATAAGTCTCGGTTCTTACGAAGCATTGGTGTTTGTCTGTGGTTTATTGTCTTGCATTTTCTGTTCTTGTGTTCACGATGCTTTGCTGCAATTCGCTCTGGTGAAGGCAAAATGTTGCATTCTCGTGGACGGATTTCCCACGGCAGAACCTATCCCTCTGCGAAAATTGAGGATCATCGTCTATCAATTTTGCATGCGGGGAACGGGAGGTGTCAGTGACTCAGTGCGCAGAAACTTACCAAAGTCGTGCTAATCTCCCAATCTTCAACATGGGATATCTACCTATACGACACTGGCATATGTTCTCGAATAAGATCTTCCATTCACTTTCTGACTACGTTCCAATCCAGCTACATCTCGATCTCGCTTTGTAGACCCTTTTGTAGTTTGCACAACAAGTTGCAAAGTTCTTCCTACGACCAAATGAGCACCTCAAAGTGAAACCAATGCACTTGTATCAGGAGAGCTGATCGACTTCACTTGAGACGGGACAACCACTTTTACCTGGTCGTGAAGAATAGTCCGAAAGCCTGCAGTACGGTAGTCTACCGCGCGCTCGTACGTGATTATATACGCTGTCCAGTCTGATTGTCCCTCGTGGAAAATGACTTAGCTTACGCGAAACGAGCCCGAGGCTAAGTGGGTGTAGTTATACTATATGCTATGTAGTACTGGCAACTTCTACAACCCGAAGTCTTGGTGAAATCGGACCACATGGGGAATTTGAATGAATGAATAATGAATAATTGATATTGATAAGGTAACCTCGCACGCTGTATACAACTAGGTGAAAGTAGAAACGAATCAGGCATTTCAGTCATAGGGCAAACGCTATCAATTTGCACGACGACTTCAAGTCAAGGGGATCCAAAGGGGGGCCCTCCATTGACACGCGATAAAGAAAGAAGAGAAGGAAAAAGAGTGCAACACCGCCCTTCACATCATGATCGCGCGAGTGGTACAGTTGAGGAACCACGCAAAAGGACTGCACAGCCACAAAAACCAACTTCCGATCAGATAGCAATAGCCGATAGTGCGGTAGACAAGCAGAGAAGCGAAAGCAAGAACAAACAAGTAGATGGTGGCCTGGAGAAGGTCCACAACAAAACGCCGCACGGCCTGGTCGTCGGACATATCTGGCCAAACACCCGAGACTTGGTAGTGCAATGCAGCGTAGTATATTCGGCTCGAGACCCGGTAGCAGTGTCGGATCATGCTGGCGAGATTGACCGCAAAAAACTTGACGTAGGGGCTAGTGATAGCTTGAAGGCCGAATCGGTGAACGGAGGTGACAGCGACAACAACAATCTCGAAGATCATCGTCAGCACGAAGGGTTGAATATTGTCGTTCGAATAATCGTCCTTTTCTCTCGCATTCAGCTCATGCAAATTTTCACAGACATCTTGAACATCCGTGATATTGGGTTGGAGTTTGCTCTTACGACCAGTAACTTGGCGACCGTCCAACTCAGCGAGTCCGGCGACGTCGACCGTTTTCTCAATTGCCACCATGTTCTCCCTTGCCATCCTGGCGGCACGACGGATTCGAGCTTCCTCTTTGAATTTTTCCAGTCGTTGGGCTCGAGTCAGCTTCGCGGGTTTGGAGTCTTCCGTAGTTGATTTGGAGTCCTCCTCGGCGAATTTAGACTCGGCCAAAACACGAGTCGTTTCCTCCACAGCAACCACCGGAGTAGGCTTCACGGCGGACTGCAGCGACTGCACAGCAGTTTGAGAGGTCTTTGTGCTGGTGAGATCTTCGACACTCGGCCTGGGAGACTTGTCGTACGAAAGTCTCCGTCTTTCTGGCTCACTATCGCCAAAAAGAACTTTGATTGCCGGTGAGAGTTTCCTCGGGGAAGACCAAGGGGACGGCGGAGATGTCAGTTTGGACAGATCGTTGACCGACGTAAAAGACAATTCGGACCGAGAGGACTCTGAGTTCTCTCTACTCGGAACAGACACGGGCGACTCCTTTCGATTCTTGCGCATAGCCTCAGCTCGGCTGCGGATCGAGTCTGTGCCATTTCGCAGAATACTGGCCAGATGGTCTGTAGGAGACTTTGCCAGTCCTACCGGCCTTGCGAGCCCGGTGGTACGGATGAATCCACGGATAGAGCTTGGCGCCTGACTGTGTTCCTCCTCGTTCTCTACCTGGCTGTTTGATGATCTCAGCAGAGGCATGCTCCTGATGAACTTGATCTCCCTTTGAAATTTTGCTTTTTTCTCTGCGAGTGGTGGTGTCTCCGTCGTGTCGTCGGGAGCAGGCTTCAACTTTTGAGTCTGGTCGGCGACGTGACTCTTGGTGGATTCCAGCGATTCGACGGAGTGCATTTTCGAGCTTGATTGCAATTTTCCTGCTGTATATCGAAGCCCTGATGGAGTAGTGACGACCTGAGGCACCGCTCGCACGGCCTTCACTGCCTCGTAGGTGATTGAATGGCCAACGTCGCCTTGACGTCGAAGACCTTGAGGTCTCAAAGCAGACGGCCTTTTCTCGACTGCTCTGTAGCCTGGGACTGGAAGCATAGTGCGTGTGATAGTGGGTGTGATAATGAACACATCGTCGTCTCCACGAGTCCCCTCCGACTTCTCTGCCGAGCGGATTTCCGGGTCCGATATTCGAGAGATGGCTTGCTCCGAAGTCTGCAAAGGCAATCTTGGGATATCGTGGGTTGCTTGAGGATCGCGGCACATGGTCGTTACTGGCAACTTCGAGCATGGGGGAAGCTTCGAACTCTGAATAGGATCTACCCGCCCTTCCGATGCTTGGTTTTTGTCTTGATGTTTGCTGGATATTGTGAGCATTGTAGGCGTATCTGAGGCCTTCTTTTCGGCGGTCTGCTTCTTCTTCGACTTGACGGCCAACGGACGTGGTTGGAGGCTTGCTGGGCTCTCTCCGGAACCGAATAGCAGTATTTCGTCTGGATTCCTTGTCCCATCTCCGTTGATCTCCTTGCACCCTAAAAAAGAGCCATCCGCAGGTGGTGTGACTTTTCTCTCGTGTGACTTCGATGGAGATTCCTCCCAGATTGTACTGATTCGATGGTTGCCGATCTCATCTGGACAAAAGTAATCCTGGGGTTCAGGCCCTCGGGGTGGCTGCGGTGGCTCGGCTGGCTGTTCTAACTGTGGCGGTGACGGCTGCTGCGCAGTCTTTGACTCCAGAGGAGGAGAACTGTCCTCATAGGCTATAAAAGGAGGTGTTTTAGCGGTACCTGGAGGAGAGCTCGATTGCACAATCGATGGTGATTGATTCCGCAGGCCCCGTGCATCAGTCTTGTCGACCAAACGCCGGCCTTGTCGATGCTCTCGCTCGATACGTTGCTGATATTCTGCAATTTCCTGCGAAGTCATCGTGGGCGGGTTTGGTTCCTTGGCACTCGGCATGTGCACTACGAAACGATCCTCCCAATCCGCTGAATCTTCATCGTCGGAGACCGGAGAAACGGAGATGTTTGATTCTTGGGAGGCGTCGCTTGTGCTATCCGTGGAATTGCCATTGTGTGAATTCGAGTATTTCACCAGTGACGAAACCCAAGAGTCACCATTTGGCCTCGATTCAGCGTGTTGTTCAGGTTTTGACGCGATTTGATGGACACCCTGATCTCTGCAGGCACCGTAGGGACTCGGGGGCAAAACACTTTCCTCCGAGTCTTTTTCCTGCCCAGGCACCGTGTCGTATTCCAAGGGGCCGCTGCAAGTGCGATAATTACGATATCTCTCAGATCTTTTCCGATCACCTTCCCTCGATCGCACATACGACGCGCGCTGCATCAATGGAGACCCTCTGTCAACTCTGTCTCGAATTTTGGACCAATACTGTTGACGCCCCGCAGAGTCGCCAGTAGATCCCCCCGATGATAACGTTCCCGGCGATGGCTTAGGTATACCGGTTGGGCTCGGCGTTTCATTGTCTCTGTCGCGGTTCTTATCGCGAATACTTTTTGCAACTGGCAGCTTGGTCCCAGATCTCGTCTTGTAAAGCGTGTCGCTTGGTGGAGTCCGTTCGCCGAGCTCGAACGGCTTTGCACCGCCCGCAACTTGGGCAACTGGGCTTGCCGATAGTTCGTTCACCGTGTACTCGGCTCGATATGCTTGGTATCGTGGTTGACTTTGATCAGTTTCGCGCTGGTTTCGTGGAGAAAGATTGACCAAATGTCCATCTGGCAACTCGACCCGACTTTCGACCTCCATGTTGATATGCGCCAGAAGGGGGGCGCTTCGTGTCTATGTTGAGCTCTGGACACAACTTTGGCTCTCCACTGTCCACATCCTCAGTGCAACTTGAGGCTCAGGCGGCGAGCAGCAAAAGAGCGGATACGTATATTCGGATTCTTGCGTGCGATTGATGAGAAAATGACAGCAATTGGATGTCGAGCAAAGGAGCGAGCGGCGGAAGGTGCTCATCAATGATCATAACAAAAGAGGGACTCGAACAATGTTAAGATACTTTAATCTTCCTTGTAAGCGATAGGTGCTGTACGGAAGGGTGGGTGGTGAGGAATGCCAGCACTCGCGTCGGAATGTTGTGAGAGCCCAGCCGGCCATCAAACGGCATGTGTACGGGAAAATGATCCTACCAGAAAATCCCCCATCGGGTAGCAATGACGGCGGTCGACAAGCTGGCAATCTATTTGTGTGCCAAGCAGGTACGAGCTTGACGATGCTGTAAGGAAACCGCAACCCGCCAAGGGCGACCAAGAGCAATCAGGCAGGTGAACATCACGGGTGGCCATTCCCTAAACCCTAAGAACTTCCACGAACCATACCCGTAAATCGCAAAATCCAGGGGGGTGAGTTCAATGTAAAGTGGCTGAAGATTGCGAAGTATGAGCCAGCCCCAAGGATGAGAGAGACATGCAAGGTATATCGGGTCTGGTGTGGCTCAACAGGATTTGGTGACAGCATCACGCAGGGAGGCGATCATTCCACGCATGACAGCTTGCTGGACCTATGATATCACGATCGGCCGGTAGTATACGAAGAAAAATGTGTAGTATTCAATTGATTGATGACATTAGAATCGACCGGTTTCACGGCGATTCGTCGAACCTTGATTAGCTGGCTGAGGTCCTGGTGCTGAACTACCCATTGGCCCGGCCAAGCTGCTTCGCTTGAGGGGGCTGGACTGTTTCCTTAACGGGCTCGCCCCTCTCTCTGTATAGAAGAAATCTCCGTTACTTTGTAGACGGCGATCAAATGCCGTAGATGCAGACTTCCGCAAAGGGGAGTTGGCATGCGAATAAACTCCGAGGCTACCCCCATCACCTGACATCGCTGACTGTGTTCGGAACTGCGGCTGTCTCATGTTTGTCTTCACTGTCCTCACCAAGGGGGTCCCTTCGCGCGAGATGACCGGCGTTTGCAAAGACGGCTGAGTTTGGAAGATAGAAGTCGCAGTAGGCGTAGAAGTTCTCGGGCGTCGTGGAGAAAGGCCTTCCGGGTCAACATGGCTAAGATAATTCGGATTGGGACTGGTTCTGAATCCCCGGTTAACGATGAAGGTTGGAGTGTAAGTCTCGACCTTGTTCGGGCTGCCTGAAGTTGGGACGAGGTCGCTTTTTTCCGTGAATTGCGTGCCGACGTCTCTCATCAAAGGTTGAGTCCGGGGGTGGACGAATTTCGTATCATATTCCTTCAGAACCTCCCTATGCACGAGTAATGAATCCTTCGCCTGTTGTTTGTAGAAGCTCGATATGAAAGACATTTGAACGGAGAGCAGGACGGTCAAGAGGATTGTTGTTGCAACAGTCACGCTAGGCCTGGGATCCGACAACTGAGTTGGAAGAAAGAGGTAGTAGACCAAAACATGGCCAGGACTGAACAAGCAGAGCAGTCGAATGGAGATTGGCAACGGGTCCCACATGGCCAGCTCCCAGACGTCGCGGTGCGCGTCAGGGTGCGCACGCGAGTGCGCAGATTCTGAAGAAATTACGTTGGCAAGATAGCGAAGAGGCGTTGCTACCATCGGGCTTGAGTCGACCCGAACGCGGGAAGCAGATGAGCTCGCAGGAGCGGTATCAATGGGCGCTTCAAAGAATCGGTAGTATCGCTTCTTTTGGAAAGTGTAGATGGCGTTGACGAAGGAGAATAGCCCGAGAACATGAACGACAGCCGATCCCTACGAGTGAAAACCGAGACTGTCAGCTTCCAGGAGAATAGCAGAGGACAAGAGGTTTAACTCACAAACCAGCTCAGCCAGGGCACGCCGTCATTGTCTCCAAAGACATCATCGATGGCTTCGCTCCCACTTGAACCACTGTTTGCACGTGCGATAAGGAAGACAAAGTTCAAGAGAACTCCAATAGTGAGACCCCAATCTTTCTCGAGCTGATCCCAGTCGTACCCCTCAATAGACTCTGATAGCCACAAAAGAAAATCCCATGGGTTGAGGAACGACCGGATGCGCTCCGCGAGCGGTTGACGGCGCACGAGACGCGGCATCGCTGAAGGTGACTTGAAGAGGAGGTGAGGCTGATTCCTCTACAGCTTTGCCGTCAAAAAAGATGTGAACTTCGACATCCAGCAATCTCAAGCTGGACGCTGGAGAAGAAATGTGACAAACAATGCGCTTTTGAGTTTTTGAAAAACATTTGCAGGCTAGGTAGAAGGTACTGAAGATTTGGTAGGTCAGTGGAGATTGCATCAGCTTACATAATAATGAGCTTCTCCACGATTATCACGTTGCGGCGATTAGCGGGCAGAGAGGAGGGCCGTCGAGGCTCGATTGATCGAGGCCCAGCTCAGCTCTGTTTGACCACGGAACCTCGGCTTGTTTATCTGTGAGAGCTCAGTTCTCCAATAAATCGCCTCGCCATGGCTTCTAATGCGACTTACAAGGTACTTTGAAGCTCAGCTAGCTTACAGAAACGGGGAGAGCCAATGTCTCTAACTTGTACTTCTGCAGGACCGACAACTTCTTGCTGTCATTGGTGATGAAGAGTAAGAGTCTCACGCCCTGCTTCAACGAAGAGCGTTGTGTCTTGGCAAAGAAACTAAAATTGAAGCTCTTGATCAGCTCCGTCACTGGGCTCCTTCTCGCTGGTATCGGTGTAAGTAGACAGTCCCTCGCCGTGGCGGCCGTCGACTGATCGACCGTGTGTGTGCATGGATTATAACAAGAAGCCTAAGCTCACATTCATTATCTCTCTTCCTCTAGCACGTCACCGAAGGCGCAGATGCGCAGCGAAACTTCCTAGTCGTCGACAGCAAGACGGAAACATCCCAGATCGAACAAGCATTCCGCAACTTCACAGAGGAGCGCAAGGACATTGCCATCCTTTTGATCAACCAACATGTTCGTCTCTCAGCCACTCGGGTAGAATAAGCGAGACTTGAGCTGACTGTGCCATGTCTGCCGGCAAACAGATTGCAGAGCGAATTCGTCACAGTGTCGACACCTTCGCCGATCCTTTCCCTGCAGTCCTTGAGATCCCCAGCAAGGATCACCCGTACGACCCCGAGAAGGACAGCGTGCTCAAGCGTGTGCGACGACTCTTTGGCGAGTAGTCTGGACATACGGATCATAAGCTTGGGCTTGGCTTTTGCCTGCAGAGTGTCTTGTTATCTCGCTGCTTCTTGCTCATGCATTTCTGGTTGGAACATGGCAGTTGGTGCAATCACTGAGTTTTGGCAGCCATGCGAGTATTCGCACCGTATATATGGATATTGCATTGTTGACCAATGGAGAGGGGAGGAGAAGACTAAGAGAAAGAGGAAATCTCTAGAGAGGAAATACCCGATATGATCAATCGCATACGAATGCTATTTCACCATGACTCGCCCCTTCGAACAGAAATGTTGCTAGTCTGTACAATTGGAAAGACGCTGAAATTCCCGATATACTAGAATGACACAAGTACCCACCTGCACTACGATGTCAAGTCTCCACTCGGACAGTCTTTAGAAAACCGATCCGGTCTACTTTTGAAGCAGCGGGGGACCTAAATTTAGTCGTCAAGGCAGTAATACATTAGAGCGGAGAATGGAAAAAAAGCGGAGATAGCTTCGGGTGCTTGACGTGGCTCGGGCAATGTATTGAAGGGGGAAATAGTAGGAAGAATTGAGACATGCACTACGTGTGTGGTCGTGACAGGACATGGAGGTGGTTGGAACGTGACAACAGCCGACAATATACCGGAAGGATTTCCAGTCCCAACATACGGAGAGACTTGGAGACCAATGCAGCCGGGTATTCAAGATATGGCAGTTTCGAGATGGATGAGAGAGGCGACTAGAAGTTGGGCAGGTTGAACTTGATGTCGTGGGCCTGGAGACATGTGACCTTCTCGTGGTCGGCAGTATAGGCATCGGCGAGGACTGAGTAACGGCCCTGTGATATTGCATGTCAGCGTCTGCTTGAAACTTTGTTGTCACACCTCGCCATTTCACTGGAGATTCTTACGGGAGGAATTTGCTTTGGCAAGTCCACCTGTTTGGTCATGGTCATTCTACCCTTCTCGAGAGGACACTTCAGGTCAACATTCTCGATCTGCTCGCAGAGGTTCATGGTTTGCTTGACCAGGGTGATGAGACCCCATTTAACTTCCACGTTGACGTACGCGCCATCGGTGATGGATTGGTGCAAAACGCCCGAAGCAGTGATGGTGAGAGTCTCGCCGCTGGAAAGAGAACACAATGCGGTGGTCAACGTATGTTCTTATTATGAGGTATGGGTTTCCAGATGTCTGCTGTACTCACGCTTTGGGAGGGTTGGGCGAAAGGTCGACGGAGTCGATGGTGAGCAGATGCGAAGAAGGAGGTTCACAGAACTCCAAAGGATTGTCACCCTTGACAGGGTTCTTTCGATTTTCGTCTGCTGCACTGATCGGGGCCTGTGTCGGGTCGAAGACGCTTGGAATGGACGCCGCCGCAACGAGCGGGGAGACGAGAAGCAAAGCAGCGGCTGATACGAACTTCATGGCTGCGGTAGTCTATATGAGTGGTAGACGAAGTGTATTGAAAGATCTCCACAGAGCACAAAAAAGACTGATATTCAGCTAATGAGAAAGTGAAGTCAAAGCCAACAGAGTCACGATGGCCGGGAGAGGTTGGTGAAGAGGTAACCTGCTTCGCCTGGAGTTGGAGATGAGGTCGGCCCTTGCAGGCAAGAGTCACTTGATGACGATAGGGCCACGTGATTGGCTTGGCCGATTTAGGCTTGGATTGCCCTCTTTTTCCCCTCACGGGTCACGAGGTACGGCCTTTCCACCGGTCGAGAGCAAGAAGAACGGTGTATATGTGACTCGTAGATACCTGGTGCCTGGACACCACGCATCGGCGGCAGTGTGCCTGTCGACGTACTTGGAAGGCATGTAGCCCTCCGCAAACCCTTATCGTTATTTCCGATCCTCGATTTGCCTACCACGATCTGATCAAAGTTGCGTGCCAAGACTTGCACCCATTTTTTGAACAGAAGTATCCACTCGGGCCTTTATCAAGATGGGCCTTTTTCAGGACCGTAGCATTTGTCTTCTGCTAACTTGATATGACAGCCAAGATTTGTTATAGGAACATAGGGCCAGGACGGTGCATAAACTGCATACATATTTCTTGCCCGATGGATACAGGAACTGGAATTGAACCGAGCACGGAGCGTGACGTCACCGGACCGGACGTTAGGTAGTAACCTATCGTTGATCTAACATATCATTTTCAGGTCGTCCTAAGGACATCAAATCGGGGCCGACACCCTCGCTGGACGGCATTTTAATGGAGCATGCGTCTACATGACCATGTGTTCAGCGCACACGCGGCACATTCACTTTCTCCATCAGACTCTTTTGCCTATCTATGATTAGAAGAGGACTCCGCGATCAAAGGGCTACGCTTTTAGTCTGATTTAAACATCCATGGACCACCAAGCCATCTTCATTGCTCTCAGAGTTACATCTAGCATAGCAACCTCAACTATATCTACCGAATACCGGGACTCCCATACTACTCTTTGGCGCTTGCGTACAAAGAGTTGTGAGGAATTTGTTATATTGTGTCATTCAATCTGCCCCGTAGGTAGTTGTGCTCCTGGTATCCGAGTCATAATCCGGCCAGACATCCCCCTTTTTCCTTTCGCAAGATAGCCCGGGCGCCACCTGAAATACTGTGCTCGAGGGGATTCCGTGGCGAGCTACCTAGGAGCTGGACAGTGCGGACTTGCCCACTGGAATTTCTCTGAAGAAATCATCATTGGATAGGTATACTGCAGGGGGTTCTTCGCTTGACGGGTCTTGTTTGAATGATTCCGCAACGGTCATGTTGGAAGGATTCCTCGATATGGACTGTGTAAGGCATTTTGGCAGTACCATTCCGGTGCTTCCTCAGACAGGGGTCCTGGGCTTGGTAGCTTGATTCTAGGTATCATTGGGGCAGATGCATAGCTGATCAATAAATCGACTCAATAAACACGATGACCCAATACGGTATCCATACATTCACGAAAATCCACCTGCAGGCGAGTCTAGATCCACGGATCCAAGTCTATTTCTGTCTTCAAAGTGGGCCACCTGCAGGCTATCGATATTTATCAAATTGCAATGTTATTGATTTGATGTGGATCAGCCTGCAGCCCGGGGCTTGGGCCAGTTACCGTATTATGCCTGGGTCCTTATTGTTGTGGAGACATGACTCCTTTTGCACCTCCGGGATTCTATACAATCCGGTTCAGTAAAACGACAGCGAGGAATGATAACACCTGTGGAGTGTGGAGTGTGATGCGTGATTGAATAGTCAACGAGGTGAGATTAGGTTGTTCGTTTCGATTAATGAGGGATGAGGTAGGTATTTAAGGAATATACCGGGATGAGAGCCAGTTGAGCCGTGGTCAGGTGTAGAACGAATGCACCAGGACCAGGGATAAAGCGGGATCTTCATCCGAAGTACCTTATACGCTGTACCTTATACGCTGTACCCAAGTGGACTACTTCTACATATCTGATGTTTTGACATTATGTCACTCGCTCGTGTCGAATTTGCGCGCGGTCACGCTAATCACAGCATATGCAGGCATCATTAGGTTGAGTGGTGGTGCAGGACCAGGGCGCTCAGTTGTCATCATCTATTTCATCCACACAATAGTAGCCACTGGCCAGACTTGAGCGTCCGCTGGGCTACATAGTGTACTGCTAGATTTGAAAGGCCCATGTTGACTGGTATGAGGGATAATCGTGTGATCTATTGGAAAATATTCATACAGAGAAGTGAATAAAAAGGATTTAGGTGATATCCGCCAGATTTTGGGGGGAAAAAAAAGAAAGAATGACGCCGGCAAATAAGACTGAAACTGTGTATTCCATGATCTGTTGAAAAATGTGGCATGGGTGCTCAAAAGACGATCAAATCCAGCCTGCTGCTTAAAGAGCGATGGCAAGGACCAAAGCAGCGGCAAGGGCGGAAAAGGCCGAGCCAGAGGAACGAGCAGCAGAGTTGAAGCCAACATATGGGCTGGAAGAGGCAGAGCTGCTGGAGCCGGCGGCGGAGCCTGAGCTAGAGCCGGAGGCAGAAGTGCCAGATGAGCCGGCACCGGCACCGGAGGAGCCAGATGCAGAGCCAGTGGTGGAAGCACCGGAGCTACCCATAGCAGCAGAAGATGAAGGAGTGCCAGCAGACGAGATCAGAGGAGTAGAGGAGGCAGAGGTAGGGGTTTGACCAGCGGGGACACTGACCATGGTGGTCGAGTGACCACCCATGGACGAGCCGGAGTCAGAAGAGCCAGAGCCAGAAGAGCCAGAGCCAGAAGAGCCAGAGCCAGAAGAGCCAGAGCCAGAAGAGCCAGAGCCAGAAGAGCCAGAGCCAGAAGAGCCAGAGCCAGAGCCCGAGTTAGAGCCAGTGGAAGTGGAAGAGGCAGCGGCCGAAGTGGCAGTGGAGTGACCGGCACCAAGGTTGACAGCAGAGTTGGTGGCAGAGGAAGCGGCCGAGCTAGAAGACGAAGACGAGCTCTTGCAGGAGAGGTCAAACAGAGGCTGGGTGTTGGAGATGCTGCTGGAAATACCGAAGCTGGGGCTAGCACCAGCGTCGGCGAGGATATACCACCAGGTGTTGGTCTCGCCGAAGAGAGGGCAGCCGACCTGGTCCCAATACTGCTTGGCGTTGGCCACAGAAGCGACGGCCTCATTCTCCGTGGGACCGCTGACGGGCCAGCCGGTCTCGGTGATCCAGACCTCCTTGCCCTGGGCGACAGACTTGGTCTTGGCGACGGCGTCGTCGAAGAGAGCCTTGCCCTGGTCGATGCCGTTGGGCATAGTGGTCTGGAAGTATGGGTAACCGTCGAAGCCGAGCCAGTCAATCTCGTTGATGACGGCCGCGTTGGTGCCATTGGTCCAGGCATCCCAAGTGTCGACGTGACCGATGGAGGCACCGCTCAAGGGGGTACCGGCGATGGCCGCCTTGACCTTCTTGATGTACTCGACCAGGACGTCGGGGTTGAGACCAATGCCGGCGTGGTTCTTGGCACCGGTGACGGAGTTACGGTACAGATCCTCACTGCCGACGGAGATACCGACCACGAGCTTGCCAAAAGCATCGCCGTAGGTGCTGATGGCCGACTGAAGAGCCGCAATCTCGTTGTCAATGTTACCACCGGAGGCCCAGAGACCAAGCAAGAGAGAGGTCTCTTCCGCAATGGCGGCGGGGATGGCCTGGATGGGCTCGTTGGTGGTGCCACCCTGGATCATGGTGTAGAGACGGGCACTGGTGAAGCCCGAGGTGCCCACGAGGTTCTTGGCCGTCTGGAACTGCGTCTTGAAGTCGGCCTCGTAGGCAACACCACCACCGGGCAGGGTGGAACCATAGTTAAACCCCTGGTGAGCCGCCTGGGCGGCGGCCACGGAAAAGGCCAGAGCGATAGCTTGCTTGGAGAACATTGTGAGGAATAAGAACGAAACGAGAGAGTCGGCGGAGAGACTAGTAGGATGAGGATTGTTTGAATATGAGCGTCACAGCCGAAGGCGATCGAATGTGTGAGAGATCTGAGGGATTGAAAGAGGGAGAGAGAGACGTGTGAAGAAGATGGCGGAGGATCCCCAAAAAAAAAAAAAGCACACAGTACTACAAGCACGATGATGGACGGAGAAATAAGTGAGAGATGGAGAAATAAATTCGAACCTGGCTGGGCACCGGACGGAAGACCAGGGAATACTTAATATGTACCAGATCAAGGTGCCCTCGAGATCAGAGGATGTGTGGAGGGACGGTTGTTGCCCCAAGTCTAGACAACGCCACCGGAGGAACCGAGTGGGGCTCGACGGTGCGTTCTGATGCGACCTGATGCGTTCTGATGGAGCGCGACACGTTGGCTAAACTTTGCTTGTTCTCCTCTTGTGCGGAGCCGATTGGGGAGTCCTGCTTTTTCCAAAAATAATCTGACCATCCAATAGTCCGGATCTGGTCGCAGTTACACAGCGGGCCCTGGCAGACGCGGTGGAGTTGCAGAGAGTCCAGCCAGCGACCATGTAAATATTCCATACTTGTCGTATGGTGGAGGGATCCGTACACTTCCAATGATCCAGAGTTCCCAATACGGGAGGCGTCGACAGCGGCACTTCAAGGGAAGTCAATATCGACATCGTGATCGACATACTACTACTACTACTACTACTACTACTACTACTACTACTACTACTACTACTACTACTACTACTACTACTACTACTACTACTACTACTACTACTACTACTACTACTACTACTACTACTAAGGGGACTGTACGATCAACTTATCACGTCGTACCTGTCGCTGGGTGCCCCGGTCCCGGATGGAGGACGGAGGATGATGGACGGATCATGCCCAAGGTCTCTCCGCCAAGGGCCCAGATCGATGTCATTGGGGAGTCCAACGATCGGCACTGACTTCCACACCGGGCCCAGGGGCTTCTTCGGGCTACCTGGTGACCAGTCTATCTGGTCTGCATTGTGAGAGGTGATCCAACTTCCGACACCAGAAGGCAAGAGTCGGTAGAGATGCCTGTCCTGGTCCCTGTGGAAGAGCAACTCTGGGTCAACCCTTACTGATCGTTAAAGTGGACGCTGGGCAATGGACTGCAACTGAATACTAGAAAGAGCCTGAGGAGATTGCGGTGGTTCTGGGTGCTGCCTGGCACCTGCTCCGAAGCCTCCTCTACTACAGTACTGTCTGTACACTGTACCGGTCGCCAGAGTAGTACATCCGACTCACCGAGGAGCACTGCCGCCACATACCGAATGTATCGAACCACCCATAGTTGAGTGTAGGTGTACATCGCATCTGTCCGGCTCTGTACTAGTACAGGAGTATTTGAGTACCGCCGGCACTTCGGCACCCTGTTCGAGTTCAATTCTAAGACAACGAGTGACGACTCCTAAGTCCCGGGCGAGACATTGGGCTGTGAAAGAAAGACACGCCTACGACCTAACCGATCACATCTTTTGCGAGACTCCTAATTTAGAAAACAGTAGGTACCTAAGGTGCCTAAGTAGAGAGATACAAATCTTGATCATGGGGTATATCAGGTAGGTAAGTAGTTCTACCACACGCTGAGATTGCGGGCGACAATGCTTCAGGCTCCCTGCTCCCTCCTATAATGAATGACCTTTCACCATAGTCCTACCAGGTACTCCCTCGTCCCTCCTAGACTTCCTGGGAGACTCGAGTCCCCACTATCTGAAGACTGAACCGCTTCCCCGAAAATACTACCTCCTCACATGGTTTCTCCCAACAATGGCAAAGTGACCTCGGAGAATGCCTTCTCAGAGTGTTACCCGGTCCTAGGGGAGGAGGACTAGGACGGTAGAACCACCTGCAGATGTGCCAGTTGCCAGTAGCAGGTACCAAGTTACCCTTCTTCTTCCGCTCTTTCTCTTTCCCTCCTTCTGTTCCCGGCGCATCCAGACTTGGGGTCTGGTCGCCCTTGGAAACTCTTCCGACCCCAACCATCACGTGATCCAGCTTCTCTGTGATTCGGTGCGTCGACTGGCGAGATTGCGTAAACCACGGTGGAGCGGCCTCGTTCTGTCCAGTGGCCACAATTCACACCGTACCACTAAGGAGGTCTAGTAGTAGTGCAGTAGTAGTAGTAGTAGTAGTAGTAGTCAGACTTAAGTGGTGAGTGAGGCCTGGGCAGATGGATTGAGTGGTTTGAGTGATTTTTCTATCAGTGGATATTGGTACGGGCAGTGGTAGTGGTACCAGACTCCCAGTCCGTTCCAAGCTCGCAGCCTGGCAGGGCAGGACAGGACACCAGGCATTGGCAATTGCCGGAAGGCCGCATTCGCCTTGTCGCATGGATGCAACTCAGTTGCCGCCAGGACAAAGAGTTACCGCCTGAATGTCAAGGCCCCCAGAATCCCTCGGCTGTGGCGACTCGCAAGACAGAAGACGAGTCCTGATTGACCAGTCCGGGCTCCACACAGCTGCATCGGGAAATTGGCCATGGGCTTGGTGATCCCTGGCTCTACGGAGGGTTCTTGGACAAACGATGTCATGTGCGGAGTGCAGTACTGGAAGCAGGGAGACTTTGTGTAGTGTGTAGTGTGTAGTGTGTAGTGTGTAGTGTGTAGTGTGTAGTGTATAGTATTTGTAGTAATCTAGTAATCTAGTAAAATCCGTACATTTTTTCATGGCTTCTACAGTCTACATCGTCTACAGGGACATGGACATGCAGGGATTGCACTTTGAAAGTCGTATGCAAATAATGACGTGCAGGTGCTAGAGAGTAGAGAGATAGGACAGGCGTAGAGGGTAGGTTGTAGGGACCTATAGCAGTTTGCTAACTACCTGTCACATAACTACCTAAGCAAGCAGAGTAATTTTGTTCAGTGACCAGTCAAACAGTGCCTTGCAAAAGATAAACTCATTTCCCTGGGTGCTTCGGTTGGGCTCCCCTGAGGGATGTGTTCATTTCTTCAAACAGGTAGTAGTTTGAGGTCATGGTCTACTACCTGAGACTACTAGTACATAAGTATCCAATTCTCCCGTGACTTCGATCGCTGGGAAATCCATCTCATCAACAGATGAACACGCTCGCTGAATCTTCAAATCAGCCTCGGCAGTATAGTCATCGCGTGGGCTTATTGACTACAGATAATTTGTGTGTTTATCAGCAAGACATCGTATTCTTATGCTGCCGTGGCTTTTGGCCTTCTGTCCAGAAAGAACGTGGTCCCATGATGATGTACCCTCAAATACTAAGGTACTTACTACTAGACATCAAATGCTTAATGCTCGGACACAAAAATACCAGCCATGCCCATACCCTAGATACCCACAAGGCATCTTCAGTCAGCATCATGTCATTCAGGCTGCAGTGGTATCACCCAAAACATCCAGTCATCCAAGTCTCGTCTTGACAAAGGGGGACATGCTCAACTTACAGTTCCAATACACATCGACGTAACAGCCACACGCTGATCGCGACGACGCAATTCTGACAATGCAGTCACCACTTGACGGGCACCAGTCGCTCCCAAGGGGTGCCCCAACGCACTAGATGATGGGAACCGAATGAGATACAATTGAGACAGACTCAAAGGAGACTCCGGCCAATTCCAGGGAAACACAGGTCGTAGAACTTACATGGCACCGCCTCGAGGGTTCACCTTGGCCTCGTCAAGCCCCAATTTGCTCACACAGTAGACACCCTGCACGTAAAAGGAAAAAGTAAGTCAGCCAAACCAGTTCTACCTGATCAGTCATCCAATGCGAAAGACAAAACACACCATTGAAGCAAAAGCCTCATTAATCTCAAAGATGTCAATGTCATCCTTGGTCAGGCCGAATTTTTTCAAGATCTTGGGAATCGCCAACGTAGGGCCAATACCCATGATACGAGGCTCCAGACCTGCAACAGTCGCACCGCAGAATTTGCCAATAATCGGCTGACCCAGCTTCTGGGCCTGCGATCGCTTCATCAACAGCAAAGCCGCCGCACCATCCGTGATCTGACTGGCATTGCCGCCGGTCGTCGCACTAGGCTGCCACTGCGGGAATGCTGCGCGCACTTTGCTCAGGGACTCGGGCGTGGTCCCGTAACGGACGCCATCGTCGCGATCGACCACGACATCCTTGACCTCGCCCGTCTTGGGATCCTTGACTTGTGTCTTGATCGGGATGATCTCATCCTGTGACCAGCCCGCCTTCTGTGCGTGCTCGGCCTTTTGGAAACTCTTCGCAGCGAACTGGTCATGTTGCTCGCGGGTGATGCCAAACTGTGCCGCCACATTTTCTGAAGTCTGGCCCATGGGCATGTAGTTCTGCGAAGCGACGGGGTGCTTGTTGATCCGCTCGGCCATCTCGGGAGCACCACCATCGTTATTGGTGCTCATGCTCTCTGCGCCCACAGCGATACCAACATCGATCGATCCGGCGATGATCTGATTGGCAATGTTTTGAACGGCCAACAGGCCCGACGAACAGAACCGGTTGGACACCGAGGCGGCTGTGGTGACGGGGAATCCAGCGGCCAGAACAGCGGACCGGGCCAAGTATGCGGCGCCGGGGGCAAGACAGTTGCCGACAGAGACATCCTCGACGAGGCTGGGTTCGATTTTGGAATTCTCGCGGACGGCCTGTGTTTGGAGGAGCAATTAGCCTAGACTGGGGAGGAGGGCTTCGTGGGCTGTTTGCCGGGGGGGGGGGGGGGGGGGGGGTTGGGACCACCTACAGTGAGAAGAGAAATCAAGAGGTTATCGACTGAGGTATCTTTAAGACCACCCTTGCGCGCCTTGGTCAGGGGCGTTCTGGCAAGATAAGTGATCACCTAAATGCAGCGCAGAAAAGAGTCAGCAAAAAGATTTTTTGACACTGACGAGGCACATTCCCATTCATGGACTCACCACATCATCTGGGTTCTTAGCGAGGATGTTGGCTCGCGCGGCCGAAACACCAGCAGGAGACAGCTGCTTGGTGATGGACGATAGCCGTTGTTGCGGTGACGACATGGCTGTATGTATGACTGTTGAGGGGAGGGAAGTACTTTTGCAATTGCAATGACTTTCCAAGACAACGTCAGATTGTTGGATCGCAGAGGTCTAGTCGTAGTCGTAATGAAACCCGCGAGTCTAGAGATCTTCGTGGCAGAGGCTTCAGTTTTCTATATTTCCCGGAACGGGTGACAATCTTGGGCACGCGCAGAGGGGGGTAACACTAATATGAGCCTCGGCTTGTTGATCAGCTGACTGATGATGATAACTCAGTGCCAAGCTTAACATTGAACGAGCTACATGGTATTATGGAGACCCGATGACAGTCTGGGACTGTGCTACTTTGTACAGAAATCGTGTCTCTTGTCCGACCAAGACCGAGTCGGGTGGTGCTGGGCACGGGTATGGGCAACCCGGCAGAAGTGCCGATGAAGCTCGGCAGGATCAGCCGTATGATACCGTCACGGTCGGACAGTAGTGGATCCCTCGGCTCTTTAAACAACGAGTACAACCTGACTGATTGGGTCCGATGTGGTAATATTCAACATGTCGTGGTATTCGCCCAGACCCAGATTACAGAGTAGTGTAGTAGTACTCCATCTCACATAAAGCTCGTAACTTGATCTCTCAAACACGAGGATATCGTACCAAAAAGATCATGTACTGTAGTGGCGATATTTCGTACAGGCGATGTAGGTAGTAGGTACTGTAGTCACAGTCCAGTACCAATTCAGACAATTGAGACTGTTCTAAGACGTAAAAGCAACTTTTCGCTTGTAAGGCCGAAGAACAGAGCTCGTCTGGTGGAGATGATCCCAAAGTCCGGGGTATTTGGGGTCATTGATCCGGTCCACTGCGAACTTCGCGAAGTGCGAAGTTGCGGACCCGGGGTATGTGATTCTTCGCGGTCGGCAGCTCATCGCACTACAGCAATGGCGCAGAACAGCCTGAGTGATAGACTTCTCAGAGACACCGCCGGCAGGTTGATCGGGGAGTGAGCTCACAATATGGACAGCGATCTGCCGGATTATTAAAGACGCACCTCGGTCAGCCGTCATTGACCCCTTGAGACGCGGTGGAGTTATTTGTGGAATTATTGGACCTGCAAAGGTAATCGTGCATGTACACGGCAGATTAGATCCAGGGCACAGCCGCTACAAAGCACGCTTGTAGAGATCTTAATCAAGAGCTCTCAACACTTTCATCTGCAGACTTGATCGGGACGCGCATTGATCAGCATCGCATTCGGCACCTACATTGCCCCATATTCGAGCAGATCTGTCCTGGACAGTGCATCTTACAAGAGTCAATCGACGAGCACTCGAGTGCCTTTGAAGTTCTTCAACCATTGCGGATCGTCAAGCACCACGGTCAGAGCACTATGGACTACCTCGCCGAAGCCAGTGTTCCCGCCGTGGCGATGGCTTCCGCGCTGGCAGTGGGTGCGGGCGCCTATCTGAATGCGAAGCTGGCCATTTCCACGGATTTGACTACAATTCGCCATGACCGGAAGTTCAAAGAGCGCCTGACCAGACAAATTGCCAGCCTGGGTGAATCAACTACAATGTACAAACTTCTCGAAAAAGTCGTGGAGAGGGACGGGCATGGCGCAAATGAAGCATTGTGGTTTGAACACAAAACGTGGTCCTATACACAGCTCAAGGATGGTATGCGATCTCCAGACGTTTGGCGTAAAAAATCTTCCAATAACTAACATCTCTTCAGCGGTGGATCGATTTGCGGCTTTACTCCATGCTCGAAATGTCAAGACAGGAGACTTTGTTGGCGTCTTTACAACCAATTCGCCCGAAATGGTGATTGTTCTCTGCGCCCTGGCCAAGCTCGGTGCCGTAGCTGCCATGATCAATACCAACTTGCGAGGTATGGCCTTGATCTTGAGCAAAGTTGCAGGAAATTCCAGTCTATGACACAGAAGACTGACACCTCCCAATCACAGACGATACCTTCATCCACTGTCTAGACGTATCAGGCTCAAAGTCGATCGTTTCCACCCCCGATTTATCTCAATTTGTCTGCGCCGACCTGCCCCATTTTTCGGTCAACATGTCGTCTTTTGACGGCATTTCCACCGAATCCGTTGAAACAATCACGGCGTCTGATCTGCAACAATTCTCACCAGCGGCGGTGTCACCAGCGAAGCGCACCCCCAAGGATCTCACTGCCTTGATTTATACCTCCGGTACAACCGGCAAGCCAAAAGCATGCGCCATCCGAAACATGATGGTCATGGTGACTTCGACTCCTCTTTCAATAGACGAGCAGAATCCATCCAAGTACCGCCCTCTGCGAACCTACTCCTCCTTGCCACTCTTCCACGGCACCGCTTTCTTCACAGGACTGTGCTACACCCTGGGCAACGCAGGCACGCTATGCCTTCGTCGCAAGTTCTCCGCCTCCCAGTTTTGGAAGGACGTGCACGATTCCCAGGCGACCCGGATCCTATACATCGGTGAACTCTGCCGCTATCTCCTCTCCACCCCACCATCTCCCTATGATCGTGGCCACAAGTGCATCGTTGCCACGGGTAATGGTCTTCGCGGTGAGATCTGGGAAAAGTTCCGATCACGTTTCGGTGTGCCTGAGATCCGCGAGTTCTACCGCTCCACGGAGGGAGTGGCCAAATTCGATAACATCGGCGAGGGTGCCTGGGGTGCCGGCAAGGTGGGCTTTTCCGGACCGATTCGACGCCTGCTTGAAGACGATACGTTCATCGTGAAATATGACACTGAGACAGAAATGCCCTATCGTGACCCTTCTACCGGGTTCTGTATTCGGGCGCAATTGGGCGAGGAAGGCGAGGCCATTGGCCGAGTACGAGACCGAGGTCTGTTGACGGAGTATTTGCACAACGAGGGTGCGACAGAGGGGAAATTGCTGCGCGATGTGTTCCAAAAGGGGGATCTTTTCCAGCGAACGGGCGATCTCGTCGTCCAAGATCATTCAGGCTGGGTTCGATTCCAAGATCGTGTGGGCGACACATTCCGCTGGAAGGGCGAGAACGTCAGTGCGGGTGAGATCCGTGATCACATCTGTCGCATTGAGGGTGTTCACGATGCTGTGGTGTATGGTGTCAAATTGACCAGGTCAGTACAAGCGCCCACTCCCTTCCTTAGGGGCTGGAGAATGGAGACAGGTCAACGGGGCAGTCACTGACATATTGTCTTCTGAAACAGTTACGACGGTCAAGCTGGTGCAGCTGGAATCACTCTCGAAGATCACTCTGCTGCTGCGGAGCAAGAATGCATGGCCAACTTGTACACCCACCTGAAAAAGAGGGGTGTTCCTTCTTATGCTATTCCTCGTCTTGTGCGCATCACCGAAAAGTGAGTCATATTCACCCACATGGATAGTTCTAACTCATCGCGAGATAGCACCACTAACAGAGCCTGACAGGGTGGCTACGGGTGTGACCTTCAAGCAGGCCAAGGGCGATCTCGTGAAGAAGAGCTGGGATCCTCGCAAGGATGCAGGTGGTGATTCTCTATGGTGGCTCAACGGGACGAAATACGAGAAACTCGATGGAGATGGTTGGTCTCGGATTGAAGACGGCAAGGCCAAGCTTTGATTTCGGAGAGGTACTGTACTTCTTTTGCAGTAGTACGTGCAGTGTATAGAAGCTTTGACTCATCCTTCAAAATGGATAGACTTGCAGAATGCCCAGACACTTGCAGTTTTCTCAGTCCGCGCACATTGATTCAAAGTATTAAGAGGAATTCTGGTAGCGCAGGTCACTTTATTGACAGGCAGTAGGGCTGGTATGCGTACATCGCGGACCAGATGAGAGCCTGGGATCCACGGGAGCTCTGCACATAGACCTGCACTTAGACCAGACTTGTTTCTAATTGCGCCTCGTTTTGCGAGCAAAAGTTTCACAGCAATATAGTTTCACTAGGGGAGTACGGGCCAATGAGGCTATTTCATCCCCCAATTTCGCGACCCGAGAGCGTCAAATGGCATCATTACGTTCGGCAACAACCACCAAGTCTAATTTGATGAACCCCTCTCCGCAGTTGCAAACCTTTCCCCTCATATCCCCTTACACCCCAGCAAGCCTCATGACACCAGAGGGAGGGCGTGAAAGATGACAGACGAAAGAATCCCGTTTCAAGGCAATGGCCTTGACTTTTACGGCCTCTATCGTCGCGGGTCAGGTACGGATGCATTGCCTTTGGTCGTTCTACTTCACGGCGGGGGAGCGACATCGGCGTATTTTGACAACCCGGTGATCTCGTAAGTCCGGATTCCACATCCCTCCTCGGGGAACCTTTGCGACACCACAAGGCAGCACTGACAGGTCCTTCCAGCTCAGTCGGTGCATTTGCAAAACTGGGTTACGATGTACTCAACGTCTCACGCCCCGGCTACGGCAATGCTCCTGCACCGACCACATCCACTCCTTTGCAGCACTCGATTCCAGCATTTGTTGATTTGATTGACCATGTCCGGACGAAGAAGCATAGTCCCGGAGTCATTCTCGTGGGCCACTCACTGGGCGGTGCCCTGGCTTTGTCCGTTGCCTATGAAGCGCAGAGAAAAATGCCGATTTGGGGTGTAAGTTGCATGGGCAGCTTGCCAACCCAGGAGTCGCTCGGTCTTCTGGCCGAGCCCGATCCCGAGCCAGAAAATCCGAGGTATGTCGTTGATAAGAGCGCGATGAATGTGGAGCGTTTCATGGGGAAATTGGAGTGGGTGAATCTGGACGGGTTATCGGGGAAGGTAATTGAGAGTGTATTTGAACCAGGTGGGTGTTTGGCCGACATGCACTTTGTGGACATCCTTACTGAAACATGCTTAGGGCTGAAATCGGAATTGAGGGAGTATGAGAGCCCTACGTTTTACCAGTACCTGACCGGGACTGTGATCCCTGGCATCAGAGTGCCGGTACAATTCTTGGCGGCGGAAAATGAGGTTGTCTGGGATGAACACAATGGCTCGCAAGGAAAGACTCTGTTCAATGATCTTGTTTCGCTGTTTCAATCATCCACGGAGATTGAAGCTGAAATACTGCCACGGGGTGGCCACAACTACGAGTTCTCAAAGAACGCCCGGAAGCTGCTGGACTGCCGGAACCACTTTGTCCAGAAGGTGGTGAGTTTTCTGCATCTATACAAGAAGAAACTCAGAACAACCGGAGCACAAAGCTCATATTTCAGCAGTCTGCGAAAGAACGTCGCAACGACGGGAAAGAAGTCGATAGGAATGCTTTCACCAAAATCCCCATCTTGGACTACAGACAAGCAACCCAGCCTGAGTCGCGGTCTGCATTTCTTAAACAGCTCCAGGATGCTGTCGTCAATGTGGGATTCTTCTACCTTCAGAATACGGGAGTCCCAGATGAGCTCTACCAGCAATTGTTCGAGCAGTCGTCTGCTCTCTTCAACCTCCCGCTAGAGAAGAAATTGGAGATAGAGATGGTCAACAGCAAGCATTTTCTGGGATACTCTCGACTCGGCCAGGAAATCACAGCACTCAAGAATGATTACCGAGAACAATTCGATGTAGGCGATTCCATCATTGAACCATCACACCCGAGGGGTTACTAATAATTCCAAAGTTTGCGACTGAATTACCCGCGCCTCTACCTGAGGAGCCCCTGTATCGAAATATCAGGGGACCAAACCAGGTACGTAACCGCAAACTCCTTGCTCCTGGTGGAACTACAAGAATTCTCATCCATCAAAGTGGCCTGACGCGAAGGCATTGCCGCAATTCCGCTCCGTTGTGGAGACTTATATCGATACCGTCGACAAGCTCGCGTCTTCGCTCACATCTCTTGTCGCGGAAGCACTTGACCTACCGCCCAATGCGTTCGACGACTTCTTCGATACGCCTCAACAGAACAAATTCAAAATGATCAAATACCCAGAACCTGTCGACTCTCACCCCGGTCAAGAGACTCAAGGAGTTGGTCCACACAAGGATTCATGCTTTCTCACTTTTCTTCTGCAAGGCACTCCCCATACAGGACTGGAGGTCCAGAACAAAGCGGGCACATGGCTTCCAGTGCATCCCATCCCGGGAACCTTGGTCATCAACATTGGTCGCGCTCTCGAAGCCATCACCGGAGGAGTGTGCACTGCAACAACGCATCGAGTGAATCTACGACCGGAGAATTACGTGGACAAGAATGACCGCTCACTTGGACCACGGTTCTCATTTGCCGTCTTTCAGGGCGTGAGTCTGGATCTCGGCGTCGAGAAGATTCATCTTGATATCCCTCATCATATCAAGGAGCTGGTCAAGGATGAAAAGGTCCGCTCAGATGCAGAGGCTACGTTCAACCAGATGTTCAACGGGAACATAGGTCAGGGCACGCTTATCGCCCGCATAACGAGCCATCAAGATGTGGCTGAGCGATGGTATCCGGATCTCTTGAAGCAAGCCTTGAAAGCTCAAGAGAAGGAAGGGGTAGCACGATAGTTGCATTGAAGATTCAGACAGCTATTTCATCACGGAAAGAATTTCTCACAAAGGAACGAAGACCTTTTCTATTCTGTGACAAGCCCGCCATTTTCTTGGAATACTTTTTTTTCGAGTCTTTGTACATACAGGAACCATTAGAGTCGACTGTCAGTGATTAACAAAATGACACATTATGTGGTCGTTTGTATATCAGAAAACCATAGTGACAATCAGCAAACTTTGTTAGAAGAATGCAAATAAGTTGCGTGGCGACGCAGAGAAAGAGCCAGTTTCAAGCTAGATTGACGGTGCCTGATCATCTACCACTAGGCTGTATGACGCGCGTCGACTTTCAGATAAGAACACAGGTTCCGGATTTAAGTTCACGGTTCACCCTTCAATTCTTGGTAAGCCATTCAAGCATTGCCCGATACATGGCCAAAGAAGCAGGCGACTCAAGAGGAGATCCGGCCGAACCACTACCAGCGGGGTCTGTGCTACCAGCTTGGCCGTAAAGAAGAGCATCAGAAACAGCCTGGGCCAGTGCTTCCTTCGTGTAGGTAGAAAGAAACCCAGTCAGCTCATCACAGTCCCATGCCAGTACTCTGGTATGCATTTCCTGCATCTTTTTCTCAACCAGACTCTCCATCTCATCGACTTCATCTTTGCTGAGAAGAGCCATTCGGGCTTTCCAAGCACTCTCCGGGTCCGATGTCGCGCCAAAGAATCGAGGATCGATCTTCTCCCAGTATATCAGATCAAATGCAAAGCTGTGTTGACAGGCATATGCAATCCAAAAGTGTCCGGTGTCCCAGCTCTTTCTCATGTGGGTCGACAAGCGTTGGTCCTCGGTCATCTGGCCATTGGCGATGCAAGCGTCTTCGCGTTTGGCCATTGACCTCAGGAAGATTTGTAAGCGTTGCTCGTAGACCCGCGCCCAGTCGTCGAGACCTGCTTCCCAGTATTCGGGCTTTTCGATGAGTAGCCACCATGGCGGAGCGTAGGTGTATTCCAAGGGTGCTGCGTAGGTAAATTCCCAGTCCAGGACTCCACAGACTCGATCGTTGCTGTCGACAATGACGTTGGCCGGTCTGAAATCATCACACCAGAGTTTGAACGGTCCGTTGTTGAGCGATGGGTTGCTCAGTTTTCCTTCCTTGGCTAGAAGGTGGAAAAGCCGCCTCGCTGTAAACTTTCGACGACAATCGTCTGCGGACTCGACAGCGTCGTTTCTTTGGTGACGCAGATGCTGGATCATGGTCTCCGTAATGAACTCGAGATAGGAGGACGATGAGTCAAATGTACATCTTGGATCCGGTAGGCATGTTGTCGGAAGTGTCCCCATTACGCACAGTTGCTCCATGTCGAGTGTGTGGGGGCGAAAGGCTACCTCCCACGTTGTGTCACCCTTTTTCTCGAGACATCCGATTCGGGAGAAGGATGACAGTGACAGTTGAAGCATGATCTCAGCGACTTGGCCGTATATATCACCCAGCCGCTGCTCGCTGATATTGGGATCAAGCACTGCACGCAGATGTGGCGGGCGACCAGGTGTGTTCAACGAGGTATAGAGCGTGGATTGGTGACTCAGGTACTCCATTATGATAAATGGACCTAGCGAAAGCCGGCTTTCAGCCACTGCGCCGTAATGAATGACTCGAGGCACAGGTACAGAAGTACATTCCTCCAGGTACCGCATAATCGCGGCTTCATTTCGGGTCTTCTCTTCGGGAAAGCGAAGAGTGGAAGGCAACGGGAAGCGAAGCACAGCAGGTGGACTGTTCACAAACACGATACGGAAGCAGATGTTGTAGCTGCCCCTGCCAATGACGGTAAAGTCCACTGGCTCCTCGGGGTGATGATGGTCCAGCAGTGTCTGGGCAGCTGCCTCTCCAATGTGAGGTCTGCAGAACTGAATAGTCCAACTATTCACAATTCGCTCGCTCTCATCCCACGCAACATCGTCGAAACTCATGACTGGACGCATCTCGGAACGACTCGTGCCACAAAAAAACAGACTGTGAGACTTCTTCTTTGAAAAAAGTGAAGGTTTGTTGGCTTGATGCTCTTATACCCACCTGAGAGCATCCGCGACGGGCCAAGTCATCCCGAGAAATTCTCTTTGAAAGAAACCCCTTGTCGACCTATGCCATCCGACTTGTGGTCATGATCCACTCTCATGATAGAAAATCAGCCTCGGAGCGCCGTGAGCGTCACGTAATTGACTCTATTGGGCAAGCTCCGAGTTTCCGACAGTCTGTTCTTTGTTCGAGGTGCTCCCGCTCTTCGATAAGCATCTGTGCCCAGCACTGGGCGCTTCCAGCCACACATTCTTAGTCCTAGGTGGCGCTCTGTTGGATGCGCGATCGTCACTCAGCTTCTCTGACCGACTGTGGAAGAGAATCTCGCATTCAGAAATGCTGTGTCACTTGCCGGCAGTGCTTCATCTGACTGCGAAAGAGTGACCTCGGCCTCGCTAACGAGCGCTTTCTTTGCGATCTTGCTCCGAGGCAAGCATGACTGCACTGATGGTGTTCATCTTTCCATTGAAAGAACCAAGTACGACACTCTAGCCGCCCAATCTAGCGACAGCTCGAGAGAGATTGGATTGAGTCGTTGGTGAGGATGATCACGTAGCAAGGTACTACCGGGGTCCGGCAGACAATCGTACTGGCGGTCCTTTGAGGTCCAGTGGTCCACACTTCGTTCTAAACGGGCTGTGTTGAAGACCAAAACCACCCTGCTAAGCGGTCACGTCCACGAACTGATCTGATGCCATCTGAAGTCCCTTTTTTCTCCCCAATCTTTTATATGGCCGATTCGTCGGGAAGAGTGTGGACTGTGAGTCTGTGGCAATCTGCGGAGGCTCGATCGCCAGTCAACACTTCTCGTTCAACGAGTTCAACCTGGAGTGAATCCTGCCTTCGCTCGGGTTCTCCGGCCAGCGTTGGTTCAATGCTCAGACTGTTGCATTGAACAATGTCTTCTCAGCGCCGAATCGACACCTCCCTCGAAGAGAACTAATCAAAATCCTCCTCCTTGGAAGGACAAACCGCGGTAAATGGCTCGTTCTGTCCAAGATCTTCAACGCACGTCCCGGCTCAGCTTGGGTCGTGATAGGGTACCTGCGATCGTGCCGAGTCGCTAAGCTTCAACTAGACCCGTCGGCGTCGCAGCGTGGAGTCCAAACTCCATACGGTAACTTTGCGTCTGCAATTGCCACAGTTGTCCCACTTGTGCCTGATGCGACTGGCTCAACAGCCATCGTAGAGGGGCTGCCACGCGGGGCCTTGTGAAGAAAGTGCCGTACTTTGACCCTGGACGAGTTGGAAGGCAAAGATTTGTGTTGACTTGGCGGTTTTCAATGTTTCTTCTGGGTTCTCCCTTCTGCAAACCTGCGTGAAACTCGTGTGTGCTTGTGCAGAAGCGAGTTCGTCCCGAGTCATGAGTGCTTCAAAAGACGCCGAGCTTACAGCCGTTGAGGTAGGCGCTGATCGTGAGAATGGTCGGCTCCAGACCGAGATTTTCACAAAGGAGGAGGAGCAGACGGTTGCGCCCGATCAATTTGACGAAAAATATCGAACGACAAGAAACGAGATCTGGGCTTATTATGCGTGCGTGTGATGGGCGGCACCAAGCCGCAGGTGTCGTGAAGAAGGGCGATTGCTGAAATGAGATCTTAGTTATTATATTGGCAACAACGGCCTATCACTCTTCAGTATGTTTTGTTTCAATCCTCCTCGCGCGGAATTTCTTCTCTGGGAGAGTCGCTGATTGTTCATATTCAACTGGTAGACTTTGCACCCACCGCATTCCAGAACCTGCTGTACCAAGCGGCACCGGAGAATGGATTGATGGAGTTTCTCGGACAGCCACGGTCCATCAACAGTATTGTGCTGCTTTCCAATGGAATTTCCTTTGCCATTCAAGTGGTCGTGTTCCTGGTGATTGGCAGTTTTGCCGATTTTGGCAATTGGCGACCCAACATTCTCATCGGCTTGTCGATTGTCGCATGGGCGATTGGGTTCGGTTGGCTGGGTGTGCACACCTCAGATGACTGGCGAATTGGTGTCGGACTATACATGGTCGGACTGATCGCCTACCAGACGACCTTGACATTCTGGACTGCGGCTTTCCCAGGACTGGCGAGAAACACGGTGGAGATGAAGGAAAAGGCGGATGCGTTGGTGGCGGGCACGATCACTCGGGACGAGTACGACTACGCAGACACCATGATGCGTAGTCGACTCGCCAACATCGCATTCTATGTCCAGTCGGTCGGCGAGATCTTCATCTTGGCCATCATTGTGGGCATCATGTTTGGGCTGGATGTCAACGCCAGCCAAGAAAACAACAATTGGGGCCTCAGTGTCCTGATTGCGTTTGTGTCTGGAGTCTGGCTCCTGGTGTCTCTGCCGTGGTTCTTCCTTGAGAAGCGTCGACCTGGCCAGAATCCCGGTCGCCGAGGCATTTTGATTGCAGGAGTCTGGCAGCTGTGGCATGCTATGAAGCAGATTTGGCACTTGAAACAGAGTCTGATCTATCTCATTGGTATGAGCGCCTGGTGATTCGATGCTACAACTATATGAGCACTGAGACTGACGTCTTGCTTTACAGGCTATTTCCTTCTTGGTGACTCTTTGAACACTACTGTGACGGTGATTGGAACACTCCAGAACAGTATCGTGGCGTATAATACTCTGCAATTGACCTATTTGCTCATCGTGGGCATCGCGGCTCAGGTGAGCTTCAAACCCTACAACAGATCGTACTTTCCCATGGCTTTACTAACCGGAGTCTCCCAGGCGGTTGGCATTTATGCATTCTGGTACATTCAACAGCGATTCCATCTCGGTACCAAGACCATGTTCAACGCCATCGCCGTCAGCATCATCCTACTCGACGGCTGGGGTATGATCGGTATCTGGACCGACAAGTTTGGCTTCCACAACGCGTGGGAAGTTTGGGTATGTCTCCCAAACAATTCCCCCCTCACCTTTCTTATTCTCAAAGCCCCCAAGAGACCAAGTCAACTAACTCATTCCCTCCCTTTCACAGGTCTACCAAGCTTTCTACGGGCTCTTCGTCTGCCCATGGTACAGTTACTCCCAGATCATGATCTCCGAGGTCACACCGCGCGGCCATGAATTCCTCTTCTTCAGCCTCTTTAGCATCATCGGCAAAACCTCGTCCTTCATTGGCCCTCTCGTCTCAAGTGCGATCATCGATGCCAGCCCCACAGGAGACAATTCCGCTCCATTCTACTTCCTGTTCGCGTTAAGTGTCGTGAGCTTCGGCATCATGGCGTTTGGCGTCGACTTGCGCAAGAGCCAAGTAGAGCAGGAGAAGTTCTTGCAGGATAAGAAGAAGCATTTGGAGGATTCGAGCTCCGGGGATAATGCTTGATTATACTTTGGTGATAGACATTTGTCTGTCGCGGGTTCAACGAGTCATGAAGTTCCATGTGCGGCCTCTAGACGCATTACGTTCACTTATACCACGCCTACTTCCAATGAAGGGGGTGCCACGGGTCGGTAGCCCAGGCAGGTGATTATTGTACATAGATGATAGAGGAACTGGCCTCTATTGCGCTGCCACTCTAATGTGTGTCCGATATCCAATGGTTTCTATACACAGCAATTGCGGTTGAACTTTGGGAGAGGGCCGGATTACTTTGTGAGGTGGTGACCATCCTCCGAATTGTTGTCTGGGAAACATTGGTAATCCAGAACGACTTGCAGTTTTGAAAGTACTTGACCGGATCCATGATGAGCCATCGGGGTTATCGCTTGTGCTGCTCATTGAACTCCATCTGCCCTCCCGAAACTGCAGTCTGATTAGATATCTTTGCACTTCAGTCAGGCAATCCGATGCATACAGTGATCACCAACCAATCTGATTGATGAGACATGCTTGAGGTTGCGATACGGAAGCTACTACCACTTAGTTTGATAGTCACAGTCTGGATTGTATTTATTTTCATGGACTATCCAAGGTCATTCTCACATTATGAGCAAGGCAAAACATGTGTTGGAACCGAAACAGCACCCGATGCATTCGTTGACCGAGAGCAAAAATGCCATCCGCAAACAAAAAGGGGGGATATTGCTTTTAAACAAAACATTCAAAGGGGAAAAAAGAAAAGAGGCAGATACGCAGTGCATAACCTTTCCTACAGGCGCACCGATGCAAAACTCCAATATAACCATTCCCTTCATCATAATCAACTCTGGTGGCAATCCTACCACTCCAGCGGCTCGGCTTTGACGTCGCCACGGTTAGTGGTAGGGACGGGAGCGGCCTCAATCTTCGTGGCACCACGGCTACCACGGCGGAGATAGCCGCTGCCGTCCAGCCAAGGAGTCTGCAGGCTGCGCTTGGCTTCAAAGGTCCGAATCTTGGACTCCATTTGAAGGGTAAGACCGATATCATCAAGACCGTTGGTCAAGCAGTGCTTGCGGAATCCATCGACCTCAAAGGCGACAATCTTGGCACCTTGAGCATCCTTGATCTCCTGGTTGACAAGGTCGACTTCAAGCTCACGACCGGCGCGGGCCTCATCGGCGATCTTTTTCAAGGCAACCTCGTCAGACACAACAACAGGAAGCATGCCGTTCTTGAACGTATTGTTGAAGAAGATGTCGGCAAATGAGGGGGCGATGATGCACTTGATGCCAAAGTCCAGCAAGGCCCATGGCGCGTGCTCACGGGAGCTACCACATCCGAAGTTGGGACCAGTCACGACAAGGATCTTGGAATTGCGGTAAATGCCTTGGTTCAGAATGAAATCGGGGTTCTCTGATCCGTCAGGATGATACCGGAGCTCGTAGAACGCGGCGGAGCCCAGACCAGTGCGCTTGATGGTCTTCAGGAATTGCTTGGGGATAATTGCATCGGTATCCACGTTGGCACGGTCGAGGGGTGCTGCAGTGCCCTTGAGGACAGTGAACTTGGGAAGCCCAGCGCTGGTGCCAGCAGATGTATTTGTGTGGGGCTCATTGTCAGCAGGCAGATCAAGAACACGCTCCAACTCGTCCTCGGTCTCGGGCGAATCCACCTCGGGCTGAACGTCAATCTGAGGTTGAACCTTAGCGGTAACGGGGCTTGAAACAACGTGCTCCCGGATATCGGCAAGCTTGCCAACAATCGCGGCAGCGGCAGCCATGGCTGGGGACATGAGGTGGGTACGGCCCTGTGCACCTTGACGACCCTCAAAGTTGCGGTTAGAAGTACTGGCACAACGCTCCTTGGGTGAGAGGATGTCGGGGTTCATGCCAAGACACATGGAGCAACCAGCCTCGCGCCATTCAAATCCGGCGTCAGTGAAGATTGTGTCCAATCCCTCGGCCTCGGCCTGCTCCTTGACCAAGCCCGATCCAGGGACAATCATAGCCCGCTTGATATTGGCGGCAATCTTCTTGCCCTGAACGACCTTCGCCGCAGCACGCAGATCCTCGATACGTGAGTTGGTGCAGGATCCGATGAAGACCTTATCCACCACAATGTCCTTCATCGGCGTACCGGCAGTGAGACCCATGTACTCGAGAGCGCGCTTGCATGAGGTCTTGCGGTTCTCGTCCTCGAAATCGTCGGGTCCGGGAACAACGCCAGTGATGGGGACGACGTCTTGGGGAGAGGTACCCCAAGAGATCGTAGGAATGATATCCTTGCCATTGAGGAAAACATCCACATCGTATTTGGCCTCCGGATCCGACTTCAGAGAAGACCAGTATTTGACAGCCTTGTTCCACTCGGCGCTACCGTACTTGGGAGCAAGAGGACGACCCTTCAGATACTCAAAGGTGATCTCATCGGGAGCGATCATACCCGCACGGGCGCCGCCCTCGATAGACATGTTACACATGGACATGCGGGCTTCCATGCTGAGGCCGCGAATGACGGATCCACAAAACTCGATAACAGCACCGGTACCTCCGGCAGTGCCAATCACGCCAATGATGTGGAGCACAACATCCTTGGAGGTTACACCAGGAGCAAGCTCGCCGTCGACCTGAATGCGCATGTTTTTGCTTCGGCGAGTGAGGAGGGTCTGGGTGGCGAGGACATGCTCGACTTCGCTGGTACCAATGCCGAAGGCGAGGGCGCCGAATGCGCCGTGTGTAGACGTGTGGCTGTCACCGCAGACGACCGTTGTGCCCGGCAGAGTGAATCCCTGCTCGGGCCCAATGACATGGACAATACCCTGGCGCTTGTCGCCCATGCCAAAGTAGGTCAACCCGAAATCTTTGACATTTTCCTCCAGTGTCGTACATTGCAGACGAGAATCTGTCTCTTTGATGAAGTCGGAGGCGTTTTTGAAGTTCTTTCGAGAGCTAGTGGGGATATTCTGAAGACAACGTGCGGTCAGTGAATGATCTCATCTCCCACCGATAGCCGAAATTTACTGCAGCAGACGTACATGATCAACAGTGACGAGGGTGCAATCGGGCCGGCGAACTTTGCGACTGGCATTCTTGAGGCCTTCAAAAGCCTGAGGCGAGGTCACCTCGTGAACGAGATGGCGATCTATTGAAAATGGGTTAGAGGACTGTCGGTGACTCTTGCCCATTGGCCATCGGTCGGCATACCGATATAGAGAAGGCAGGTGCCATCGTCTTGTTGATTGACAATGTGGTCATCAAAGACCTTGTCATAAAGAGTCCTGGGTTTCGTCTCTACTGAAGGCATTTTGTGAGGAGTGAGAGATCTCAATGGGACGGACGCGCTCAATGATGTTGGGAAGGTGGATATCAGTGGAATGCAATGACTTATATTCGGTGATGTGCGCGATGTCGCTGAGGCGGTGATCGAGGGGCAGCGCCGACCTCGGCGGGTCATCCGTGAACTGCCTAAATCTGATTGGAGGTGGCGGCGAGGGGCGATGATCCCGATATCGGCTCGTCCCACGTCCTCAAAAGGCGGCAAGTGGCGCTTGATGGCGGTTCTTGACTGTTGACTCACAAGGAATAGCGCTAGTTAAGGTACACAGTAGTGACAGCGCTGCTGTCTACTTGTTCTCCACAGTCCACGGTCACCAAAGCGGCCCGGCTGCTGCACGGTCTCCAGGCGGCCGAGACCGATTCCGGGGTCGAAAGCTGACGGCTGGGGCGTCAATCGGTGACCCTGACGCTAGTGATTGGCCATGTCCGCCGGGGTCCGATCGGGATTCCTTCTCAGCATGCAGGGATACGCTGGTCAGTGGTGGTAGTTCTCCAACTTGGGGAGTCTTTCCTGTTGTAAGGTGAGCAAGCTCGAAGGAGATCTACGTTTGTGAGTGGAACAGTTCATTTCGATGATATGGACTTGAGGTTTGTTAATAGATGTCAAGCGTCTCACTCGGACCGCCCTCAGTTCTCATTCATTGTGAGAACACCATCTGCTGCTATGATCGACAGAAATATGGATGTACTACAGCTACCTCAATCGCTAGCCTAGCGCTACGGATGCACCTTCCAATGGATCGAACCCGAACCGACCTCTTCTGTAAGTTCAGTGGATGCACTGATCAATAATGTATACGTACCCAGATATTTTGTACAATGATAATCTCATGAATCCTCCATATTTTAGGCAATTTACGTTGTGGTGGAGTGTTCAAACCTAGGTAGGTACCTATTGAAAGACCCCAAAAGACGGTAATTCATGTTGTAGCAAACCTCAAAGACTGTAAAGCAATGTATTTTTTCTATGACAAACAGCGAAAGCAAAGAAGGCTGCCCAAATTTCGTAGACCAGATCTATACCACAGACTGGAAAGACCGGTTGTCTTGGTTGAAGACCAACAAGGCCAAGCGATGCCGCGCAAAGAGACCAAGCAAGCCACACGTCGTTTGAACACCTATCATGTGCCACGCAAGTCGATCTTCCCTCATTGGGCCCATCCAAACGAGCCAGAGATTCAGTATTGTCAAATTGGTTGACTCGATGATCTGGCCACTGGAGTTTCTTTGAACGCGGACCAAGTGAAGCTTGTGTAAAAGTTCCAAGGAAAACGCGATCAGTGGTGAAGGTGGATGCGTCCATTCCGTGACAGAGGCGTCAATCAGTCCAGTGGACGCATTGAACCTGGGCAGTCGATGGCGAGGACAAGGGATCAGGTGAAACAGCTGAGGCGTTGAATATACAAAATTGAAGATCTGAGGAATGAACAGGAGCAGCAGGGTTTTGCTGAAGTGTCCGAGGATTCCAACCACAGCAAAGACCATTCCGGCCAAATAGCAGTACGTGTCTCCGACGAAGACCTTGGAAGGATACCAATTGTGCCACAGAAGTGCTGCAGACACACCGATGAAAGGCAGAAGAAAGTAAATCGAGAATAAGTGTGAGTCGGTGGCAGGATGTGGGTATGGGCTGATGGGTGCCAGGTACAATGCATCGTTGAGCAGCAACAATACCGCGATGACGAGTGATTGGGCAACTTCAATCCCGTTGATGCCTGCCAGCATGTTGATGGCGTTGGGACAGAAAATTGCAATAGCTGCCATGTAGATGTAGTAGAGCCAGCCCAGATCGATAAAGCCGCCCAAGTATGGCTGCAAAGGCACAGGCACGACCACATGAGTGACCCCAAAGTCTACCAAGTAGACAACTAGCATGGGAATCGCAGCAAATGCGGGAATCAAGACTTTGTGCCTCCAGCGAATGTCAAGAAGATCATCACCGATCCCTAAAATGACGATACATTGAAGGGACAGGAGGCCAGATAGGTACGATGCAAGCTGGGCAGTACAGTTTTAGCATAGCAATACCAAGAGAGGTTTGGATGAGGGTCAGGGCAGAGATACCTTCCCATGGGGAAATCTGTGAAGAAATCGACCAGTCTCAATATGCTGCACTTCGATGACAACATCTCGGTTGCCTCCTCCCGAAGTTGCGGCAACAATGTCCTTGTAAAAAGCAAAAGGAATAAAGACAATGAGCGCAAGCAGATAGACAACCGCGCAAACGGCACCCATTGTCTCTGGTCTGCAATAGACAGTCAGTCTCCTCTGTTCAAACTTGTATGCAATGCAAAGATTGCCTGGCGCACATTTCCGGTTTCTTAGGCTTTGCCATATCTTTTCCCTTGAGACCTGCCTTCATGAATACTGGTCCAAGCCATCTGATCATACTGAATGTGACTGAAAAGGCGATGAGTGAGAGAGCAATGGCAGCTACCACAGGCGCGCCATCACCTTGGAAGGTACTTGTGAGAATGCCTAGACCAAGCCCCCCAAGAAACAGAAGACACCATGTCTCAGACCAAGAAAGAGTATCATGTCCCCCCATCTTGAGCGAAGTATCTTGTGCCAAGATTCTGTGACGGTTTTTCGGGGAATTGGAGCAAGCCAAACAATAATACCAAATGTTTGACAGGCCCTAATGCAAGCTGGCTTCAGGCGCGGCTAGCCCTCCAGACTGCGCTAATCGGGAATGCCCCGTGTCGCTTCACCGCCTTTGGGCGGTGGACCGTGGACACTGAAGAGGCATCTACCACGCGCATGTTCAAATGATCAACCAATGTACCAACGTAGGTTTCTAACAGTATCGAGTTCCCAAATCTGCGGATGCTTTGCGTGTCTATTGCTCTGCTGAATTTGCGAGCTTGATTTGCGCTTATAATGGGTCCAGATGAGGACTCGGATGTCGGTGATGAGTTCACCGAGCTCGATGCCGGTCATCGGGACGCTGTAGCCGTCTCCAAGTTCAACTTCTACGGAAATCGACTCCTCACGGCATCTGCGGATCATCGCATGAAAGTTTGGGACCTCAAGGATGGGCAGTGGCAATGTATCGACACCTGGCGTGCTCATGATGCAGAAATCCGTGATGTGAGTTCGACGAGACTCAACCCAAAAGACACGCAAGTCGCGGACTGAGATGGTTGCTAAAGATGAGACCAAAAGGCGACATGGAATGGACCCTTCACAGGTCAACATATTGCCAGCGTTGGGGAGGATATGCGACTGAAAATCTGGCAAGAAGATCCCAGTCAAGCTCCTGGGTCAGGTCGGCGGTTTCGGTCGATATTCCGCTTGACGGCACCAAACCGCCATCCCTTCGTCTCACTGGATTTTCGCAACATTGACCTTGAATCGTGGCTCGCTGTGATTACCCGTGATGGCTATCTGATGGTTTTTGAACCTGTCACTCCAGACAATCTGGCAGATTGGCAAGCGATCGATCAATTCCGCGTCTGCACGCAGCCTGAGCGTGGCGAGGAAACCAGCTTTAAAATTCAATTTCATCACGGCCCATCCGACATCACCCACACGGTCCTTCCAAAATCAGATCGCAAAAGCCTTTCCCTTGTGGTGGCAGCCATGAACACAGTCAAAATATACCGCACTGATGCCAATCGTCGCTTTTACCATGCGATTGAATTGACTGGACACAGCAGTCTTGTACGAGACGTGTCCTGGGCCCGTGGCTCCGTGCGTGGATATGACCTGATCGCGAGCGGCGGTCGTGATGGCTTGATTCGCATCTTCGAAGTCTACACCAAGAACGCCGCTCAAGCCCCCCAACCCACCAATTCCCGAAAGGCTGAACAGCGGGAGCAGCAGCCATCCACCACCCAGTCCACTAGCCAGTCCACTAGCCAGTCCACCAGCCAGTCTGGTATTGGAACTGCCTTGGCTAACCGCACGCCCAAATCCAACACCAGTCGACAAGCAACTGGCGACCCTCAATTCCGCCACTCTTTCAAAGAGGTGGCACGTCTTGATAGCAAGCATGTGGACGTATGGCAAGTAGAATTCTCCTTTGCCGGTAAGTAGCTCCACAGATAGTATCTGAAGTCCCTTGTGTTCGCGACTTGGCCCCTTGCTCACATCCTCTTCTAGGAGATTGCTTGATGTCTTGCGGGGACGATGGCACGACCCGATTCTGGAAAAAGGGCTTGACGGGGGAGTGGCTGGAGTTCGCTGAGACTGACATGACGGCCGAGTGAACTGCGACCACTGCAAAATCACGTGGGCGGCTCCCGTGTTCTGTTGTGTCTCTTGTTGGCGTTTTTGGTCTGTTTTCCTTTCTTTGTTCCCCCACCGGCTTTAGTTCATATTCCTTATTTTTGTTATTCCCAAGCCTCGAGTCGCGAGGACAGTGATACCCTTTTTTTATTATTTCCATTCGGAGCCGTCCAGATTCTCCACAGCTTTCCAGGATTAGTAGACGCCATCCAATTGTCGAATTTTCAACTTTGATGTCGAGACCATTCTATGCAGAGGGTCGGCCGAGGCTGTCGCCCGATCATTAATCGTAGCCTCAAGTAATTTGGCACAACGTGGACACCGCTGGCGCAATCTGACGCATCGAACCCCCAGGAACGGTAATACAAGGCAATTATGACGCCCCCGAAATTTCCTCAAAGGACCGAGAATCTCAGTCAACGCTGATCTCCGAGAGTTAAGACGTCTGATGAAATTGTATTGCGCCTGAAGGGGGAGGCGTGCGCGTGTACCAGAGCCCAGATCATGTGGGTGTCTGTTTTTGCCTCCATCGGCCTCTTTCAGTGCTGTCCAGTGTCCAGGTCTCCCGTTGAGGTACCAGGCTTGAAGGACCGACACGACGACTCTGTCACCTGCAGCCATTCGCCCCATTGTAAACTCTCACATGACCAGCTTGAACGTTCCCGAAGCCCAGCCACAGTCCCTGACGATAGTGAGCCACAACAAACGGTGAGGGCCTTGGTGGTCTGTAGTTACAGATTATCGAATGGAAACAAAACGAGTTGGTGGGCATGTCGACAACAAGATCTCCATGCGAGACCAAACTGGCAGACAGCCGGGTGATGACTACGTGGAACTTGTCATGTAGATTGGAGACGAGACGAGGTGACTGGTGTGCCCTCATTGCCTCGGAATATAGTAGAATACTGAAGCGCGACACTGTCTCCCACAACCTTTCGACTACACGGTATACACTACACAGACGTTGGCGTGTGTTTTATGCTGATTGAAAGTCACGGACACAGTGTAGATCGCGCGGGGAGTGTGGAGAGTGGAGACTACCGTGTACTGTACATCCAGCCACATCGTTGATCTCCACCGGTCTGGAGCCCTGTGCTGAGTGACTGCTGTGTAGTTGTGTACTATGATTGCGGGATAGACCGATAGACGAATTCAGTACGCACGAGCTCCAGACCCGCTTCGGCATCGAAGATGTTTGGCAAATGACTTTCCTTGACTCACTCTTATCCGTGTCACGATCTGAATCGAAAAGCGGCTGATTGACATTCACCATCTTTGTGCTCGATTGATTGCCGTACGGACCCTAACGGGTGGCCTTCGATTTAAATCATGACAACCACTTGGTCTGAGTCTTGCGTACAGGGGGTCCAGTTTCCACCTCGCCATGTCCTCGAACTGATCGAAGTTGATGACCCAACATGACAAGACGCATGCTGGGTTTTCGATGAGAATTACCACCTCCCCTTGCCTTCGCTTGAAGGGACTTCTCCGGCACCCTTCCCGATGACAAAGCATTGCGTCTTCACTTCACAGAACGCCCTTATTGGGAGACACGGAGAGAAAGGAAGAACGAGCGTGCGGAAGAAAGCGCCCAAGCCCAAACTGGACAGATTCGACGCCTAGCGAAAGGCAACCCTTGAGTATTTGGGCTTGAGGGCAAGACCCTGCATTGACTTGAAACCCTGATCTGTCGGTGAGTCAAGAAGATTGAAGACCAAGGAAGTTTGTCGAGCCATCACATGCCGTGCTGATATGCATTTCCTTATAAACACGACTGACTTCACGCCTATGGCTATCGGTGCACCGGAATATGCTGCAGAGCTTTGAGAGACCATCCTCACGCGCTGCTCTGGTGCACTCGGCTGGATGTACTGCCTGACTCGCTGACTCGCACCTCTTTTTCTCCAGTGGGACGCCCCCGCCGCCATTCGCATCAGTCGTCCGACCCCCGACGCCACACGAGCCCTCCGGCGACATGACAGCCTGAACTAATTAAGCACCAAAGTTCCGTCCGCTTTCCCGCCGATCCATCTTCTCTCATCCGTGGACGACAAGATGCACTTCCCCAACCCAAGACCCGACCGTATGTATTCCCTCTGCGTCTGGCTAAGCTTCATCGTTCGCACGGCGATGGATCTGAGCCAAGAAACTGCACGTTGATTCTGAGCAACCGAAAAGCTTTGTCGGCTTCCCCCTTTGCCTCTCTTTCAGATCGCTCCTCTATACGCCTTGCCATATCAGACATCGCGGCATTCTCTGTACCCTTATGACTATCAGCCTACCTGCTTGCATTTGGCCATGATGGAGTCCCCTCTGGCCCCTTCTACCCACTATGATATACTTCGCCTTGCTCCATTTCCCTACTTTCTTCCTCTGTATCTGTTTCTGGGTACATCCCGATTATTCCTTCTATCATTCTTCAACATCGACTCTCCAACTTTTCATCAGGTTCTCACTCTCACCCGTGATTAACTTCCATGATGGAGGTGCGACCGGATCTCAGCCTCGTCTTACGGGTGGTGCTCGATCCAAGCAGTCATGATGGGCTTTGAGAGACCCTTACAGGCACAGCAGACTTTCCAGCAGCGGAAAAGGTACCTCGCTGGATCCTCCTGTTGCAGACCAGCAGGCCCTCTCCCCCGACTCGTCGTCTTCTGGTGTCTTTTCTAAATCTATCTAACAGATGCCTCTGATCTCGCAACATGCTCTTCATGGCAGGCTGGAATGCCTGCCTTGGGCTGCCGCTGGCCATGTCACTGTTCTACTCCAACCCCATCCCCGTGACTTTGTGACCCGTGACCTGTGTGACCCAGGAACCTGACTCCTGCGCCCTCTCGAGGACGCCACTGCGCTGATTCGCCCACTCCACCGGAAAAGGCCTACCCGGCGCTAGTCCCAGTCCTGCCTGGCGTGACTCCCGAGAACAGCAGTTGCCAGTGGCCAGTTGCCATCTTCCCAACTCGCCAGTTGAAGGTCGAAGTCGTGGGTTTGAACCGTTTCCGACCGCCCTTTTAATTACCGATCACGGATGTCTCCCGTACTGTACACTTACAGCGTCAGACGGTCATATCGCGCCTGGCCGCCTGCCACTGCCACTGCAATTATGCAATAACGTCTGGTAACGTCAGCCCATGCCCCCCCTCCCGTACAACAGGTGTGATACATCATTGCATGGACCACCAGCCTCTCTCTCTCCCCCCCTCCCCTTTGGCCCTGGCGGTTCCCCATGGAAAGGCGGCAGATAATATGCTCCACGTTAAAATGCCAGTGAGACGACTGCGAGTCTGCCAGCCCGCCAGGCCCTGGCTTTGGTCAACCACTAACCCGTCCTGGATCAGTCTCCCCCTCCCAATCCAGTCCTCGTCCCAATGACCCTCGCGGTCCGGTTTATCTCTCCGGGCTGACGGCGCGACTATTCTCGTCCGCGCTATACCCCTTTCGCTCCATGCCTTTGGATTTTCGCTGCCTAAGGCCTTTCGTAGCCTCTCTCTCTCTCTCTCTCTCTCCTCCTCCTCCTCCTCCTCCTTCAACCTGTGCTCGATTCATCCTCTTTTCCCACTCCTTTTCTGACTGCGCGTCCCTTCTCTCCCTCCTTCTTGTCCGTAACTTGTTCCTGTCGTGGTCTGCCCAACCGTCCAGACTCTCGCCTCCATCTTCTCGCCTCTCGCCATCCTTTCCCCCTCTTTTCTCTCTCTCGCGACACCGTCGCCCTTCCCTCCCGCCGTCTCAACGATTCCTACGCGAAGACCGTCCAGCCGACTCATCGCCCCTAGCGCACACCTTTTTTCTACCGATCACTCTCGAAGCGCCCTATCAACCACTCTCGTGTCCTTTCTCCCTACCACGTCGACTCATTGCCTTGGGGACACTCAATCATACGGTAGCCGTCAGTCGCCGTGATTCTCGCCGCTTCCCGTCCCAGCAGAGCGTCCTTGACCCCGCGACAGCGCTGTGCCGACATCCTTGAGCTTCTCACGAATCCCATTCTCCAGATCTCATCAACACCGCATCGAGACGTGATTACTACTCAGTCCGCTCGTTTCGAGGTTCCTGTTACACGGTTTGTGGACTGCTCCTCTCGAGTGCAAGAGAAGACCTACACTAGCGGGCACATACTCCAATCTACTTCAGGGACCGAATTTCATCTCGCGGAGTGATTGAGGATATGCTCGTCGCACAGTGACGGGTCGGGCCACGCCATTTCACTACTACCACAGCCTACTTTGTCGTGATTTCGAGGGGGGTAAATCTGTCAGACTATGACAGATACCTCCTCCCTCGCCATCACGCACGCCACCACGGATTCACATCCGGGCTCCGTCTCTGCTCCTCTGGGGTCTCCGACCGCGAATGGGGCGGTCTCCGACTCACTTGCGCCCGATGAAGAGGAGCCATACACCATCAAATGCGTCTGCGATTTTGCCGAAGATGACGGGAGCACGGTCTATTGCGAAAGGTGCGAGACGTGGCAGCACATCATCTGCTACTACCCGGACAAGCGAGTCCCGGACGTGCACAACTGCGTGGATTGTGAGCCTCGTCCGTTAGATGTCCACAGCGCGACCGAACGTCAACGTCAGCAACGACTTCGAGAGCAGAACGAGGACGGGAATCGGAAAAAGCGCTCGGCTGCAAAGTCTCACAAGAAAAAGTTTCGAGATCGCGAACTCAACGGATACGGATCTCACGGGAATGAGTCTGCGCCTCGTGAGCACCCTCCAGCGAAAAAGACGAAAACCGGTCATCGATCCTCAGCATCTATCAGTACCCCTGCTACTGTTCCACCATTTCCCCTTGAGAGTCGAAAGCGCCGCTCATCTATCTCCACCGCACCAAGTCCTACCAAACTTTCTCTGCCCTCGATTCCCCTTTTCTCCAACGAATTTCTCCGACTCTACGACCACGATGATGAACGCGTGGACATGGACAGCAATCTCTTCGTCAATGTCAGTTTGCTGGACAGCACAGCCACGTGGGTGAAGGATCAGGAAGCTCTTTCAAGGGTCGCCAACGGACACTCTAGGAACATATTCAATCGCTCCGATGCTGCATTGGACAAGACTCGCTGGCCTGCACTGAAAACGGAGACGATCACAGACTCATCCATTGACTTCGGCGGGCGACACCCTACGTGGAAGATCGTTCGCACACAGGATGCAGTTCGAAAGGACCATATTGTGGGGGAGATCACCGGCAAAGTCGGCGGTCTTGATGACTATTGTCTCGATCCGAAGAACCGCTGGCCCGAGCTCCGCCACCCCGAGCCCTTCGTCTTCTTTAACCCCCAACTTCCTCTTTACATTGATAGTCGGCACGAAGGGAGCATCCTCCGATACACCCGCCGATCGTGCAGCCCAAACGTGACCATGAAGATCTTCATAACCAACGACGTCGAGTACCATTTCTGCTTTGTGGCGAAAGAGGACATACCGGCCAACTCCGAAATCACAGTCATGTGGTATCTGGACACTCGTCTCTCCGGGTCGACTAACGGCCTCGTGAGACAACAAGAAGACAGTACGACGGAAGTTGCTGCAATATGCATCAGCAATACGCTCGCCAATTTTGGAGGGTGTGCATGTGATCAGCCAAATTGCCTTCTGGCCAGTCTCGATCGAAGACGCAGCCCCAAGTGGCTTGACTCATCCAAGCAAGTGAACGGCAAGCGGAAAAAAACCAGGGCGAAACCACTCACGTCCCCACGCGACCCAGCCCGGGCTCCTGCCAGTCGTGCTGGAAGTGAGACCACAAAACACCCAGAAGACGACGATGGCGTGCTGGAGTCCCGATCCTCCACAGGCTCAGCACGTGGTCAACCTCACAGCAGGGATCTTAGTCCTGCCACGACTGGGCCCACAGAGCTTTCTACGCGCGAGAAACGTAAGATTGCTGACGCCGAGAAGCAATTCCAGCAGCTGGAGCAGCAAGATCACCGACCCGCTGCGCACAAGAAGAAGAAACGTGCTAGTGGTCCACGCGCAGTGTCCCCTGTCATGTCGACCCTTCCCCAGAGTGGAGCTACGGCAACCCACCGCGGCGGTACTGTGAAGCCGCTGCACCTCGATACAACCCGTTCACACTCACCAATGGCTGCGACGTCCCCTGGGCTCAGTGCTGGTGGCCGCAACAGAATGTCCCGCGGGACGTCCGTGTCTCATACGCCGTTGATACAATCCCCCCTGAGTCGCGTGGCCTACAGTGACACTGGTGTGCAGTGTGATCTCGTCGAAAGCGAGGACGAGGAAATGCACGATGCTTCCTGTCTTCCTGACTCCGCATTCGAGCCGAGGAGCGTACGAATCCTAGGGCGCTTTAAAGCCGAATGTATGGTGGCACAGGAGCTTGCACGACAAGAGTTGTCCTCGGCTGGCTCCGATTCTACCATATCATCTGGGAATCACTCTTCGCCTATGTTGTCGCCTCTCACCAAACATGAGAAGCACGATGCTGCGCTGTCTGATCATGGTCTCTCCACCTCTTCTGTTGTCTTCGAGGGCCAGAAATCAGACAAATTGCCAGGAGCGGCTTCTAGCTTTTCATCCCTTGTCGCCCCCACAGAAGCTTGGAAGCCTGTGATCCCTCCTCCTTGGCCATCTACTGCCGCACACAATACGCGCGTGTCCCGTCTTTTCGAAAAATCAGTGGGGCCCATGCCTCCCCCAACCTCGCGCAGCGTCCACGATGTTTCTACTCCGACCTCTACCTCCCATGCAAACATACCTTCCTTATCTGCTTCAAACGCAAATTCCCATTCAGCCACACCCTCGCTTGGTGCGACAGCTTCCAACCCCACTCCCACGCCCGCCAAGAAGAAACTCAGTCTCGGAGATTACTTGATCAGGAGGGGCACAATGACCACACCAACCTCTGAGAAGACACAGAGCCAGGCATTTGCTCATACCCAGCAGTCCCCCGTGTCTACATTGGCAGGTGATGCAGCTTCCACCGGCGAAAACCGATCTTTAATCAAACCAACACCCGATCTCACCTCTGAACCTCATGGGGCCCTTGATGTTGTCATGAAAGACGCACCAGAGTCAACCCAGCCACCTTTTTCTTCCATACCTTCATGACTTGTCTTCCAATGCGTCTCCATTTAATTGCCCATTCGAAAGTAATTAACTGTGGCTTCGGGTTGACAGATGGTTCGGTCGACAGTGTTGATCAGGGCCTTCTCCATGATTGGAGGATTGACGTTTCTCACGACTCAAAATTTTCTTCCACTGCGAATTGATTTTCGGTCCTCCAAAATGTGCGGTCCTACGGCGTTTTTTTTTTGTTCGGTTCAGCCTCTGGGTTTGGGTGAACTTATTGTTCGAATTGCGGTTTAATGGTTTTGGATGATTCCCTTGTAAGGCGTACATGGCGCGAGAACCCCCGATGGCCGGGTTTACGGAGATACCAAGTTTCGATATGGCCAGGCCGGGCTTTTGGGATGGATTATTCAATGATACTCCCTGTTTACTTATTCTTAAGGCACGCTTCTCTTTCTCTTCGCCTTTCTTGGGCATTCGAGTGGGAATTTTGGAAATTTCTGATGTGAGAGTACTATCTCGACTTGATTCGATTACTCGTGATACCACTGATGACAAGTCATATGTCAAAAATAAATCTACCTCCAAGTTACAAACTGCCGTCTACAAAATGTGCTTCATGCCGTGGTGCCCTGTTCACATGCGAAATCAGACATCTAAGATGAGCATGGTTAGTCGCTCATCATTTGGATCAATTATGAAGATCCACCGTGGGTGTCGTCTTATGAAGCTAACAGTGAATCGTCAAGCCTGTTGGGGATAGCGTGATGCGTATTCGTCAATGCTTTGCTCCCTACCTGAACCATTCTGCTCCATTGCAATTTGGTCGTAGATTGTGAGGCTTCATTGGCCAAATGTGCGTCGATTGTGTCATCTACATTCGGATCTCCTGTAAATGCGTGATTTGTAGGTGCTTATAGCTATTTCAGCGAGATGATTACTTCCCTTATCTGTCAATGACAGTGGATTTCAGTAGGTTACCATCTGAATTTTGAATACGAGGGTCTACTTGCTACGCTGTCTGCTCTGGAGATCGGAAAGAAGGATGCCCTCACGGTCATGTTATCTGAAGCAAACAAACGGCGGCATCAACACCAAGTCACGTGTATCACGAGCTCCAGGACCAACCTTTCTATTTAATCGACCGCACGCCGCAATTCCTGACATCCAACCAACCCTTTGTCGCATTTTGAAACTCAAAGTGCTTCAGTCAATCTTCAATACTACTACGATGAGCGCCTCGACTGCGCAGGATCCCCTGCTCTCGCTCCGCCGGGCTATCGCTGCCGGTACCCTGCCCACGCCCACCACATCCTCCGAGCTATCGGATCAACTTGCGACAGAGGATCTCGCGCAGGCCACGCACCTTTACTTTTCCCAACCATCTCCACACACGTTCTCCTTGGACACGCCAACCCGATTCGTCTCTAACGCGACCAACACCGCAGTTGATCTGCGAAGCATCCTTTTTGCGTGGCAGAAGAAAGATGTTGCGATTCCGGAATACATTGCTTCTGCGCAAGAGTTGAGCGAGGCGCTTAAAAAGAAAGGGCCCAAGGAGGATGGACAGTTGAGTGAGGTTCAAAATCTGGTCTTTGTTGAGCGTCTGGATCTCATCACCTGGCTGGAGGGGGCCTCGGATGAGAGCGAACACATCAAGCCGCTTGAGGGTGCGGCTGCTGCTGCAGAGGCCGCCGTCGCCGCCGGTCAGGCTCAGGCCGAGGCAGCTGCTGGTGTTGCATCTGGTGTCACTGGAGGAGTGCCCGTTATCTCCAGTGCAGGAGCTGCCGCCGCTGGTCAGGTTGGTCGCCCACAAAAGCAGATCAATCCTCGCCTGCAAGAGATCTATGCCGAGGAACGCAAGACGGGCGATCGCAACACCTTGCTTCGCGGGACCAAGCCCACGGTATGTCTGGAAATTAGCTACATTAGACCATGGACGGAAGAAAAGGCTAATGAAGCTCTACGTGCTAAACAGGACTTTACCCACGCCCGCAAGCTCGACGCCGTCTTCTTCGACCGCAGCCGTGACCGTCCCGGCCAGGCTGGGGCCAAACCTGGCGTCAAGTCCACCTCAATGGTTTCCGCACCATCTGCCGGTCTTCCATTGCCCTCGCGCAAGCCCAGCTCGCGTCCAGATCCGATCATCCTCCTCTCACCCTCAGCCTCATCTCTGATCCGGATGTCAAACATCAAGTCCTTCCTCCAGGACGGCATCTTTGTGCCCCCCGACCACCCCACACTCAGCATGTCGACCGAGGCCAATTTCATGGAACTGAAACGACCGCTTCGCCTCAAGAACGGGCCTTCAAACTCGGCTGTCGGGGCTGGGGGTTCTGCCGGTCTCAAGCCTACCAAGTTCATCCTCGTGGATGGCACGACCAACTTCAAGCCCGAATATTGGTCACGACTTGTGGCTGTCTTCACCACGGGACAGACCTGGCAGTTCAAGTCGTACAAGTGGTCGTCCCCACCCGAGCTGTTCAAACATGCCACGGGTATTTACGTGGGCTGGCGTGGGGACGATGTCCCAGCCACTGTCAAGGGCTGGGGTCGTGGGGTTGAGAGTTTCGCCTTGGAGCGATGGGACGAGAAGGGTGGGATTCACGGCGGCGGTCGCTGGCGTGATCGAGAAGTGGTCGAGGGTATTTGGACCGCGATTGAAGAAGGCATGAAGCTCCGAGGATGGGGTGCCAAGTAGAAAAGCGATCTTTCTTTCTTGGCTCTCTGGTTTCCTCCTCTTTCTTTCCTCTTCTCTTTTCTTCTTCATCAAGTGACGGCTTGATAGGACACGCTTCTTTCATGTATTTTTATTCCACATGCCGTCCCAAATTTATGATACCTCCGAGCGTCCTATCCTTTTTTTTTACATTTGAGCGCGGCATGATCTACCGGTAAATTTGCTTCAGTCCCACTTTCGCATCATGAAGTGAGATAGTACAATCGAGGCAATGCTTAGGGTGTGATTTGAAGATTGCTTGAACCTTTGCAGCCCTATTGAAGACCACCATGATTCGATGTAGATTCATCTTTGGGCCAGCACCAAATTACTCTGCCTGCTGTATTCATGGAAATGAGTTCCCTCGCATTGGAAATATGGCAGTAGTAACTTGGAAAGTACTCACTCAGTAAAATAAAGATAATAAAAAGAGCGCGGCAAAAAAATCACACAGAGCACTGAACGCGATTTGAACGCGCGACCTCGGGATTTGCAATCCCACGCGCTAACCACTGTGCCACCAGTGCTGGTGCTTGATGAGTAAGCTCCCGTTCTGCAATATATAGTACATATCAAACAAATTTCAAAGCAATCCTCGGACGGTCACCATCATGTAGAGAGAGACAGTCATTAAAAACGCAGCTTTCAACATGTGCAGCAAAAATATCATGTGGTCGTCGAAAGTATGCTCCACGTGGAGTCATACCTGCAATGAATGAGATTTTCCTTGCTTTGGCCTCTGAAGGGCGATATACTAGGATTATCAAATACTAAACATCCTACAAGGTTGGAAGGTAGGGCTGGGTCGCCAATTTGACACAGTCTGAAAGCCAATGTCTTGAACGATTTCCCTGTTTCAGTACATAGTTTGCCAGCTCTTCTCTAAAACCACATTGAAAGACACGGAGTTACACTGTTAGTGTGAAGCCCATCAGCTCGGCTACATGATGGCGTGAAAGTAAAGATCCAGACTATCACCAAGCCCATTTGTTCCGTAATCACATCCCATCTCTCCCAGGGAATCTCATGGATTCTAACTCTGTCTCTGTCATGTTTCAAGTTTTCTTCTCATGAATATCATGCGTCATGGGCTGCCTTTGACCAGGCTAGCTGCATGGCTTATCATCAGGCGCCCGGCCGTGATGCAAGACCGTTGTTAGGAACACCAGCGAATCAACTGACATTCAAAGCCACTGAGCCTGAGACGAGACCTCCAGGCCGAGGCTTTTCTTTTTGTTTGTTTGTTTGATGCTGTCATCTGCAGGAAGGCCTTTCTGTTCGTATGATAGCATAGGGGATATCGATTGGACTTGTGGGTGTGAGAGAGGTATCATACCTAACTTGTAGTTGTGATTGTAGTTATAGTTGTGATTGTAGTTATAGTTGTAGTTGTTAGATGCCAGTGGCAGTTTACTGTGTGAGCTGGTCAAGGTCGAGGAGGACCCAGGACTTAGAAGTTTGCTAGTACTCAGCCGTCATGCAGATAAGACGGTGCTTAGTGCGTAGTGGTTATTGATGTTGAGACTTTGGACAAGAACCTTATGTCCTGCACTTTCACAGTGATAGTGGCTACTAGGACGGTTGAGCCTAACTTCAGTAACTCATGGGAGGTGTCATATGGAGATCGTCATCTACTTTGAAACCGGGTATTTCTGTACGAGACCAGTCTTACAATTTCTCGAGGTGAAGTTTAGTCAGACCTGATTTTTTTCATTTACAAAGCAGGGTTGATACAAGGATGAAACATGTTGCTTTCATGCTAGAAACCTGGACTCACACGCTGTGCAGATAAGAACAAAGAAAAATGCAATAACACGATTAGAATCCCAGTCAACATGGGTAGCGGAGCGGATCAGGAAGGCGGCGAACGGTGAGAAGGGCAGCCACAAAAAAAAAACGAGCTTGTCAACCATGACCAACGCCTCGAAGAAGCCAGAAACTGTCCCCTCGTTGACGCTGGACACTCGGCCTATGATCCAGTACCCCGCAACAAGACCAATCTATGCAGGTGGATAATGACTCATGCGACACGAGAACGTGCTCAAAGACGTATGGGACACGGAGCGGGGAGGAGGAAATCAGCAGCAGGATTGGAAAAACAGGGAAACCCACGGGGAAGATGTTACAAACCATCCCAGAGTGAGAAAGCAAGTGAATCAAGAAAGAAAGAGTAATAAGAGGAAATTCCATCCTTCTCTACAAGACATAAGGCATTGATTGATCGTAACGTCTTTCATCTGAATGGTGGTTGGAACAGAAAGTAAAACAGAAAGGAGATACGTGTCAGGGTCCAATATTAGAGAGAATTATTCAGAAAAGGGAAGGAAGCCGCCTGAGAAATGGAAGATGCATGGTACGATATGCAAACGCAAATGAAAAGGTAGATGCAGGTGCGGAGGCCTGTGCAAGCACATGCAGGCGCCCGAGGGCTGGTCTCCGCAGAAGATGCATAACCAGGCAAAAGTGTGAAAGATAGCTTTTGTCGGTCAGACCATGACCCAATATTGGGCTCAAGAAAATGGATTTTGCTCGAAAGATGAATCGTCGTGCGTGGTTTGGAACCTCATGCTTAGCAGGACCATGATTCCTCAGCCCAGAAATGAACGTAATCTGGCCGTGCGGACAGCTTCTTCGATCAGCTCATTGCTGAGTGCTCAGGGGCCCACTCTCGAGGAGCGGTGGAATCCCGCGTTGCAGTCACACAGGAGGCGGGAGCAAGCAGGCCATACTTGGTCGGTCATGCATCCGCGAATGTCAAATTTCCGACATGTTGAAGAGGACGAAGTCGGTATGAAGGCACATGGGCCCATGGATTTGTAGAATGTCGGCATTCGCGGCGCGACAAAGCCAGCCGCTGTTCGTGAGTCATGTACAATTATCGATATCGTCTCGGAAACTATGACGACCGGGCAGACCGGCTCATGCTTCGTTCGGGACCTCCGGGGGTCGGAGAGTAGGACCGTGAGCCACCGAAGATATCCACGTCGTGTTCCTGCAGAACAACAGAGTACTTGGGATCACGGAGGAATTTGGGCACCGAGTCCTTGAGGGTTCATCATCGTTAGTTTAGAACAGATTGTATCACTGCATCAAAGGGGGGACACCCAAAACTTACACTTGACATGAGTTTGAAAACGGAAGTCTGGGCGAGTTCAAAGAGATGCACAACCTCCTGCAGACTTTTGAACATAGACTCGTCGTCACCCACAGCCTTGGTCATACGGCTCGCCAAGCTATTGCGTAAAGCGTGGTCGATGTTGAGCTCACACGGAGAGCCTGGAGCGAGGAACGCGTTGTACAAGCCTGCAAGGCACGCCCGAGTATCAGTATTTGTCAAGTGCAGAGTGAAAGCCAAGGTGAGTGGGCATATAGCTTACCATATGCAGCAGCCAGCGTCTCCCGAACGGCATCGGTCTTGTTGAAAGTGCCCACTTTCTCGGCCTTGTGATAGTTTGAGGTGAACTCGGAGACATCAAGATAGAAAGAGAGATTTTCCTCGCACAGGGAGTAGCGCAGGAACTCGCGGAACAGCAATCGAAGGGCGGGGTCGTGGAGAATGTGGGTCAGACGAGCGTTGTTGGAGTCTTTGGGCATGCCGCGGCTGTCGTAAGCAGCAGCGGCAAGATCACGGGGCTTGTCGCGGGCGAGCCACCCACATACGCGTTGTCCGCGCTCGGTGATGCAGTAGATGGCGTACTTGGACGGTTGAAACAGCGCGTTAGAGTCGGGATAAGACTTGTCGTCTTGAATCATCGTGATCAGGCCATATTTGAGGAACAGTTCGGCGATCAAGCATGTCTCCCGGCGCTCAATCGTAGTCGAGCAGTCCATCAGCCAGTCCACAGCACCCTTTCCGGTGAACGTATTGGTGTAAATCTTGCCATCCTGCAGTTTACGCTCCCGTGCCATTTTCACGCCAATGATGCCATTTGAGTAGTCGCTCAGCGAGTCCGAGTCTGACGTGGAGATGCTACTCTTGATGTTCGGTCCGTCTTGCCCCGCAAATCGGCGGAAGATCACTTCGATGGTGGCGCGGTCGTGGGACAACTTGTCAGTCTCGGTGTCTCGCTCTAGGTTAACCAATTGCATGGTGTTTCGCGGTGACTCGAGCACATCCATCACATGGCGAGCGGTGATTCCGTTGCGTTGGCAGAAACGTTGCAAAATGTTGATACCCTTAGGAGTGAGCTGGAACAGGGCGCCCTTGAGCGGGAAAATTGGCATGGCCTTTCCATCGACCGCCTCAATGAACCGGGCGTCCACGAAACGCTGGCAAACAGAGCGGGCCATCTCCTTGGCCATGGAGAAAGTGGTTGTGGTCGTAGTAGTCACAATGCGCGATGGATCCTTGGGGTCAGGCATCCGATTGGATTGCGAGAATTTGAGAGATCCCAAGTTGTTGATCGCCTCTTCCGAGGTGAAGGTGTGGTCGTATCTGGTGAAACGGACCCGATGGGAGTCCAATTTCAAGCTCACCATCAACGTGGAGAACAAGTCCATGAAGTCCTATACCATGATTGCGACTGATTAGCAATCAATGAAAATCTTCCGTCACAGTGTAGGTTTTTTTTTTCTCTTTTTTTTCGCCTTTTCTTTTTCTTCTTTCTCCTTGTTTTTTCTTTGTTATTTTTTTCTTGTGGTCTCTTGTTCTCTCATCTAAATTAAACCAAATGCAAGATTGAGATTTGCCTACGCAAAGGCTCCTCTGGCGATTGAGACACCGAGGGCTGTCGCGAGTGAGTGCACACCACCGATCCTGTGGCAGTATCAGACGTACCTTGGTAAATGGGCGCTCATCTTCAGTCATGCGCAACAGCCTTGATGATGTTTGGTGCATCTTGGGAATGCCGGCGGGTGCAGCGCCCGAGGGAACTGGACGAAAGTCGTGCGGAGGAGTTGGGACGCGCTGAAGCGTCAGGCGCCGTCTTTGTAGAGATGGATCTGGCGAGGCCGGGCGTGAGGCAGGCAATTGCTGGTCAAAGTCTCCTTCAAATGGTGGGGTCAAGGGCGTGACGCTGGATTTAGCGAGTTTCGACAAGCTGCCTGAGGAATTGGAGGAACGCAAGGTGGCGGCCGTGTGGTATCCGGCAGGCTGCGCGATTGATGATATCGTCGACAGGCTGGCGAGGGCGCTGGAGGTCTTCTGGGCCAAGGCAGCAAAGGAGCGACGATTGCGACGAGATATGGAGCCCACGACGGAGCCGGTGAATGAGGAGGTGGTGGAGGAGGGGTTTACAGGTGTGTCAGTCGACGGCGAGGGGCCGGTGGTGGTGGTGGTGTTGGTGTTGGACAGAGACGCACGAAAACGGTTTGTAAAAGGAAGAGAAGTAGTAGAGTCAGGAACAAATGCAGGATCAGGGCAAGGAAGAGATTCTTCTCGGTAATGGTTCACAGATGACACTGGCATTGAATAGGTTTCGCAAGCCGGTGGGTGAGCCAGAAAGAACCAGACTTCGGGAAGAGGACAGGAAAAAGTGGGTAAGTCAAATGAGACCTGATACCCACGGTCTTTACTGGTCTTGGGTAGAAGATACAAGTCAACTACGAAAGGAAGGGGGAAGGGAGGGGGGGCGGATCGGGGATGGTCTGAGGGAATGGCAATCTTGGAAAATCGTGGAATAGTGAAATTATGGAATCACGGGTAGGGTGGAGAGAGCGTGAGGGAAGTAAAATAGAATGTGGTAACCGGCAGGGGAACCAAAAGAGAGCAAGAAAAGGAAATGACAATAATACAAAAAAAAGAGAGGAAGACTCCACAGGCACGAAAGGCGTATGAATCATTATGGGAGAAAGTGAAGGTGGGAACTCTGATGGATGTGAGCAAAGATCTACCAAGTTCGGGAATCCAGCGTCGGCAGAGTGGATCTCGTGGATGGAAGGATAATGATGGGAATTTGGAAAAGAGAAAAAGAAAGAAAAAAAAAAAAGACTGAAAATGTGAACGAGAATCTAAAAAGGAAAAAGCAGAAATTGGAGATGGGGAAGTTCAGAGAAGGTAAGGAAGTAAAAGGATGGAAAAAGGAAAAATGGAAAAGGAAAAAAAAAAGAAAGAAAAGGAAAACCACGGTCATACCGAAACACCGAAATTTTAGCGTGGACCACGGTCAGGAATGGAGACCTCGATAAGACATGATAATAGTGCATGAGAAAGAGAAATGATCTTGATGAGATATACATAGTTACATACCGCTAGTACACTACTACCTTACTGAAAAGAGAATAGGGGCTGGTTGCATTCAGTCAGAAACGGTATGGTCTGTAATCAAGGGTGACACCCTCTCGACTCCTCGAGTCTTGACTACCAGTACATCGGACCATCGGTACATCCAGCTGCAATACCCCAAGACCATGTGAGTTTGCATAGTTAACACTTATACAGTTATACACTATGCTCACGTACTGTACGACGTACTTAGAGTCTAAGAGTCTAGAGGGTTGTAAAGCAGGACAGACAAGTAAAGGGAGCTTCGAGCTCATACAGGGCATAGAAGGCACAGGCAGTCTCTTCCTGTAACGGATGACTAAAGTTATTGTCATAATGGCCCATAATTATTTCTTTGATGCTCAGAACCCACAAGCACCTACTAAGGCGTGGCGTGACTACACCCCTTGACTCTCGTCAGTGGAACTGACGCTACAATATGTGGGTGCTGGTGAACAGGTGCAATTCAATAGACATCACACTTTTACAGTGCTTCATGTAGGGATGAAATTTCCTGTACTTCATAATTGCACCAGTGGTTCTTCTAGAATGGTGATCCAACGTTGAAAGTAAGGGGCATACCAAGAAGGTGGTCCCATATGAGAGTAAGGCCACGGGACACCCGTGCAGGCACTATAGGAGTAAACCAAATACTAAGCACGAATTAAGGACAAGAGTGGTAGAATGATATCGAAGTAGACACACAAGACTCGAAGGCTTGACTAGACGGCAGCAATCCTCCACGCAGATCCAGGCTATACAGCAAGTACAGATCGAGATTCTCGGGGGTCAGAACCCTATGAACGCGATGCGAGGAAATCTTGGGGAGGATGAATAGGGAGGAATTTAAGCCCACATTATCCTGCAGTGAGAGGTCTGGAAGGTCGGCCTGGGGCGCCTTTGTGCAGAACCATTTACGGATTCAGCCACTTGGGCTGTCACCTCAGACCCATCGACCACGCGTGAGACCAGCCGGAAAAGGTTTGGTGTGCTGCACCTAAACAACGTGGGCTAGGGAAGGGATCGCCTCATGGGAGGATCGGCGGATTTCGTGTCGTCTGTGTAAGTTTCTGGAGGCAGGGGTCCCAGTGCATCGTTACACAAGCAATACTCGACAGTTTTCATACTGTAAGATACAATACAATACCGAGCCAGCGAATTTTCTCCAACTCTGGACAAACTTGTGAAATGTGAACATTTCATCTCACCAAAAGCAAACTGTTCATGATTCGTCTCGACTTGACGCCCTTGATGTCCCTAACAGATACGACGCTTCATCCATCGAGCATCCGAGTCGAGGTCGATGCTTTATGAACCTGGAATTATGACCATCGGCCTGGGGAGGGGGGTGTGATGGGAAAACTTTTGGATTCATGGGATACTTGTTGTGTAGAATAAACGCTGTAGTTTTCTTCGGTCTTTGATTGTACCTTGGTCTCCATGTAGGGGGTGGTTTCCCGACGTAGGAACATGAAATTAAATCCATGCGCTAATCCATGCCTTCGATCGGCATGCTTATCGGAAGTAGACTTTTTCCCGATAGGTATCTCCAGCTGCAGCATCGTGAAGCTCACAATGTTGAATATATAGTGCATGATGGGATGCCATCTACAGTCCATATACATACTGCTACGTGAGTAGGTAGAAGCCTTGAGCAACAATTGTAACACGATACTAGCAATCTGGTAATATTCAGATTATTCTAAGTTTGTATACACAGCTACTTGGTAATTTGCCAGTAGTGTCTTCTTCACCTTAAGGGCAGTACGTTCGAGTCGATGATATCATCATCCCGAAACTCGTCCACCGCATGTAGCCAACGGGAACAGTTCATATCGTGACTGACCAAGAAAAGTACCCCAGTAGACAAAGCAGAAAGATTTTACAGACCTTTGGCCATGACCTTGTCCATGACCGAAGAACACAGTAACTACGTAATTCTACTATAGCTTTCTAGGCCAGGTAACCGATAGGACCTTGAAGCGAGGAATTTCTGAACATGTACTGTATATTGAGGTTTGTTGTTCTGTGTGTGACGGGAAAACCAGACTATTTGGAACCTTAAGCAGACCGACCGACCGTACCCACTTGAAAGTTGGAGGCGGGGACCTTACACCCCAATCCTGTCATTTTCCGGCCCCTGTCTCTTTGTGGGTGCCGCAGAATTATCGATAGGGTCGCCGGTTACATGCTTCAAAAGTCACCACGGCTTGTACTGCAGCCCCATACTGTCCACTTAAGGAAGTATCAGTCTTCACAAAGAGCCTCTACCAAGCATCAACTGGACATCTTCACCAGTAAATCTGTGATATTATGATAATTGTTACTTTCTGATGATGTGACTGCAACACTTTTCAATTCGTCCTCGTCGTATATAGCTCATTGCCCGTCGCGAGGGGTCGAAGTCATTTAGATACAGTACCACCTTCAATTGACCCTCTTCCATCTTTGGGGAAATACACAGATTCTTCTGCGCTGTGAAACTGAAGCATCATATACAGTATAATATATTATTACATTTCATGACCGTAAATTTATGTATCGGAGATTCGGAGAGGCCCATCATCAAGCAAACCCTCGATTCCCCACGTGGGTCAAAAGTTTTTTTGTTCTTGGTGTTCACCGCCTACTTGGCAATTTCTGGGAAGACCCATCGCGATGTCTGTTCATGGTCTTGCCTCTAAACTGAAGCGATGGACTTGAAGATGGAACATGTGTTACGGCCCAGCCTCCCTCTGCAGAATTTATTGCCCAACAGATAGGCGAAAAAGAACAGGCATGCTTACAGCAGCGGTGGCTGTGAGGTTTGAGTTGTTAATGATCTTGGATACGAACATGATCTTAGGGAAACAAAACAAACCTCCTGTTATGTCATGTTTTTTTTAATAGAATTTTATCTACTACAGTACTTTTAGCACTTAGCAGCCTCAAATCCAGATGGGTGACTTTTCGGGCATAGCATCGCCTGCCCGCCCTCGATCAAACCCTATCGGCTACCAGTCAACGAGACCACAGCAGTTCCGATTCAGGGTGACGGGGGGCTCGGTTCTGGTTGAGTCAGCTTTGGAACTTAGATTGTGAAGAGCGTAGACAAATGGGGCAAAAGCGAGCACATGACACGTTTCACGGGCGTCTTTTGCCAAATCCCGGCCAGATAAAGTGGAGTTGGAGCAGCCACCACTTCTGCTAGCCTGCCCAGTCACTAGTGACGCTTTCACCGTGATGGCTTCGGACTTTCCCTGTTTCGTCCATCTCCCCCTTCTCGCTTGTGACGGCCATTAGTGTTTCGGGCTTGAAACAGGCTAACGCCCTGGAATGGCGGTGGGGAAAGGAAACAGACCCATGCCCGCGCTTCGACGGTTTTTCTTAGGCTTCTTTGTGCGAGTCCATGTGGTCCACGTGGTAGCACGTGGAGGTTCCTTTGCCAAAAGCAACGCGCCTGCTTCGGGGTTCAGAACCTTGTGGGTATCAGCTAGGTAAAGAGTACCTTTGTGATATCGCTACTGTACAGTAGTTTCTTTATAGGATTAGGCAATAGGCATTGATACTGCACATGTCACACAACTTCACGCTTATATAGAATCTTGTCATTTAGCGGTAGCGGTAGTGGACACATTTGATGGGTCACTCTGTTGCCGTAGGTACCAGAAAAGACAAGCAATAATATATCTTGAATTTTTGAAGAGCCCCATGACTGATATACATACAGTCAGAATACGCCAAGGCCCACTAGAGTACACTAGTACAGTACTCAGGTACTGTACGGCTGCACCCATCCTTAGTATGTTAAATCAGTCATGCTTGGCGAATGAGGTGTGCCTATTGCCTAGCGCCTTCACTGAATTATCGTGATGCCTACCAAGTTGGAATAGCTGAATCCGGAGGTGGCCGGAATCCTTCAAAATTGGTCTACCATGCATGACAAAGCGATCTGATGATGTCTTTCATTTACGACAGGCCCATCTCGGCACGAATAGATCAGTGTAGACTCAGCTAGGTGGTATCGACTCTGTCGGCTCGTCGAGTCTACTCAAACAAGGACGGGAGCATACGTTCAGGGCGCGGGCTTGAAGTGCTCCTTCATGCACGTCCAGTTTACTTTTTTCAATCAATACAGCCCATGGAAAATTGAATGCGGTTAGTGTTAACTTATTAAGTGTTTCACTGTTTTCATTTTCATAATCACTGGAGAGATGTCTGATTCC